CAACATCATCCACCTAGGCTAACCCATCAAGTAAATTATTGAAAAATAGCCTGATTGCCATGGAAACACCTTTGATATTGGAAAACGATTTTCATGTTACATAAAACAGAAAAACCAATATTTATCAATAAATTTATTGATTGAAGCATCTCTGTGTGAATTTTGGGTCCCAATTTACATATCGATCTTATATACTTTGAATTGGACATTTCTTTACTGGGCCAATTAATACCTGCTAACAATTCTCGAAAAGATAAACAAGAGAAAAAAAAAGAATACCTTTCATTTACTGAAATCAAAGGATATGTCATTTGTTATTGACAGGCTGTAAGACAAGAGGCTTTAGGGATTCGGAGCTTGTGCTTTGTGGAAGTTGAGCTTCCAAGAAATATAATATGGACATGGTACATCTGATATCACATAAATCTGCTCAACTCGATTAATAATTCAATGACACAGATCGAAGAAATTTTACAGGTGCCTGCCACCGCGACTAAACTATTGCCACAGTAACCAGTGGACTAGTTTTGTCCGTTAGCCTTTTTTTCCCCGTGTTACCACCTATCAGTGTCACAATGCAACAGAACACTAATAATTATAGACTTCCCCTAACCTTGCCAACCAAATCATAAAATGCATTCAACATTTAACTTTTTTTTATTCTGTGCATATATGAACCAAAATTGACAAATTATGTTAAATCAAAGTGAACTACGGCATATACCATTACTATCAAAGGATTTCAATCCATGCAGTGCAATATTTGGTAATTTATTTTAAAAGCTTTCATAATTATACATAAAGTTATATACATAAAGTTATTCAATGGTAAAATATTTTGAGGTCTTTTCAGTAAATAATTCACATCTAGCATAGCAACAATAAACATCGAAAAAGGTCTTCTTGGCAACCACATAAACCCTTTGTCCTTTCAAGTAGATAAATCATTGAATGCTTATTGGGAAAATTAATCAATCACATTTTACAAACATTCTTATTCAGGTTTTGCAGAAAAATGAAGGCACCATTGGCAACCTTTCATTTAAACTCCGCAGCTTAGGTATTGAATTTATTCAACTGAAAGTAAAGGGGCCTAAAAATTTTACCTTTTACATAATACATAGGAATACTCTAAAGAAAAAGAGAAAATGGCAAATAATATTTATGTAAAAAATAAATATTCTACCTTGAAAGCATTTCAGGATAAAAGAAGGGGGAGTCTATTGGTTATTTCTATGGCAAGGAAGGTTGATTTACAAATTATAAAACTCCTGTATGTATGTGGAAAACTTTTTATCACATCAAATCTTAAATGTCAAACTTTCTCAAAAAAAAAAGGTTGATACTTCCAGACAGGATCTGAGTACTAAGTATGGCCTATTTTACAATGAAATTCACATGGTTTTAGAGTATCTTGAGACCTGACATCATCAAAACCCTCTCCTCAAAATGAATTCTAATTCAAGGGTTTTATCATTAAAAAATCTGCCCATATCAAATCTCGTCAGGGCTCTTATGTTAAGAACAATGACTTAATAAGAAGTCAAGCAATTTAAGCAATTTTTTTTTTTGTACAAAACCATTGTTTCAAACAATCAATTAAAAAACATAAAAAGAACTTTGTGAATCTAAAGTTAATATCCCTCCTTGATTCTCATTTTGTTTAAACATCATTATAACAAGTGCCAACAGAATTGTACTGTTTAAGCTAAAAATCACAAGCAACGAGAGATGTCAGTTACCAAAAGATTGCCTGCACTAAGTGTATGTGTACTTACACCATCCCCAAATACAGTTTCTTAAAATCTTCTCATTGAAACTTTTCATAAAATAAATAATAAATAAATAAGTATTTCAAGTTGATCAATCACCAAAACAGGATAAAACAAAAAATATCTTTTCCACTTTCTTGTACACATAAACCCCACCCCTTGGGTGCAATGCAAGATACCTTATCATACATATTTCATGACACACAAAAAAAAAATTATCTATGAACAAATAATTTGCAAGGATAGGACCCCCCCCCCTTTTTCGGGGGGAGGGGGGGGGGCCTCCTGCATAGCACTACTACATTACCTCTCTAGAATTTTTGGTGCCCTGGACACTTAATTAGGCAATATTAGAGACTAATAACTCATTAGTATGAACTTTGGGTTTAAGTGCAATATATTAATCAAATAGAAAAATGAAAGATCTCGACAATCTTAACTGCAAATTAAAACTTTAGGTAGGCATGCAGAAGGTTGCTTACTCAAATCTGTCATGTTGTGCCCTTAGACAGAGCACCTAATAAATGGCCATCAGTTTTGACTGCATGGGGGCAGACCCTCCAGGGGAGGGGCAACATTATCTCCCATTCACTTCAAAGGGTATAACTTTATACTGCTTTATCTTAATCTATATATTTAGATCTTTTATACCTGCACAACACAGATATGATTTCATGTTGAACTGATAAATATAAAGATCTTCTTTTAATCAAGAATCTAAGAAAATATCTTTCTTCTTCTTTTTTTTTTTTAATTTAAATTTCCAACTTTTAAAATTTTTCACTTTTTGGCAACTGACAGACTAAAATTCAATGAATGTGACACTTATTTGTACATACACCTAATTTTGGAACATGTATGTATTTAAAAAATTAACAATCCACAGTTTAGCAAAGTCGGTTAAATTTAGAGCTTAATTGTATAGTAAATATTCCATGCATTCTAGAAATCTCCTAACAACCTCATGTCAAATTCACAAAATATAAAACAAATTAATATAACAGTTCTATACAAATGTAATATCAGACATTTTTATGATCTAATTTTGTAAAAATATTTCATGTGTGGAATATTTAACCACCTACATGTACATGTACAGTATATGGCCATAAGTGATCGAGTCTTAATTTTATTTTCATATTTTATATTTCACAGAAAAACCAGTTTTTATAAAAAGATATTGTGAGGTAAATTTTAGCCCAACTTCCATGATTTTAATAATGCAAAATTGTTCAAATTTTCTTGTCTTAAGCTGCTAAGCAAAATAGTACTTACAATAATCACTGAGAATAATTTATGAAATCATCAAGGCAAAATTTCTAAGCTCATTTTTTTTTATTACATGTACAACAATTTCCTAACAAATTTGACAATATATTTCCATTTGGTATCTGACGTGTGATATCACTGCAACACTTTGTAGATAAAATTATATATTTTCAAATTATGTGAAGAAACTGCAAGAAATTCTGCATTTTATGATGCTATGGTCATAAAAAATGAGCAGAAATAATGTTGCAATATTTTTTTCAGTGAAAATTAGAATTATATGAGCTACTTTCAGGTACTAAATGTCATAATGTACCCAGTACTGGCTGTACATGTAGTGTAATTATATGAATTAATGAGAATTAACACTATTATTTTTGTGTTTAAATTAATCAAATAAATCCATTAAATCATTGTTTTTAATCTGTTTTTTTTTTTTAAATCAAATAGCAAAAATAATTTTTAGTAAGCAAACTTTTTTTAAGAGGGGGGGGGGGGGGACTGTTGTGTAATAATTCTTGTGACAGAACTCTCTTTCTCATTATTCCAGCTCAGAGCTTCATCATTCTGATTTTATCACTTTTTTTATATGAATTAAGGGATGTTTCTCTTAAATTGAATGTTCAAAATGAATTAAAATAAAATAGAGGCATATTTGTTAAAAACTTTTGAAACACGGTTTCCTGTATATAGACCTTCATGCATTCGTCAAATTTGTATTAATGATGACTGTATACAAAGAGTTGGACACATTGTGTGCTCAAATTAATATCTTAAAATCTCCTAATTATTTTACAACTGTGGCTCTTAAGATTAAAAGAATTAAATGCTACAAGAAATTCAATATTACACACAAATATAAGCCTTCCCAATCGCGGTTTTTTTTATATTTCACATAATTCTTATATGCTTGAATAGACTCCATGCTTTAGTGTTATTTTATCGTCTTTGACCCAAAATCATGCTGTATAGATTTTAAGTCTGTAAATAGGCTTTTAAATGGATTTATTTTAAATAACAAGTTTGGGTATTTTTGAAAAAGTTATTTGACCAGAACTAAGAATCAGTCTTTTAAAAAGAAATCTACACAATAGAATGTTTTGGGTTGCCAAGGTAATATGGTTCAATAGTTGGGGTTATAAAGAGATTTTACACAGAACCCTAGCCAAGAATCTTTTTTTCTTCATTTATTGGTGTGTGTTATGACTTAACAGCACTTTGTTTAGACATGTCATGAAAAAGAAAATTGAAATCAATAAGCAAATTTTGACAAGAAATATTGAATCAATACCTGCAGTTCTTAAGTAAGAAAGGCTACATGATTACAAATTCTTACCAAAATGATAATATATCAAATCCCCCCAGAAATATGAATTACTATAAAATTATCATCAGGAACATTAATTTCTTCTGCTAATAAATGAAACATATGAAACATGAAATGACATCAAATTATATTCAATTCCACAAGGAAAATATAACTTTTAATTTGCTAGACACCTTTTCTTTCAAAATTGAAATGGTAAGTCTTAAAAGTAAACACAGTAGACAAGAAATATACAGCTGAACTTCGGTATCAGCTGAACTTTGGTGCATCTCAAACATCAGTATCTCGAAAACCATATGTCGAAGTGATTTGGAAGTCCCAAGTACTTCAAGTATTTTACCCTCAATATATCAAATCCCTGGATATCATGAGGTTTTTCTTAGTCCCAATGAGATTTGACTGTAGATTAATGTAAGGTACCATGATGAAAACCAGCTAGGAAGCTGATTTTCATCCAGGAATAAGAGTAAATCTCATCCAACCCTAATTATATTCTCTGTGTACCTTGTTAAGATTGAAACACATCAGAAACAAATTAGCCATTGAAAAAAAAGAATTGTTTCCTACATGATGTAATTTTAAAGGACATCAAGGTTGAATGATAAGTTTTTACATAATGCATTACAACTTACCTTCAACATTGGGTGATTTGATGTTTTTGGTGGGCTGGTTGCTTTTGCTTGGGGATTGGTTGACAAAGTTGGTAAAAATGCCTTTTTTCTCTGTTGCAGTTAATGATGGAGGGGATGTTGTTACCGTATTATTTGAAACAACAGTCGATGAGACAAGAGGAGGAATGGCTTTGCTAATATGCAGCTTTGGCACATCTCGAGAAGTTTGTTCATGAAGAATAAGATTAGATGTAAAGTTATTGGAAGGAATTTGTGGAATGACTGATTCTCCAGATCCACCACTGAATCCGTACATAGATAATAACTCGTTCATTGTAGACTCAGCAAAATCTTTTAATACTGTCATTTCTTGCTTCTCGGTTTTTTCTGTGACCTTGAATTTTGGAGAAGAAGGTTTAGTTTGACTATTTGCAGAGTCCACATCAGACATAGTTCTCTGATCACTGGAAGTTTGCATTATGTGACTAGACTTATTTAATTCCTGAACATCTTTTTCAGCATTGCTGCTGTCTTCTGCTGACTTTGCTATGGAGAGATCAAGCGGTGCTGTGTTGTTGCTAATGTTGCATTTGTTGCTAAAGGACTGAGTTGACTTGCGGGGTTTTCGTGACTGTTTTCTGTTGTGAAAAGAATTTTTAATACTGACAGATACTGGACTACTGTCCTCTGCTCCTGTAGATTTAGATAAATCTTCATTCCTACACGAATTGTCATCTTCCTCCAGACTTGTATCTTCCTCAACCTCAGGTGGAAAGTCTGTATTTTGATTGTTTATTTCATACCCTGCCAATTCGTCACCATCATCCACACTTTCAAATTTATCAAGTATTTCTCTGACCTGAGCAATATTTCTTGGCGCCGAGGCTTTTCTGCTTTTCCGCCTGGATGTCCTACCATCATTTTCTTTTTCAACTTCTTTCAGAATTTTTGCATTGTCTAGCACTTTATCTACTGAAGTATTATCTAGATGGTTTTCATCTTCTTTAGTTGTAATTGGTGCATCATCTTCCTCCTTTTTGAGTGCAATTTCAGAATTGTCTTCCCCATTTATCGATTTTAACTTTGCACATATTGCATCTAGAGTTCTAACTTTCACCTTAGCTGTCATTTTCCCAAATTCTTCTCATTTATTCCCTTAAAATCTTCATTACATTTCCCTGCAGAAAAAAAAAAAACCTATTCAGCAGTTGACTAGTACATGTATTAATGATATGAATTGCTCTAATTTTTTTTCTGATTCATTTTTACCCCCTAAAATGTTCCAGACCTAGGGTAACTGCACGGTTGTACAAGTTTGTACATTCACATTAGGTGCACTTGCCCTTTTTTTCTAGAACAGCAATTAGTTCCTTATCGAGATCACTTATATAGTCACAATTATTTTGCTGAAAAATTTGTGTCCGTTTCCTTGGCAACCTCAGTATCACAGGAACTAGATCTTTTTCTTCCCTTTACTTACTGAAGAAAATGGAACAGCTTAGCAGTAAATCATTTGTGATTAAGGATGTGTCATTCACAAGATTTTGCTACATGACTGAATTCATGAAAATTTATATTATGCATGCTCAAATCAGCTAATGAACTACCATGAACCATTTTTACATTAATTTTGAAAGACCTGATTTATGTGTCATATGCTGAAATTATTTTCCTTTAATGAACTGTCAAATGCTTTTGTTTTAAAGAAGTAAGTATGTTACTGTGTGGCAAAAGATAAATTTCAAATACTAGTATTAATGAATTGCATGTGTAATATACGATAAATATTACTTTAGCAATTAGAAATTTGGCTTTTTAAGTCGACAAGGAAATTAATGGACATATTTAAAGATTGGATTCTAAAATGGCTTTTATGGCTGCAAAATAAAATACATTTCTATGATCAAATAAATTTTTTATGGAAAATCTCTTCATATGCATTATTAAAGATATACATGTATCAGCTTAACAAAATCATTATTTGGAAAGTAAAGTTTTTAAATAGTACAATGTTTGACCACAGCAAATTGAAATATCTAAAACAAATTTTAATATTCTAAAATCGAAAAATCATGCAATTTTCAACAATTAAAAATTTCTTACAAAGAATAAACTTTTAAATCAACTTTTTTTGTTCATTCACTTATTCAATGATTTTTTTTTTACCTGTTCTAATGTTCTCAATCCTGGGAGAATTATACAGGTATGTCTAACTATTCAAGCCTGGAGAGATAAATGTATGGATCTATCAATAAAAGCTAATTCTGCTACAGCCTGTTTCCATGCAAACACTATACCAGTTTCCCTTTCTTCTGCTTGTCCCAGGACGCAAAACTCCTATCAGCTTACACCAAATCAAATTATTATTAGGTATTCAATACCTGTTCAATATACCTGTGAATTTGGCCATTTCCATGACAACCTGACTAGTGTGCAACTACAGGCATGCATAAATAATTCTGGGTTGCTATAACGATGCCTAGGTCCCAAAGTAGAATGAACAATGAAACAAGATGAAATCAATCATCTTATGTAGAGACAATTTATACACTGGCAGATTCAGCAATTCTACAGAATTTTTTTTTTTAACCTAGTCAATTGAAAATGTTCGCACATGAGAAGATTTAATTGTTGTCTTTTGTAGATCCAAATCATTCAACAGTTGCAGGAATACTACAGACCTATTATTTCAACAGAGGGCCAGAAAATTATCTGGATGGTGGATTATTGGATATCCATACCCAGTTGAAAATATCCATAGATTCACACTAAATTGCAATTTCTATTTTATGCTCTACTCTTTTGTTTCTCTTATTGCTAGGGAAATATATATCCAATATTTAAACAAAAATCACTGAACATCACAAAGTCAATTAATGTACATGTCATAGAATTTAAAGTGTACAGCCGAATGACGTAAAATGAGCTTGTGTTTGCATTCACAATTTATTTGTGTATTATATCAAATTCGAAATCTAGTCTTAATTACTTTATGCAGCTCTTATTAAATTTGTAATGGCAGAATTCAGATTCCTCTTTACAAATTTTGCTAAAAAGGAAAAAAAAATTAAAATAAAATAAATTGAAAACGAATATGCCATGATATTGATGACTTTTATTTCGTCCCAATAAATTATTTTAAATGCACAAAATTCTGGGCCTTCCAAAGATATATAAACATTCTCAGGTAAAATTTTTATTGACAAGGGGTCAAACATGTATTATTCTTCGGCAAAGTAGAGAAATGTCGTTTAACAGCTTTACTTATTGTTGAAGTTACCACTGGAAACCATTGACATATCGGCAAAGCTTTCTCTAGTATGATAAATCATTAAAAAGTTATTTATATACCATAAAGATTTAACAGTTTTAAGGTAAAATGAAGTATACAGAATGCTTTTAAAACATGAAACATAATTTTTTTTGTGTGACTATTTTGCATATTTTCATATACATGAGCATGAAATGACAGCAAAATTTCCTTCAAATTAGAAATATGGAATTCTGCATTGTTTAAATTATGGGGAAAAAAGCCAACCAAAAAAAATACTCATACCTTGCGATTTGAGGTTTAAAGTAAAGAACACAATGAGTCCTCATTCTGCCATGATCTTTTTATTTAAAAAATCCTTAATCTCGAGAGACTTTGTGTTTTAAACTGTGGTCAATGTACTATTAAATTTTTATTAAAGAATATAACATTTACAGTTAAAGAGCAATTATGAAAAGACAAGAATAAAATAAAATAATTTACTGGTTGGGTGCCAACTCCCTACAGTAAATATAAGACTAATCTTTTAAAGTTCAAAATTTGAGACAAAAGGTATCTCGTAACTATGACAATTACCAATGGGTGACCCCAAACAAAGAAATTTATTTCAGGTCAGGTAAAAAGATAAATAGCACAGTTGTTGTATATAAAGGGTGGCTTTACCAGATTATACATGATCCTACATGTTTTGGTGGCTAAATGAAGACAGTTCCTATGGCAACAAAAACAAAATATTTTATCAGTCAACTTTATATATCTAATAAATAGCCCAAAGTAAACAATCTACATTAAAATTCAATGAAATTTAATTAATAGACAATTATTCATATATTCTTTAAATAAGAAGCATCTTTTATGCCAAACATTTTAAATGGACTAAAGAGATTTTTTTCTCATGCAGTGTATCTTAGTTATAAATCAGTTTACACTTTTCTCTCTAAGTGCACAAATTTATAGAGTCATATCTAATGAACTTTGTAACACAGAATATTATTTCTGCTAATCTCAAACTGATAAAATGCAGAGTAACAATATATATTGTATACATAAACATAATCCGCACCATCATAATAACCTCTCTTTCTCAGTCATAAAACTAAAAAAAAAAAATGCATAATGGAAAAAAGGGATGCTGCAATTTTTTTTTTTTTTAAAATTCAATATGACAACTAAAGAACACCACTACAATTCATACTTGTATTACTGCCAGCTGCGATTAAAGCCCAAGCAGAAACTAGTCCAAATAACAACATGCATTTTTTTGCTTAAAAGTCAAATCTCGTGTATATTAGAAAGTATATAAAAGAATTTATCAAAAATAATAGTGTGTTTGGCAAACAATCAAAATGTTACGCACCCTTTTCTGACCTGCGATACATTGCAGTATGTGTACTTCGATAATAACTGTACACAACCTTTTTTGGGTGAAAAGTACAAAACTGTCACTAATTTTTTAACGGTAGTTTTCTTTGGTAAAACTACAAAAATTGAACAACACAGTATCAGACACTTTACGGAAATAAAATAAGAATATGTCTATTAAGCAAAATACTACCAAATAGGTCAAATTTATACACTTTTGGAAAGTTTTAAAAGTTTCAAAATATACTACTTATCCTTACCTCACTCCTCCAGCCCATATGATGAAGTCTCGTTCATTGGCGTCTGCTGCGAGATTTGAGTATAAGTCCTCGTTCTGTTGTTTGTTTACTTTTAAGACATCAATCTGTTAGATTATTGATGTTTCAGAGCTCATGTAATCAACAGTTGCTAATTGTAGCTTGATAATATGCAAAACCATTTTTTGGGGCGAAACACTCTAAAAAATATTAGCCTTCACACAAGCGATCTCCTTGACAACAGTCCGCCATTTTTTGTAATCATAACATTTTCACGTTGTGCATCGAGCAGTGAGTGAATAACTGCAAAAATGTCGGACACCGAAGAACAGATGGGAGAAGAGGAGGAAGCAGTACGTGAAGGTGGTGATGAAGAAGAACAGTTAGGCGAGGAAGAAGAGAAATTAGGGGAAGAAGAGGAAAAACAAGAAGAAGAGGAGGAAGAGGTGATAAATATAAACTGATTAGATATGTTGGGTCCATATGTATGGAGTTAGTTTTATGCGCTCTCCCTCTCTCTCTCTCTCTCTCTTGCCATACACACACAGTGGTCATGCCAATTTTAATGTTTATTGTTTCCCAGTTTTGAGCATTTTTAACAATCATAAACAATCATACAAACCATGTTTTCAGAAAGTTCCTGAAAATCCACTGACAGAGGAAACAGTTGGGGAGTGTTTGTCTTTATTGTGTAAGACAGGTGATGGTCTAGCACACGCCTATGTCAGATTAGACATACATGATAGGTAATTATATTCATTTTATACAACAGGCATTAGGCATCAATATCTTTTTATCTCAAAGGAACCCATGTATATTTTGAGGTAATATTGAAATTTGGTTATATTTGATGGCTTGCCTTTAACATGTAAAAGTGTGCCATATGTGAATGCTACATTTTAAGTCTTATAGCTGAGTCAAGTATTCTTCGTGATATGTTAGATTTTCACTCTGCTGCTAATCAGTGAATCACTATCAAGGTGACATACCTTTCCTTCTTAATTTTTTTCTGAACCAAAATCTGAAGTCACTTTGGGTTATGAATCAGATAGTGTATGCCATCTGAGTATTTTTTCAGGTGGGCTCTTAGACATCAGATATAATTTTTAAGTGAGTATATTTGTTTTAGACATCATATACAAAGGAGGGTGTTGAAGTTACCCTTTACACTTTGAGATGAAGACTAAAATTTATGCGTAGGATTTAAAAAAATATATAGACATTTGATTGTTACTAAACTTATAATTAGACAGTTTCATCTTTTTTATTACAAATTTTGCCAAATGCACATATCCTTTTTTTTTGTAGAGAAATCACAGATATCAGCATACTAAAAGGTTTTATACACCTTCGATACATAGACTTGAGTGGAAATAAATTGAAGGATATCAGCTCTTTAAGTGTATTAACTCATTTATTGACATTGAAAGCAGACAATAATTTACTCACAACAGCAAAATTAGAAGAAATGCCTTTCTTACAAATTGCAAGCTTCAACAAAAATAAAATTAAAACTCTGGATGGAGTAAATCATCCCATGTTGGAGCATCTTAGTCTGAATGGTAAGATCTGTCAATTTTTTTTCATGTGAAGGGAAATAACTCTTTTATGTAATATTGATTTCAAGAGACAGTTCATGACTACAAAATTATTCCATAATCGTCTATATATTTACATTTCCAAATTAAAAAAATATGCCAAGAATATAGTCCTTTAGATATTTGATGCATGTTGGATCCCATTTTTACCAAAAAAAAAAATGCTATACAGTCATTATAAAATCAAGTTAGGCATTATGAGGATGATCAAATACATCAGAAATGCTGTTCCTTATAAAACCATAAAAGGTACAGTAAGAATTATTTAGAAAACGAATTGGCATTCTCTCATTCAAATAATTATTCTATCAAATTTTAATCTCTGATCAGTCAGCTCATCTTGAAAAAATCAGAGAAATTATGAGTTGCTGTATCGCCAAGCTTAGGCATCATTAGGAGCCTTCCTTTTTTGGTAAAAGAGCAAAATTTGTTGTGGTCTAATTGAAAACTAAAAATGATTTGGATGATTGTAGATAATGAGATCACTCAAGTATCAGGATTAGATCCAATCAAGCTTTCTCGTCTTCACACACTGGAGCTAAGAGGAAACAAGCTGGAAACCACAGATGGTGTTTATCTTCCCAACTTAAAGAATTTATTCCTGGTAAGTGAATTGATCCACAGTTGTGCAAATTTTTCAAATTCCTCCTCCATTTATTTTCCCTTCCATTTTTTGTAAACATATGGATGATAAAGTGACAACAATGTATTTTCTTATAAAGTTAAATATTAATGCTTCAAAAACTAATTTCTTCATCCATAGAATATTCAGTAGTCTAGAGTTCAATGCATTAATACATTTCTTAGTTAAGTTTAAGTAGATTGAGGTTTAGTTACAAGAAATTTATTATAATTGTAATTTTCCTCTGTAGGCGGCAAATACAATCAAGAAAGTGGAAGGATTAAACCGACTTCAGAGCCTGACCACTCTTCATCTGCGAGACAACCAGTTAGAATCTTTGGATGGATTTGTGGAGGATCTGAAAATGTTACAGTACATCAATTTCAGGTATACGTCTTTATTGCAGCTTTAATGGAGTAAAATTTGGGATTAATATTTGATTTGATGTGGTTATTGCTAACTTAAAAGTTAGCAAATGGAATTTAACCAGCAACTTTAAATATAGTGAAAATGGTGAAACAAATGTTTGCACCATTCAGATCAGCTGTGTTAGAGATCTACAGGACAGTGAATAGAGAGAATCATAACTAGTACCCACAATTTAATATTAAAGACCCCCCCTCCCCCCCCTTAAACAAAAAACAAGAACCTCATATGTACAAATATTTCTCTAATTAATCTCTGCAAAATTGTAGAACATGGAACATGGAGAACATTTATTATGGAGAGGGGTTTTTTTTTGGGGGGGGGGGGGGGGGTATTTTTTACTTGAATAGGGTTGGGGTTTTTTTTCATTTTAGATTTCTATTCTACACATACGAAAGCCTATTAGGATCAAACTACGGTAAAAAAAATTTAAAAGGCGTTATAACGCCTTTTCAAAAGGCGTTATAACGCGAAAAAAGGCGTAATAACGCCTTTTGAAAAGGCGTTATAACGCGGAAAAAGGCGTAATAACGCAAATAAAGGCGTAATTACGCCTTTCCAAAAGGCGTTATTACGCCTTTCAAAAAGGCGTTATAACGCCTTTCTAAAAGGCGTTATTACGCCTTTCCAAAAGGCGTTATTACGCCTTTCCAAAAGGCGTTATTACGCCTTTTAAAAAGGCGTTATAACGCCTTTCAAAAAGGCGTTATTACGCCTTTCAAAAAGGCGTTATTACGCCTTTTCAAAAGGCGTTATTACGCCTTTTTAAAAGGTATTAATACGCCTTTCAAAAAGGCGTTATTATGCCTTTTGAAGGGCCATTATTATGTCTTTGACAGGCCCGTGCTTTTAAAGTGGGGGGGGGGGGTCCCATAAAATTGACAAGCAAACAAAAAAACAAGACCCCCCCCCCCCCCCGAAAAAAATAAACTGCTTAAACTTGAAGGGAAACTTTTTCTAATTTTTCGGTAAAACTTTTTTTAAATGCAATGACTTGCCCGAGTATAACCATACTGCAACAAAATGTTAAGGAACCAAGCAATCAATTAATGATTTTTTATATTTAAACTATAGCAAGACTATTCTCCCAAAAAGTGGGGTGGGGGAGTCATTCGTACTACCGGCCTGTTTGAAAAGGAGTTGTATCCAAAAATTGAAAGGCGTTATTTTTAAAAAGTAAATATATGAAAGATTGCACCAAAGCCATCTTTATTTATGCAATATTTAGATTATAGTTTTAATATTATAAATTATATTATAAATTATAGCATTTTCTATATTCCTGCACATCTCGCAGACAGTTGTTTGCATTTTGCATGCGTATTAAGAGAAGTCAACACTCTACTTTTGAAAATCCAGGATATAGGCAGAACCAGCTTTGGGCCCTGCTAGCCACGTATTAAAAATTCATGTCAAATTTGAAATATTTTTCTCTCCTCTTGGTAAAAAACAGGCAAAGTATTTGCATAGGTATAATGAGCAATTAGCCTTCAATAAAATTTCTGAAATCCATACACCTTGGTAGAAGCGTCTGGCATCAGAGAAGGACTAAGTTGGTTTAATAACGCCTTTTAGAAAGGCGTAATAACGCCTTTTGGAAAGGCATAATAACGCCTTTTAGAAAGGCATAATAACGCCTTTTGGAAAGGCGTAATAACGCCTTTTGGAAAGGCGTTATAACGCCTTTTGGAAAGGCGTAATAACGCCTTTTGGAAAGGCGTAATAACGCCTTTTTTCGCGTAATAACGCCTTTTGGAAAGGCGTAATTACGCCTTTTTCCGCGTTATAACGCCTTTTGAAAAGGCGTTATTACGCCTTTTTTCGCGTTATAACGCCTTTTGGAAAGGCGTTATAACGCCTTTTAATTTTTTTTTAACCGTAGTTTGATCCTAATAGGCTTTCGTATACACATAAAAATATGTTTTTTAAATAATTTGTTTTTATTTCAGAGGAAACAATATAACTTCTTTGAAGGAATTACAGAAACTCCAAGCTCTACCAATGTTGAGAGCCCTGGTATTATCAGGTAAAATTCAAGTGAAAAATTTCTGTCTATTAATGAAACATTCTACTTATATTTTCAAATACACTGTGAAAGATTAACAGCTTTGTGTACATGTATCCCTTTTGTTTAAGCAATTACAACAAAACTAGTGTGAACAGTGAAGCTGAAATCAGCATCTCCAATGTTTTGTATGTGGATATAATTTTTTTGAGGTGAAATCAAGCTTCAATTTATTTAAGTAGACATCACTTTTTTTCTTACCCCCCCCCCCCCCCCCTGGATTTTTTTATTTCTGAAGAAAAGGGTTTTTTAGTTAAGTTAGAATTATCTGCTCTTATTGTTTTAGATAAATTCATCAGAGATTTAATCATGGGAATGGTTTGATCTAGGTAGTAGAAAAAGTCCTCCAAACATTCCAAAAGTCTGCCTTGTTCACAATGAAACAATGATAATTTGTCCATAATGATCAATGAGTATTCATGTATTCATGTCTTGAGATAAAGATCAAATTGGATCAGTTACTAGAGAATTCATAATTTTATTCTCTCTATTTTTCTAACTTGATGATCTTTTTGATCTGTAATATTTTAGTGTGTTGCCCATCAAATTTATATATTAGACAGATATCAATGTTGAACATTTCTAAATATAATGTACTGTAAGATCACATATTTTCATGACGTCAAATTTTCATGGTTTGAGGAAAAATATTAGTTCATGAGATTAGATTTCATGGTTGAAGACGTGTTTGGTTGGTACTTGGTAGGCATTTGAAATTTTACATTTCATGGAGGACATGAATTCATGGGTCTCTTCAGATCACGAAAACAACAAAAATTAAACCCCCATGAAAATTAGTGATTTCACAGTATTCTTGATATTTAACTTTAAGACCAGCTTCTTTTCATGATACATTTTTGTCTCAAAGAATTAGTGTACATACTGTATGTGTACTTAAAAAAGCAGGCTTCATATTTTAGCAGCTTTGGTGCAGACAATGATGCGCTAATTCATAAATACCGCTAAGAAATCATTTATAAATACAATATACGGCACTAACATGTATAGCGCTAATTCATTATTTTGCCAACAACTCCATACCAAGTGATTGCGCTAAATTTTGAATATGCCAATTTATGTACGCGTACAGTATTTTATTCATATAGAAATTAGTTGTCTTTGTAAGCACAGTGCCTAAATAAGGTTAAAAAAAATCTGCATAGGAAAGTAAGCATATATTCATGCATAATGGCAGATATGCCAATGCTTTTACTGATTTTTTGTACACCCTAGGAAAAGAATTGATTACTGTAAAAATTTGTTTAGAAAATTGAGCTAACATTTAATCGAGTCTCTTCTGTAACCAATAGAGAACCCTGCTGCTGAGGAGGAGGACTATAGGCTGGAGGTGCTGATCACACTGAGGAAGCTAGAGAGGCTGGACAAGGAGGAGTATAATGATGAGGAGCGTGAGGAGGCTGAACAGATTTACGAACAGCGAAGGCAGGAGGAGCTGGCAGCTGAGGTAGGAATAGCAGACAAACTGATCAGGTTAACTGAATAGGTCAAACAAATCAGATCTATCACAATAGTCAAACAGAGCAATCAGATCCATCACAATAGTCAGAGAGAGCAGTCAGATCTGCCACAAAAGTCAGACAGAGTAAGCTGATCCCCCACAATAGTCAGACAGAGCAATCAGATCTACCATAATATTTAGTAATCAGATCCACCACAATACTCAGACAATGCAATCAGATCCACCACAATACAAGTAGTCACACAGAGTTATCTGATCTACCACAATAGTCAGACAAAGCAGCCAGATCTACCACAATAGTCAGACAGAGTAGTCAGATCTACCACAATAGTCAGAGTAATCTGATCCACCACAAAAGTCAGACAGAGCAGTCAGATCTACCACAATAGTCAGACAGAGTAATCTGATCCACCACGATAGTCAGACAATGCAATCAGATCTACTACAATAGTCAGATAGAGCAGTCAGATCTACCACAAAAGTCAGACAGAGTAATCCAATCCACCACAATAGTCAGACAGAGCAATCAGATCTACCACAATAGCCAGACAGATTAATCTGATCCACCACAATATCAGACAGATTAATCTGATCCACCACAATAGTCAGACAGAGTAATAAGATCGACAACAATAGTCAGACAATGCAACCAGATCCACCACAATAGTCAGACAGAGCAATCAGATGTACCACACTAGTCAAACAGAGCAATCAGATCCATCATAATAGTCAGACAAAGCAATCAACTCCACCACACAAGTCAAACTAAGTAATCAGATCTACTACATAAGTCAAACAAAGCAATCAGTTATACAACATAAGTCAAACAGAACATTTTTATCAACCACACAAGTCAAACAGATTTTAACTAGATCCACCACAATAGTTTACAGAGCAATTAGTCACACCACAATAGTCAAAGAGAGCAATCAGGTTAACCACAAATGATCAAATCCAACACAGAAATAGAATACATGACACATTTTTCCCTGTCTGAATTACTGTTCTACATATGTAGTTATTTTTGTATGTTTGAATTACAGAACACAGCTGAAGGAGAGCAAGGTGATTTAATGTAGATGTTATATGTATATGTAACTTAGACTTTTAGATCTGGTGTACTCTGGTGATGGGTATATTGTATTTATACATCATCATGTAGATAGAATAAATGTATATGATGTGTATATAGAACTATATTCTCATTTGGCTTCTGTGCTTTGACCATGCTTACATGTATATTTTTATTCTGCTTCAAAATCATACTGCTTGCTTGTCATGTCTTGTATTTTTTTTTTCCATTTCATACTCTTTGTAATTCTTTCTGAATGAAAAATTATGAAATATCATTTCTATAAGTAATTATTATTTTAGTACGCAAATTAAGATAATATTTTTTTTAGCTATGCAGCTAGATATAAATTTATTTTTTCATGGTCTCACACTAAACCATATCATATCACCATACCATATCAAAAGAAAAGCTTCTATTACCAGCACTAAAAAATGAATGGGAACAATCATAAATGATATTTATAGAATGAGCCTATTTCTATGATTAGGGGACTTAAGTAAAAGTACGATAAAAGGTAAAACATTACTTTCTAATGTTTTAGTTTATGTTTACATACATGTATTTATTTCCTTTAAAAAAAGGAAAAATGGTTTGTAATAGAAGAGAGAATGTTTTCTGATTAATAATATAGGTCATGTACATGTACCTTGGGCTCTTCTAGAGGTTACAGTTTCAGATTTGCAGATTTATAATGTTTGCATTGAACTGCACTGTAAGGATACCTGTAATTTATTTTTTTTTATCAGATGAGTTTATACTGAAATTTCTTGGATTAGCTTATACAGAAATCTCTTGGATTAGCTTATACTGAAATCTCTTGGTTGAGCTTATACTGAAATTGGATAAATGTTTGTTTTCTACTACAAGAACATTTTTATTAATATTATGCTGAAATCTTTACTTAAGTTTGTATATATATCTATTGTAGAATGAAGAGGGATCAGAAGAAGATGATTAATGATCATGGAGTCCGTGAAAAAAAGAAAACATTCTGAAAAAAAAAAAAACTGACAACTGATTCGTTCCTTCAAAGTGTTTTGGGAGAATCGATTGGAAGATTACAAATATTCTGTGATACTATTTCTTACTATTATCTAATTTTTGGTAATAAATTATGTATTATTTTATGTAAATACAACTTGACATTTATGAGAGAAGTAAATTATTTTACTTTTATGGTGTATGACTGGTTAAGAGGTCACATTTTTTGGAAATTATCTGGAAAGAATTATAATTAGTGATTGCAAGTTTTTAAGCACCTTTTGAAGGACAAATGTGAAGAACATTTTATTTAAATAACCATATGCTTTCATAGCTTTTTCATAATTCTTGCTTATCTCTATTGTTTTCAGATCCACAAAAATACATTTGTTTTAGATATTACAGATTAAATATAAAATTGGCATAAGATTTGATCACAAAATGTTTATTAGTGATTATCAGAAAATTTCATAGACAACTGCCCACAGTGCCAGTTTGGTTAAAATGTTCTGCCCTGTTATGGGATACAAGAAGTTGAATGCATAATTCCATTGAGAAATTATGGAGATTTAGTATTATTTTTCTTAGAAGGAAGGAGTTGATTAAATATTTTTATGTTTTAACTAGAAAGTAAATCCATTCTTTTTATAGGATTTGATCCTACAAGAATCCTGAACCATTAGAAGTTTGCATTCAATTTCTTGTCCCATGCCGAGGTTGTAGAACAGGTGTTTTGGGTGCTGAAAGTGACATAAATTTTATGTATATAGACTGTATATTAGGTAATAAGATCTTCCAGCAAATTTTTCATTAAGAAAAAAAAAAGAAACTAATTCTATTTAATCAAACCTGTTGGCGTGATGAAACCAAAAATGCAGTTAGGGATTCTCCATGTCACATACATGTAGGTACATTTCCAGATGAGTGGTCCAGTAGATGTTTTCGAAGCAAGTCAATTCCCAGGTAAATTATAAGTCCTGTCTAAGGTAATCTTTTATAGGTGTTGCATCTTATACAATTACATGTACTCTCTGAAAGGGGTCCATTTGCAAGTGCTTACAAGTTCAACAATGACGTTTAAACCCACACAGATTACAATTGCAAGGCATCTCTCTCTCTCTCTCTCTCTCTCTACATATACCGGGTAGTAAGAAGAAATGGGTGACGGTATTCAATCAAGAAATTAACCGTAGCAAAGCGTCTTTTTATTTAATGAAATATGATACATTATTGATTAAACTTTCTTTTTTTCAAAATTGTAAGAAAAATTTAGTATCTTGAGCAGATCAACCTTGGTTTATATTTTTAAACCATGAAATTTTAATAACAATTTACAATACCGAGGTGAAGAAATCAATGGATGATTTTTTTTTCGTTATGGAACAAAACAATGGTTTTTATCCAGAATTTTACAACCCAATCCGATTCTGATCAACTTTTGGGACTCTATCTACATATATATGTACCTCATTTCCATTGTTTTGACAAGTATATAATAATCATATTTAGGTATCGGGCGAAAAGTTATACAGTATGAAAACAGATTTTTTTAAAAATAGAATTTGATGACTTGATAGTTTTTTGTATTATATACCCAACTGTTTGTCACTCAGTTTTACTGTTGAATTCACACAATCACGTGACGGTGTGATCCGACGTTCCGGATCACCACACTGTGGTTGTCTGAATCCATATCACCCCTCTCTGAAACTGATGACGTAGTACACAGATAAATGACGTTTTTATTCTCGCGCATCAAAAAGTTCCTTGACATAATGGTTTGTTTAATGGATAAAAGTTATGTAATTGATCCAAAAAGTTTCCTTTTATTTTACTTTGCTAGTTGTAAAAGGGTATATAATAAATTTATCATTATAACAGTAACTTGATCCGAAGAGCCGTATCACGTCGAGTTGACAGGCGCGGATCATCAGATCAAACGAGACGCGAAGCGTCGAGTTTGATCTGATGATCTGCGCCTGTCAACTCGACGTGATACGGCTCTTCGGATCAAGTTACCGTTATAATAATATATATATATATCGTTGATCCACAGGAATTTATCAGATACTAAGTATTAGAATAACCATACAAAATCTAAATAAGTGCAAATTATATATCAAGCAATATACAATGACCCAGACAATGTATTAGATAAGACAATACGATAACTATTAACTGTACATCACAGAACAAGCTGTCCTCTCAATCATGAAGCGTATTTTATGTCTGATCTTCTTATTTTCAACAATTTGTAAGTATAGATCTGTTCTTTTAAATACAAAATGTCAAACAATAAAACAAATTAGATATTTAACAAGATCTCTTAATTTTTCATAGACAATTTCAAAAGAATATCGCCCTGTTTTCCAGAATTTTGTGAATGGTAAGAAAGGCAGCAGATGACAGCGATTACACAAAAGTTATTGAAACATCTATAAAGCAAAGGAATTCAATATTCGTAAAAGCATTTTTTTGTGTAAAGGTCATTTGGTTGGGCTGTAGTTTATGGGACAGAACAAAGAATATTTAACAGCTACAATGAACTTAAGAAGGCGTACAAGGCTATTCTGACCTTGACCTTTGACAGAAGACTTTAATTTAGGTGAGCACATAAACTGCACAAGCAAGAATAGTATCCATTTATTTGTGACATGATAGGACATTTTTTATCAGCAGGTTTAAGTGCTTTGAATAAAGTTTTTTTTCAACATTTTTTTTTCGAAACCACAATTTTAAGTTGAAAAACTACAACAGTTTTAATCTTTTCAAGATGACCTTGAAAAAACAAAAACGCAGTTCATACATCGGCTTTCAGGCCGTACAAGTATGCATTTTTATTTGTGGCTCTGGAGATATGGGGCGGATATATCTTTTTTTTTTAACTGCAAGGCTAGAATGACACGTTCACTTGAGACAATGTATGTGCAATTATATGTAAAATTCGAATTTCAAACTATTTAATGAACAGATTTGTGCAAATGCACACATCATATGTAACAATTACAATTCTCACTTTTATTATTCCGACCATTTATTTATTGACCAGACTGTGCCCCTCTGGACACCCACCATTGTAGCTTGATTTGTCCCTTCATCTACTTGCCAATCTGCGGATCCAATGGAAGAACCTACGGCAACGAGTGTGAAATGAATGTGGAAAACTGCCTGTAAGTCTGCCCAGTACGATAACCTTTTTGTTCTCAGAGATCTGCTGGTCGAAGTTCAGGGTTCATGCATTGGTATAGTTCTCGAAGTCTGAATAGTACAAAGATGATTTCTTCTGTTTTTATATTTTAAAAATCCTTTAAATGCTTTTAAATCAAAAATCTTTTAAAATGCTATAAAATTTAGTATGAGGACAACGTTAATGAAAGGGACATTTGTGAGACCACATATATATTTCAGGTTCGAATTAGAAACACTGGAATACTAGCAAAACTTTCTATTTTAGAATCTGTTCTCTTCAATGTCATTAACACCTATTATAATTTACTACGTTCTTTTAACAGAAGCAAAACCAATGTCCACAGGGTCAGCCAAGGCCCCTGCCCAAGCTCTACCACAGACAACTCGGCGCAGCAGCTGGGCTAGAAATGTATTCTGACTAAAAACTCATATTAAAAAATTCAAATTCTGATTATATTTAATGTAAAAAAAAAAAATTAATAATTTTAATGATGAATTGACCGGTCATCAGGGGATGCTTACTCCTCAATGGCACCTGATCCCCCCTCTGATGTTTTAGAGGTCCGTGTTTGCTCTGCTCCCATTTTGTATTGTTCCAATGGACTTTTGAGCTTGATTATGTTCGTTATCTTCATATTTCATTGGTAAATGACCCAGCATAAATAACACAGAGAAATGACCAAACAAAGATTACACGAAAATATTAGAGGTTATATATTAATCCACTGATTTGCGAAATATACCAAATTAGATTTCAAGGAAAGATTGCAGATTCCTGTAATTAAGGACTGACAAATTTAAAATAGTAAACTGTTGCCAGCGAAGAAGGTAGACAGTTGCTTATGGTCAATGCACATAAGTTAGAGTTCATATGGTATCCATTTAGACCACATAGAATCCTCCCTCAGTTAAATGGTCTAAATCTTAGGAATGGAAATTAATGGAAGCGAATGACCAATAAAATAGACCAGAGCTCGTACGTTTATTATCGTGTTAGATTACATCCAAACCAGATCTAGATTGAAATCTGGATTCGTGAATCTTCCCCGTAAAAGGCAATTCATTGGTTTTATAATTGACGACACAATGCATATAAGCTATTTATGTTTGTTATATTCTTGAAGAGAATGACTTTATTCTCGATAGAATTTAAATTTGATTCAGTTCCTCATTCAAGATGGTCATAATATCTTCCAGGAAACACGCCCATGGGAAAAAAACAAATCTTTTATTATTCTTGAATCCAATTGAAGTCTTTAAGTTTTATGCAGATGAATTCACGGTTTCCTTGTAATCAAATGCAAAATCTGAGTCCAATGAGATTAACCAAGAGGGTACATATAGCTTGAAACAAGAAGGTATGATAACGATTTTTCAAAGTCCTTGGAAATTCAAAATGTTATTTTCGGCCATTGCTTTCAAAAGGGCCGGTAACATACTGTACTTGAGAGAGCAACTAGATCGTTGGAGTAAGAGTAAATGAGAGCAACTAGATCGTGGAAGTAAGAGTAAACAAGCATTCTGAGAGTATTGCATTAGCAATACTAGTCCCCTACCGGCAAGTGTAATCTGGTTCCGTTCCCGTTAAGAATTGAAAATGCCATAATTCCGTCAAAAATTAATGAAGCGGGACGAAATGCAAACTTGATCTATAACTAATCAAGGTAAAGTCACATACCAAAAATCAGCTCAATATCTACAAGCGTTTAGAAGAAAATTGTGGAAAACCCGTAAAAATTGAAAAGGTCGTAATTCCGTCAAAAATCAATGAAGCGGAACGAAATGCAAACTTGATCTGTAACTCATCAAGATACACTCACATACCGAAAATCAGCTCAATATCTGCAAGCGTTTAGGAAAAAAGTGCGGAAAACCAAGTGGGACAGACTGACAGACAGACAGAGGGACAGACAGACAGACAGACGGACAGACAGACAGACGGACGGACAGACTCAGAGGAAACCTATAGTCCCCTCCGGTTTCACCGGTAGGGGACTAATAAGAGCAACTAGATCGTGGAAGTAAGAGTAAATAAGAGCAACTAGATCGTGGGAGTAAGAGTAAATAAGAGCAACTAGATCGTGGAAGTAAGAGTAAACAAGCATTCTGAGAGTATTGCATGAGCAATACTAGTCCCCTACCGGCAAGTGTAATCTGGTTCTGTTCCCGTTAAGAATTGAAAATGCCATAATTCTTCAAAAATTAATGAAGCGGGACGAAATGCAAACTTGATCTGTAACTAATCAAGGTAAAGCCACATACCAAAAATCAGCTCAATATCTACAAGCGTTTAGAAGAAAATTGCGGAAAACCCGTAAAAATTGAAAAGGCCGTAATTCCGTCAAAAATCAATGAAGCGGAACGAAATGCAAACTTGATCTGTAACTCATCAAGATACACTCACATACCAAAAATCAGCTCAATATCTGCAAGCGTTTAGGAAAAAAGTGCGGAAAACCAAGTGGGACTGACTGACAGACAGACAGAGGGACAGACAGACAGACAGACAGAGGGACAGACAGACAGACAGACGGACGGACAGACGGACGGACAGACTCAGAGGAAACCTATAGTCCCCTCCGGTTTCACCGGTAGGGGACTAATAAGAGCAACTTGATCGTGGGAGTAAGAGTAAATAAGAGCAACTAGATCGTTGGAGTAAGAGTAAATGAGAGCAACTAGATCGTGGGAGTATGAGTAAATAAGAGCAACTAGATCGTTGGAGTAAGAGTAAATGAGAGCAACTAGATCGTGGGAGTATGAGTAAATAAGAGCAACTAGATCGTTGGAGTAAGAGTAAATGAGAGCAACTAGATCGTGGGAGTAAGAGTAAATGAGAGCAACAAGATCGTGGAAGTAAGAGTAAATAAAACAACCTGATCGTGGAAGTAAGTAAGAACAACTAGATCGTTGGAGTAAGTAAGAACAACCAGATTGTTGAAGTAAGAGTAAACAAGCATTCTGAGAGTATTGCATTAGCAATACTAGTCCCCTACCGGCAAGTGTAATCTGGTTCCCGTTAAGAATTCAAAATGCCATAATTCAGTCAAAAATCAATGAAGCAAAATGAAATGCAAACTTGATCTATAACTAATCAAGGTAAAGTTACATTCCAAAAAATCAGCTCAATATCTGAAAGCGTTTAGAAGAAAATTGCGGAAAACCCCTAAAAATTGAAAAGGCCGTAATTCCTTCAAAAATCAATGAAGCAGAACGAAATGCAAACTTGATCTGTAACTCATCAAGATACACTCACATACCAAAAATCAGCTCAATATCTGCAAGCGTTTAGGAAAAAAGTGCGGAAAACCAAGTGGGACAGACTGACAGACAGACAGAGGGACAGACAGACAGAGGGACAGACAGACAGACGGACAGACTCAGAGGAAACCTATAGTCCCCTCCGGTTTCACCGGTAGGGGACTAATAAGAACAACTAGATCATGGAAGTAAGAGTAAAAAAGAACAACTAGATCGTGGGAGTAAGAGTAAATAAGAACAACTTCATCGTGGGATTTAGAGTAAATGAGAGCAACCAGATCGTGGAAGTAAAAGTAAAAAAGAACAACTAGATCGTGGAAGTAAGAGTAAAAAAAGAAAAACCAGATCGTGGGACTAAGAGTAAGTAAGAACAACCAGATCGTGGGAGTAAGAGTAAATAAGAACAACTAGATCGGGGGAGTAAGAGTAAATAAGAACAACCAGATCGTGGGAGTAAGAGTAAATAAGAACAACTAGATCGGGGGAGTAAGAGTAAATAAGAACAATCAGATCGTGGGAGTAAGAGTAAATAAGAACAACTAGATCGTGGGAGTAAGAGTAAATAAGAACAACTAGATCGTGGGAGTAAGAGTAAATAAGAACAACTACATCGTGGGAGTAAGAGTAAATAAGAACAACCAGATCGTGGGAGTAAGAGTAAATAAGAACAACTAGATCGGGGGAGTAAGAGTAAATAAGAACAACCAGATCGTGGGAGTAAGAGTAAATAAGAACAACTAGATCGGGGGAGTAAGAGTAAATAAGAACAATCAGATCGTGGGAGTAAGAGTAAATAAGAACAACTAGATCGTGGGAGTAAGAGTAAATAAGAACAACTAGATCGTGGGAGTAAGAGTAAATAAGAACAACTACATCGTGGGAGTAAGAGTAAATAAGAACAACTAGATCGTGGGAGTGAGAGTAAATAAGAGCAACGAGATCTTGAAAGTAAGAGTAAACAAGCATTCTGAGAGTATTGCATTAGCAATACTAGTCCCCTACCGGCAAGTGTAATCTGGTTCCGTTCCCGTTAAGAATTGAAAATGCCATAATTCCGTCAGAAATTAATGAAGCAGGACGAAATGCAAACTTGATCTATAACTAATCAAGGTAAAGCCACATACCAAAAATCAGCTCAATTTCTACAAGCGTTTAGAAGAAAATTGCGGAAAACCCCTAAAAATTGAAAAGGCCGTAATTCCGTCAAAAATTAATGAAGCGAACGAAAGCGTTTAGGAAAAAAGTGCGGAAAACCAAGTGGGACAGACAGACAGACAGAGGAAACCTATAGTCCCCTCCGGTTTCACCGGTAGGGGACTTATAAGAGCAACTAGAATGTCGGAGTTAGAGTAAATAAGAACAACTACATCGTGGGAGTAAGAGTAAGTAAGAACAACCGGATCGTGGGAGTAAGAGTAAATAAGAACAACTTGATCTTGGAAGTAAGAGTTAACAAGCATTCTGAGAGTATTGCATTAGAAATACTAGTCCCCTACCGGCAAGTGTAATCTGGTTCCCGTTAAGAATTGAAAATGCCATAATTCCGTCAAAAAATAATGAAGCGGGACGAAATGCAAACTTGATCTATAACTAATCAAGGTTAAGCCACATACCAAAAATCAGCTCAATATCTACAAGCATTTAGAAGAAAATTGCGGAAAACCCTTAAAAATTGAAAAGGCCGTATTTCCGTCAAAAATCAATGAAGCGGAATGAAATGCTAACTTGATTTGTAACTTATCAAGAAACACTCACGTACGAAAAATCAGCTCAATATCTGCAAGCGTTTAAGGAAAAAGTGCGGAAAACCAAGTGGGACAGACTGACAGACAAACAGAGGGACAGACAGACAGACGGACAGACAGACAGACAGACGGACAGACAGACAGACTGACAGACGGACGGACAGACTCAGAGGAAACCTATAGTCCCCTCCTGTTTCACCGGTAGGGGACTAATAAGAACAACCAGATCGTGGAATTAAGAGTAAATAAGAACAACTACATCGTGGGAGTAAGAGTAAGTAAGAACAACCAGATCGTGGAAGTAAGAGTAAACAAGCATTCTGAGAGTATTGCATTAGCAATACTAGTCCCCTACCGGCAAGTGTAATCTGGTTCCCGTTAGAATTGAAAATGCCATAATTCCGTCAAGAATTAATGAAGCGGGACGAAATGCAAACTTGATCTTTAACTGATCAAGGTAAAGCCACATACCAGAAATCAGCTCAATATCTACAAGCGTTTAGAAGAAAATTGCGGAAAACCCTCAAAAATTGAAAAGGCCGTATTTCCGTCAAAAATCAATGAAGCGGAATGAAATGCTAACTTGATTTGTAACTTATCAAGAAACACTCACGTACGAAAAATCAGCTCAATATCTGCAAGCGTTTAAGGAAAAAGTGCGGAAAACCAAGTGGGACAGACTGACAGACAAACAGAGGGACAGACAGACAGACGGACAGACAGACAGACAGACGGACAGACAGACAGACTGACAGACGGACGGACAGACTCAGAGGAAACCTATAGTCCCCTCCTGTTTCACCGGTAGGGGACTAATAAGAACAACCAGATCGTGGAATTAAGAGTAAATAAGAACAACTACATCGTGGGAGTAAGAGTAAGTAAGAACAACCAGATCGTGGAAGTAAGAGTAAACAAGCATTCTGAGAGTATTGCATTAGCAATACTAGTCCCCTACCGGCAAGTGTAATCTGGTTCCCGTTAGAATTGAAAATGCCATAATTCCGTCAAGAATTAATGAAGCGGGACGAAATGCAAACTTGATCTTTAACTGATCAAGGTAAAGCCACATACCAGAAATCAGCTCAATATCTACAAGCGTTTAGAAGAAAATTGCGGAAAACCCCTAAAAATTGAAAAGGCCGTAATTCCTTCAAAAATCAATGAAGCGGAACGAAATGCAAACTTGATCTGTAACTCATCAAGGTACACTCACATACCAAAAATCAGCTCAATATCTGCAAGCGTTTAGGAAAAAAGTGCGGAAAACCAAGTGGGACAGACTGACAGACAGACAGACAGACAGACGGACAGACAGACAGACAGACGGACGGACAGACTCAGAGGAAACCTATAGTCCCCTCCGGTTTTACCGGTAGGGGACTAATAAGAACAACTTGATCGTGGAAGTAAGAGTAAATAAGAACAACTAGATCGTGGGAGTAAGAGTAAATAAGAACAACTTCATCGTGGGATTTAGAGTAAATGAGAACAACTAGATCGTGGGAGTAAGCATTCTGAGAGTATTGCATTAGCAATACTAGTCCCATACCGGCAAGTGTAATCTGGTTCCGTTCCCGTTAAGAATTGAAAATGCCATAATTCCGTCAAGAATTAATGAAGCGGGACGAAATGCAAACTTGATCTTTAACTGATCAAGGTAAAGCCACATACCAGAAATCAGCTCAATATCTACAAGCGTTTAGAAGAAAATTGCGGAAAACCCCTAAAAATTGAAAAGGTCGTAATTCCGTCAAAAATCAATGAAGCGGAACGAAATGCAAACTTGATCTGTAACTCATCACGATACACTCACATAACAAAAATCAGCTCAATATCTGCAGGCGTTTAGGAAAAAAATGCGGAAAACCAAGTGGGACAGACTGACAGACAGACAGAGGGACAGACAGACAGACGGACGGACAGACTCAGAGGAAACCTATAGTCCCCTCCGGTTTCACCGGTATGGGACTAATAAGAGCAACTTGATCGTGGGAGTAAGAGTAAATAAGAGCAACTTGATCGTGGGAGTAAGAGTAAATAAGAACAACTAGATCGTGGGAGTAAGAGTAAATGAGAACAACCAGATAGTGGGAGTAAGAGTAAATAAGAGCAACTAGATCGTTGGAGTAAGAGTAAATAAGAGCAACTTGATCGTGGGAGTAAGAGTAAATAAGAGCAACTAGATCGTGGGAGTAAGAGTAAATAAGAGCAACTTGATCGTGGGAGTAAGAGTAAATAAGAGCAACTAGATAGTGGGAGTAAGAGTAAATAAGAGCAACTTGATCGTGGGAGTAAGAGTAAATAAGAACAGCTAGATCGTGGGAGTAAGAGTAAATAAGAACAACTAGATCGTGGAAGTAAGAGTAAATAAGAACAACTAGATCGTGGAAGTAAGAGTAAATAAGAACAACTAGATCGTGGGAGTAAGAGTAAATAAGAACAACTAGATCGTGGAAGTAAGAGTAAATAAGAACAACTAGATCGTGGGAGTAAGAGTAAATAAGAGCAACTAGATCGTGGAAGTAAGAGTAAATAAGAACAACCAGATCGTGGGAGTAAGAGTAAATAAGAACAACTAGATCGTGGGAGTAAGAGTAAATAAGAACAACCAGATCGTGGGAGTAAGAGTAAATAAGAACAACCAGATAGTGGGAGTAAGAGTAAATAAGAACAACTAGATCGTGGGAGTAAGAGTAAATAAGAACAACCAGATCGTGGGAGTAAGAGTAAATAAGAACAACTAGATCGTGGGAGTAAGAGTAAATAAGAAAACTAGATCGTGGGAGTAAGAGTAAATAAGAATAACCAGATCGTGGAAGTAAGAGTAAATAAGAACAACTAGATCGTGGGAGTAAGAGTAAATAAGAACAACCAGATCGTGGGAGTAAGAGTAAATAAGAACAACCAGATCGTGGGAGTAAGAGTAAATAAGAACAACTAGATCGTGGGAGTAAGAGTTAAATAAGAACAACTAGATCGTGGAAGTAAGAGTAAATAAGAACAACCAGATCGTGGATGTTAAGAGTAAAAAATTAATTATTAAAAAAAAAATACTCCATAAGAGTATGATCAATTCATGGATGTTAAGATTCCATTAAGAGAACCAAATTCAGAAATTATTAAAAGTACAGCTAGAGTGGTAAGATCGACCTTGTCGTGGAAATTAATGGGCCAGATGGATATACACATCATATACTTATGTTTCAATCAATGGATAGGATGAATGATTTTACATAAATATAAATTCACATAAATACAATAGTTTATTGAAATCCAGTACACAAGATATCATACCTTCGTCAATAAATGTGGCAGTAATCTGTATAATGAAATAGATGAGTCAGTAAGTCCATGTTCATAAAAGCACTAAAAGATTCTGTTTTGCTCCCTCACATTGTCAAATATTTATATTAAAGAAAGCAATGCTTATTCATTTGACATTAATCAAGGTTTTTTTTTTAATTCATTATATGCAGTTCTAGAAAATTTATTTTTATATGATAAACTAACAGCTGTCCCATTCCCAGACTGTAGAAACGTGCGATTCATTTTATCGTGGGGATTATTGTAAGAAATGAAGTCTGCCTTGTGTTTTGTCTTATGCTTCCTTTTCGTATGTAAGTATGATTAGAAAGATGTGACAAGAATGGGTCGGGGGGAGCATGGATCGAGGGTGAGGGGAAGGTCTATTGCTTCAAACATACTGTAATTATATATAAACAATTATACAGTACGTAGAGAATTTTAACAGACTGTTCACCAAAAGAGCGGGAAGCCCACTGTAACCAAATCTGTCCCAGGATCTATCGGCCCATTTGTGGATCTGATGGACACACGTATGTGAATGACTGCCTCCTGAGAGTACACAATTGCCTGTAAGTCCTGGCTGGAAGACTGCATTCATGAACTTACGTGTATTTCATTATCTTTCTCGATCCCCATCTGCAATGCAGAACTTACATGTACAAATATAGTCACTATTAGAAATGGAAAACAACTAGTGTGCATATATGAGAACTTAAATGAGTAAAAAGAAAATCTAATTTAATCATAAAATGGTACTTTACACAAAGATAATAAAGAGGTGCCATCTGCACATAGGTATCATCATGTAGATCCCTCTGATATGTGTAAACAGTTCATAATAACAATGTGTTTTAAACCCTTTTGTTGAGAGATTTTCATTCTTTTTGTCTTGCAGGAATGACGAAAGCGTGGTAATTGCGTACGATGGACCGTGTGTCGTCCCCAGCAGCACTGTCCCGCCAGACATGAGCGTCGGATAAATGTTTTGAAAAATTCTGTGTGATATTATAACACTGTTGCAATAAAGCTAGCCAGCAACATTTGTTCAGTCAGCTATTTTTTTTTCTTTGCATAACCAATATCAAAGGTGGCACGAAGGTCGGGATTTGTGGCCCTCATGTTTGGCAAACATCGAATCAGATTTACAATCAATTTTAACCAGTTAACCATTTCATTTATACATTATGGTATATCTGTACGACATTTAGGTTTACCTGATTCTCTTCTCTGTTAGTTAGTTCGTCTATGCATTACTTCGCCCACAAATGCTGTAAGGACTGTAACATATATAGTCTAAATTTTATACTTCAGATTTGTTTGTTTGCTTTTTCAACGTCCCTTCGAGGATTTTTCACTCATATTGAGATGCCACCACTTGCCGGTGGAGGGCTGAAAATTTAGACCTGTACTTGGCACTTAACGGCATTTGAGCAGTGAGGGGTCTTATTAAGTGCAAAAAAAAACTCAACAGAAGTAGTCTTGATAAAGAACATATCTATCATTAGTTTGCGGGGAAAGATATATATTTTGATCACTTTTTCGTAATCATTTGGGTAAGTTCTTCATCATATTAAGGATTGAAAACAATGTAACAAAGACTTCTACCTTAATTCAGGGTCATATGTTACATATGAAGATTATCAAAGCAGTGAAGCACCATACTTCGCGAGGCCAGTGAAAATTCTCAAAACCGACATACTCTGGGAGACATTTTTTACCGGAATAGACAGTGTCGGATTGCACAGTGTAGAGTATTTACTGCACTTTACACTGACAATGATAGCACGATTCTTGGGAAAGGATCCAAAAGCCTGTAGTACACAAGACGGATATAATTTTCTTAAAAAGTTATAGAAATATAAAATTCTCCATTGTAATATTGTCTATATAGTAATTTACAAGTTATCTAGTGGGGTGTATGGGCGGTGATCGTTCGTTTTGCAGCGGAGTCTGTTGATTTTGCAATTGAGTCTGTTGATTTATTTTAAGCTGTTTGTTTTGTATTCCAGTATGTTTTTGCAAATTAATTGTTCGTTTTGTGTGAAGGTCTTTTTTACCTTTTACGTCGTCCATAGGATTGCCACGGATAATTAATCAAAGTACTAATAGTACTGTAAGCCGGACTCATTATAAAATAATATTATTAATATAAATAATAATAATGGCTTCGGTGACATAAGAACATAGGAAAACATTTTTGAAAAAATCTTATGAAAACTATATTTTATATATAAAAAAAGAAAATACATGTGTATATTGTAAATGATATCATATGTTTGACCTTATATCACGGTTCGAATTAATCAGGGTAAGAGTTAACTTGGCACGCCGAAAGTAAACAAACAGATTAGTCTGAAGTTGATAATAAATGGATACTGCAGTTCCTCATTGACAGCATTTATGTAGCCTTCGGAGACCAGGTCTTCCAACAAACTGTTGGAATAACGATGGGCACTAATTGTGCTCCTTTATTAGCTGACCTGTTTTTAGATTTCTATGAAGCAGAATTTATTCAAAAACTTCTATATGAGAAGAAGAAAACACTTGCTATGGCCTTCTGCTCGACATTTAGATATATTGATTGCGTTTTATCAATTAACAATATTTACTTCCATTCATACGTCGACTCGATATGTCCCAGTGAACTTGAAATAAAAGACACCACAGAGTCTGCCAAATCTGTTTCATATTTGGATGTTTTACTGACTATAGACGATAAGGACCGACTAAATTGTATGACAAACGAGATGGCTTCGGTTTTTCCATCGTCAACGTTCCTTATTTACGTTGTAATATCCCGCTATCATCTGCATATGGTGTTTCCACTGATCTCCAAACTTATTCGATACTCAAGAGCATGCTCTGAGTACGATCGATTTGTAAACCGAGGCAGGCTTCCGACAGATAAGTTGATGCTACAGGGGTTTAAACAACCTCGTTTAAAGTTAACATTTCGTAAATTCTATGGTCGATATAATGACCTTGTTAGCAAATATAACCTACCATTGGATCGTATTTTGGCTGATGTGTTTCATACCAATTTTTAGGCCTTTGTTTTTATGCTGAATTTGACTACGGAATGTTTCTACTACCTGATCAATACTACCTCATTAATACATAGGGCTCACGGCGGGTGTGACTGGTCAAGAGGGGATGCTTGCTCCTCCTAGGCAACTGATTCCACCTCTGGAATTTCTAGGGGTCAGTGCTTCTCAGATTTGTATTGATTATAGATTTTTTTTTAGATCGATCACTGTTCGTTATAGCAGACCTGTTTACTCTTACGATTTTGCCGTATTTTGTACGGATTTTGTGTCCAAAATACGTCTCACGTTTTGCTATAATGAAAATACGGAAATCGGAAAATCCTTTCATTTGGATTTTAGCAGCTAGTTTTCGTTATGATGTCTCAGTTTGACGCTTTTTAACCGCTAAAAAAGAGAAATTTTCTAACACTTAAGTGATTTCGGGTTGCCAAAACGCAGTGGTTAAAAAATGACAGAAACCCCTCGAAAGAAAGCAAGGTATTATCTTTTTCTTTTTCTTTGTTATTATGCCATGTTCATTTTTGGTAATCAGAAATGTAGTTGTTCTCTAGTAATATATGTACAATCGATGAAAATTGAAATCTAATAAAAAATACTGAAAGACAACAATATGGGTAAACAGGTCTGTTATAGTCATCGTTTTCATTAGCATAGTTTCCTGTCCCTGTTTTTCTTCGTCTTTGTAGAGAACCAGGCTACGACAACACTGACCATCAAAAACGTTACGCTTATGCATTGAATTGTTTTTCAAAAGACTGAAATTTCACACTCATTACTTTTGACGTTTATTTGTATAGAAAAAAAAACTTCGTTTTATTTTGGTATTTTGGCTTAAAAAGCAGTTGAGTGTAAGTACTTCATTTTTAAACGTATTTAATTGGGAGGCTGTGCGGTCAACTGCCGACTTGAACAGACTGACATTATCTGACAATTGCTCTTTGAGCAATGACCCCGGCTAAAAAGAGATACAATCTCCAAATTTCTGGAAATTAAGTTGCTTGTAGATACACATTAGTACATGTACAACTTGATCGTCAGTTCACACCCTCTATAAAGTTTAAGTGCAGGCGAAATACAGTCGAAATGAGAAAAACATTCACATCAAGAAAAACTTAGTTTAAGGTTCTTTTATATTTTATTCTATTTGTTTAATAATCTAGTTTTGCCTTCAATTTTTACTAAATTTAAGGTAATTTTGTTCTGATGAACAAAATACGCAAAACTAGTGCTTCTTTACAGAGTTATACCCCTTACCATCCCCAGCATTAACCAAAGACAGCAATCACATCACTTGATAATTTACTTGAAAATTATTTTTCTTTCAACTCAACCAGGTTTTTTTTTTATTACATTTTAAAAAATAAGAACACATGATCAAAATATTACTTTAAACTCAGACAGAAAAAAAATTAAAAAGATATATAGAAGCCGAATTTAAGTCATGAAAAGACATTACTGTTCTTTTAACATTTTCGCTAGCCAAGGGTTTCCGATCCGAAATCTACTCTACAACTCTAGTAGATTTCGGGTTGGAAATCCTCGGCTAGCGAAGATGTTCTTTTGGGAGAGCGAATTTATAATGTCATTCTCTTAGTAATATTGTACTGACAACAGGGGCCAAGAATAATTTGTTTTATTTTACTTATATAAAAGTATGTTACTCGCACCTGATGCATGCTATAAAAAGTATCTCGGCCACTCAAGTTGACATTAAATATTCACTGGAAAATGACCAGAACAATTCTTCCGCAGATATCAATTAGTTCGAAGTGATGAAAGTACAGAAAATTGAATTATTTATCAATAATCAGTAAACGCCGCTTTCAGGCTACCTGTATGATATCTTATGCAGTGAACTCTTCCATCAATGAAGCATACATGTACAGCGACGATCATATCAATAACACAATATTTAATGTACTTCAACCTACTTTATATGATTATATTTATACAGACATAAATATAAACAATAAAATGTCTTTCATAAATTTGATTGTTAGTGCGGGATTAACGGTTGCAGTTGTGATACCAAAAATTAACATAACAAACTTATGCGGGGTAAGTATTTTTTTTTCTGAAACAGCTGCAACCGTTGTATATATATATATATATATATATATATATATATATATATATATATATATATATATATATATATATATATATATATATATATATATATAATTTTTCTCTATTATTTCAAGCTCTCTGATTGGTTCAAACTTGATCACATGATCAAGTATGTAACAACATATAGACTTGTGTTATTATTTAAAGATACTGAAATGCATATTGACTAGATATGTCTAAAACTCAAAATAATCTTCTATAAAACAATAATACTGGAGACTTCACAATACCTAATATGACTAAATGTTTCTGAAAAAAGAATATACATGTACTCCTCTTTATCATTGTGATGTTTTGTAATAATTGATAAAACGTAACAATGCCTTGAATAATGATTCACTTTATATTAAAACATATTAGGTATGTTTTTCATAAATTAATATGATATAATAAAACAAATGTAGCCTTTTAAAATAGTACATTCCTTAAATTACTCTAGCAGTATAAAGGAAACACAATTACATTAAACAGCTTAATTTATTTTGATCTCTTGTCTCTATGTGTTAAAAAAAGACAAGAGGGAAAATTGTGGCTTGTTCCCATTATTTTCAAATTTTGTGTTGTCAATCTCTGTAAAAAAAAAATAATATAACATATGTAGCCCTTTCATTCAGTCAATCCATAGATATATAGACTTCATAGAAAAGCATAACTACCTCGCACTTTCTGCTCGCTCGATATGCTTTTCTGTGAAGTCGACATATCTATTGATCGACCTCATGAAAGTGCTATATTTGCCTAACATATACCGATAGTATACCGTAACGGGTATTTTCTGCGGGTGGAAATTTTTGCGATTTGACGCCCGGTTTGAAATATGCATCTTACGTCATATCCATCTATTACAGTCAAAACATTACATTTGATGATAGACAATGTACCCTGTTATGTGAAGGCGTGAACGTTAATAATCTGACTCGACAAAATATACAACCCCACCCCTCCCCCTTTTAGAATCGAATGACATATATCTACATGTATATCTTCTATGACTTTTAGGTAAAAAATTCTGATCTACATTTTCATACAATTTGGGAATTGAAATTATTTGCTTTTTCTATCAAACATACGCTTTGCATATAAAAATAGCTTAGGTGGATCGAAAATCTACTCCGAGCTAGAAATTTGATCCAATTTTTTTTCAGACGTCCGTGTCGAATTGTATTCACTCATTTCATTGTCTTGTATGACACCATTTGACTGCATCACATGAAAAATATATCCAATCTTGATAGTTAATGCTCCGTGGTCTTAATTTCTGCGATTGCAATAATCCGCAAAAAATCATTTACGGAATATGACTACCGGATATTAAGGACTCCAAAGTTTTAAAAGGTATTTTTATATAAGATTGATATGCTGACCTTGTTCTAGGTCAATCACATTTCCGGACAAACTGATAAGGAGTTCTTCTATGGTTTGAGAGCAGCATATAACATGTGTACATGTTTGCAAGGACTGGCCATTTTGTTCACGGTCACTACAGTTGCTCAGTGCTTTTTCTTCGATAGTAAGTAATGGAATATTTTTTAATGACTCCTAATTCTGATGACACTGAACAACAATAAATAGTGCTAAATGAAATGGAGTTGTCCCAACGGTTTGTTCGAAAACCCCATTTCTCCAAATCCATCAGACATCCCACTTCAGTTAGCTTTATTGGTGCCCAAAGAAAACATCCCTTATTTTCTTATTTTCTTTTTAATCTTATTGAGGTATATTTGGAACTTCGGCACCTAAACCGTCAACAACAACAAAGAAACCCAATACGGGACCCGTCGTCTTGGATTATTTCGCTCATAAGCTATGTCCAAAACATCTTCAACGAAACAGGTATCTAATGTACTACAGCTACGTAAAGAGATGCTATACCTTTGTCATTAGTGATCGAGCAGACTGGTTCACAGCGAAAGACGACTGTTCCAAAAAGGGCGGGAACCTTATGAACATTCACCAATCACTGGAAAATTTCTACCTGGGTATGCGGGACCAGATTGCTCTAGGTCACACAGACAACTACATCTGGATTGGCCTGTCTGACACCTCGTCACCTGGGAGTTTTTCCTGGACTAATGGTAATGAAAACTGAGTTGATATACTTGATGGAAATTCTAGGTGTTGCTTACTTAGTCTCAACATCTTCCTTTCTGATTACAATCCTCCCTATAGCTCCATTAAAGACTACGTCATATAAACATTGGCATGCCGGACAGCCAATCTTGGACACTCCAGGGAATAACTGCGCGGCTTACAGTCATGACAATCAGGATTGGTGGATCTTCCCTTGTAACTCAACTAATCTTGGCTGGGTCTGCGAGTTCGGTAGGTTTATTAACTTGTTTATTGAAATATGCTGGTTTATAAATGAATCCATATTTTGCAATTTAAAACACTAGTCTTTCATGCATGAAATACTATCACTTTTTCATATCAATGTCATTTTACTAATCAGAATTCGTATCAGATTTAAAATCTCTCGGTCTTTAAATCTTAATAAAAAGTTGAACTTCTCTTTGTTATAAAATTTTTCAGAGTTAAATGCAACAATCACAGAAACAACTTCAACTAACACATTTACAACACATAATCCTACAACAGTTGAACTGACAACACGCACACCAACAACCTCTAAGCCCATAACACCTAAACCAACAACACTCAAACCCACCACATCTAAACCAACAACATCTGAACCCACCACACCTGAACCTACTACACCTGAACCAACAACACCTAAACCCACTACACCTGAACCAACAACACCTGAACCTACTACACCTGAACCAACAACACCTAAACCAACTACACCTGAACCAACAACACCTGAACCTACTACACCTGAACCAACAACACCTGAACCCACTACACCTGAACCAACAACATCTGAACCCACTACACCTGAACCAACAACACCTAAACCTACTACACCTGAACCTACTACTACTACTGAGGAAGAATCTGGAATCATTATAATCGGGAAACGGATTCCTGGTCTTACTAAAGAACAGCAGTACACCGATTTCTAGACTTGTGTTCTCAGTACTTTAAAGCAGCTGAATGAAGGTGCATCACAAATACAAGTTTTTATATTGTTTTGTATGTTTTTACTTTTGTTATTTTAGTATTACTAATTATGATCTATTGTCAGACACGTAGTATCAGGGTAGGGCAGCGGGAGGGGGCTGACCTCCACTTTATTCTGACATTGTCTGTCTTGATATGCACCCTCAGAGTCAACATCAGCACAAGTTTGATCAATTTGTTTTCGGATGTATAATAACTTAGCAGTTTACATCTTCCAGTTCACAAAAAATCCAATCCGTACAATGTTGTTCAACATTAGGCGTACCCACTTTGGTCTTGGCAGTTTTATAGCTTGAAAATTTATTTTAAAAGGATACAGATTTATATAGTGTGTATCATTAATGACATTATTCGTGCGCGTTTTTTTTTTTTGTTTTGTTTTGGTTTGGTTTTTTTTTTTTTTTTGTCCTCAACAATAAATTTGTAGGCACATAGGAATGGAAACATACACAGTGTATTCACGCTTAAAAAAAACAAAGATCAAAAGCATGCACTTTGCAATTCAATATAAAACGTAATTGCAGATGAGCCACGGCAGGATATAGTTACTTTGAAATAGAGCTGGTCAACAAAAGTCTGCATAATCGCTCATCCAGGAAATATCGACTACATTCACATCCCTAAGATGGCTTTAAAAGTAAATTAAAATACATTTTTAAAACATTGAAGAAAACACAAAAAGAAAATATAACTCTCAAATTTGGAAATCAAACAGTTGATTGACGAGTCTGATAAAAAAAGATTCCAATGGCAACAGACACTTTTATACCCAAAGTTGTGCTGAGAATAAAGATTTAAAGGAAACATCATTGGTGCACGGCACCGTTTACTTTCACTTTACTTTTAGATCTTTAATGTTCCGGATCATTTAAGATTACTTACATGTAAGTGCACTGCAGAAAAAAAAAACGTGAAAAATAAGGAAGCAAGACTGAGATAAATACATGTATGGGGATTTTAAAATGTTTCATACCGAATTTTAACAAATAACGCCAAAAAACGCAATTTTCAGAGTTTAATAACAAGTAATTCTAAAGACAATTGAATTCTGTATATGATAACAGACCAATTTAAAATCCTATTACATTCCAAAATTAACACTTATAAGTTTAATCTGAGTTCAATGAAATCTAAGTAAAATTGAATTCCTTCAATAAAAGAGTATGGTTTTCTTACAAAAAAGCAAGGAGCCATAGCTTCTGTTTTCCAACAAATTTTATTAAAATAGAAAATTTTGAAATAGTCATAACACCAAATTTTATATTTTAATCAATATCTGTTGGAAGACACTGCGTTAAGGTCGCTTTGTTGAATTTGAAAACATTGACAGAAGAGGGGACTTGACAACATTAAAGAAAATCCTATGGAAATTTCAAATCTCTACTCATGTTCTAGATCTTTTTGTAATGTCATTGCTTGTATCCCGCATCTTTAATTTGTCAAGAAAGAAAAAAACAAAACTTAAAACTATCTGTAGTTTTTTAAGGGAACAAAATAAGGGGTTGGGTCAAATTTATAAGCTATGACATATTTTTGAAGGATACTATCCTTCAGTTAAGTGTATGCTTTACAAGTAAATAAAAAAAAATGAAAATATTCGTTGAGTTTTATACATGTAATATGTGTAAGAAGTCATCACTAAGAACTTTGTATGGAAGTCATTGGTTCCGTCTCTTGTGAATGCTTCCTTTCTCTCCTGGAGTCAAATTCGGACTTGAGCAATGACGTAAGACCCTCTGAGTGCCTTTTTATTGGCAAATTAGCAAAACCTGTAAAAAGAATGTAATTATTTACAAGAACTGGAATGGACACGGCGATCACAAATATCCCTGAGATGGCACACAGACATCCAATAAATCTACCCGGAATATTCTTTGGATAGGAATCGCCATAACCAACTGTAGTCATGGTAACAATAGCCCACCATATTGCATCCGGTATCGATTCAAAAGTGGCTCTATCCGAGTAGAATCCAATCGAGGAGAAAATCAGGGCGGCAACAAGTAAGTTGAAAATCATCAGCAACATATTTTTTAGACTTGCACGTACGGAATAAATTAATATGCGAAAGCCGATAAAATTTTTCACTAAACGAAAAAGACGAAACACTCTAGCTATCTGAATGCATTCTACGATGTCCAAAGCGGAAAATTTGATATACTTTTCCTTTGGGAATATGTATTCAAATGTCATAGTAGCAACTTCCGAAGAAAATGCTATGACATCAATAATATTAAGTAAGGATGAAAAAAATTTCGATTTTTTCGGACAAAACGTAATTCTTATAATTAGTTCCACTCCAAAATAGGTCACCATACCATAATCCAAGTAGTCCAAATACGTGTATCTCGCAACTGTGTTTGGCGGTGGCAAAAGATCCGCCGTTTGATTTTCGTGGTCACTAGCAATGGTGTTGTTCAGCTTCCGGTCTGGCAAAAATGTATGATTGACTTTTATTGGTGAAATAGGCGATACTTTTTTAACTTTGCTGTCGTCGGAATTCCTGATTGGTTTGTTACGAAGACCTTTGACCTGAGCCAGCTTTTCCGGGTCCGAACTGTAGTAAGCCTCGAGTTCATCATACTGCAGTTCTCTCTGGAATGCAGGGTGAGTACTTACGCAGAGAACAAAGATGGACATAAGTATGACGAATGCCGACACACCAACGTATATCTGTAAGTCAAATAGTATCTCATTGATAAGGTATGAACATTTAAAATTCAGATAATTTGAAAAAAAAATAAATAAATAAGAGCACAAAACAAAAAGAAATGTAGAAAAAAGGAAAAGAAAGGGGAAAAAACCAAAAGAAGGGAAAAGAAACAAAAAAACCCACAAATACTTAAAACTTGGGTTGCTGTTTAAGGACAAACATGAATGCAGAAGTTTATTTTTCCAGTTCATTGATGGCCATAAAATGTCCATGTATTTTTTAATTATAAACTGCAAGGATCATATGTATCGCCCGCCCTACAAAGTATAGAATCATACATAAAATCACACATGTTATTAATTAAATTTTGTCTTAAAAATATAATTTTTTTAGTTTCATTTAAAACTCATCAAAAAATATACTATGAAAGTTTTAATAGAATTCTCATAATACAAAAATCTCGTAAAATCTGTCTTATCCGGGCACTACTGGTTCCCTAGAAATGGTTCCGGATAAGACAGAATTTAAACAAAGAAACTAAGAGTTTTTATCGTTAAAGGCAAAATTTTGGAATGCAGAACATCCGGATTAAACAACTTTCACAAGTTTTCTTGCTCGCTTGACCTTATTGTGCACTAGACTAGTTTGTTTGAGATAAAGATAAGAACGAAAATATTGTATAGTATACCCGCATAGCACTGGAATATTGGATTCATCATACCTTTGCTGCAACTGAGGATGATGGATCGTCAAGAGTCCTCCAGACTTTACTCTGAAATTTCTCCAACTTACTCCTTCCAATTTTAGGGGGTTTTCCTACTCCCGTGGACTTTTTCTCGTCCTCTTCAAATGTTTTAAGCAATTTCTGATCTTCAAAGAACGAAAGGTATTTCATGTAACAGCACTGAGACAGCTTACTTGGGTCAACTGACCAGAACTCCAGTTCCTTTTTAAACACGGCTGGGCATATTGAATTAGGCATATGAAGTTCTCCGTTTGTAAAATACCAAAGAACAGCATCAAAGCAGTCTGCATGGCGTTCTAGATACACCTCGCCTTGACCATCTTCTCCGTACTCCAGACAAGCAATAGGTAATCGCTGGAATGTGGAGCGCTTCAAGCGGAACACCCTGCCGTTAAGGTTTAGATCAATGATAGCATTTTCCATGGCAATGTCTGGAATATGACTTTTTCATACGCTCACTGTGGTCTTTGCTTAAAATTTATCTGCATACAATAACAATAATGTTCAGCTATAAAAATCGATGTCATTCATTTTCCGACGCTTAAAATGAGGCGTCCAAAGCACATGGTCGGAGAGGCTCTTCTTTCGATATCGATTACAAATAGAGCTAAGGGTGGTCAGGCTCGGAATGGCTATTCTGTTGTGTGTAGATCATTCTGATACCCAAATATAAACAAGATGAAGATCAGAAACAAAATGGGGATGCAAACAGACGACACGGCGTAGCGTTGACCACAATCAATACACTGCATGTAGACTTAATAAAAAAGCTGTCAATAAAATTATGTGTCAAAGCAATGTTCGCTTTAAGAAAAAACAAAAAGGGTCGTAATCCATCGCACATTATGTTACTCTTTCCTATAAAAGACAACGAGGTCTTTCTTAGTATGCAAAGGGAACACAGTCCCAAAAACAAAAAAACACGATTGTCTGAACTGCAGGAGTCAGCGGACCTATCCAAAGGCGGATGAAGTGGGGATGGGGGTCATCATGGGGGTTCATCTACACTGACTTCATACCTCCCTCAATCTAACAAATCTTTTGTACTAATCGGCTTACATTTTCTAACTTTAATTAAAAAAAGGAGGGTATGAACGTTATGATGAATTCAGTCATTCAGTTGCTCTGTATAAATTATTTCTTAAGTATATATAACGAGCCTTGTCCTCAGGCTAGACACCCATGGGGGTACCCAAGACATGAATATGCTGGATAACACGTATCAAGGTAAAAAAAATCTTGACCATGAGTAATGATAAAATGCAAAAAGTAGGTCATGGTGACCTACTTTTGGGTCATTCACTTCTCAAATATGTTCTTTCTTTTTTTTTTAAATATTTGTATATTTAAACAATAAATTATGTTCAAAATTCAAATTTACATCATGATAATAATTTTAAGGGCCTTAAAAGTCACCTGAGTACAATACAATCCCGTTAAGGATCTGAATTGTTGACTATTGGCTTTTCAGAGAAATATAACGAGACTAGTTTTTGACGGACATCATCATTATTTAATGAACCAAGTTGCTTGTCCCAGCATGTCAGTTGCTTAGGTTCATGTTTTAATAAATGGCTGAACTAAAGAATTCAAGGTCTTTTTTCGGGTTATTTCAATGCATGATCAAACACTCTAGACTACAAAGCGCTGTTGCGATACTTTAATTTTCTAACCAAGCAGATATTTTTTCTAAAGTTGACATAAACATTAATTTACAGTTGTTTTGGCAGAGGTAAATAAGAGAATAGAGTTCTTAGAACCTACATGGCTTAATCTGCTTAGCTGAGGTTTGTTTACCGACACCAGATCAGCAAAAGGCAAATACAACTGTTGGCGAGAAACTACAAATTGAAACCAAGATTATCCAGACCAAATTGGATAAGTCAGTATATAATACTGAATACTACACAAAAAGTTGACCTGGAGATGTATAAATAGAACAGTTTTTGATCAGTAAAAGTTTTCCTAAGGACAGACAAAAATGACCAACAACTCCGTTACTGTGGATGCAAGATGATGGATTCAGATCCTGCATGCAGGTAACGAGAAGCTGGTTAGTCAAGTTTTCTGGTCAACAATGAAAATTTACTTGTGAGTATATAGCAAGCTCTTTTAAAGGGGGGAATTAAAGATAATTAGATCTCTTCAAAACTAGAAATATCTCTTTAGAAATGACATGGAACGATTACCAATGGAAGCATGATGATGAGCGATTACCCCAGTGTAAAATATACATGCAGTGTCATATACGGGTTAACTTGGCATCATGCAGTACCGATTTATGCAACGCGGGTCAACGTTATTTAGTCCGTAATAATAGTGGTTTGTAGCGTTTGTTTTTACTCTGGTTGAATTACTTCTAAGAAAAAAATATATACCAATGAAAAAAAACAAACCCTTAGCCATGTTTTAATTTCTCACCGTTATTGTTTTAGAAGGTCATTAAGACTGAAAAAAGAGTTCCTCATAGTGCTACACAAAAATTTTAGGTTTGCTCGCTTCGCCGCCTTGACGTCAAAATCCATTTTGTCGTCGTTATCAGATTTCTATACCGCGCTTAAATTTTTTTCATGATCTCCGTATTTCTGATTGAAATTCATCAAACTTGCACGAAATGAAGTCAAAATTAAATTGAAAAATTATATACATAAATTGAATTTTTTCCGCTCTTACTATGGTCCACCGGGAGTTTGAACATTGTTGTTACATATTTTCAATATCTGATTTTGTGACTGCGCCGGGTACCCCTACCATTGACACATTGATATAACATTGAAAAGAAGAAATAAAATATTTGTAAAATATTTCTTGATTTTATTAATTCTTAGTGTTTGTCATATTGTATATGCAAACGTTCATTAGAAAGAAGAAAATACACAATGTCTCAATCATTTCCAAACAACCCTCGTATATTATTTAATGAAAGAAATGACCCTGCGTACTTTTACATATTTTCAGCACTTCTCCTAAAATTTTCTGTGTTCAAAAAGTAATTAGATTTTGGTTATTCAAACTATTTTACAAAATAATGTTGTGTCTAATTTTTTCTTATGTAGTAAATATGGGGAACTCGCTTCCAGTGAGGGACCCTTTTGATCCCGTCTTCTGTCCAAAGTAGTCATGTCGCAGATTTATTTAAAAAATAAAATATGTCAGAAAAGATAATATATATCGAATAACCCAATTAATTCAGGATTTATTAGAACTAATGAGAATGATGAAAGATGTACAGACTGTGCTAGATCCCCCTCCCAATCACAAAAAATTAAGGTAGACCAAGTTATGTTTAATTTGTTTATGAAATATCAAAAGTTAACGCTTTGGAAATCTTTGATGCACTTTACTTGTTAGAGAGCGTATTAGTCAGCATGTTCCCGCGATTCCCTGTAAAAAGTGAGAGCATACACTGATACAATTAATTTTGTGTTTTAAGACCAAAAGAGATGATTGAAATTGATGCGTCATGACCATTAGGGAAGAAACTGAAAATAGATAAAAAGAAATGTATTAATAGAAACACACTGTTTCAGATAAAATATCAAACCATTGAACATTGGACATTATATATTTCTTATCACAAAAAACCCTATACGTACTTAACAGGAGATCATATTTTTGTGATAAGATAAATACATGTATGTATAACGTCAAATGCCCGGGACATATTCTGTTTTTTTTTTTTTTTTTTTTTTTTTTTTTTTTGCAATTTTTCCCCTCAAAGCATTGACTTCATACATGAAACGAACATATATTGAAGAATAGCCATATTTTGATAAGACATTCTCATGCGCAGTACATGAGAATTAAAACCGATACAGAATAAATACATGGAATAAAAGAAAAATCAATTCAATGTAAGTAATGTTTGGTAACAAAAGACATAAAAATACCCTATGAGATTTTTTTTTATTATGGGGATGTCAATTTTGTCAATAATTCATATTCGAATATTCAATAAAAGTATTCTAATATTCGATAAAATATGGTTTATTTTAAATGTACGTCATCATCATACTCTCATGGCAAGTTTTTGCGTCGGTATATGGAAGTAAAATTAGAAGTAGACTTTAATTTGTGGGTATACAATAAGGAATTCTTTATTTGATATTTGTCAGTGTTTAAAAGAAATAATTGATTTAAGTGTATACAATCGAAATATGATTTTAACAAATGATATCTATACAAGCTCAAACTGACAAACCAGTCGTCTAACCAGAGGCAAAATTGTCGTTTACTCTTTCGACTTAATACACGCAATTAATTACAATTATCTGCTTAATGAGAGATATAATCTTTGATACAATGTTTTGAAAATATAAACAAACAATTCCCTAGACATTTTTCCAAGGTTATTAATTTCTCAATAATGATTTTAAAATTCAGGAATATATACAACCCGAGATAATCAGGTAATTGATACATTATTCTGAAATTGAGCCCTTTACAATTTTACAGGCTGATTCTATCAAAAATTTAATTCAATGATCAATAAAATTAATTTTCATAAGTACACTCTTCATGTGTCTCTTAGACATTCAAGAAGGGTTACATTTCGTTGTCCTCGATTCTAGATCCGATCATATTAAACTATTGAAAGCACTTTTTGTACTATACATCAATAATTTTTTATATTTCTTTTATACCTTACTTAGAATGAAATAAATTAGAAGATCTATAAGATATAAGAAAGTAGTGAAAGAAATCAGGGGATCGCTAGTAAATATTTCTCTTTTTTGTGAAATCTGAAAAACACCGAATATTCAAATCTTAAATTCATATTCGAATATTAACTCATCGAATGAATATTCGAATATTCGTTGACATCCCTAATTTATGATAATTGGTCGACAGTTCTTCAGCAACGTAGCTAAGCGTTATCGTTCATAAGATGATTGTCAGCTTCAAGTCAAAATAACTATTGTGATTTTAGTAGTCTTCGTGGGGGATTAAACTGAGTGGTTTTGACTAAAAATATCATTTTGTTAAAATGTAAATTGGAGGACAGCTACCAGTTTCTACATTGGCGTTCAACGAAAAATGACGATACCGCAGTAAATTCTTTTTGTGGCCTTTCGAACACACTGGTTTAACTCACATTGTAAAACCATTTCTGTAATGTTATTAATTTATTTCTGTAGTCTAAAATCTTCGGCAGCCCGATATTAGTGAGCAATTGTCCAATATTAGTGTCAGTCTTATATTGTAAAACTACCTGAGGTAAATCAGAGTATGAAATGTAAAGGACAATGTTTTTAAGTACGATATATGCTGAATACAGTTCAGTATGAATCATAACTGGCCTCAAAACTCTCTGATGTTTAGCTCACCTGAGCTAATAGCTCAAGTGAGAAGTGAGTTTTACTGATTATATTTTGTCCAGAATCTATAAACTTTCAACATTTTCAACTTTTCTAACGACCCACTGAGCCAATTTCAATCAAACTTGCCACAAAGCATTCTTGTTGAAGAGGATAAAAGTTTGCTCAAAAGAAGGGCCATCATTACATAGCGTAAATTCAAATTTGTTAAAATCATGACCTCCGGGGATAGGGTGGATTGGTGACCAAAGTTTTACATAATAATAAATAGGAAAAAAATCCTTTAAAAATCTCCTCAAGAACAACAAAGCCATAACTGTCATATTTTAAATTTTTAAGCATCCTTGGGTAGTGTAGAATCAAATGTGTTCAAATCATGACCCCCGGGAGTGGGTCGGAGCCACTACTGGCGATCAAATTTTTACTTAGGAATATGTATGAAAATATCCTTAAAGATTTTCTTAAGAAGAACACCAAAGCCATGATTAGTTTTATTTACATGTGAAAGCATCCTAGAGTAGTGGTGAATTAAGTTTGTTCAAATCATCACCCCCGGGGCGATCATAGTTTTACATAAGAATATATAGGGAAAAAATCTTTAAAAATCTTAAGAAGAACAAAGTCATATATGAAAACATCCTGAGATAGTATTCTAATTCTCTAGAACAGCAGGACCACGTTGATTGAATTGTGTGGATTCAACATTGATTTAATCAATGTTCCCTTTGGCTTGATATTGGCCCACAATATGGAGCCGATATTGAATTTTATTTTTAAAAAAATCTGCTGATGAAGAACAGCAGGACAAAAGTGACTCAGGAGAGCGTTGTGGTCCAGGAGCCTCTCTCTCTCTCTCTCTTTACAGAAATGCATTCGGCTTATATTCAAAACAGAAACAACTTCACTGTGTAACTCGACTATCAAATACTGTGGTTCTGACGATGTTGAAAAGTGTAATGTTGTACAATGTATGTTGAAAAAAAAAAACAAGACTAAAAATCAATTCGTAATCACATTAATCCACACTTGAACCGAGATATGCAGTACAGGAGCATTTTGGTTAACGCATATTCCATGACTTTCTTTTTTTTTATACATCGAATCACTTCAAATTATCACAGGCGACACCATTGCAATTGTTGTAATTGCTGAACGACCACGCTTTTTGTTTTTAACTCGTTCAATATGATACCTGATTTAAACTCTGTTGACACCCGATTTTTTTTCTGTTATTGAAGTTCTGCTTATCTCATGCACTGTTTTTATTCAATATATAACAGTCTGACAATATCGCCAAACTGAATTTCAATTATTTATTTTCGTTTTCCCCATAAAATATGGAGTTTTAAATTTCAAAATGCTCCTAAGAAGAATGTATTTGTGTTCCTAGATTTTTTTCATCGAAATATGCGGAAAGTCAAAAACAACACCTAACAATAAAAAGGTTGCTTTGGAGAAATTTATTGATTTTCTGTTAAATATTCAAAACAAGTGAGTGCTATATTTTCAAACAAGGCACTTGGGATACATTAATTAGAACGTTTTACGTCATTCTTTCTAGCTTAATACTGTAAGAATACATTTGGTTATTATTCCTTAAGATTTGAAATAAAAAAGTAGTAATAACAATTCAAAGTGTTCAAAAATGTATAAGTTATTTTGTTGATTTTAAGAGAAAGGGATTATCTCAGAGTCGTTCGGGGAATGTAGTTGGCCTCCTCAAGTGTGTCAGATATTGCCTCCTCCAATCTCCGCGCCTCCTCAAACATCCGCTGTTGTAGGAGGCGCTCTCTCTGCTCTCGCATAGATTTCACTTCCTGTAAACGCTGTTCTCGGAACCTCTGCCATTCTTCCCACTTTTTCAGAAGTATTTCTTTGTATTCATCCTGTGCTTTTAGCAACTAATAAAAAAGATTGAAAGTTGTCGAAGATATATCTAGTTTTTTAAAAATATATTTAGCTTGAAGTGCTAAGTCAAATTGGGAGTAAATATGCATATATAATAGAGATTCAAATTGATCATATATATGTATAAAAGCTGAGTTAGAGAGTTATATACTATGACCACATAACACCGAAGCCCTGGATTTTATCGGTATTTATGTAGTGTCTTATTTTTTAAATAATTTTTTATAAAATCTGAACAACAATGACTTTGCCCTCAATAGAAGATGCATGCACCTTAAGGCTCTCATCAGTTTTATTCTCAAAGTCAAGAATTACCGGAAGTATCGAGTGAAAACCTTTGTTTGGCTGATTAAATGTTATCTGGCATTTGACAATTTCAAGAGGAGGGGGACCCAGTATTTCCTTTGGAGGATGAAAAACAGAAAGGATACCCCATTCCGCCACCAACCATTGTGTAAAGTTCAGATGGTATGAGCTAAACTAATCAAAATATATACCAAGTCAGTCCTTTTCATTTCTTCTCTCTGCAACTGTTGAATATCCCTTTCACCCTTGTCAACATGAGAGACGTGATCATCGACGTGTTGCACGTGACCTGTAATTTCATCCAATCGTTTTTCTAGGCGAGAACCAGTTAGTTCTATCAACCGTCGTATCCGGTCTTCTGAAGCATCTGTATGACAATGCAAAAGACATAAAATTGTTGTTAAAAGTATCAATATCAGTGTTGAAATATACATATTACGTATCAATTCCTCTAATCAATTCAATAAAAGTGATTTCGCAACAAATATCATACCTTCATCGCCCTCCATCTTCTCCCGAGAGGCGTGGACTATGTATCTCTGAATAAGTGCACATATGACACTCTGTAAATAAGAAATTGGAGAGTTTAAATATCTAGAGAAAAACACCAATTGATAATATGATACTTATATATAAAAACTTATGGGTCAAAACACTTAAAACACATTGCCTAGAACTCAGAAATTAAGGTCAAATATAGCCCTCCAAGAATGAAGATAAAAGAACTGGAATCAATGCTTCCTTAGTTTTCGACAGCAAATGATCTTTGTTTGGTTGGTAATGGCATTGATTTTTACTTTCAAAATTGATTTGATAAAATTTTTCCGACATTCGGTCTGGTCCCAACTTCACTATGTAAGGCAGTGCAGTATTTTTAATATTTTACGAAATCTCGTCATTTTTGTCTTTTTGCGAAACAAAAATCGGAGTTAAATTACAAAGACGGACGATAGAAAAACATCAATCAGAAAATTTCGAATGAAGCTTTTACTTAGACAAGATTTAATTTGTAGAGACCTGTCTGGAATTCGTGTACGAAGATGAGATTGTCATTTCTTCATCAAGTTTCTGAAAATGTAGACACAAATGAGAATGTAGATAACATAAAACAAATTATGTTATAATTATTAATGTACTAAGAATTTATATAAAGTTGTTTTTGTATCAACAAATGTCACTGGAAAAATTATTTTACCTTTGATTTTTTGTTAATTTTAAGTTTGCGTTTCCTACAACAAACACAGAGTGACCATATTTTTCTCCAAGCCTTGCATATAGTTTGGGCTGTAGGAATAATATTAAAGGGCGGGGCTACTGGACATCCGGGCTCTATAAACGTCATCCACAGTTCTGTGCGCGCAAACTTCCACTCTATATCTCTTTCGTCCTATAAGAAACATTTTAAAAATCGATTTTATTCTTAAAGTATAAAAATTTAACAAAAATAAAACCTAACCTTTATATTAATTAGTACTAACTCTTTAAGTCACTGACCAGACATTATTTATCCTATCGTTTAACATCATTTTTACCTGGACCTCTTGGAAGGTGTTACTCATGACAGCAATGAGTAAATTCATCAGAACAACACTTGCAGCAAAAACATAAACACCGTAAATGGCTTTTCCAAACCATTCCGTTAATGCGATCCGTGACGGGTTGTTCGTGATGGAGCTCATGGGCGCACTCTGATTTAATTCTGGGGTATTGCCTTCGCCAAATCCCAAGAGAGACCATATTAGAACAAAAAATACACCACTAAACCTGAAAACAAAAACACAGTTGATAGATGTTTTATTGGTTTGGAGAAAAATACTGTCAATTTACAATACTGTCAATTTCCTCATATGTCATAAAACTTAACCCCTGGAAATGCGGCGTCTGACAAACATGCGCAGCATAGAGAGCAGCAAGTCCACAGGAGAAACTCAATAAAATGAGAACGAACATCGCCAGTAATTTAACAAGGTCCCCAAACGTTCTTCTGAAGGAGACTAGCATCGTTCCAAAGGTTTCATTGGCTGGCATGATGAAGGAGATTCGAGCAATGCTGAGAATAATCCCAGCAGAAAACATAATATCCGCAATCAGCTCCGGATCCGGAACCCAGGTAGGTGTCCATTCAACTAAAATTGATAAAAATCTACAGACATAAAGCGATGAAAATGCAAGGAAGAACCAGTTCACATTTCAAAGCATCGTCGGATACTCACGGGTGATCTCGTCTTTTACTCATCACCCGTGGGCAAACTCGCCGAAAAATCATCGTATGTAATTAATATGCACGGGTCATTTGATTGGCTTCTCCTCAGAGTCGCGATGGCAAATCAACAAATTAAAGTTCGGCAATGACAAAAACTTTTCCGTAGTTAACAAGGATTGCAAATAAATCCACTCACCCGTGCATTTCGCAGTTTGAGAAAGGTACTTCCGTATAATTCCTTACTAGTATTTGAGTGCCAATGACCTGTACAACTTGACTTTAATCGTTTTAAAACAAAATTTGCACCTTTTAACAAGCGTCAAGATATTAAGCATAAATAGCAAACTAATACACGTATTTTCAAAATTAATGAGTTCCAACTTTCTGATTGGTTGTCCATAATCAACAAATTAGCATATTTTTCGACGCTTTCGGTGAGTTTGCCCACGGGTGATGAGTAAAAGACGAGATCACTCGTGGGTATCTGACGATGATTACAAAGATAATCTGGAATATTTACAATGATTGATATCAAGTCTATGATAAGATATTTATAAGTTATAAAAAAATCAGTTTTTTTCTGAAGAATCACAAAGCCTATAATATCATGAAATGATCCATTCAAATCTATGGGAGGTGGAAAGGGTACAAAAGACGTTAATGTAAACCGGACAATTAATTTTGCCAAAAAAAGTACTGAAATACAAAACAAACAGCTTAAAATAAAACCGACACACTCGACTGCAAAATCAACAGACTTCATTGCAAAACGAAAAATCACCGATGCAAAACAGTCATTCACTGTTTGCACTAGATGACGCGCAAAAAAAAAAACAACCATAAAAAGTCATTTTCGGAATTAACGCTAGTTTTGTTTTGTTTTATTTTTTGCACGTGCCACCTAGCGTTATTTCATTGCATCTGTGATCGTTCGTTTTGCCACAAAGTCTGTTAATTTTGCAATCGAGTCCGTTGGTTTTATTTTAAGCTGTTCGTTTTGCAACGGAGTCTGTTGATTTTCCGCCGCCCATACAAATCCCTGCAAAAATATTTTAATAGAAGTGGACACTTAAATATGCATTATTTTCTCATAAGGCACGAAAAAGATTAAGTAATGTGACCTCCAACTGTTGCTGTGGGACATTGGTGCTCAACTGAGAAATAACTTTTTCCCTCCTCAACCTCGTAACAGAACAAGAGCTGGTTAATGGTGATTTCCTTTCCAGCGGATACATTGTAATTCAGCTGGTGATAGGCTAAAGCACTGCGTAATCGTAAAGGGATGACGGCATCCAACGTAAATGATGTCAGGAGAAACGTCAGCATTAAAAAGTCGATTACATTCCAGACAGACCGGAAGTAATCAGCAGCACCTTGGTCAAACAACTGTTTCATTTCTTCCCAAATCCAGCCTTAAAAATGTAACAATGGATTGTTTCTTTTATCATGTTGTAAATTTTGAATTTACCTGTTGACAGTAAAAACAAAATTTATTTCAAGACCCACCTATGATCCACATAAATATGATGACGATGAAGACGTAACTAACAGGGTTGGTTTCCTCACAGCCAAGGGAGACCCACATGTTACTGAACTGGATTTTGCCCAACACTATCAGACACAGGAACGAGATGTAGGAACACGTGTAACTGAGAAAGCGTGTAGAAGGGGTGTTCAGCAGTAGTGTCACCTGGAAGAATGTTAACAAATGTTTAGTAAACTGATGTGAAAATACACTGTGTTTCAAAGCTATAAAGAGAATTTACATGTAAAGGTTTTTTTTTTTCATTCTGGATGCCATTTTTATGAATTCATTGATTTGTAGACGTTTTGAGGAAACAAATTTATAGTCGGATTTTTATCACCTTGAAACAAAAATTTACTTTGAAAAAGTTCCAAATCCATCATAAGGATACATTATCTTCATACATGTATAAGATCGATTTAAATATTATCTTTCATATTAGATCGATCCTTTTTTTTTTGTTATCGCAAAAAAGTTGTGTAATAAGTATTGATAAGTGGATGGCGAACAGCTGTAATATGTAAGTACTGGTCATTGACTATTTTAAACAAACTGACGAAAGAATGAAACATCACATGGAGAATTGACTGCTTCAGAAATAATGGGAAAAAAATTGTTACATGTATTTAAACACTGTCATACCTTGCTCCACGGCGCGAGGATAAAAACTAGAGACAGAATGGGCAAGAGCAGCATCCCCACAGGTATTGACAACAGCAGGAATTCGAATCGATTCAAATGGCGCATACCTTTAAGCCCGCTGAACCAGACAGCTGATACCTGAGCCTGGCATTTCGGGTGGGAAACAAACTGAAAATTTCCATCCAATATATCTAAATCTTTTTAAAACACACATCAACATTATTACCTTTTTTTCTGTTAAATCTAAATTATAAGCTACCCTTTTCTGTTCCATTCGAAGAGCGACCTGTAGAATAGGGAAACTATCGCTCGACGATTTTTCAGTTTCTGGTGAGTCCAAAAGAGACTGCACTTCCCCGGATGTACGACATTGGTTTAACAGGTCGAGGGTGAACTCTTGTACTTGTGCATCCAATTCTTCGTACGTGCTCTATAGAAAGTATTGAAGCTAGAACTTAGAATACGTATACTTTGAATTCATTAATTTTTGAGGGAATCGAATTTGTGGTTTTGTCACAAAGTACAACATCGTTATATGTAAAATTCGGTTACGGGTACTTCGCCCTATTCTAAGTAAAATGGTAGTTCGTTGATATTCTAACATTGTTGTCTGGCTCAACCATGAAAACAACGAACATTGGTGTTCAACGTAAACAACGAAAGTAGGTATTCAAGTCGGTGTTCAATGTAAACAGTGAAAATTGGTGTTCACCGTCAACAGCGAAAATTGGTGTTCAACGTGAAATGTTGAAGTTCATATTTCTTAAACTAACAAAAATTGTAGAGAAATAACTATGCCAACAATTTGAATTCTGCGAACATAGAGAGGTGAAAGGAATGTTATAAAAATAATTCGCCTCTTCTTTACTATATGGGGTATGAACCTATTTTAATTTGAATCAGTTGTCAAATAAATGTTATCCATACCTTGTATTCTGTTTCCATGACCTGAAGCTGCTTGAACTTTTTACTGAGGTAGAATGACGCCATTACAGGATCTTCCTCAGTCAAAGAAATGTACGCAGGACTAGCAAGCGCGCGAAAAGTGTCCAGTCGTCTGTTGCAGAACACCATGTAGTCTCTTCTTTGTTCCTCAATACATTCATGACAAGAACAAAAATAATCATGTGGAATGTCCACGGATGCACCTTTCATCATGATCATTTGAACGATTTGAAAGTTGTTTCTGATCGCTGCTTTAATGAGTGCCTCCTTTAGCATTTTGTTTACCGATATTTCAGAAACCTGGGTAAGTTTTGACCTTGCTGATAAATCATCTTCAAATATTTCCGACATTTTGTCGCTATTCGGATTTGTGATTCCTTCGATGGAGGAATACTCGTTTGCATTGTCTTTTGATTGCAATGGAGACTGATAAATTGAATTTTCCAGCAAAATTTGGCAGATCTCTTCTCGATCATTTTCGACCGCGCAAAGCAATCCCTGATGGATAACCTTAGGTCCCACTTTTCCTACAAGAAATTCTACCAAGGAAACATGACCACTTGCTATGGCGAGGTCTAGGGCAGTTCTTCCCTGAGTGTCCTCTAGATCTGGAGAAACCCTCCCAGAATTTAACAGATTTCGGACGAAATCCTCATCTCCTAACTCACAGGACTCCAAATACTTCCTCTCAACATCAACTAGACTAGGCCTCAATCTCTCCGACAAAATGTTGATCAACTTCGGCTTCTTATTCATAGTCCTTACACGTACTGCACGTATGTGAAAAATAAGTATTCAGTATACTCAATGACAAGTTAGTCCATGCAGTTAAGAATGCATTTTGTCGTTGCCGAGAAAATATGCTCTGACATTTTTAGTTTATTTGTTCGTTCAATTTTATGGGTTAAACAGCTGGTTAGGATATACTGGTAATGTGATAATGGCATTTGTCTTTATATTGATACACTGGCGTCAAATTGATCGTATACACAATTAACTACAATTTTTATGTCGAGGAAATGAATCGAAAAAGATTGGGCTAATTTCTGCAAAAAATAGTTGCTCTCTGAATAATACACTGGACATATCTGTGGTTGTTGAGCCTAAGACACCTCGATTAATCAGATACATGTACAGAAATTTGGTTTTGAGTTTTGCGTATAAATCCTCAGTATACCACTGTCTTTTTCTCAGAATAATGTTAGAGTCTGCAACTGCTGGAAATTTTACCAAGTACAATGTATACTAATGAAACACTAGTTTCATTCAAGCTAGAGAGAAGTGCTAATAGGATTTGGTTGGTAGTCATATCCTATGCTTATTGCTTCCTCAAATAATTGAAGATATCTTTATTTTTTTTTTTGAAGATATCATCAATTCATTTGATGCGTGCAACAATACAATAACAGATCTTTTCAGATAATGAATGATGTCTTCAATTCCGAATCATTGCGCGCATTAATTCAATTGTTGATATCGTTAATTTACTGAATTGATGCGCACATTTGTTGAATTGTTGCTCTCTTCAAATTAATTAATGATACCAACAATTGAATTGATGTGCGCAATAATTAAATTGAAGAGAGCAATAATTCAATTAATGCATTAACAATTAAATTATTGCTATCCTCAATTGCATATTCAATGACTGCGCACAAAAATTCCTTTATAGAGAATCGATATCACTATTTAATTAGTGATATTTTCAATTCAACGTATATTCATACTTTAAATAATGCTCCCTTTAGTTGAGTTGTTGCCCTCTTTAAAAGGATTTATTTGCACATTAATTCATCAAATAAGACCGTTGTGAAATAAAAATGTCTTTAATTCAATTCAAGAGATCAACAAATCTTTTATTTTGAGGTCTAAATTATTTTTTGTGAAAATTGTTCCACCACGTTGTTGAGCTCATTAATTGAATTAATACACACATGAAATCAATTGTTCTTCTCATCAATTGAATTGATGTGCGTATCAATTTACTTATTACACAATATACTCAATGGAATTGATGAAAGCTTCAAATAATTCAAGATATCTTCAATTATTTGAATTAACGTTAATTTGGACTTAAATATAAGTAAGATGAAATTAGTTTATTTGTTTCAGAGTTGATGAAAATGTTCAAGGGTTTGAAGTTGGACCGCCGACAACTGACGTCGAATAACGAAAGACGACGCGGGCGGAAACGCATTGGTATAGGTTACCAGAATAGGGAATTGCAAACTCAGTGAACTAAAAAAAAAAAACAAAACATGTGCTCTGTAATTGGCTTAACAAAATTAACTCGGTTAATATACTTCTCATATGATTTAATCAAAAGTGAATATCTGGTTAAAATTTGACATTTCTTTTGTTCAATTTTTGTACTTTTTCTATATCAGATGAAAGGGATGTTTTATTCATTTTATGAAATGGTCGTATTTGTGCATTTCAGAGGAATCAAAATCAATAGTTGAATGATTACATCAACAGAATTTGTGGTGAAAGAAAACAGAATTTGTTTGAAGGACATACGGCGAATAATTTTTTGATGGAAGCAAGAACTGCAAAATATCAAAGAAATCAAAGAAGACGTCTCAATGCAATAATATTTACAATAAATATTTTTTTCTTTATATTACATTTTCCTTTCATTCCTTCGTGCATATAAACTTGGTATATAAATTACTTAACTTCTATAAAAACTTCTATTAATTAATTTACATTGAATCTAGGGATATATATACTAGTGTACATCAGCATTGTTGTGTATTCCATTAGGATTTGATAAATTTATCTATATTCTCTATGTATGTTCTTAGAATTAGAGAATAAGAAAATAAACATATTCAATCAATTTTATAACAAAAATACAAATTGATTTTGTCAAGTACAAATGGAATTAGCATAAAATGCAAATTAAACATTATAGAATACAAATAGGGTGTTATACAATATACAAATGAAAATTATACATTATAAACTAAAAACAAACAGTGAGCACAGAGCTCACAAAATGATATCCCCGCTCCCATATCAGTATAATGGCAAAGTGCATTTCTTGGTGGTATGTAAATGAGATTTTGTGAAAGTTCCATTGAATTTCCGTCGGGAGTTTAAGAGGAGTTCAGTTAACAAAATGGGTACCCCCTTTATCGTGTATAATGAGTATAATATAATATTTTGCCATGGAAAAACTTAATATCTGTCCGCGATCAAGCGTAAAATAAAAGGTACACAATGGTACAACGTAATAAAGTTTCTGTAAGTCTCAATGATTTTATTCAGTGGTATAGGAGGAGTTGCAGATATGAGATGGGTACCCCCCCCCCCCCCCAATGTTAAATAAGAAATGGCAAATTCATGTTTTGCTATGGGAAACCCCAATATTCTTCTGATCGAAACATAAAATAGGAGATGCGAAATGGCACTGTGTAATAGAGATTTTGTGGAAATAAAATTTCATTAAATTGCAATCAGTGGTGTAAGAGGAGTTGCAGATAAGTAATGGCTCCCCCTAAATACATGTATACCAAGAATGGCAGTCTATGTTCTGCTAAGGGAAACCCCAAATAAAGTGTAAGGATGGACACTCCCATCACTAAATATACGCCCACTTTTCAAACGGAGGTACATAAAAATATAAGTGGACAGTTGCAGTTTTTTAAATGCTACACGCATAATGCAATTTCGCCATAAAACGATACACGTCGTGATAGGAGGAGAAACAGCTCTTGAGATTTAGAGCACAACAAAGAGACATGTATCTCAAAAATACTGGTACATTTATTTTGATTTTTGCAGACTGTTTTTCAATATTCTTTACAGAGGGCTCGATCCATTGACATTTCAGAAAAGAACTGCCTCAAACACCTGTGAAACAAAAAATTCTGAAAGATATTAACGTTTTTAATCAATTCGTTCTATCTCCATTCAATGTAAATTGAAAAATTTAAGTGTTCTATCTCCCCTGTCCAACCAAAATAGCCCTCATCTGACAAACAACCAATACTGATCACGACTTTTAACACTAATTTCCCAAGTTTTTGCAAAGTACAGAATGAGATGAACTATTGTAATTCTCAGGCGACACACTGTTTGATTAAAGATACACCAATGGCCTTTTTTTCGAGATTTCTGAGATTTATGACTAAGAAAAAGAAGCTAAGCTCTAGTAGATAGAAAGTATTATTATACCTCTGTCAATTTTTTCTATATAAAAATATTACGAATAAACATGTTATTTTTTCCAAACAGCCCCTACCATGGAAGAGTTTTTGTGCTATTTGCCCATGGTGAAATAGTCATTAAACTATTCACCGGCAGCATTCTGTTTCCCTCGCTTTTCATCTCGGAACTCTTCTGGTTTTATACAGATTGTGACGTAACACAAGTTAAGACTGCTTCGGTATAATAAAACACTTATTTACTGACTATTCGGACAATAGCAAGTTTATCGTTCCCCTCGACAGCAACTATTTCCCTCGGCTGCGCCTCGGGAAATAGTTGCTGTCTTGGGGAACGATAAACTTGCTATTGTCCTCATAGCCAGTAAATAGGTGTATACTATTACATGTAGTTCAAAACCTTCAAGAACGAATCGTGAATTGTCCCGAGGAATTTGTTTGGTAAGACAACATGACTTAAAATGCTGCTTATTTTATTTGTTTGCTTGAAGTGATTCAGTTTTAAATGTGAACATATGATGCAGACACTCAAACTAAAATTCAAACTCTCTACATAAAAAGAGAAGAAATAGTTATTGCAAAAATTATGAATCTGAAATGCTGGTATATTTTTTTTCAAAGAAAATTTCCAATAGTTATGCTGCAGCTAGCGAGTATGCAGGTCTGATATAACCACAGATAACTTATTCTGGATCTGCAACTGACTTTTCCCATGGAAACAAGAACTGTCAGACATTTCAAAGAAATAAATGGATGCTGCTTACAGTACTGTGATATATCCTTCATTTTGTCATTATAAACTGAGAGTACTTTTTCTCCTTAGATCGCGATGCGTGTAATGTAATCATCTCTTTCGTTTAATCGCAAAATTACATTATACACGGAAAGCGCATATATTTTCAAATACAAAGTAGTTTTGGTAAAGCAATTTATTTAAACAAGTACATCATGCATAGCAACTTTTAATTTATTAGAGAAACTAACGTTATCAATTAAGCTATCCATATAATTTACTGTTGATTAAACAGTGATACATTTCAGGGTCCGGCAAATGGTCTACCAAGCCCCTGTCTTATTCCTCACAAAAATTTAACTGCTGTAAAGGAGAAACTTCAGACGTACTCTGCAACAGCATATTCTAGAAGTGGTCGTAAATCAGATGTGGATTCTCAAAAACTCCAAAGAACTTATAGAAAACTTAAAATCGCTAAATCAAGTCAGTAACATCAAAACGTACGACTTTTCTACACTTTATACAAAAATTCTTCACGATAATTAAAAACTAGATTTATTGATATCACAGACAACTCCTTCTTCAATAAAGATAGAAGTCGGAAATTTTCGTATCTTGTAATTGGTCATCAACAAATTACAAAATAACTTTGAATACGATCAATTTTTAAACCGAGGCAGACTACTGACAAATGAGTTGATGTTAGGGGGATTTCAACAACCTCATTTAAAGTCAGCATTTCGTAAATTCTATGGTCGTTATAATGACTTTGTTAGCAAATATAGCCTACCATTGGGTCGTATTTTGGTTGACGTGTTTCATACCAGTTGTTACTAAGACCTTTGTTTTTATACCGAATTTGACTATGGGATGTTCCGGTTACCTGATCAATACATTGGGCTCACAGAGGGTCTAACTGGTCAACAGGGGATGCCTACTCCTCCTAGGCATCTGATCCCACCTCTGGAATTTCCAGGGGTCTGTGTTTTATGCCCTCTATACAGATTTGTATTGTTTATAGATTTTTAGAGATCGATCACTGTTCGTTATCTTCACCTTTTTTATTACATTGTATTAGCGTACGGATGACGTATACGAGGGTTGTCCGGCCAAAAAGTTCGTGGACAATGGCGTTTTTGTCAAAATGAATGGTTCAAGATAATCTTATTGTATACCAAAATATTAGTTAAGAAAATAAAAGTCAGAAAAGTTTGGTTTTTATTGTTTGAACTTAATATTTTTGTAAAAATCGTGGTCATCAAAGGTCGCCGAAAGTGAGCACGGACCAGGGTTAAAATGCCATAAACTTTTAAATAAAGTGTTCTGATTATTATTATTATTTTCTTTATAAAACAAGTCAAAGCTTAATAAAAATTAAATGTGTCGCAAATAAAGCGGCTATCGTCATTTTCTGATATCTTTAGTATCGCTTACTAAATAGACAGTGAGAATATTAAGCGAAAGCCGCAAGAAGTAATTCAAAAATTGACAGAAAAAGCGACGTCGGCCATCCGAACGGAACAGCGTCCAATCATACAATTATGTTTTAGTATGGTTGAAACGACGTCAGACACAAAATATTTATTCAAACAACTTGAAATTATTGGAATATATTTAGTCCATTGATTTGTAATTAGTGTATACGATTTTTCAAGGGTGTGTAAAATTTCGGAGACAATACAAAAAGTGGAAAAACACTGTTGTTTGGTGAAAATAAGATATCCCTATTCATAACGTTGTTATAAACCGTCGGACTGGACTGTGCAGCTGTGTATACGAAGTGTTTATATTAATAAAGAATAAAGTAATAAAGAAAATTAGCGTGTGTCCTTGAACATGTGATAAAAATTCAAAATCCATATTTTTGACGTTATCATGAAATTACATGTAGCATTACGTCAGACTGGGCCGTGCGGCTTGCATATACAAAGTATTTACCCCTATAACTTTCAGAAAGTAGTGTGCATTGTTTTAATATTTTATATATTTACTAATTCATGGTCTATATTAAGATTTTATCGTACACGTTTGCCATTGCGGGCTTTATTAAGAAAATTAAGCATTTGTCCACGAACTTTTTGGACAACCCTCGTATTTGCACGTGTACAGTTCGTTGTAAAATTTGCATAAATAATGACAAACATGGCGCTATTGCTGAAAGGGAGATAAGCACTACATTGAAGAATATTCTCAAGGAAAGAAAAAACTTGCCGTAAAGCAATAAGTATCTCTGAGGTTGTTGGTGCTCAAAAAAGATAATGTATTGCATTTGGCAAGCAAATGTCATCATATGGCAAAGCTGGGCAATAAAAGTAAACAAATAGAAGCTAGTTTAAAAGAAATTGAAAAAAAGGCATATCATATGACACTTTTTAAATCCCACTTCATTTAGCGTAAAATTAGATTTTCTACAATTTTATGACCATTTGAATGACAGGCACATAACATCATTAAAAGACTTGGTGGTTTAAGAACATGTAGAATTTCTAGCTCTATTGGTCCAAGTCCATTAAGATGCCCATCGTCCGTCCGTCTGCCTGTACTAGTAAACAATTTTTGAAAAACGTTGCTCTTCCTCCAGTTTTGGTCCGATTGCAATAAATTTTGACTATACCAAGGTACATAATTCTCTTTATTGGGTTTTAATTTTTGTCGATGGTGTTACCATGGTTGGTCACTTAAAATAGATATTTAAGGTTAATTTCTTTCAAAATGCTACTCATCCTACAGTTTGGTCCGATTTCATACAACAAGATAATACAAAAGTACAAATTTCTAATTTTAGATGGATAATAAAATTAGAAACGTCCGCGAGATTCTTTGAAAACACTACTCCTTCTACAGTTTTGGTCTGAATTCAATAAATATTTGTACAATAATAATATACACAAAAAACATATAATCCTGTATATTGCTATTCGATTTTGATGAAAAATGTTGCTAAAAATACCAAAAATAGAAATGAATGATTTTATTCCAAAACCCTGCTCATCCTAGAGTTTTGGTTTGATTTCAATAAAACTTGGTAGACAAGAAGAATCTATCAAGGTTTATAATTCTGCTTTTCAGATTTGGATGTTGCCATGGCTACAAAAAACTTTGACATGTCATTGTGCCCCTTGAGTTATTTCTGGCTTTGCTTAGTTGCCCCTATCTTTTGTTTTGTTCACCTAACCACATGTCATTGTCACCCTTGACTTCTTGCTCCCTTCCTTTGTTGCTCTATCACTAGTTTGTTCACCAAACCCCACTTCATTGCCCCCCCCCCCCTTGACTTCTTGCTCCTTTACTTTGTTGCCCCCTATCCTTTGTTTGTTGTCTTAAACTCATTTCATTATCCCCCTTGTGTTCTTACTCTCGATCTTGCTTAGTTGCCCCTATCATTTGTTTTGTTCACCTAACCCATGTCATTGTCCCCCTTGAGTTCTTGCTCCCGATTGCTTTGTTGTCCTCACATTCTTCTTGCATTGCACAATCACTTTGAAGACAAGATAGTGAATGTACCTAACAGAACACTAAATAAAAGTTTTTTGACAACATATATTTTGAGATTTCTAATATCATAAGTTTATTATATGAATACATTATTCATCTAATGTTATAAGCAGGTGTTCTTTACAGCCTTATAAACCATCACAAGACTGCCATTGAGTGCAGGAGTGGGAACAGAATTTCAAGATAAGAGGGGAATTTTGTGGGTTGTAGCTATGAACATTTGACCAAAAAGTTGAAGTGCATATGAGATTACTCTATAGGACATATATGATTCTATCACTTAAATCAGAAGCTTTTTTGGAGGGGAGGGGGTTAAAAGTGAAAGGGACTGGTGTTTTACAATTTAAATGTCTTCCCTAGAAAAAAAAAAAAAGGCCAACATCAACCAATATTGATAGTGTTTGCAATGTATTTGATAGATGGAGCATATGTATACATGGCTGAGTGTAGGAAAGATAACTCTCATTTGAGAGCATCACTGAACATTCTATTTGAGATCTGAATCTAGGATCAGGAAGAGTGTACAGTTACAATTAAATCTGTGATTTGTAAAATGAGAGAGAGAGAAAGGTACGTGTTTGCAAAATTTATTTCTGAACATCCTGGACGGCCACAAGTATACACTGAACAATTGATTTCCTTATTACTAAAATAATTTTTTTTTTTTAAATTTTGTTACAGATTTTATCAAAGAACCCCCCCCCCCAAAAAAAAAGCTTTTTGGATCTTTGGTCCTTGATTATCATGGAAACGTACCTCTGAATGATTTAAATTGGGGGGGAGGAGTGATCAAAATACTTTATGTCCCTTCAAATATACCTCTTCCTCTATAGGTATTGTTTGTTTGTTTTGAACATATTTCAATGACAATAAATCAATAGGATTGGACACATAATTCAATAACTTACTCTTTAGATATACACAAAATCAGCCCATGCTGGGGATACAGCTATAATTGTAGTTTCTATGAATAATAAATAAATCTGAATTATTTCACAGATGGACACCTGTACCCTTAATCTGTAAGTTTTAGCATTGTTCAAGTTAAATATTGCATGGAATGATTGTTTCCTAGAAGACTGGCTCTGCTTGCCTCTATCATGAGAAAAACTTGCAACAAATGTCAAATAGGCAAGTCTTACTTTATTTCCAATCCCCCCCCCCCCCATCATCTTCCCATCTTCAAAATAGGGAGTTAGGAGAAAACAGAACTTCCACCTCCTACCCCATCCCCTTCTCCTTATTGTGTCCTTCAAATCAAATGGTGATATTCTCACTAAATCAGTGTTAAAAGAGAAACCATTTCTATTTGAGAAGTAATATTTATTTCATAACCATATCATAAACAAGCATAAAACATCCCATCCTCACAAGTCTAGATTAATTGCCCTCTAATAAACATTTTGGCAGAACCAGCTTTTTTCTAGGAAAAAAATAGATAAGAGAACAAATGAAACAGCTTCAGAGGTTTTGATTCACTGTTATCCTTAGGTTCATAAGCAAATTAAATTGATTGGATTAACCGCTTATGAGATATATGCCATCTGTAAAATATCAGTCTGCAGTGAAACACTTTTGTCTGAGGCAGTGCCTGGGATGGACCGCCATAAGACTTGCTGACTCAAGTCTGTATATGACAGATTCTGGCTTCCTTGCTTCAGAATAACAGGAAAATGATTGACATTACTGTTATACCAAGTGTGTATTGATTTACATAGTGAATTTTGTGGAGGAAAAACATTTGGACAATACCACGAAGCCCTGGTGAGTATAATTTTGTTCTGATATTCTTTGAGATGATAGTTTATCATATTGTTGTTACTTTGTCACAATTAAATATTTCTTTATTTAAGGATCTTTTTTTTAAAAAAAAAAGAAACAAATTTGATCTATTTTTTTTTATTTGTGGAAAGGAAGGTTTGTAATCAATATACAAGTATATGTTATAAATGTGTGTGAATATACATATCAACAAAAATACCAGTTATACAAATATTAATTATTGTCATTTTTTTAACTCATATTTGTACAAAAGTACTTGAATTAAGCTAATTAAGTTTGAAGATGCCTTTTTATAAAAAAAAAATTACCAATTTTTCCCAATAAGTTGAAGCATTTAAATTTCAGACATATGAATTATTGATCCTCTATACAGTATAATGAACCCTCATATACTAAGTGTATACCATTGCCACTTCTGATCAGCTGAGAGAGAGAGAGAGAGAGAGGAGAGAGAGAGAGCACTACACTAGGACTTTAGGAACTGTACATGATAGCTTGTAGTATTGACCCTTTTTTGGACCCACTTTGTATGTAAATAGAATTGCTATTTGTAATTCCACATTGAGAGTTTCCCAATCACACCTAGTTAGGCTAGTTGCCAGAGAAATATTAGATTGCATTAGATTTGTATACATTAACTAAAGCTCACTTAAGATCTTTGCTGCTAAAATGTTTATATGGCAATGAAGAAATTTGAAGAAGTCATATGATGCACTGTAATAGTAAGTCTTGCATAATGTAAGGAATGTACCTATATTTCATTATGCAATGTACATAACAGTGCTTTATAACATTGTCTGGAGCTACTTGTTATTAATGCATAATTATCAAAATTTCTAAAAAGAAAGGGGAGAGGGTCTCAGAGTATCAGAAAGCCAACTGTCGTCTAAGGAGAGGAATGACAAGGGGGAGGGGAGGGGGTACTACTATATATGATCCCCCTTCATAATTTATCATCACAGTTTAGGATATGCAATCATAAACCAGTACTGAAAATATACGAATACAATACTGTATGCAACTTCTATAAACTGATATTGTCAATTTCTATAAGATCACTGCTTGGAGTCAGCTTCCTTAAGCATGGGTACAAGACGACATACAATTACATGATAGACATATTTAAGATTTAAGATGAAGATAAATTATGAGAGTATAATGGCCAGGCTAGCATAAAATTACATCATTGTGAGATGTATTTTTTCAAATTAAAAATTAAAGATTGACAGAAACAAATAATATGACACTGATCAGAAATAAATAGGAGACTCAGGTGACCTTTAAGGCCCATTGGTCCTTAAGTTCAATTAACTCTTATACAGTTGTTATTTCAAAATTGATACCAAGAGCTCAGTAAAATTTCTAAATAATTGTATAAAATTTCGTCAGTCTGACTTAAGAAAGATTGCCATTCAGTAAGACGGTAGTGATAAAGTATAAATATGCATCCTTTTGATACCGATAATACTGGAGTAGAAGATATGCATCATTTCAGTTTATCCCCACATTGATTTTGTGCTCTGTAGAAATAAGTGGTCAATACCTTAGTGGTCTGTTTATTTATCTTCTGGTTGACTTGACTGAGTGTATATATAACATTAATGTGTGCATCTAGCTTCAAGATCCTTTCAAGATAAGTGTGCCAATCTCTCATTATCAGATTTTAAAGCTTTCTTTCTAAATTCCATAAAGGAAAGATGTATACTTTGAGGGGGGGAGGGAGGTACCATGCATGTTGGAAAAGGTTGACAAGGAAATTATTTGGGGGATGGGGGTGTATATAAATATGCTACCTTGGTGATGCTATTGATGCTATCGCTACTGAAATATTTAAAGGAGTAGTGTAAATGATAACTATATATATATCCATGAAATAAAGGAATTCAACTATTCCAAAGCACTCAAGACATCATTCAATCTTTAAAAAGGATTGCTTAGCTAGGATGAGAGTTCAATTTTTCATGAAATTCTTATTATGAAATGCAAAGAGGTGGAATTGATTAGTTTCAAAGATTGCATGTGCACTTATGTAATCTTTTTTTTTAAAGATAAAATTGTTACAAAACATTATAGTAAACAAAAGATAATGGCATACTATAAAACTGAATGACATTTCCTAGCATTTTTTTGCCCAGATTGTAAGCTTCTGTTGTAAAATATTTATACTAGAAATGAAACAAAGGGAATCCTTTTGGGATTTGGAGGTTTTAATACAGATGCACCACCACTGAGCTCATAAATTCTGCATTAAGTCCTGATTCATTGCCATTGGTTTTTTTTAATGTACATTAAAGTCTGGCAAGTATAATACAAGCTTCCGGATTTGTTTTGATTATTACAGTACAATCTCTAATAACTATCATTTACTGATCTGTACCTGCCGGAATGATGAAATAGATTGTCATTCAATAAAACACAACACCACATCAATTACAGTCAGTATGTGATGGAAACTGATACCTGTAGCAGGAAGCCATGGTGGCTAATACGTAATTATGGAACTATTATCATCACTTTGTTGTAGGTGAGTTGTCTGAGAATAGTACTGGCTGATATGTGAGGATTTTTTCTTCTAATTTTTGTACTTGTTTCTACAGTAACCTAGTCTGCACTACTCTGAATTATTAATGCACAACTCTTTTTGTAAATGAAGGGGAAAGAAGCTTGCAGCATCTGGAGCATGGCTGAAATTGTACATTCTATATGAAGCACTTAATTAGGAAGGGCTGGCTTCAGAATTGCAAATGCACTGCATGTCTATGCAAGAATGTCATTGATGAATGACATATAATATTTCAGGAATTATCCTGCTCTAATGGTGTGCCATATATCCAATACATGGTAATGCATCTTAATGATATTATTATCCATTTAAGTCTAATCATTGCAAAGCTTATAGTATTTCCATTTGGAAATTATCATATTGGCTCCAGCTGAAGTATTTCATCTAAAACTCATCCCCCCTCTGAGGTGTATCTTTTTCTGTATTTAGTTGAGAAATACAAGTATCTATTTAGATTAATATTTACATGTACATTGTATATGTACATGTGATTTTCTAATGTTAGATGCAGCGGCACTAGCTTATATTCAGATTGAAAATGAAAGGTGGGCGCTTTTATGGGCATTTCCTCTGAATGAGATGAATATGGTTAATCATTTTAACCTGGCCATTATACTACTATACATTGTCATTTTGCAGCATCAGAAGCATTACTGGTAGATTACATTCCCAGATGCAACATTTAAACAAATGTACAGAGTTATTACATTCCTGGGAATGAATCTGCTTCGACAACTTTAGTCTAGCCGTTTGATCATCCAGAAAATAGCAATTACATGCAATTTTCTGAAGTATAACTATTAGTAAAAAGTGTATCTCAATTTGATTCATGGTCAGGTTTCTGAAATCAAGATAATTTTGAAATGAATATGGAATGTGAATTTGGTGAAGCACAATTTTTTTTCTAAAAAATACATCTAGATAAGGCCTGTTTATATGTACTCAAATTAACTAACTTGATGCTTAGATTCATTGTACACCTATAAGAAGACTAGGAACCATGATTAGGTCATCATTATTAATCTTCGAGTCTATACAACATTGTTTTTGCAAAATTAAGAAATTGAGCATAAAATTTCAATGAATGTAGAAAAATAATCAAATGAATTAACAGGAGAAAGAAAAAGGCTCATACTTAAAATATTTTGTGAAGCTGACACTTGATACAGAGCTTGTTTATTAATTAACAGAGGTACTCGATCATAGAGTTCACATTGTATATGACCCTGGAATTGCAAGCTGTTTCTTGATACTTACATATTGATAGAAGAAATGGTAATTCAATGCAGATAAACATAGAATTCTTGGGAAATGGCAATAAAAGTGCAGATAATCACTAATCATGTCTGTTGGAAAAACAAACTTCACTCTAGGAGTTATAATCCTATACATTTAACCATAAACAATAGGCTTAATATGTATGAGCTTTATACCTTCTCCAAAAGCACACATTTTGTAGTCAAATTCAAATAAATCATTTGGGGGGGGGGGGGGGGGGGGGGGTGTAAAATTAGCAAATATTCAACCAGAAGATAACTTAGAATTTTGAATGAATAATATAACATTGTATTTCTTTTTTGTATCAAATTTTCTGTTGAAGAATTCATCAACTGGCAATTTGTATGTACAACACTGTGTACTTAGTAATACCCAGTATAATTTTATGTAATTTGTCAATTTTTTATACATAAAGGAAAGTAAATTAGATAAATGTATAGGGACCATCTGGAGAGATCAAGCTATAATAATGTCTAAATTTTTATCATAAGTTACTGCCAGTGCATATAAAAAGAAAGGTGTGTACGAGCAGAAATTCCAACAAATTACATAAACAATGGAGTCATCAAGGAGTAGATCAAAGAGTAGATTACTCCACAGAATATAAACTGATCAAAATTTATTGTTTACAAGGCATTAGTTAGGTTTTATTTCCAACCAAAGGGTTTTGAATTGTTTATTTTCATGCAAGAAATAGAGTTTTTCTATCCCTTGAATATTGATCATATATCCATCTTAAACGATGCCTGTAAATTAAAGTAATTTTCCAACTGATACACTGTATATGTTAAATTCCTCTGCTTAACAATAAGTACATCATGAACTCAGTATGTCCATATATATGTATGTTTGGCTGATAAACATTTATTAAGAAGCACTAAAATTTTTAGAGATTGAAATTCAAAAGGAGTTCATTAAATGTTTTTTTTTTTTTTTTCGAAAAGGGGTAGAACTTAAATGCATGCAAATATTTGTTTAAATTTTCTCTGCAGTTTGAGCTTTGTAATGCATTAAAAACTTTTCAACTTTTAAACTGTTAGAATTAAGTACTAGTACCGTAATTAGCAACAATTTACTAGGTGAAAGTGTCAAAACAGTTTGTTTCCAGAATCTGCATGTGCATTGAATGCTTTCCAAGGTAAATGTTCAAACTTATAAGCCGGTCAGCATGCACACTTAATGGTTCACCCTGAATAACTATTTCATTTAGGTTAATTAGCAAGGAGTTATCCACAGTGGCATTTTGTGTATTTCCTACTAGTTAAAACAATTCTGTTAGGGCAAGAATTCCTTGCAAGAATTTTTCACTCACATGAGACAATCATCATATACTGGTGAAGGCCTTCAAATTTAGACCTATATACTCAGCACTCATGGCCATTGAGCAGTGAGGGTTCTTTTTCATGCCTGAATGCCTCCTATGACACGGGACCTGCATTTTTAAGGTCATATACAAAAGACCTGAGACTTTCACTTCTAATGCCATGGGGGGGGGGGGGGGGGGGGGGAGGTGCAAAGGAACATTCACTACCTATGTTATATATATATAGGTTTTATGTGGTGGTGGGAAAGTGAATTGAACCTGGACCTTTCAATCACTAAGCGAGTGCATTACCAGTAGGCTATCGCAACCGGCAAATACTAGGAGAAAATGTGTTAGTTTTTTTGCGCTCTCAATAATGTCACAGATTCAAGAAATAGTGAATAGTTTATATGTGAAAAGATTATTTACAATTACATATTAAAGGTATGATTATTCAAAAACTTGCAAGTTTGCATGTTTTACAATAGATTCTTTACAAAATATTATAATTATGACCTAGTTTGCATTTGTGTCCTTGAGGTTTTAATTTTTGAAAAGAGTATTTTGCAGTATAATATCTGACTTGTGAAAGACAGGATGTGATAATTAAAATTATATTTTGAAAGCAAATTTTAAAAAATACAAAGGCTCCAAGTTGTTTTCATCCTTTTTTAACATAAAAGTTACATTCATGATGAAATCATATATGCTTATTTTTTTTGGTGACAGCTCTTTAGTTGTATATGTTTCATTTTGTCCTAAACTGCTTTTGCAGATGGCACAGTTTCCAGTAATTCCTTTAAACAAAATCTGGATATTGTATAGTACAGTGTCACATGCAATAAACCACTTAGTTTGGCACTTAATCGTGTTCCCACAGTGGCTGTGACTTTTTCAGAACACACCAATTTTAGAGTGGCCATCATGTCTGATATATGCATGATTATTGGTGAGATGAAATTGACTTATAGCATTGCTGGTACAGCACTCTGAAATAGGCAGCAAGGATTTCAGACCAATTAAGAGAGCTTACTGGAGTTTGATCCAAGGTAGAAAGATAAAGGCTTTCCCATACCACAGAGTCATAGGTTTCTGATTTAATTATGTAAACTCTCTGGGGAGTAAACTCCCATATGGGAGTTAATTAGGCAATTTACTTTTAAATAATTTACTTTATTGAAATGGCTACATGTTGTTTATTGTGAGGCCACCCTGTTTCTAGCTCTATATGGTTTATTAACCCAGCAGCTCAGTTGGTTAAGTTGTACTAGTCTAATTGACTTTTAACCTGATGGTTATAGGTTCAATTCACATTGTAGACACCCGCTACTTAATCAGTCACAGACTGGAGTTTCACAGATGCTCCTGAATTAAATGGTTAACAGAGCTATGTACAGTGAAACTCAAACACAGCAAAGTTCTGGGGACTTGCAGATTTACTTAGCTAATTATAAAACCAATTTGTTATATCAGTAAAACGAATTTGTAATGTTTTTATATAGTGAATTTGCAATTTTCATGTTTTCCTTCTTGTGACTATCAAATTTGCTCACTAAATGAAATGTGAAGATAACAAACAGTGTTCATGCTCAAAAGTCCAATCAAACAATATAAACTGTGAGCAGAGCAAACATGAACCCCTGAAAACTGAGGTGGGATCGGGTGCCATGGAGGAGTGAGCATCTGCTTTTGACCAATCACACCCACATTGTGCTCCTGTAAACTGAAAAATCCATAGACAATTCAGTGTGAAAATAATGGCCTAACAATTTGTATGAAAGATGTCAGTGAAACATTTGATTTAACGATAGATTGTATATGCAAACAAAGTCATCAACAATAGAATTGGTGGAATGATGACTTGTTGATATCCTTGTATCTTCAACTTCTTTGTCAGAAGCCTGCCTCATTTTAGAAATTGTTCATATATAGGACATGCTTTTGAGTATCGAGTCAAATGGGAGACATAAACCCCATTTGCAGATGATTATGGTATGTTGCTAAATAAATAAGGGAAATTGATGATAGAAAAGTTGAAGTCATCACTTTATCATATAAAAACTTTGTTGTTAGTTTGCCTTAAAGTAAAACATCCAGATTTGAAACAAGTGTGTCACACTCTGTAGTTCTTTTATTTCAAGTTCAATGGGATATATCCAATCAGCATTAGGAATGAAAATAAATATTGTTAATTGATAAAATATCATTGAATCATATTACCGGTATGTATATTCAAATGTCAAAATGAAGGCAACAACAAAAGACTTCTGTCTTTTCACATAGATGTTTGTGAATAAATTCTGCTTCATAAGAATACAAAAACAAGTCTGACTTTAACTTTCAATTCCCCATATGGAAGCAACAGTATTTACAAACACATCTTGTTGTACCAGGTAACTGCATAAGCTAACTGGCCACTGGTGATCGAACCTGCCTGACCACCACATTTAAATAGAAATACCTATATATATATATATATATATATATATATATATATATATATATATATATATATATATATATATATATATATATATATATATATATATATATATATATATATATATAATCTGAATTGCACAGTTTGAAACAGCTTAAAACTGTATACTTCATTTGTCAATTGGATACACCTGCTTTTAACTCTTTACAAAGAAACAAATTCTGTGGGCGATGTTTGTTTAAGCTGTGTAGAACACCAATGTGCCGTATGCATGTTTATTTTTTATCCATTAAATATATCTCCTGATATTCAGCTTTCTATTTTGATGTTACTGGAATGGACCATCTGTTATAGAAATAGCTCTCAGCTTTCTCAAAGACTCGTTTTTTGACACTGTATTTATACATGATACAAAAAGATATCTGGTGTCTTTCTTGTAAACAGTTTTAATATTGATAATCTTGTACTAATCTCATGTTCCATAACAAAGTGGGGAGATTGGGGAGTTGTGTTTCTCTTGGCTTTGAGTTTGATTGTTTTACCATCTGTGCAGTGCAGAGAAAAACATCTATATAAAGAACAAACTGTCAATTTCTAGACCTCACAGATGTGACAATATATTGATGTCTGCTCTAGCTTAATAAACTCAGAAGTTCTTTATGCGTGCTATTTAAGGGAATTATCGGTACATTTTTGTGTGCAAAAAATCAGGGGATAATTTTTTTAAAGTTAGTGACTGCATGTACTGATATTGCCTAAGTACCTCAAATTGTTAACAAAATGGAAATTGTTGCAATGAATAATAGCGTTATAAAGACTGACTGCAAGGGGAATTGTTGAATGCATTTATAACATATGGCATGGAGATAATTTCTTCTAAATTTTACTTAAACATCATAATAGATTATAGCTTATTTGTATGCATTTTCAGTCTTTTTTTAACTATGTATCTATCAATGATATTTGCTTGAAATTGATTCAGCTTTGTCTAGACCTTTACCTTGATATATAATCAGATTAAAAATTTGAATGGATCAATTAATAAATAAAAAAAGTTTACTAGTTCATATATATAATCTAAGCTGTTCAGCCCAATGAGCATACAGGAAGTTTAAAAAATTAAAACAGAGAGGGGTTATTATAGAATTATAATGTCTTTTAATCATTTATTTAATGAGGTGTCTTAAAGGATTGATCTCTTAAAAAAAACAGTTAGGACTGAAGGGCAGGTTGGGTTTAATATTTTCAAGCCATAAGTTAATTTACAATCTATTTTCAGCAAATTTAATCCAGTGCTGCACAGGGGCAGAAGTGGTATACATGTATATTCATTACTCAGTGTTCAAGCCATTGTCCCCTCAGCCAGGATAGTGTTAGGTTTTTATAGACTTCTTTAAAAAGAGAAGACTAATTACTTTGTCAAAATAATATACATGTATGTACGTATCAGTACAATTTCTTCATAGATTAAAATTACTTAAACCATTATTACTTTTTGCCAACTGACTTCATTTGCAAATTCTTTTTTCATTAATCTGAAGTGGTGGCTCAGTGGTTCATTATCCTCATTTACGGAGGTTGCGAGTTTAGACTCCCAGGTAGGTCTGTCCTAGAAATTTGAAATTAGAAAGAACTGACAGTTCCATTGCCAGCTGCTTAGCAGTAGATTGCAGGGCATGGGTCTTTCAGACCTTAAAAACTAAGTCCCTTTTTGTAATGAGCTCTTGCATGATAAAGAACCCTTGATCCATTGTTGTAGGTCGAAGCTGACATTGTCTGTGCATGTTGAGTTGAATGGGAATGGCCTCAGGCTAGCTTTTTATTGATAAGTACAGTTCCAAAATTTAGGTGTAGCAGCACGTATGAAATACTGGTCAAGTTTTTTTTTCATCTTTATAAACCTTCTCCTTACAAAGATTCTCTAATGTCAAGGCTTATGTGAGCAAACATTGATTTTCTGTGACCTGTCATAACCAAAAATGAGTAGAATATCATCTCATTGGGAATTCAAAGGTTTCTCTGCCCAGTCTACTTATCAAGTGCACACAATATAGATATCTATCTAAATCTTTAGGCGACCTTTTGATAGAAGTGAACAAATTCTCACAGGGATGACAAACTCCAAATATCAATCTAAAAGTTAAAGCAATGTGATTAAGGCATGACATCTTTTGTTTTATCATTGCTTTTTATGCCACTGAGATTCTTTTTTATTAACTAAATGTCCTCTTTGCATTTTCCTATGTGGTAAATTGCATAATTTCAAAGAAATATATACCCTGCAACTATAATAATGTCCCCTTTAAGTATAAATTCAAGAAGCTAAAATGCATTCAAAATATTACAACCATGCAAGCTAGGTAAAATAGAAATAAAATTCCACTGAAATAACAATCTGAATGAAATTTTTACACAATTATACACTCAAATATGATGATATTGCTCTCAGTCGGAGATATAATTTCACAAAATTAGCGGGTTTAAGGAAATGTATCACATTTGTTATCAATCTTCTGTATTGATTTTTTTTTTACAGCCATCATACCCAATAGCCATAATTGCACCAGTCCCAAAACTTACATTAAATTTTGCATGTCTTTCTGCTGTCTTTATTTGGAAAATGGATACGGAAGAGACGGAGTCATCAATTATTTATCTCCGTTATCTGTATGTGTTGTAAAATGAAAGGAACCTCACACAATCAGCAATATCGACTACAAAAAGATTCTCCAATAGTGTAACCGATGCTTGCAAGATTCACAAAAGCAATTTCACATGTAATAAAATATTTAATAAGTACACAGACTTCTCTGTTATACAGCTCGGTAAATTGGTTGTCAAGGAGATGAGAAACCTGCATGACAAAAACATATACATATATTGGTTATTTTCCACCTGTACTGATATTTTCATTGATCTACCTAGGAAAGTGGTACTAAACTCTTTCTGCAGTTATAAGAATAGTTAACATGAATATTTTATATTCTTAGCCAGTCAGTACTCTTCATTTTCATTTCAGAGTCAGTCGACTTCACCATTTGGTATATATATTATATTGTCAACATAGGACTAAGGCTGCTCTTCTAGTGCAATTTTCCAGTTGAGGCTGCTGACATTTATCACCAAACTTTGGTAAGTTTTTATTTCATCCAAGAATCATCTCAATAGATCTATGGTCAATTGGTCACATAGTTTAACTGTGATATTTTCTAAAAAGAAATTATAAAAATACTTGTCATTTAAACATATCTGGTATATTCTGAAATGCAATGCAATTTATGTTATTTGACCAGAGAAGCTTCTACATGTATTGTGTCTATATCTTTGTGGATAATTTTTCAAAATGCAATTCCTCCAACAGCTTTTATATGATGTCTCATTGTCCATCATGCATCTGTCTCAATGTCCATCATTCATTTGTCTCATTGTCTTATCTATCTGTTTCATTATCCATCAACCATCCATCTGTCTCAATGTCCATCATCCATTTGTCTTGTCACTGTCTGTTATCCATCCATCTGTCTCATTGTTCATCATCCATTTGTCTTGTCACTGTCTGTTATCCATCCATCTGCCTCATTGTCCATCATCCATTTGTCTCGTCACTGTCTGTTATCCATCCATCTGTCTCATTGTTCATCATCCATTTGTCTTGTCATTGTCTGTTATCCATCCATCTGCCTCATTGTCCATCATCCATTTGTCCCGTCACTGTCTGTTATCCATCCATCTGTCTCATTGTCCATCATCCATTTGTCTTGTCATTGTCTGTTATCCATCCATCTGCCTCATTGTCCATCATCCATTTGTCTTGTCATTGTCTGTTATCCATCCATCTGTCTCATTGTCCATCATCCATTTGTCCCGTCACTGTCTGTTATCCATCCATCTGTCTCATTGTCCATCATCCATTTGTCCCGTCACTGTCTGTTATCCATCCATCTGTCTCATTGTCCATCATCCATTTGTCTTGTCATTGTCTGTTATCCATCCATCTGCCTCATTGTCCATTATCCATTTGTCTTGTCATTGTCTGTTATCCATCCATCTGTTTCAATGTCCATCATCCATTTGTCTCGTCACTGTCTGTTATCCACCCATCTGTCTCATTGTCCATCATCCATTTGTCTTGTCATTGTCTGTTATCCATCCATCTGTCTCATTGTCCATCATCCATTTGTCCCGTCACTGTCTGTTATCCATCCATCTGTCTCATTGTCCATCATCCATTTGTCTTGTCATTGTCTGTTATCCATCCATCTGCCTCATTGTCCATTATCCATTTGTCTTGTCATTGTCTGTTATCCATCCATCTGTTTCAATGTCCATCATCCATTTGTCTCGTCACTGTCTGTTATCCACCCATCTGTCTCATTGTCCATCATCCATTTGTCTTGTCATTGTCTGTTATCCATCCATCTGTCTCATTGTCCATCATCCATTTGTCCCGTCACTGTCTGTTATCCATCCATCTGTCTCATTGTCCATCATCCATTTGTCTCGTCATTGTCTGTTATCCATCTATCTTTCTCATTGTCCATCATCCATTTGTCTTGTCATTGTCTGTTATCCATCCATCTGTCTCATTATTGATCATTCATCCATCTCACTTCAAACATTTATCCATCTATCTCATTGTCTGTCATTCTGTAAACAACTTTTCGGACTACAGTTGACAAAAATTTATACATTGATATATTTTCATGCCATTCCAGTTGAAATGCGTGTTCTCTGGTCCATAATATGGATACTACTGATAAACATCATTGAGATCACCTCAGTTTCATCAGCACAGACTAATTCTTGTGGCACCATACTACCACCACTCCCAACAGATACTGACCACAAACACAAAGACAGTGTCCGTGTGTCTGCCAGTCTTCAGAGTAACTGTCAAATTTACAACAGGCTGGAGCTCATCCTAAAGGAATTGGGAATTTTTTCTGCTGAATCAGATTTTTGCATTACTTTAGAGACTCTTACTCGGATTGTATTCCCAAGTGATAATTCCAGTTCACAGCGGAGGATCTCTGTATCCTTAGATTTAATTGTAAGTTCACAACCATCTGGCAAGGATCAAAACACAACAGTTTCTAACAATTGTCACAATATGGGAACTTATTCAAGAAGAGTGGAGGCCATGGAACAACTTCAGTCTCAGAATAATCAGTCAGAGGCCCACAATGTTAGTACAGCAGTGGATCCACCCAGTAAACATGCCCAGGGGGAGGATTCTGGAGGTAACAGGGCTACAGTTACTTACATGATATGAAAGCCCCCTAATGTAATCTAAATTTCTTCAAATCATGGCTTCCAAATTTTGGATGAGACCATGGCAAGGAGTCAAAAATTTTCATTAGATATTTCCCTTAAATCTTTTAAGAATCATAGTCTATGGAGATCTATTCACAAAATATAAGTTACGATTCCGTAAATTTTTTTTATGATTCTGCAAAAAATATTGTATTATGATTCTTCAAATATTTTACTTGGATCACTGGAACACAGGTAAAAATTCATATAAATTAAATTGTATTTATTAATAAAATCACAAAGTATAACATGTATGATAAAATATCACATATTAATAAAATAGAACTATAAAATATCACAGTGATAAAATTAAAAGCTGTAGCACTGCATAAAAATGTGCCATAGACCTAAAGCTTTAGGACTATGAATGTACTGGTACATATGAAAGTTAATTAATAATTGAAAGTGCATTAAATATGGACTCTTTATACTTTTGAATAGGTACCAAATGACACTGTAGCTTTAGCACTAGCACGACATGATATTTTCTTTGTATGAAAGTTACCATTACAGCCACCTTCACATTTAAAAATTTGGTTCCAAAACATCTAACATCTGTTCAGGCACTATATTTGTATCTCAGACTTCTTTAAAAATTCAGTCCTGGCAACTTTGTGTTTCACATATTTTGCATATTCTTTACGCAGAATGTCAAGTTTGTGTTGTCACTCTAGATCTCAGGTAAATTGCAGAAACGTTGTGCTTAGGTTCAATGATAGCTATATACATATATGATTTTTGCGGAAACATAAGAAAATTAACTTTTTGTGGAAATCTAAAAATGAAAATTTTAAAAATTTGCGGAAATGTAATATGCCTGGTTTTTGATGATTTCAGGGTTGAGTTATACTCAGATGGTAGTCATAGCAACCTGTGCCTCTATCATTGGAACATTTTTCCTAATAGCAGGGATTATAAGGGCAAGGTAAGAAGAAGAAAAATAGTTCCTGATTAAGTCTGTGTTTATAATCTCAGAATTGTTGGTTTTAAATTCAACCTTTCAATAATTGCAATTATATTTTGTCCAGACATATTCATTGTATGTTTTAATGTTTATATAACAATCTGTTTTCTCAAACCATATATCATGATAATTGCTTTCCTTGACACTTCAAATTGCAAATTGTTTACAAGGAATTTGAAAGAAAAACAATGAGAAAAAGTTATCTTAACTTAGATTATTAAGTTATGAAATATATCCTGAAAAATATTATGATCAAATATTTCAGTTGAAACTTCTTAGGACTAAAAGGTTACTTTCAATCATTATGCAATACTTTTGCCAGCCAGAGCTTTGGTCTTTGTGAATCTGCAGTACCACAATTCATCTGATGCTCTAATTCTACTTAATTATCCTCTTAGCGATATGCATGCATTAAATATGACTAAATTGGTTACCATAGAAATTAGGATATTCAATGTTACTTAGCAAAATGATCAAGTATTTCATATCGGCTAGAATTTAGGTTTATGGTACTATTTTTATGAGAATTCTATTATAAGATACAATTTGCAAAAAATTAAAATAAATAAATTTAAAAAAAATAGATTGAAAATCTAGATCTAGTATATCTATGTGATATAGATCAGCTGTAAATGAGTATTTTATGAAAAACAAACATTTTTAACATTCATATGTATCAATTAGCAAAAGATGATCATGAGGTTTAATTACATAAAATACAGTTCAATGACATTCAATAAAATTGAAAATAGGTTTCATTTAACAAAGAACAATGTTTATCAGCAAGGTTTCACCTTTTTTTTGGAACTGTGTCACATTTGGTCTTTCAAGATCTTTCAGGCACAAGGGGGGGGGGGTTAATTTTAGTTTGGGAGGAACATAAATACTGAACAGAAATTCCTTGACAAACAAAAAAAGGTCACAATACTTTATTGCTAAGGGAACATAACCATTAATTAGCATTTTAATTCCATTCTATAGTATATAGTAATAAATTAAATGAGGGGCATATTAAAGCCCCTCCCTCTCCTCCTCCATTGGTCCTAAAGGCCTATTAATAGTCTAACATTATTATATAAAACATTATTTTGTACATGAATCTTTGTTTACAACTTGCATAATGTCAGAATGTACATGCTGATTAGTGGGAAATTTCTTGACAAATAAGCTTTATATTGAAATTGTATCAGATTGTCAAAAATTACCAGCCATATCAGTTTAAAGTTTCCTAGGAACTTATACAGTACATACTGGATTCATCTGTTTTCTATAACAGAAACTACTGGAAGAGGTGGCAGGAAGAGCAAGCAGCATCTCGCCGACTGGCCACCACAAACTACCGCCTCCCTCTACACTCATCCAATCAGGAGGTCCACGGATCTCCAAAAGACAGCCGAGCTGGCTCCTCTGGTAGTGGCCATAGTCAGGTAATTATCAAAATGACAAAAAAAACCTAAGCTTTGAAACAGTAGGACTGATGGGGGCCTGTTTACTTACTTATTCCCTATAAATACATATTAAATATATATATATATATATATATATATATATATATATATATATATATATATATATATATATATATATATATATATATATATATATATATATTAGGGATGTCAAATCGGTCAATTTTTGATAATCGGTTACTCGGACGTTTTTCCGATCGAGTACCCGGGTACTCGGTAAAAATGAAAATACAAGACAGTGTGTTAATTTTCTTGGGCCCGGTTAAGCTCTGTTAAATCCCAAAGCTGTTTTATCACGTTTATAAATGTATATAAACAACTGAGTCAAAGGGAAATGATTTTTTGGTACCAAATTTATTTATCAAATAAACTCAAAAGACACAATTAATACATAAAAAAATTAAAATGGTTTACAGTTCTTGTTTAGGACCTATTTCATCAACGCAAAAGGACAATCTGTTACGCAGTTTTGTGATGTTAGACAAATGAAAGGGAAGGAAAAGACGTTGTTGGGATCGCTAATCTAATATTATTTCATAATTTGGTTGTTTCCCACTAAACCTACTATGCAAACTAACTTTCAAATTTTTTTTAAATCTTCAGTTATTTCTAAATATTTCTTCACTATTGAAGTGGGAAGCGGTATTTCTATGCCTGTCCGATTTCGCTACCGTATATTAATTAAATAATTTAAAAACGATTTGAATACAATAGACAATACTTAAATGATGTTTACTGAAAACAATCATTGAAGCCTCCGAAAATTAAGGACCACAATAGATGAGAAAAGCTGTGTACCAGATGATTGGTCATTAATTACTGTATATACACAGCCACAGGCGATAATGGGTGTTTTACAGGTGTAGATGACGACACGCTAATTACCGTATGAATATTTAATAATTTTTTGATAAGTTTTTGATAAAAATATGTACTTTGAAATAAGAAAAAAATATACTTCCGAGTAACCGAGTACCATTTTTAGTATTCGATACTCGGATGTTTGATCGAGTACCCGGTTAACCGGGTACTCGTTGACATCCCTAATATATATATATATATATATATATATATATATATATATATATATATATATATATATATATATATATATATATATAGAGAGAGAGAGAGAGAGAGAGAGAGAGAGAGAGAGAGAGAGAGAGAATGAAAGCCTAAAGCTTTACTGAAGTTTTTTTGTTTTTCTTCTCTATTTTAGGTATTTAATTCTGACTACTGAGACTTATTAGACATTCTCTCTCTCTCTCTCTAATGGAAACATTTTGGTGAAGAAAAACCTTTAATAAAAGCAATATTTTATATATCATGCAGAGTAAAAATATCTTCAAAATTCTTATCTTTTTTTTTTCTTCATTGTTTTGCTACTATCCGGACTCCTCTTGTTCTGCAGAAATTGGCCAGATTAGACAACATTCCGGAGTAGACAACATTTTAAACAATTCAATTTACTTAAAGGGCTTAAAGTCTACATTGCAATAGGCAAGATTTCAGAATACACAATATCCAGATTAGACTAGTTTTACTGTATCCAACTTCTTGTGCCACTTATTCCACTCTGACTTAGGTACGTGACTATTCCACTTAAAATTTTGATAGTTGTAACAAACCATGCAGAAAAGAATTGTTCAAAATTTCAACTTAAAGTAAAACAGATATTATGGAAATTACAGACCAGTTGTGCTCACCTCTGCCTAAACTTAGCAGTCCACAACACCCAAAAACAGATCAGATGTGCTCTGAGTGACTACGGTGATATAAAGATCATTCCCAATTATGAACTCAAAAGATGTTTCTATTTTCAGACACCATTTGTAGCATTTTGTCTTTCTACATTTAATCTTTTCAAAATTAAAAAGAATTCTTAAGACAAGGAATTAAATTTCCAGCTAGCTGCTAAAGGAAAAATACAAGTACGTAGCATTCCAAGGTTGTTTTATAATCTAACTTCCCAACTTTCAATGCTTTTTTTCCATCTGTAAGAATTACCGTAATGCTAAACTACAGTCATTTTACTCAATGTTACATGTCACAATGATGAACTCTTCATTTTCACAAAGATTCATGCCTTTGGTATAAATTTGGTCCTCCATTTTGTTTTCTTTGGTTGTTCATTTAAATGGTACTTTGGCATTTTAACAAATTAAAGATTACTGTAAACAAACTTTTATTCGTGTGCAAGAAGTATTCGCGAGTTTCGCGACCTTCATTAACTCGCGAATATTTATAGCCGCGAACCATTTATTTTGCTTTGCATTTGTAGAGAATGTTTCTTCAGTCACGAAAATTAATCGCAGCGGATTGATTTCAAACTGACGAATTGCGAATTAAAGATGATGCGAATAATAGTTGGTTTACAGTATCTGTCAAGAATTCAATTCCAACATTATAATTCAACAAACATTGAATTAGATATTGTTTTCATTTGAATTCTTGTGAAACAGCAGACAATAGGAAGATTACTCATTGCGCCTATGGTAATAAAGTTGCAAAACATATAATCATACAAATATAGTGAAATTGACAGACCTGACAAAAACATGGAATCAAGACATGACAAAATGTCAGATGCAGTTGAACATATGTATATTGACAATGAACTGATGACAATCTAAGATTTTGTGTGTGTTTGAGACATGTAAGATTTGTCTCCGAATTTTACGGTTTAAATTTGTAAAATATCATTGTGAGCTGGTAACATTTGTGCAGTTACCTCAACATAAATCCCATTATGAAGACAGACTGATCAATTTCTCTTAACAGGGAGTAATCCTTTCTTTTTTCTTCATCTGATTACTAATTTTAATCCTATTATGTGCCCTAGCTGCCCAGACCTAATCCTTTTACATCTTTATAGATCTGAAATGGTACATATATCACAGCATTAATTCAGCTTCCTTCAGAGGTCAACAGATTGACATGTAACATGTATGATACGTACATCACAGAATAAGTATGAGCTCATCTATTTATTTTTGTTTTCCTTAGTGGGTGCATTTGTCATGATTTGTCCATCATGATAACCTTACCAACAAATGGCTGTTTTCCAAAAAATATTTTCAATTGGAATTTAAGAATGAAGATATACAAATCTTTTCTCTGATAGGAAATAAATTGACATGAACATTCTTGTATGTGTGCTAAATTATGATTTGCTGTATTTAAGCTTATCTCAATGACATTTAGAGAGAGAGAGAGGGGGAGAGAGAGAGAGAGCTTAGGCTACCTTAAAAAGTCAATGGTACTGGATCCTATGACAACATTTTTTTGGCACATACAACTTAAAGAGTTTCCTGAGTAACTGTAAAGCCCTCTAACTAGAGGCTAACATTAAACAAACTTAAAGATGGGATTATTCATATCCTTAATCTAGTGATTTATAGTGATTTCAGGGCCTCAGGGTGGGCAATGTTGAATATACATGTATATTGAAAAAAGAGCATTATATACCATAAATTAAAGTGGAATTTTTAGGGGGATGCAAATTTAGTGATTTATCCTTTAGTGCAAAGCAATTTTAGCAAAATACTGTGGAGATAGATACATATTACCATCAGTATGGAATGAATTGTTAGCAATATTGAATTTTAGTGATCTCAAACCCTTGCTAATAATGCCAAAATTGAATCCTCACTAAAATTCTGCTTATACGATATTTGAAATCATCTGTACTGCTGGAATCTAGCAGTTGAACTGCATTACAGGCTTATTGCATGTATAATAAGTGCTGAGCCTTTTGCTCAATGTAATTTTTATGTCCCTTCGGTCATGAGATCAAGCCAAAGGGTGGGGTTAGTTGATCACATAATGAAATATATAGTATCATGTGACTTTGAATAGAATTTTCTTTCCTTCTGGAGTTAAGGACACAAAATGTTTGCATGATTATGATAAACAATGCCCCTGTACAAAAATGTCTTTCATGTCCCCTGGACCAGAGACAAGGTTCAAGGATCTGGTAAAGTTGATTATAAATCAAAAATGCATTTTCTTCTTTTTAAATTTTCTTCAATTCTGGACATCTAACAGAAAAACTGTTTGATTGTTTGTTATGATCATGCATGGCCACTCTTCCAACTTGTTAAACTCATGTCCCAAGATGTGGGTTTCATGTCCCAGAGCATCTTTACCACTGGTGATTTAGAAGTCAAATCTCATGCATAATATTGTACTGAGCACTCAGCTCTCTTCTAAAATTGCAAAATTAAGAATCTCTGGGTCTAAGTTTCATTATGCTTGTATGGCCTAGTTTGGAAATGCATTGCATCTTTGAAAAGAGTTCCTTAATACTGCTGAACATAAAGCTGAGAAACATGATTGTGAAGATATACTGATCGAGCAATAAACCTTGTGATTTTAATGTCAGCTGGCTATACGGTGAAGCAAAGTAATAACATAATGCATTTAATGTTAAGAATTCTTGGACTTCTTGCAGACAAAATGTTTGCATAAAAATATGGAGCAATGTACATTTTTCTATCATTGCAACTGGAGAGGCTTACATGTCACAATTGTCATTTTTATGTCACATGAGTCATGTGACATAAAGATGGCATTTTGTAGAGAGTATGTCAAAAAAACCAGAATTAGTGTAACCATCAAGACCTATGGGCCATTTGTATTGAATGTTAAAATTATTATTAATAATGTATCCTTTCAGAACAGTCCAATGTTAAAACACAATGATCTCTACAACCAAGTGGGCAATGGTAAATCAGTGGCTTCTCCCAATAAGTACCTGGACACCATGCCATTGTTAGTTGTGACTGCCCCCTCCACAGGACCCAACACACCCTTGGGATCTGTGTCCTCAATTCAATATATTGATGAGGAGCCAGACACTAAAGTAAGACTAGTATATGATTTGCAATTACTGGGTATTGAAAGATCACCTTGTAATCTTTTAATGTTTAGATATTTGGAGAAAACATATAAATAATGCATATTCTTGTGAATTAAATATTGTTATAACATATTTTGATATATTTCTTAATATATTGTATAGGGAGAACATGGGCTTTTACAGAGCCATATCAGCATGCACTGTAAATGCCAGGGGACTTTGTTTTTCTGATACCTAGGTTTTTGTAACATCACCTTCATCAAATATAGCCATGCATCTGCAGTACAGGCAGTTACTTATGCTTGTAGAGATGTTTATGATGTAACCATATTCAGAAAAAAATTTGTTTATATAAATTAAAAAAAAAGAGCTTTAAAACATGTGACAAAGAGGTTATTGACCAAGTATCAGGAATAATATACTTGCCCTCAATCTTTGCACAGATGCAGACCTTGCAAGCTTGGTTTGCAAAGACCCTGGGCATGGATATTTCCCAATATTCAGTCAATAACCTAGAACTCAAGATCTACAATGTAATATTTATTTGTCATTTTTTTACCCTCAAAGGAAGAAGATTTATCCAATAATGAGAAAAATTCAGAAGATGGAGAATGTGCAGAGAAAAGTGATTCCTATACAACAAGTGGAACAAATCAAAGAGCACCCAATCAAAACATGGCACAGGTGGATCAACCAATCAGATGTATTGTCTCAGAGCAGAACAAATCAAACAGTCTAATCACTGATAACTGTGAAATTCAAGGACATGCTGACTCCCATTTTTGTCCAGATGGTGGCACTACCAAAACAGATATAAATCCTACTCAAAACCACCTAGAAGAGACCCCAAATAATTCATTGATCAATTGTGGAATCTCACAGTCAGATGAAAGCCTAGGTACTACTGCAAATCATGCATATTGCTATGGCAACCAGTCTGAATATTTAAGCAGTTCTGGATATGGTAATTTTGCTTACTATTGCAATGAATTGGAAGATAACATATCAGAAAACACAAACAATGAAAATCAAGAAAATGAATCTGAAGACATTGAAATTGAAGAACCATCACCAAACATCAGCTCCCTTAAAGATGTTGGTTCTGAAAAATTTACATCTTTATTTAATGACTGCAATGATGAAACAGAAACAGGTTTTCAATTTAGTCAAGCAGCAGACATTCCAGAGGAAACAGTAAAGGCTCACTCTTGTGTTTCTAATGAAAATTTACCAGTAGTTTCCTGAAAGGACCAATAAGCAGTGTTTGTTTGAATTTGTGTGAGATGACTTGAATCAGGACGACTTAAAGAACAGAATGCATGAGCATATACATATGTACCACAGTGTGCACATCTGCTATTTTTGGGCTGGATTGCAAAGTTTACCAAAATTTTTGGATTTAATCTTTATGTCCATGCATTTGTCTGTGTCAGCATTTTGCACCTGCTTTTGCACTTTATTTACTGTGGAGATAAAGAAATCTTTAGTATAAACTTAAATTTAATGCATATTAAGCAGGATAGAATATTTGAAATACAGACCAGATTTGATGATGACCTTGACCTTCGACCTTCACATTACAAAATGAAATAATCCCTGTTGTGGATGACCCATTCTGATCCTCATGTAACTTTATACTTACTTGTAAGTAAGTCAAAGTGTTTCAAATTCTGCCAATGGAATTGTCACTGCCCTTGACCTTTGACCTTGAAATATGCAAATGAAACAAGGTCTTCTCTTTTAGAGGATGAAGTTATTCTGATCATTATCTTCTAATATAATCTCAACAGTTAAACTTCGTTATCTTGAACATCAATATTTCCAACACTATGGATATGTCTAAATGAATTGGTATCTCGAAATCTTATCTTAGTGCCATCTAATTTGAGATGATGACTATTCTATACAGTACTTACATGTATACATGAACATGTACCACCACTGGCGTTGACTTACAAACATGACCTGAAACATGTAACTTATAAATATGTTATCTATTAGATTTATACAATGTCATCATTAGAAATGAACATAAGGGTCAGGAGGTCAAACTGTGGTGACTTGTACTTTGCACTCCAGTCATATTTTGCTGTAATATGGTACTATCAACAGTGTGTATTGAGAACTTTTAAATATGGCTTAATGGACATTTGAGATGGATTGTATTTCAGTAACCACTATTCCAACTAAGCATACTTTTTGAATTTTTAAAACGGAAGATTTGTGTAGTCTCAAATATACAGAATAACTCAATTCTGTAGTCTCAAGATCTCGTTAGCTTAAAAATGCATAATTCTGCATTTCCAATTGAAGAATTAGATAAAATATTTGTAAATCTCATGAGGAATGGTAAGATACCAGCTTGATTGAACTATGCATGATGAAGTTTTCATTGTAACCTGGATTATCTAAATTGTTGCTGTTGTTAAGCAAGTTTATTTCACCACCAAAAACTGATAATAGCATAATGGTTATAGATAAGAGACATAATGGGCAGTTTTTTTTTTCAATGTTGTTAAGAAAACAATGTATGTTTTGTGATTTCTAATTCTTTTTGAATTTCTTTGTAATGTCTATGATCACAATGTGCAATATAAGCCAGTAAATGGGGCTGTGAGCTGCATTCACCTTAAACTTCAGTACTTATTGCACTTGCCAACTTTATTGACAATTATGCAAAAATAAAGATGCTAAGTACTTTGTGCAGTGTGTAATTTATGGAGTGAGAGGAATTTGACATCAAATCTAATGCTTGCTTTTTCCATGTTGATCATACGCCATTATCCACATCATCAGAAATCTGTGAAGAGGACCCTGGACCACAATGCTCACCTGAGTCACATTGGCGCTTTCCTCAGAAGAATATTTTTAAAAGAATTTTTTAATCTTTCTTCCCACTAAAACTTTGGAGCCCATATTCTGACCCCACATTAGCTCCATAGGCTCATGAATTAATTGATCTTGAATCCAACAACATGAAATGCTTCAATATCAGTATGACTAGGTAAACATGACTTTGCTGTTCCAGAGAAAGACTTTAAAAAGATTTTTTAGGTCATCTCATTAGATTATTGCTACCCCATTTTAGTCTGTCATCATCTGTCTTGCATCGGTCATACTCTTTTAAACATTTCTGGCTTCTCCTCTTGAACAGCTTAACCAATTTCAATCAATTTTGCTATAAAGCATCTATGGGCAGAGAGAAACAAAAATTGTGAATTTCATGGCCTGTGCTCCCCTAGGGCCTGAAGGGTGGAGCCAAAACCATAAAAAATTCACACAATCTTCAAAAATCTTTTTTTTACTTCTGGATATCAGGTAGTCAAACTGTTGTCATTATAATAAGTATGAAGCCCTTACCAAAATTGTGAAACTTATGGCCCCAGGGTTAGGGGTACTGGTGTTAGGATGGGTTTATTGAACATCTAGTGAAAATGCATAAATTCTTTAAAAATTTTCTCTCTCACTGTATATTTAGCAGACTAACTACATGTACAACATTGTGCGAGTGAAATTCGTGTCCCCTTGCTCATGGGTTCTGGTGTTAGGGTGGGGCTCTATTGATCAGAGAGTGAAAATGTATTAATTCTGTGAAAATCTTCTCTGCTCCTGGAAATTAAGCAGATAAACTAAGTGCATTATGTTGAGCAAGGGTGCATTTTCCAAAAGTGCATGATTATAATGACCAAGGGTGCCTTTTCCAAAATTGTGAAATTCATGGCCCCTGGGACAGGGATTCTTATGTTAGGGCTAGGCTCTTTAAAGTTTATTAGTGAAAATGAATTGATTCATTTGAAATTTTCATTCTCTGCACTTAGGCATCTAGGAGGCAAACAAAGTAAAAAAAATTGTACACTGTAATGAGCAATGGTGTTTTTATCAGATTTGTGAAATTCTTGACCACTGGGTCAAGGGATATGGTGCTGGGCAGGGCTCTGTAGGGAAAATTGTATGCTATTTTGAGAGAAGTAATCACCTTTTGTTATTCACCTATGAAAATTTAATTAAAGGTCAATTGAATAAAAGAAGTATACAATTTAATGTATAATTTTGCATTTTTTGATATCCGCTATTATGCTTGTTTTTGATATTCACTATTTTGCTTTTTTTTCATTTTCATTATTTTGCTTTTGTTGATTTTCACTATAATTTTACTTTATTGGATATTCACCATTTTGCTTTTGTGGGCTTTACTACAGTAATATACAAATAATATATGTGATAATAAATTTGTCATGTTTGTTCAGTTATCTACAGTAATTTGCTTCTATAGATATTTAGATAGTGGTCCTCAGAAAGCAAGACAGAAAATTAATTGCCAATTATTGGTGTTAACAACAACTACTAATTTCAAATTTTCATCTTGCTAAAAAAGGAAACAAAATTATCAGATAGTTGATAATTGAATCTACATTTGTAAGGTTTGCTGTTCCTCTGTTTACTTACACAATATTTTGCTAAGATAATGAGTTTCAAAAAAAAAAAAGTAATTAAATTTACAATTACAATCTCAGCATACCTTGAGAAGTAAAATTTAACAGAATATGTCTTTTTTTCTTTTTTAATGACAATTTAGTAAAGGAATAATAGTCATTTATCCAAGTGAGAGTTATCTTTCCCATCAGAGGGCCAATGGACCTTAAGAAAACAATAAAAAGTTTTCGCAAAAAAGGGGTCAAAATTCAAAATTATATTCCATTGATACTTCAAAAGATGTTGGAAATTGAAGTGTGTATGTAAAAGGACCATTCTCTATAAGACCGCTTTGCAGCCTGCAATGACTTCAAATTTTCAAGTAATTTTTTTTCCCGTAAAAACTGCATGAATCAGTAGGCTAATGATCCAATTTAATGATAAATGTTGATTGGTTAATGATGCTATTGTATTTGTTATGATATAAGGTCACAAAGTAATGTACTATTGGTCTGTACATTGTATTAGCAGTAGGGTAATGGGGAAACTCAAGAGGGTGGGTGTGTTAGGCAACTGCTACACAAGTCATACCATCTTTGCCAAAAAATACCAAAATATGCATGTAAACTTCTTATAAACATAAAAAAGGACTACCAGATTATGAGCTTGGTTAAAGGTGGTTATGACATCTAAATAAATATTTTTCGCTCCATTTTTATGATAATTGCAGGAAAAGCGAATTAAAAATCTAAAAAAACAATCTAAAATCAAAGGACTGGAAAGACTGGATGGTATGAGATTACATATGAAGACAAGTCTCATTGAACTGTCTGCTAGAAATAAAGAAAATATACTATTTTATATACTATAAGGTGCACATAAGTTATTTATTTATTTTTTTATTATTTATAACTATAGTTCATCTATTTTTGTATTTATTCCTTAGGAGTACCTTATACATGTATCTGTCAGTAATTGAAATGATAAAAGCTGTCCATGTTGTAGTGGAAAGTTACATTTGTTATTTGTGTTATTATCTTATTTTCTATAGGTAAACAAGTAACTTTCATAAACATATAAAAGTTTTATAGATAGGGAATTACTGATTTTTAAGGGATAGTCCATAATGGGACTTCTCACCTCAACCTTTCAGAAGGACCCTCAGATTTCCTCTCAGAAGGACCCTCAGATGAGTGACATATAGGATCCAAGCATTTTGTATTACCTGGGTGTTGAAGGGACTCAATCTTTTAGAATGTCAGGATGAACACACACCTTTTTGAATTATTAGCTATGAGAACAGCAGTTCTGTCTTAGAAAATTAAATTCCAAGGGAAGGGGGGTTCTTAAAGGTCACATGTGATTGATAATTGAATGTTGCTTTACGCCATTTTAGTATTTTATATCCAGATAGAGATCATCCACTTTAGATGAAGTGTCACAATTTTGATTTGGCACAGTACTCCTTTTTTAAGGTGCTGTCCAAAACACCCATGAGTTTTACACTTAAGGAACAGTCACTACCCATGTTAAACACCTTAGTTTTTCACACAGCACTGGGAACAACCTCGAGTCTCAAGAGTTCAAAGCGAGCGTCAAACCATCAGGGCCCATTTGTACCTGGAATGTTGTCAGTAGAAATCTATTTTTTGATTTTGATGTTATTTATCATAGGCTGGAAAATGACCCTATAGAGAATCATCCACTTAAAACTTATTTCTTAAATTAATATATTCCAACTCATGGTGGAATTTATAGTACCAAGGCAGTCAAGCATAGAAACTGCATTTATTCCCATATACCCTTAGCAGAATAACTCAAGTATTGAAGGAATTGCTGTTTGAGGAGTGATAATAATGTAAAGATTTTGATAGATGTTTAGAAGTCAATTTAAGTTCCCTTTTGACCTTAGATTTTTTTAAACCAATTTATTGCCTGTTTTTCACAGCTAGGGGGAAATGGGAACCCATCATCTTTATAATATTATGACCAATTAGCTAGGGGTGTCCACACTGTGGCTCGAACCTACAACCTCAGATTTAAAATCCAACACTCTACCGACTGAGCTAAAGGGTTAACCCACTAGCTAGTGCTAGTAGGAGCGTGGCCTCACTATATACAATGCATAGCCACTTCTAACTCTGTTACAGCATAATGACAAAAAAAGGACATGAATTAATTAAATTAATGTATTTAATAATTAAAATAATCAACATTCTCAACAAGCATTCTTTCACAAGTTTATGTCTCTTGTCAATAAAATAAATGAATATAGCTCCTAACTAACAAGTTCAAAGTGTTTTATACATCTTTGTGCACATGTATATGTACTTACAATTGGATAAAATAAAATTAACAAATACAGGTCAACAGTCTGACAATCATATATAATACTTGCATATGTACACACAGATACATATTCTTTCAAGAAATATTAAAATCCACTTGTTACATTCCTCTTGTGTTTGAGTTTTTTTTCCTGAATGGAGAGTTTCAAATAATTCACCACGTGGACAACTCATGCACTTTCCTTTATCATCTACAATTTCTATTTCCTGTTCCTCTACTGGGGTTAATTAAGCTTAATTATTGCGACAACTTAGCAAGAGTTAGAAAATTATTCACATATTAATTTAAAAACTGTGGCAAAGCTAGGTATCAAACCATGCAGGTACTATAACGGTAACAGATGCTCTCCAATGTTGAAATGATAACGAAAATCTTCACAACACTTTCTTTGCAAAAAAAAAATATTTACCAATTATCTAGATGTATATTTAACATTAATTAAAACATGTATATATCATATTACACAAATAATAATTAATATAAAAATTGAAAGCATTGGATTTTAAGTGGGTCAAAATACTTCTCCATTTCTTAAAAGCAATGGGCCTCGGCCCCTTTGTGCGTCCCTTGATTGCATTAAAGAAATGAAAAGGTTGTGAGACATTAACCCATACAGGCTCTACTATAAAAACATCTCAACTGTGATACAAATCAGAACATAAATATACACATACTATATATAATAAAAAATATTTCATACCTGTGCTTTTAACTCTACCTGTATTATGATATCAGAAGTTCAGAACAAAGAAATAATGGAAAAAAACATCCCCCCCTGGATTTACTCTTTGTGGAGGTATGATAAAAGTTGTAAAGAGGTTTTCAAGCTTTTTGAGCTCAGTATTGCACTAATGCTTCAAAAAAAAAAAAAAGACAGAGACTCATGGGCAATAACAGTCACCTGAGTATCAGGCAGCAACTTTTTTCCAGTAGGTGGGAGATGGAGTTAAAAAGAGGTTGACTTCCGCCTAAAGCGGTAGAGTGAACTTGTATGGGCATTGCCATCATATAAAATCTCCATCAACCAAGGATGAAGCTAGGCAAGTTTGGTTTAAATTACTTGGTGGTTCTTGAAAAGTTGAAAAGATCAAGAAAAGTTTATATGCACGACAAATGACAATGGATAAACATCAGCTTTCCTGAAATACTCAGGCGACCAAAAACAACACAAAATAAGTTATACATGTACATCTTACAAATTAAATATGTTAACAAAAAAAAACTATTTAATTATAAAGGAAAAAGTGACAATTATGAAGTTATTTCATCAGAATTTAAAGTGATGAAATTGTGAATTTTTTAAAAGCTATAGTATACATGTATGTTTATCAAAAGTGTTGCCTTCTCTTAGAAAGTATGGTTTGCTATTTTACCATGACGTCAAAATCTCATAAATTGAACATTCATCTCCTGACAAACATTTCCTTTCTAACATATTAATAAATCATTAAGAAAAACTTATTGCGATTTGAACTGAAAAATGTGAAATGGAATATCCATTACTGTACATAAACATCAATAACTTTTTCTAAAATTTACTGTGATTAGTCGCTCCAATGCAATACCAGGCATATGAGAATAAGTCCATACAGTGGGTTAATTCTGGTAGGGTGCTTTTTTTTTTTTTTTTTTTACGTCCCCTCCTTCGATCTCCTCCCTGACTTGAGATCCTTTAAAAATTTACAAGATTCTTACCTGTTTGTTTATTTCTGTATCATTTCAAGATAAAAATATTCAGTAAGAGAACAGAAGAATTTGTAGATTTCTAAATGATGGGAAAATGATTAACAACAGAAACACTAGGATTGGCCTTTGACCAAATAGTAAAACTAAGAAAACATGGCTTCCTAAGGGCCTTACTTGGTAAGGGTATTGGGATTGCTATTGAACATCACTTACATTTCTTGACTTTATGAAGAGATTATTAAGAGTTATCTTTTTTAATTGTCCCCAGCTATATGTAAAATAAATACTGATAAACTAATGTTTTGTTGAAAAGGTATTCTGTGCAAAAAGTGAATCTAGCTCTTACTATCAAATGAAGAGCCAAAGAATCGAGTCCTAAGCACCCACCGGAAGACTCTGTTATTTATGTTATATGAAAGTTTAGTATCACAGAACTGTACAAATGTCAATGTTGGTCAACCTATTCCAGTGTACTTCCTGTTGGCTGACTGACTGTTAGGTTGAGGCCGGATCATTGAAACCACTTCCTCCTGAAAAAAAGAAAAAAAAACAAAGTATATATATATGTATATATATACACTGTTTTCAAGAAACCACTAAAAATAGCATATGGCCACATCAAAGTCTTCAATGTATGATGAAATAAAATCTTGGTTGCTGTGGTCAGTCCTGAATTCCATATATACAACAAAGAGGGGTAAAAGAAGTATGGCCTTAAAATCAATGACCTGTTCAAAAGTGAAGATCAACATCAAGAAACAATGTGATATTTACAACACATGTATTACATCCTAATTTACCTACAAGTATGTTTGAAGTTAAAAAAGATAATCGTAATGGGTTATCCTAAATAGCCAGGGATGAAATTAGAGTTGTCGAAAACCATTGGTCCTGCTGGTAAGACAAAGGAAATGTTGCTTGGACTGACAGAATGTGAAGATACCGATCAGTAATCATGCTCAAAAACCTAATTAAATACAAACTCAAGCAGAGCATACATAAACCCCTGAAAACATCAGAGGTGGAATCAGGTGCCATGGAGAAGTAAGAATCCCCTGATGACTGGTCACATTCACCATGTGCCCCTTGTCATGATTGGGTAAAGAGAGAAATCTGTACACAATTCACATTGATAATAATGGCCTCATCAGTAAACCAGTGATTTTTCAATATTTTTATAAAGGTGCCTGTGGCTTTTAAATTGGTAACAAAATATGTTTGTGAAACACTGATGCCCCTATATGGCAGCTTATGGTCAAGGCTAAAGTTTTTCAAATGTTGCCCTAGCATTATCTGATCAGAAGGTATGGCCAAATTAAAAGTTTTCCAAAAGATAAGGTCAAACTCTAAGGTCATGTGGTCAAAAATGTTGGTAACAGGTCTTGTCACAAGGAATACAAATATGAAAGCCCTAGAACCAATTAGTATAAGGATTAATCAATCGAAAGAAACATGTTTCTTAGGATTGATAAATCTTTATATTACCCACAACAAAAGTCAATACTTGTTTATTACAAGTCCGACATAAAGATTTACTTGTTAGAAACTTTGTAATGGAAAATGAAATTGAATAAGATAAAAAAATTAACATAGTATTCTAAAGTGTTCCATTTCTAGTAACTATGATATCAATAAAACAATAAAAAGAAACAATTTACAGAATTATGTATCAGTGTAGTCTAGTTAATAATCATTATTTTTTTTTGTCCAAACTCAATTTGGCTTCTAGTTCAGTAGTAGTATTATTGGGCCATCATTCATCTTATTACTTTTTTTCAGTATTACCTGCTGTTGGTGGGTCATTGATAAGTCTGTCATTTTCACCTCCTATATCCCTCAGGTTCCGATATTGTGCGCGCCTCTCGCGGATATGTTGTATGATTGGGACTATGATGATGTTGTTGTATAGACACATTCCAGATAATAAAATGAAAAAACCAATCAACTGCAGCACCTGGAAACCTTGCCAGCCCAAGAAAAGTGTTAACATCCAGATGAAAAGAGTTCGTATGCTGTCTAGCACCATGCGTGTTGTAGCACTTAGTTCCTTTGTAACGCTAATACCAGCAAAGTTGAAGAATGCTATACTCACAATATTTCCTATAAAATAAATATTTAATTTTACATACACTCTGAGTTCCTCAAGCTGCTCTATCTTTTCTCATGCAGATTGACTCCAAACAGAGTCACCCAAGGTTTGTAAATTGCATACGTATGCTGACTAGATTTTTTTTCAGTAAGTTGTTAAAAACTGGTAAAAAATAGTGAAGCTGCTCTTTCAATGAAGCTTACATGCACAAACTGCATGGAAGTATTTAGAATTTATTAACAAAAAGGTATGGTTTGTAATTAATGTATTTATGATTGTTTTTGGCAGCAAATGGTTACTACAAGTCAGATATTGTGTGCATACAAGTTTTCAACAGGTCCATTACCGGTATTCAATACACCTTATCACCTTATAAAGACACATATATAGCAAAAAATAATCTTTGAAGGACAGGACAATCATTCTCATATATTTCTAAAGCATATGACAGAGATCTTGGCAATTTTTTTTTAACTCCCTTGCTCAGAATCCATTCACCTCCATAACCTTATGTTAGTAATAACACACTATCAGTGGATATTAAAGCTGAACATGATTCGTAAAAGCAATGTGTCCGCCATTTTTGTTCGGATTCTCGCTATATCTGAGGACCCCTATATAAAGGGCCTGACTTGGACACTGTTCAGAATAATCAGTCGACACCGGTTTAGACGGACGTATGCTATACAGCACTCGGTAGCGACAAATATAAATGTAATACCTCGTCTAATGCAGGAAAGTAAGATACAAAAGAAAATTACAATTTTTGTTGTACAGGTCAGTGCAGTATACAAACAAACACAGATACACGTAACTACAATAAAATGTAAACAAAGGTAATGCAAGATAACCAGCACAAACACGGATCGCCATTCCACGCCGATACCCGTGACAATAAAGCAGTCAGGTGTAACGAATGCGAAGAGTATACCCTGGTGTTGATGTATCGTAGATATAATATCGAAAATGGCGTATGCCTATTTACGAGTCGTGTTCAGCTTTAATACAGCATATAAGTATGCTGTTCTTTTTTATTCATGACAATTTCTTTGCTCTGGTTTAATTAATATGGAGTATTGCCCTGAATGACTTTGGTGTGTAATAAAATACATCTAGAGATACTGTGATCCAGCTCACGAAATAATAACCCTGCTCCACTTCATAACCAGTATGTTTACCTTGGCCAGAGATCATGAAACAGACTTAGACTTACTCAAAATTTCAATAGACTGAAATACACATTGAAACTAAATTTGCAGATAAAAGCAGTTTGGTGATGCAATTTTGAATACCATTGAACATTTCTATTTTGGACGATTTGACTTCTACATCATTTCAGTGCAATACTGTTTACATGTAACTTTTTGTCCTCATTTTAATTTTGCCCTATATGCTATTGGGCGAATTTAAAATAGGGCAAATTCAAATTAAACTTCAGTATCTTTTTACACAACTGTGTCAGGGTGATTTTCAAATGGGGCAAAATTGTATGAAAGTGTGAAAGGGCAATAATAACATGAGGCAAAAATAACCCTGCATGTACAGCATACAGATTTTGATTTTATAATAGGAATAAACTACAAATGTGTCCAATGTAACAATTTCACAATTTAACCTTGAACTTCTCCAAAGTTAGGTTATGGCCAAGATGCTCCCTCTATAATCTTTCTATCTAGTATGAGTTTTCAAAGTTTCACAATTACAAAGTTGCGGCTTGGAAACTTTTGTTCAGAGATTTTAAAAAAGACAGAGTTATTCCTACAAACTTTTCAAATTTTGTTTGCAATGGGCAAGAAAAAAAATGAATTATTTCTTTCTGAAGAGACATGAAGGAAATATAGTAAGGCCAAGATAAATAAATAGTGTGTTTCCTATTCCAACCTGAGAAAAAATAGGGTAGATAGGGAAAATATTTTATTTTATTTTAACACTTTATTGGCAAGCACGCTGTCATTTTTTACTGTGGAAATCCCTGTCAAAATATTTCTGCTTAATGTGTATAGGATATGCATTTTCTCATACACAGAAGTGATAGAGATTAGGATTTTTAATAGCTAAACTGGAATTGTTTACTTCCGGAAAGATATAGGTGAATAAATTTTTTAGGGTCAGCTCCTATATTTTAGGGTCAGTCGGGGAACCAGAAACACACAATTTATTTATCTAGGCCTAACATGACACTTACCAACTGTTGCTAGTAAAATAATCCAGCTATTTCCAATCTGTATAAAAGCATCAACAGGATCTTCTAACTTTTGATTTGGTAATTTGCTGAAGGCACCAGCATCAATATAGAAGAATACAATGTTCAAAAGTCCAAGAACAGTGAACCCGAAAAAACCTGTTAATACAGAATTAAAATAAGAATGAGATTTTGATAGTTTTATTGTATTTCTTGCATACTCCCTAAATCTTTGCAGTACATGTATATGTTATTTAAATGTATAATCATTAAATGCAGGAGTTTTGATTTACTTTTGTAATTCATTTGTGTATATTAAGTTAGCAGACCTGCCAACTCTCCTGCATTCTTTGGGTCTCATCAGCAAAATTACATCATCATCCTCCCAGTGACATCATTATATCTCCCGCAAAATAGTGACAGGTGGTTATGTTCAAATTATGTGTCTGACTTGAGTGGTTACAAGTTGGGAAGTTGGCAGGTATACAGCTAACAGTACATTCCAAAGTGCTTTTTGATCCACATTATGTGTAGCATCATAATATTAATATTCAAGGTGGGGAACTAGGCTACAGAAAAAATCTGAACTTTAAAATAATTGTGAAAGCTTGATTGTTTTACCTTCCCACCCCACAGCCTGCATGGCTGGAATGCTGTATCTAGTGACAAACTTCTCCTCGTACACCATTTGTACCGCAACAATGATCTGGGCCATTATAATCAACAAATCACCTGTACAGTAAAAAACATACAAGTCTGATTAATCTGAAACAATTAGATTATGCATAAAAAAAATGTCTTTATCATGATTTATTTACATTTCCAATGTCTTTGTCCGAGATAAAATTTCAAATAGTAAAAAATACTTTATTTCTACATAAATCTACTGGTTCGTGGTGAAAACAAAATCACATTTGGGGCGGGACAAATAGAGACAGAAGCAGGGCTTGTAGCACGTGACTTTGCAGAATCAGGAGTATGTAAATATAAGGAATAACTGTCAGATTTTTTGGTTTCATGATGATGATCAATCGATTGGCTTGCATGATAATTTTATGCATAAAAGCCTTCGGCGTTTATGCAAATTATCACACAAGCCAATCGATTGATCACACCATGAAACCAAAAAATTAGACAGTTATTCCTTAATTAAATTTCCTTTGGGTTTCTACTGCTACTTGTGTTTCAAACCCTAGCTATGTATCTTGATGTGTTCATTATTTGAACCAAGTTTTATTAAAATTTGACCAAAACTGGTAGAGAAGTTTCCAAAGAATTCAAAACTTATTATATTTTTGAAAATTTATCCCAGAAACACTGTTTATAAAAATTAAGAACCAATAAATAGAATCTCTTTGTACTGTGTTTAATATCAAGCTTTATTGAAACTGGACCAAAACTGTAAACGGATTAAATTGTTTATAGACAGACAATGGATACTATACCAATTTAATGCATTAGTTCTTGTGCTCCCTGACAAGTAAAACTAACAATTGTCCATAAATAACAAGGATGCTTGCATTTATCAATTACACTGTGTAACTTTGCTAAACTTATAGTTTTAAAACACTTTTAAATATGAAGATTTACCTGCAATGATTCCATTTGTGTCTGTCTGTGCAGACTGATCTCCAAATAAAATATCTGACAATCCTACCATTGCCAGACCAAGCAGGACAGTAAAAATGCCTGCCCACATCATTTTACGAATTGTTGAGCCAAGGAAAGCCACTGAGAGGAGTGCTGTAAAGATGATGACCGCACCTGATGGAAATAAAAATTAAGAACATTATTCCTCGTGGCATATTTTTTTAATAATCTTCAGAAATTCATTTCTTTTTAATCTCTCAAATTCCATAAATTACTAATGCCACTACCACAACAACAAACAAATATTCAAGGGCTCATGGGCCTTTAAAGTCACCTTGGAATCATACAGAAACTTTCTTTCAGATAAACTGCCTTAACAATACACCGTATCATTTCACATGGAGGCTTCTTATGACTCTTTATTAGGAATCCATGGAAAAGACATTTTCCCCATTTTTTTTTCAAATGACCTTGACTCTATCATAATACCCTTGAATCAGGTGTATAACAACATATTGTGATCAACAGTTTCCGAAGGATGGACAGACAGACAAAATGATTCAGAGATTCATTTCTATTTCACCTTCATGGAATAAAGCTATAAAGTGTTACAAATCTTTGAAAGCATTGAATATTAAACAGACTGGTTTTGTCTTTAAATTTCCACATAATCATAAACAGTGAGCAATATGCTTTTTCAATACAAGCATATAACATAGCCCCCATCCCATGGGGTTGAATTATAGATCCTTAGAATATGATTTCCAATGTTGAAAGAGGCTTTACTGTTTGAAGTTTAATATGTAAATGTTCAGAATAAAATACAAATTTCAGCATGTGATGAAGTTAGTAATACCCTAGTCCTATTGAACTTGTGAAAATGGAGAGGTTGAGTGTTCTACACATATTATTTTTAATATTACATGTATATGCAATCACAAGCTTAGCCCAATGGACATGAATCCTATACCTAGAGGTATTCATTTCAAAATTTAGAGTTTCTTGCTCAATATATAGCATTTGATTGTTTCAATTTATTTTTATGTCTGTAAAAAAATTATTTCAAATGCATTTCAAGAAGTTTTCTGGCCTTTTAGTTCTGAAATAAAATTTTAATAACTTTCCTTTGTCATTATTTTAAAGTTATCTCCCTTCATTTCCAAGTGATTCGTGTGAAAATTTAAATTCCCTAGTGATTCTGGTGAAAATAAAAATTTCCCCACTGATTCTGCTGAAAATACAATTGAATTAATAAAAGTTACATATATAACAAACGGATGCCACACAGTCACATTCAGATAATTCATCTCACTTCAGCCTGTGACTCAGGTGAGCCAATAATTTGTGTGCTAATACACATTCTTTTTTGAAATTTCAAACTAAATCAAGTTCAAATAATTTTACTTTTATTTTTTTTTATATAAAAATTATGTTAACACATGCATAATACCATAGTGCTGAAAACCCTGTAATCAGCTTATTGTGGAATTTAGTGGTGCAAGGTAAGCTTAATAAATATAAATAAATTTATTATCATTATTTTATTTCAAATGTCATTTTATTTCTCAGGTCACAAAATGCCACCTAGAAGTGAATGCAAAATGTACTTGTGTGACATTTCAAGCCACCCTGTGTGTACAAACTAATAGGGCAGGCAAATTTAATTTTAACCTTAGAATGAATGCCTTAAAATCTATGAGTGCTTTCCTCTACCTATTATCTATCTTAGTAGTGATTACAATGTACGGTTAGGTATAAAATATATCAAAGCTACTGCCTCACAAAAACATGCAATGCTCATAATATATAGCCTTGACCTTTGACCTCATATGACCAATTGAAGCTACCCCCCAAAACTACATTGTCTTCCTCTACCCATGTATCCTCCACCTGATGTAGTACACGTAAATACAGTGTCTGTCAATTAATAGATACCTGAATTACTGTGCCACCTACATAAAAGTGTGATGTCTTTATGTGATAAAAGATTCCTAAATTACTTATCACCTACATAAAAATGTGAAAGCAGATAACAACATAGTCTTTCTTGTAAGGCTCAATCAATATTATAATGTTACATTTTAGAGGAACTTTGATTTATTCTACAAGTGGTACATGTAATCCAACTTAAAGTTCCCTTTCTAAGGAGGAAATTCTTCAAAATCATATGTCAGTTTTAAATATTTTCTATAATATTTCCCCACAACCAAAATTGAATTTGAGTTCCATACCTATACTGGATTCCTAAACTTCATAAAAGTCTTTGCAGAGATATGAAGCAGGTTCTAGTACATGTTCTACCAATTAAGCTTCTTTCTATACTCCTCATGAAAATATCAACAGTAGTGAAAGAGAAAAAAAAACTACTAAAAGGCTAGAGAATTTTAGAGTTCAATATCTTTGTGTTTTATTGAACACTAAGTTTGCAATATGCATAGGAGTATGCCCCCAAACATTCCAAATGTAAGCATTCAATATCGAACACCCTGTTGTAAACAAAAAATGCCGTCTGGTCAACAGCTCAATGGTAATATTTATGATAGGTTGGTGCAGCTAGGTAAGATATGTCTATTTTCACACAAAATTGAAATTATTAATTATAATAATCTAGTACCTAAAATCCTCAATAAAAACCTCCATAAACATTAAATCATAATGTTTGGTAGGGTTTGAATCATAATTTTGCTTTTGACCATATATCAAAATTGTTAGTTCCTCTGAACCTGTCTGTGGGTATATAATATAGAAAAGTTTTCTGTAGTACATATATCTTGTCATATACAAGTGTTAACAACCAAGGCAGACTGATACAGATCTATGAAGAGATTACCAAATGACACCATTAATTTCTTTTTGAAATAAGGGAAAATTTAATAAAATAATATCCCATTTTACAACCTTGAACAATGCAATGTTGTATCATAGACAATACATCTCCCACCCTTCTGATCCTAGTATTACTCTGAATGCAATGTTTTAAATTGTTTATGAAATTTAAAACAGATCGAGGGACGTCATTATAGACCTTAAAGAGCTAGTAATATGTGTGATCCATTCAGACCAAAATCACTTTTCAAAAAAGTTAGCAAAACAATATATTTGAGATTTATCTTGAATTTTTGTAATTGTAAAAAAAAAAATGAACTCAAGGCAAAAAAATTTAAGGCATCATGGATTTAAATCATATTTTCAAAAGTACATGTATCTGTTCCTTGCTGATCGAGTGTCATGATGAAGATGTATATATGTGCTATTTACTATATACACCTTTTTTCAAAACAGCTAGAAACTAGAGACATTATTAAAAATACACAGTAAAAAAAAAACAACATATTTATCATTATTTAAAATCCTAATATCAAATTACATTTCCCCCTCATATTCTTATTTTAATTCATTTACTATATTTATTTCTATACTAAAATTCTCAAGAATTCATTTTTTCTCACTTCAGGAAAATGTAGGTGGCATCAAAAACTTTTAATCTAATTAAATATTCTTATCTCTGTTAATCTGTCATCATTATCTCAAAAATTTCTTCCAGACACCAATTAACAGATTAACACCTGATCTGTGTACCTAACTGTAAAAAAAAAGTGCCTCCAGATGTCCAACATGACCTGGGGGTGTCTCAACTAATTGCTGAGTTAATTGGTCAAATAAATTGTCTTTTGAATTCACTGAGGTGTCAGAGGAAAAATCAGAACTGATTAGAGTGATTTTTGACACCTCTCTGGGTAAATCTGCAATATATACAGACAGTCCACTACAGTGTCATCACAGCACATCTCAACAAAGAGAAGGTAAGAGCTGAATATTCTATTGAAAAAAAAAATGAAATTTAAAAAAATATGTCTTATTTATTAATACATGTATTTTATTTATCTTTTTCATATTTTACTAGCTGTAGAATAAAGTCCACTTAAATTTCAGAAGAAAATAAGAGTTTCTTATAAAAATACCTTTTTCTGGGGGGAAAAAAGTGTCTATAAATCAAATTAGCTGTTGGATTGTGTTTGGCACAGTTTATGTGCAGGTGATGATGGAACACCTACACATGGTGTGTCAATTACAAAACAATTTAATGTCACCAGATCTGATTCAGGAAAACTTAAGCTTATTAAAATTACTGTGAATCTTATTTCAGAAAATATTTTATTTTCTTTAAATTCTTACCTATATATACTTTTATTTATGTTTTTAGAATATAATTTACTGGTTGTCTTTCCTTGGACTCGTTATGTGCTGGTTTAACACTGACACTAGCACTAGCTTGTGCAAGGCAAGACACACAATTTTCTTCTTATCTGAACCTCTGCATGTTTACAATTGAAACTTCAATATTAAAAAACCTCTTCAGGTGTTAATAAGAAAGTAATTAAATTGTTTTTGACTCCTACGACATTTTCTTCCTCAGTACTTCCTTTGTGCTGATTTAATCTTATCATTAGCACTAGTCTGTGCTGAGAAGGAAAATTGTCGGAAAACTACAAGCAGGTCAAACGATTTCAGATTATAAGGAAATAACTATTTTTCAACTTACCTGACATAAAGTTAGCACTTGTATTTGTTAAACTTTTTATTTCCTAACAAATATAATAACACCAACACTCTCAACTAAACATTACCTCCCTCCTTGAAATTTGTAAATTTGTTTCCCATTTGTCTTCCTACTAAGTTCAGACTAACACAAGTTCAGCAGACTAGCAATTTAGTTCAAAAGCCTAATACTGGATCTTTTTAAATTATATTAGCTTTTTTTCAAGGAATTTATAAAGTCAAGATTTTTTCCTTGGTACTTGCTATGTGCTGGTTTACCCCACATTACTAGCACTAGCCTGTGCTGAGAGAGGAACAAGACCTTTACAGCAATCAAATTACCCTCTGATTAAATGCACTAAAAAATGTCATGATAGACAAAATACCTGATACTGACAAATTCTAGATACTATACATATTTTAATCACATAATGAATATTGAAATAGCATATGTAATGAACTTCCACTTACACTGCATGTCAGTTATTGTCTGCTTTTACAATGGATTTTGTTGGTTTGAAATTTTTGTTAATAATTTAAGCTATTCTTGTTTTGAGAAAGAAAGGATATGTGATTATAATTTACAAAGTAAATTTACCCATACTTTGAATTCAAGAAATGTGCATTTATATTAATTAATCCGTTACTTGATAAATGAAATTATCATGTGTCTTATCCTTTACATTTTTTGGAATATTTCAAAGGTATCCATGAATTTTTTTTTTGTTTATTTGTTTTTGGTCTTTCTGTTTGTTAATGTTTTTCAGAGGGGGGGGGGGGGGTAATTATTTTGTAATATATATCTAATATGCAGATTTTTCCTGGCTATATAATGGAAAAATATCAGACAGTTTAAGCCACTAAGATTTCAGGCAAAAAACTTTATCTTTTTCCATACAGTTGAGTTTAATCTTTGGTCTGTTTTAGCCTATTTTTTGGTATTTATACAACATGATTTCTATCAATTGGGTTCATTATTCCCCTTATTTATTCCCCTCATTTTTTCCTTTCCTTTTTTTTTTTTATAAAATCAGTTTTGAAGTTTTGAAAAAAGATAACTGCAAAGCAAATGACCATTAATTGACTAAGAATGTTATCACAAGAAACAAGAGTCCCATGGACCTCAATGCTCATCTGTTTCACATTGCACACATTTTATATTCCTACATCTGTATGTCACCAGCAGAACATCCTACTGTTGCTACAACCTTGTATCAGGGCCATGATTTTACCCAGGATACTATGATTTGGATCAAGTTAAACCTATACCTTGTACTGCTTTTTAATTAATTAATTAGTCTTGCTCTTTTGCAGAATATTTTGAAGATTTTTAACCATGCATATGGACATGCATATACAGTAAAACATAAAGAAGTTCCAGGGATGACAAATTTTGATTCATTATAAATGTAATTTGTTATACCAGTTAAGATTACAATACATTTTAAAACCACAGAGATTGAAAATCAAATTGATGTAAGCATGAATCCACTATAAGCATGTTTGCTATAATCATGTTTTACTGTATTCCTACTTAAACAGTTTAAACCCACGTAACACCCAGGGAACAAATCAGAACCCAAACTTTGTAGGTTTTTACATAAATATTACATTTTCTGGCTCACTGATTGAGAAGAAAATTTTAAAATATGACCCATCCTTCTTTAGCCTTTTCTATTAGTAATCATCTTGCTTTGTTTTTCTTCATTTGAACAACTTTGGATCCCTTTGAGCCTAAGGAATTTTGATGCAAATGTGTGGTTACAATTGGCATAGAAGGTTGGACAAGAACTTGAAAATTTATAACAAAAATTACTCATACAATTTTACACACATATCTGCACTGAAAAATTCCAATCAAACTTTGATCAGAAAAGCTTACTTTAGCTTATTGCTCAGGTAAGCTTAAAAAAAATCTTAATGGCCTCCTTATTGCATGGAAAACCAATTTTTATTTTCAGCAAATGGAACCATGCTTTTTTTGTCCCCAAAGCCTTAGAAATCAAGTCATCTAAACAATTAAGGTGCAAAATAAGATATCATTCTATCGCAGATCACTCTAAATTCCTAGCATGGAAACTTTAATTGGATTACAAACCTCTCAACATCTGGAAACTTGAAGCATAGGTTAAATTAAGTCCGATATACATTAGTGATGTCCCACACATGTCACAAATCGCAGGAGGCAGGAAGATTAGGGGATTGAAGCCCTGGTTTCCCAGATTCTGTTCCTGCTCTGTATGGCGCACTCGATGATACAGCTTTATTATTTGGAATGCTATGAGGCAGGAAAATTCACCCAAAAACATCCCAACTGCCTAAATAAATCAGAATATGAGCTTACATGCATATTTGATAAAATGACAGGTTAGAAGAAATTTCCTTGTCACTATAGAAATTAAAGCTAGCAGGCCATATAATGGTAATTCTCTTCTAAAGCAGACTTGAAAGAACTTTTTTGCAATAATGACTAGTACTTGAACATTTACTCTGACTTAAAAAAAAAAGGCACCACCCTTTGGATATGTGCAGTAGAACTTGTAGGTTCAAATTTTACCAAATTACCATAGATTCAATTTTGATTTGCTTTAATCTACTTGAACAATCTTATCTAGAGTATGTTAAGGTCTGTTATCATTAGAGAAGTCTTTATGTAAATTATATATAATCTCTGTACCCCTACTATAGCCCATCCTGCTCTCTAGGGACATGATATGACTTATGCAAAACTACACAAGACTGCTCAGTAATTACACGTACAAAGAAATCTGTTTTTAATATGGAGTATAATTCTTGTGGTGTGAAGAGACCCATGAATTCATGACCTCCACAAAATGTTAAAATTTCAATCTACAGTATCATATTTGTCTCTCATCAGTTCTTCATCCATGAAATCAAATCCTCAGAACAATATTTCCTCAAATCTTGAACATTCGACCCTACAAAAATAAGTGATTTTACATCAATATGAGAAATTGGTGCTTTGTTGGGAATTACCTGCAGGAATGGATGATCAAATGAGTGATTATTTCCATCTCTTCCAACTGCACTCTGTCTATCTGCCCATCTGTTATAGATAATAATATTTGACTCATAGAAATCAGTTACTATAATAATCAATACAGTCAAGTTAGTTCAATTCAAAAACTAAAGCCTCAGAAGGGAAGGGAACAAGTCTATATATAACCTTATTTAATTACGCAGCACAGTTAAGGCTACAGAAAGGGGGCGGAGCCTAATTTGTACGGGAAAATTAACTATGACATCATACAAAACCAACAATTCTTAAAAATACCATAAAATGAAATGATTTGCTATTTTAAACTGTAGGAGACCATCAAACTACATAAAAACTTACCTCAACATGCTGTTTTGTCGTTAGTTAAATCCCACATAACAAGGTATAAACAAGTCACTGATCGCAATGCACTTGTCAATGTGACGTCATTTCGTAAAACTTGACGCAGTTTGTATGCAGTGAGAGGCGGATCAAGTTATATTTTTTCAACGAAAAATGTATTCTATAATCAAATGAAATATTATTTACAGATATTTCATAGGCCATTAACCTGGATTCAGTGTCTTCTTTACGATTTTATTAATATATTTTCCGTACATTTCCTATTTAATTGATACTGCCATATATTTGTATGCAAGTACATCGGAAGGTAATGTAAGGGTCTTAGTAAATCGATCTAGTGCAAGGGCATACACTCAATGGATCATAGTAAGCTTTTACAAATCAACTCTAGAAGTATTAAGGTATCTGAAAAGTGCTGCGATCCTGATGAAATCATGAAAATAATTTAATTATATCTATATTTAATGCCGTTAACCGGCAAAAAATACAGCATGCTGTCATACAAATACGATTTTAACAATGAAATAGCAGAATCTATATAGGATCGCAGCACTTTTCAGAAACTACAATGTGTGTTGAAAATATCGATAAACTAAGCTTCGAATTTTAACTTGGTTATGCCCTTGCACTAGTGAAATTTATAGGTGACCCCAATACTGCAAGTAAATGTGCTAAAATCACGTGACTGCCGCATCATGTGACAAGTCTAAATATAAAATCTAACCGTCCTCAATATGTAGTTATTAACCATAATTACATTTGTCCGATATAAATAATGGACTAAAAATAATCACCATCCTGATCATGAATACATTTTTAATCACAAAAATTTGTCGATATTTCCATTGCGCACCTTAACTGTACTGCGTAAACCTATGATTGTGCAAAGTCCTATGGAATTCATAATTATATGTAATAACTTTTCATACAATAATCTTCACCATTAGTTCAGAGCTTTCTTTCTTGCATCCTGCATATCTAAGTCCAGGAGTGTATGAAATTTATTTATAATTGTCGAGATGATCACAACTTGTTTGAGTTCATCTGTACAAACTGTAACTCATTGGAAATTATTTTAATAGCATCCACTCGAATAGTTTATTGAAGTCCTTATATTCAATTTTTATCCCCTTGCAACAAAGTTGAAGGGGATTTATAAGTAATTCGCTTTTGTGTGGGGGGCAAGTGGGTATGTTAAGCGAAACGGAAGTTACGCAAGTAATAATTCATATCAAGATCAATGTGATCTTTTGCAAGGGGATGTTCCACTTTGCAATGCCCTTGGTTTTTTTTTTTTGCCCAATATCATATTATTTAGTATCTTGTTTAACCAACCTATTCTATATTCTCTGGCAGTACTGTCCCATCCTATATGTGCCGTGAACTCCATAGGAATGTTATTAGAGTGTTACAAGATGTGAACTAATTTGTATGTTCCAGGTGACTTTTGATAGCAAGTGCAGCAAGCAGCAATGCGAGCACTTAAAGCAATGCCTGGCGAGAGCAGATGCATGTTATTGAAAATTTGGACTGTGCACATTGATCCAAATGAATTCTTTTTCTTCAGTAATCTTTGGACCTACAATGCAACGCAAATGCATCTCGCTGTTAACTACATTCTCACTGTAACAACAAAAGTTCACCAAAGAATAAATTCACCTTGATTTAATTGATATTGCAGACAATCTAGTTGATTCTTTGTAAAAATTTGCACTTCTCAGACTTCGTTTTGGTAATGCAATTCAGGTAAACAGATGTCTAGGCCCAACAACATCTCGATCCTGACAGGTCGGCCCAAGATTATTGACTTGTAGGCCCACAGAAAAGACAACCTGACCCATGCAAAATTTTGTGATAGAAAAATTTATCCCATAATTATGATTATTTTATAAAAATTGAATCTTATTGCTTCTGTCATTTTGCATCATTTCACTGATGATCTGAAACATCTGAGATGGGTTGATAATCCGTGAAAAGATATATATATATGGCAGGGTTGTCCCTAAGAATTGTAATAGCAGGGGACATTTAAAAAGTAGAGGGGGGTTTGGGGATCGGCATGTTTTGTAATATCTGCTACATCATGCTTGTCCCAGTCAGATGAACAAACGCGCCTCGAATTTGAGGAGTTCCAGTAATGGAAGTCAAAAGTATTAACTCCTCATTGTCACCAATAACATGCACTTAAGATTCCAAAGGAAGCACCATGAGAACGGCATACATCTTGTTTGTTCAACAATGAGCACTTTAATTGTCTTCCCTTTCCTTAATTATCGTCAGTCTGAAGTTTTTATTTTTTAGTACTTTTAGTAAAGAGTGAAATATTTTCTCTGAAATTTTTTTTTAGATAAAAACTTGAGACTCATGTGATTTGCTCAAGAAAGGCCTTTTATAATTAATCAAAACCTTGATCATTTATTCAGATACTTTTTTAAAAATCAGTATATTTTATCAGGGACATCATCTTCGCTAGCCAAGGGTTTCTGATACGCTACTCTCCTCATAAACCCTTGGCATACGGTGCTGACAAAAGACGGGATTGTTTTTGTCACGTGATCACGATTATTAAAAGGAACGCACAGATTGCGTCATCGACAGAAATAAAAAGTGTATTTAACAAAATGTTTTTAAAGAATAATTAACAAGAAGGTATTGAGTTATGTTAATTTGTTATTTAAACGTGTTAAATGCAAATCTACATCTTCAGTATTGATTCTTAATCACATATTTTGCACGTAGTTTAAGATACACCATATAGCTATTCATAATGACATGCTATCTTACGGATCGTTGTTTACTTGCCGTTTTTTATTCCCGATAGTAAAGAGTCAAGATATATCCCGAATGCAAATATCGTCATTTACAAAAAAACAATTGCTGATTGGTCGAACGATGTCGATCAACTCCAATCACAACTTGAGAAAAAAATCCCAACTTTTTTTAACACCGTATGCCAAGGGCTTATGAGGAGAGTAGCGTATCAGAAACCCTTGGCTAGCGAAGATGCAGGGACATATATATTCATTCAAGTCTCAAAATGAAAATATATATTTAGGTCCTAAATAAATAAAATTTTGCTTGGACCAAGGTGTCTTATACATCGGCCGACCGGTCTTAAATCTAGGGCTGACCAGTCTGAGGTGTCTTTGGACTTAAATGTTCATGGGCTGAGGTGTTGTTGGGCTGAGAAGTCTGAAATTCGCAACTACTATGTCATGTGACATTTGAAATGTTTTGTGCGGTTTGAAGAGGCGGATCTAAGTAAAAACTGAATAGGTATCCAATAACACGCACTTGCTCTCACCCTAAATGTCACACCATCAACATATTAGTATCAATTAATTTGTTTTGAGATTGTCTGTTGTGGTTTTTTTTTTTACTAGGGGAGGGGGGGGGTGAATGTCAGAAAACCGGTATAGTGTCGCTTGTTGCCATTCGTGAGTGCGTGTCAATCTTAATTAATGCATACACTGAGTGTAAATATCAAACTGGAGATAGGATAGCCTTTATATAACTACTCCACCATGCTTTACTACACGGGGACGAACAAGGAAGATGTTATATGTGCCTTTCGAGTAAAGCGAAAATAGAAAGCCCAGTTGACATCACGTGCATGTGTATGTCAAATATCATGACAGTAAGTCTAAGATACTTACTTCGTTGAAATAGTGTTTATAGAACCCGTTACAACCATCATTACGGCAAGCACTATTTGTTTGTAAGTCCAAGCCATATTAAGAACACAGACTTTTAGACTTCGAAGAAGGAAGATTATTTACTTTTCAAAGGGTCATCATTCAGCGAATCCTTGTCAAAAATACGCTTGAATCACAACCCCTTTATAAACACTTATGAGACGTAGAATATTTACAAGTGATATGTTTGGAATTTTAAACCACATGCTCTCATGGCTCGTTGGTCTAGGGGTATGATTCTCGCTTAGGGTGCGAGAGGTCCCGGGTTCAAATCCCGGACGAGCCCAATGCTATTTTTTTTATTCCCACTTGACCTCGATTTCATCCACTTGCTATACACGTAAATGTTACATTAACTGATTAAGTAACAATGAAAAGGGTGATTTTTTTGTTTCAAAATATCTCAACCTCTTTCATGAAATTTAATCATGATCTCAATAAGTCTTAAAGATTAATGCTATATATGGCGTATCTGAGCTAAAAAATAAAATACGAGATTGAGTTAGATAAACATGATATATGTTTTTTACGTTCAAATTAAAATTTTCACCGATTTTGAACTTGACATGTTTCTATCTATAGATAGTTTTCATATGACGTATTTTCTCTCCGAGTTATTTCCCTTGGCCGCCATCTTGGTGGTCAACCTGTCTTTGTCTTACCAAATCTAAGAGGGTGTAGCAGAAATATTTGGGGAAAGATCTTTATAGAATAAAAATGATGAAATAAAGGAGGCTTTAACAAATGTATATTTTTCAGAAAAACAATGCTTCCTACCCCACAATGGCCAGTATAAAAAGTTAAAGTTGGTTGAATAATGAAGGAATATGAGCATGTTGACCTCCAATAAGGCGGCCAACGGGAAATAACTCTTGCTAATTTGGGCCTACTGAAAACTAAACTGACTTTAAGGAGGCTGGGGGGTCAACAAATTAACCACAAATTAACCACCAGATTTAACTTAATTTTTTAGATATGATATCTTAAGCTGTCAACTATCATTTGGCAAAGAAAAATTTCAAAAATTTTAGTTTTAAAATTTGATCATTTTCTATATCTTCATATGGAGCTCTTCTTCTAAAGGAGATCAATATAGCCTAAAAATGGCCACAACCCCCCAGCCTCTTTAAACTGTGTCTGTTATTTAAATGCTGAGTCGGTAAATAAATCGGTTATTGTTTAAATTTTCTAATATCTTTCAAACGTGATTGATTTAAATTGTGTAATTTACAGGAAAGTCCTATCTTTATATAAAGTAATAAAACAAATAGAAAGATCTTTTTAATTTTAGTAAGTCTGAACTTATAAAAAAAAAAAAAAATACGCCATATGACTTTAAACAAAAAGAATTTCCTCTTTTGAAATACAATAAATATTCAAAGGACCCGTAGAATGTCGCTTACTTGCAAATTGAAACTAATTTTAAACAATGCTGAAGTATAAACTTCTCAACATTTCCCAATTTTAAATATATACATATGTATACACTTATGCATGTTTTTAATGGGAGTCGAATATTTGACCAAGAATGAGTTTAGGATGTGTTCTGCCGAGACTTTTGTCATTTTAACTTTGCAGAACAGGCAATGCCGAGCTGGACTAAAGCTTTCTGAACTACATAATACAGCACTGCTGCACTGGTAACCCAAGTGAGGTAGAGTTGATCGATAATATTTGAATTAACTTTCTTTCACCAGGAAGTCATATGAAGCTTTAGAGGACGACCATTTGATTCTGAGGGCGGGGGAGGACTGGCGAATTCATCAGTTTTAAAGTCGATGAAGGACAGGTTATAGATTTATTTCCAAGGTGATCGAGGACAGATTATTTATTTTCTTCTTCACTGAAAAAAGTCTGACAAGCAAATAATAATGATACTAATAAAATAAAAAAAAAAAGAATTAAAAATTAAAATTAGGAAAATTGTCAAACTCTAAACTGTTATTTCCTGGTGGTGAAGGTGGGGGTGGGGTTACTGGGGTAGCACCAGTCAAGGACAGATTATTTATTTTCTTGCCAGTCGATGACGGCCGGATTATTTATTTCCAACATTTTCGAGGACAGATTATTTATATGTACTTCCAAAATCTGCACACACAACCACCCCCACCCCACCCCCACCCCACCCCAAAAAATAAATAGTCGTCCCCTTATCAAAGCGGGAATTTTTACAAAAAATAACTATAAATTAGATTTTTTTTTATGCACACCATGAAAAAATTTACATAGCTCATAATAATTTGAGTGAAGCTTTTCACATATGGTGCATTGTACCATGAATTGTATAATATGTAATATCGCAAAAGTTCTGCGTTACATTAACGAAATATTTATTCACAAAATAATATATATAGTTTCGCGCTGTATCAAAAGATTTGACGCGTTTCGCGTTATAACACAAAAAAATCTGTTATATTTTCTCCCTCCCAAATTAGCTCAGTGGGGCTTTCATACATCTGTTATACCTCGATCAAAATGATAGAATAAAATTTATAAATTTGAAAAAAGAAATACCATTGCCAAAATCCGGTTCCCAAGTATTTTTTGTAGCTTGTTTATTACGTCCTAGGGGTGGGTAGGTGCATGGAGGATTGTGATCCCAGGTATCATAGAGTTGATTAACTAGCTATATAGCTGGAACAAAGAAAAATCGATCCCAATAATAAAACACATTTTAATTTATACTGTCATGAATCACCACGTGTAATTTTCAAAAAAAAATAAATAAATATATACATATATATATCATGATATATCATCAAGTGCACAATATACTGCATAAGCTTTATTGTGTTAATTCATGAAACCTCTCTCTCTCTCTCTCTCTCTTGGCTCGCTTCCTGCTTATGTAGGTCACGAAACCCTCTCCGCGCCCCAATCTTATTCGACTTCCTCTTAGCGATTTTGTTTGCACACCATGATTGTTGTTAAATAGTAGATCTGTTTAAGGACTGTGATTTATTATTTGAAGGGCAATTAATTTATAATTAATATGGTAAGTGTTTTTGTCTTATTGATTATGAATTTTCGATCAATATATTACAAGAATAGACAAATCGTCTTGTCCTGAATTATGATTTCGGAGGTCACCAAATTCGTAGTCTGAGGGGGCTCAAGTGAGCACAACTGTGCTGTAGTGGATTCATCCATGCCCGAGAGGTTATTATTTTTTTAACAACCATACCCCCCTCCTTGAACAGTTGAAGGGATCTTGTGTGGATCGAGCTTCATTCTAGGATGTGGTTAGTGAAGGCACAGGAGTTCGCATACCTATCAATTTTACTGAAATTTTTAGTAAATAAAAAAATACCTAATACCTATAATAATAACACAAAGTTATTATATAGGTATTACGTATTTTTATATTTACTGAAAATTTTGGTAAAATTGATAGGTACGCAAACTCCTGTGGTGAAGGTTAACAGGATTATAAGTTTATAAATCCCTCTTCTCTATCATTTCTATTATATCAAAGTCAGATTTTGTCAAAGATTGTTTCTGATTTACTGTCTAGTTAACTGTTTGGGGCAAATAGAGGTTCAATTATTTTCAAGAAGAAGTATGTAGAAAAATTTCAAGAACTCCTCCAGAATGGTAAGGCCCAATGCAGTGATTTATCTGATCAATATTGTTTTAATGACAGCAAATTTATATTTGATATACATGTATATATATATATATATATATATATATATATATATATATATATATATATATATATATATATATATATATATGTTTTTATTTATGATAGTTCTAGAAATTAATCCTACCCCCATCCCCCTGCAATAAGCTCTCAGAATGCAGATTTTTGCCACATTTATTTGAAAATTTCCGAGGGGACATGCCCCGGACTCCCACAGTATATTTACACCTCCAGTGATAATGTCAACCAATCATTTTCATTTTTCCTCTTTACCTGAAAAAAAGAGTAGTCAAATAGCTAGATAAATTCCTGCAAGGTCATGCAGACTCCTATAACTTATATTCAAACCTTTGCAATTTTGGGTAGGAAGGGCAGTAATTTTGCAAAAGGATAGACAGGTAAAATGTTAAGTAAAAAAAAAATAACCCTGAAAGCACATCGTTATAATTTATTTTAAAACATCCTGGAGAATAATAATTTTGTAAAATCATAACCTATACATCAACGACTGGGGACAGAATAAGTTTGGAAGTGTATGATGGGCATTTTTGTTTCTTGTAGGATTACATGTACATGACTATAAATATTTGTATAATTAATGTATTAATCAATCATAAATATATTATGTTACTTGGGGCCAGTATTCATTTATATGGGAGTGAATTAAATGTTATATGCAGTTTTCATCATTGGCTTCTATAATTTCCTTCTTTGGTTGTTGTTTGTTTGGATTGGTCAGTTTTGTTGTTCTTTCATTTGCATGATTTGTATGTATTTTATTTGTATATTAAATGAGGAGGAAATTGACAGTGAGTGGCGGGTATTTATTTGTATAGAATGACACTGGGTGTGGTAGAGAAATTATTTTGTTTTCCTATTTGTGTTACTGGACAATCACCTGGTTTCTTACTTCTCATAAAATTAATTAAAATTTAAAAAGAAGAATGTTACCCCTCTTCCTCGCTTTTCAGTGCACCTCTAGTCACCTATCATTTTTCCACCTCGAGGAACCTATCAAATGTATGTGTTTTCTTCTATGGATGTTGATTTGGTGAAGTGTGTATCGAGCACCTCACTCTTTTTTTATTTCTGACTGTTTTTTTTTTTTAAGTGTTGACAGTTTTTCTTTTTTTATTTTTTAATTTAAAAAAATTTTAATTCATGGAATTCAAAGCATTTTGGTTTTGAATGCATTATACTTTAACAACTAAGCAATCTTAACTGAAAATATTACTTGATAGGTCACAAATATTTAACAATGAACTTTGTGCAAAATTGTTCAAAGGTTAATATCCAATAAAGGTATAGGTGCACAAAGAGACTCTCTCAGCTGTGGTGTTGAAGAATCATGCAAGTGATTATTAATAGTTGTTCTTTGCAAGAAGATTTTTCAGTACATAGATAAAATTATTTCTCTCTTTCAATTAGTTTTTTTTAAAACCTGAATTAAGTTGTTTTGTGTCTACCTAAAAACATTATACACCTATTTACTGGCTATGAGGACAATAGCAAGTTTATCGTTCCCCAAGACAGCAACTATTTCCCGAGGCGCAGCCGAGGGAAATAGTTGCTGTCGAGGGGAACGATAAACTTGCTATTGTCCGAATAGTCAGTAAATAAGTGTTTTATTATACCGAAGCAGTCTTTACTTGTGTTACATCACAATCTGTATAAAACCAGAAGAGTTCCGAGATGAAAAGCGAGGGAAACAGAATGCTGCCGGTGAATAGTTTAATGACTATTTCACCATGGGCAAATAGCACAAAAACTATTCCACGGTAGGGGCTGTTTGGAAAAAATAGCATGTTTATTCGTAATATTTTTATATAGAAAAAATTCACAGAGGTATAATAATTAATTTTATTTACCCTGACTTTGTCTTCTAAGTTCCTCTTTGTTCTTCCCATACAATCTTTCCATGCAATATCTAGTCTCATTTTTAAACTATGCTTATAGAATTCGTTTATATCTGTATAATTAGACAATGGGCTAGGTACTATATGCCTCTGACATTTGACCATGAACATCATTGTTCAAATCAGAGTACATGTATTAATATATTTGGCAGGTATAAGCCTGTTCAAATCAGATTAAACATAGGCTTACAACATCAGTTCTTTTAGTATTTTTAGTTACTAATACAATTCAAGTAAAGATATTCAAATGTTCACCAAAGCCATCAAAAGGAGAGTGTGATTCCCCCTCCCCCACCCTCCTTCCCCATTTGTTAAAAAAAATCTTGAACAATCTGATTAAACTCAGACTTCAAAGTATCCTCCATCTTGACTGTTAATTGCTAATCTCTATGGGTTAGTGCAAACAGAGGATGGACTTAAGTTAGATTGAATCTCAAAAAATATTTTTTAAACAAAATTTATTCATTATTGATCTGTTTAAGGTATTGATTGATTTTGTTTACTTGATTAAAAAAAAAGGACTGAGAGAAAATACTAGAATCCACCAGAACTGTACCCATTTTTAAAAATATTCAGGCTTAGGAGAGGGAACAACCCTCCAAGACCATCATCCTCCCTCCCCCCCCCCCCCCCCCCACTTTCCAGAAACCTTAATACATTTTATACTCTATGTATTCATTCAAATCAGAATTAGCTGCTAAGTTAAAGAACCATTCATATTTTTTCAGGAAACACTATACATAGTTGTAGTCCTAGCGGCTGTGTTCCTGTGTTCTACACAAGTGCAGGGTGAGTTCTTCCAAACTTATTGTAGTCTGAAAGGAGGAATGAATAAACATACATTGAAAATTTACAAATAGATAAATAAATGAAAAATATATAGCCGGAAAGGAAATCCCTGCATTATTAGGTTCTTTAACCACTCAGCTATCCAAGCAGATACCTATATGATTCATAATTACATGTATACATACAAATTACTACATAATATAGGATTTCAGCCAATCAGGAATAACAACCTATATACAGATATGATAACAATATTTTTGTCTTTCACAGGATCCAGGGAGAAGAGGAATTTATATGAGCTGGCAGAGATGATTTCGGAAGTAGACAAACACAATGCCCTAACGGCCTATAATAACTATGGTTGTTATTGTGGGTGGGGTGGGTATGGCACGCCAGTGGATGGCATTGATGCGTACGTTATCCTCCATACAGATTCAGCAGAAACAAATGAACATTTAGTATATATGTCAAATTACACACTTGAAATTTAAATTAAGAGGAATAGGGAAAAAAGAAAAGGTTGGGATTTTGCAAATATGTACCATTAGCTCTTCTTTGAATTATTCCTGTTTTTTTTTTCCTGTCACAGATGCTGTCAGACCCATGATAACTGCTATGGAAATATAACAGCCAAAATCAAAGACTGCTCTCCAAAATGGGATGGTTATACATACCAAGTGGTGCCTGGTTCTAAAGCACTGCAACCTCGTTTGGTTCACTGTGGAGGTATGATCAAATAATTAACAAATAATTAACTCAATCATATATGTATATATCACATACAAAAATATTATTTTTTGTGCCCTTTTTTGGTATTAACTGCAAGTTTCTCTTCCTGGTACCTCTTGGATATGACATTTAAGTGTTAATTTATTCTTGGCAAAACTGTATCACTTTCTATAACCTTCAGGGAAATATTGGTTGAGGGTTGATATGGCATGATCACTATTGGTTAAAAATTCAACTACTTGAACACATATAATATAGAATAAATGGATACACTTACATCTGTTATTAAAATGCATGTACATTTAATTATATCACTGAGAATTATTTAACAGTACTTAAGGCAAAAGCTGATTTCAGTTTGGGGATGAGTAAAATATTTTTTTAAAAAATGGAATGCAGGTATTTTGAATATATTAATGTTCTGTATCTATAAGCAAACCTTGTCTATTTTTGGACTTTTTGTTGATAATGAGGTCTTTAAATGACACACTGGAAGTAAAACTTTTGATTTTTTGCAGACAAAAACAATAAACGTTTTGCCAAGGACTCGCAGAATAATTTTGTGCTCAATGGAAAAGACGATCACTACTGTCGCCTTGAGATCTGCAGGTGTGATAAAGGTCTGACAGAGTGTCTGGAACAATTCAAATTTACTGGAAAGAAATCATGCCCAAGTAAACGATAGTGATCTAAAAATGTATGTCATCTCAAGTTGGTGTGTCAGTCTTTCATATCTAATAGCCAGATCAAACAATTTTACTATAGATGAATTGAAAAAAAAATCTATGAAGGGAATAAAATCACAATATTTATTATTATGCTGATATGGTTCACAGAATCTCGGTCAAATTTCCTTTTAGATGTATTGTTTATAATTCACAAATATTTTGATACTCATGATATTATAGTGGTTTATTTAGAGGTCATTTTTATTTCTTTAAAAAATGGTTTAACCGTCAATTCTGTGAATGAAATAACTGTTTTTTTAGTAACTGTGTGTAAAAGTGAATTATGTAATTGTGTGTGAAATTTTAAAGTTTGTGTGCCTTTTTTTTTTAGATTTAAAATCTTTTAAACAATGTTTTAAAGAAAATAAAGCATTTTTTGTTTACGATTGTTTTTTTGTTGTTGTTGTTGTCATATTCCTGCACTGGCCTTTATGCTTGTCTTCTTGGCAAAAAGAAAGTTCAGAACATCTTATAGTTTTATAGTATACCTGCTGAGGCTTTCAGATTTACAGTATATCTGTCTATATTCATAATTCATATGTGTTTTTGTCCACATTGTCTTAGTGGAATTTTTAGAAGTGCTTTTCCATGAGTGCACTCCAATCAGTGCATGTACCAGTTTTCTGCAAATGAAAGTGATATTTGTATTTTTGAAGCATATCAGGTATTGAATTAGGGGAAAATACCCCCAATGATACAAATAAGACAAAGCATAGAACCAGAAATAAACAAATTTTATTCCTTTGTAATCAAAAAAAAAACACATTTAAAGAATGTATATGCTACTGTAAACTGAGTGTTTGAACTATGTGTCTATGCAATACATGTAGTTTTATAATCTTAAGTCGGTTCTAAGTACTTTTAGTACTTTGATTAATTTATCTCACACCAAGTCCAGTCGCGCAATTTTTTTAACCGACTCCATGAGATTCTTTTGCCGAAATTTTCAAGTTAATATATAATATTAATCATATTAATTAATCATTATTATTATGAAATAATATGTAATAACATATGCCAACCTGTACATGTAGCAGCGATTTTAAAACGTATGGGGGTCATGCAACCTACAAAAGAGGAAGAATGTGGTGGTACTCCGTGAGCTTCTGAGATTGTTCATAGATGGTAATTTTAAAACTATATGCTGTCATAGGACAATAATATCCGCACATCAGAACTCTACGTTCCTTCTTACCTACCAGGCTGGGTAACTAGCTAAGAAGCCACAATAACTATTCTATAATTTAAATAATATACATGTAGGCTGAATTGAACATATTTTATTGACAAAGCCAAAAGGATAAGACACAAGTTCTACAACTTAGATAGTCTTCTCCTTATTCAAAATTTTATAATATTGCCATAATAAAGTACAATTATTCTCAGTAACAATTAGTAGTGTCAAAGACTGTAAGCTCTTCATACCAGAATACAATTCTATATACAAAAATTAAGATTTTTTAGAAAATCTACCACATTCTTTTAAAAAAGTATGAATAACTTTAAAAATTTCTACATTTTGCTGATCAGAAAATGAATCTACACCCCATAACATCAAATGCACATCTATAATGTACAAACTGTTGAATGATAATAAATTACTCATTAGAGAATGTCTTGCTGTTGCAATATATTTTTTACAAACAAAAAACAAATGGTAGGGATCCTCTATTTGTCCACATGAGCAATTTGGATTGTCTATTAATTTACAGCGAAATAGGTCAGAATTTAAAATACAATTATGTCTTAAAGACCCAATTTTTTTACCGTACGGTTACCTGAGGAGGGGGAGTGGTCTTGGTAGCACTGGTGTTATTTACCTGGAGAGCCCCAATACTCAAGATGTCAAAAATCCCTATACACGCTGCATTACACAGGAAGTCCGGCTTTTAGTAATCAGGGTCAACATTACGCGTTTTGTGCATAGTTTTGAGTGAAAATATTTAAAATAAACTATGTACTGAAATATAAAATTTGTAGACTTAGCGTTTTCGTATATATCTTTTGAAGAAAGAAAATTAAAAAGACATCTTTTTTAAAAATCGTAAAATAAAAAAAAAAAAAAAACGGGCGAAAACTATAAAGCAATCAAATCAATATTTTAATCGCCAATAAAAGAAATTATTATAAAATATATATTAAGTGTGAATATTGAAATTAAAAGATTCCACTTATTGTGTGGGCATTTACCACGATCGGAATATTATTTACTTTTCTGGCGAACAATGGTGTCCAAATATTCGCCTTTTCCGAGGGTACGTGTACTTATGCCCTGTTTACTGGTATGGATATAAAAAGAATCTTTCGTAATTCATGGCGTTAGATACAAGATACTTTATTTATATTAGTATAAATATCTTTTCTTATTTAATCCATTGCATTTTGTTATAATTTTCAAATGGTGGGGGAGGGGGTCGATTGTTTCCAATTACGGCGAATTGATGTACCCAAGTGCAAAACAAAAAACAAATGGTAGGGATCCTCTATTTGTCCACATGAGCAATTTGGATTGTCTATTAAATTACAGCGAAATAGGTCAGAATTTAAAATACAATTGTGTGAATAATATTCCAAAATCTCTTTCCAAAAGAGAAATACTTTGGAGGTTTTACAATATTGCTTGACAATTTTTTTTTAAAACATTTAATGGAAGTTGCCTCCCTTATGTCGAGTTTAATTGCATTCCACTTTCTAACTGTGTCCGGAATAAAAGATTTATTGAATAATTCTAATCTGCATTTTGGTAAGGAATAGTTGGAAGAATTTCGAGTAGAGTATTGTGAAATATTGCCTCTAATATCAGGTACTATATTTTGAATGTAAGTGGGTACTAAATTGTTGTGTATTTTGTACATTGTTACTAGATTAGTTCGATTTCTTCTATTTTCCAAAGGTTCCCATCCAGTTTCCAGATAAAGTGAATTTTTGGAAGCAATAAGTGTAAGACCTGTTACTATTCTAGCAGCAAATAATTGAACTTTCTCAAGCTTTTCAATATCTGCCTTTGTACATCCAGACCAAACTTCAACAGCATATTCCAGTTGTGGTCTGATAAAAGAAATATACATCTGGGATAAAATATCCCTTGACACAGTGAATTTTAGTTTTTTCAGTAAACCAAGTTTTTTGTAAGCCTTCTTTACAATGTTATCAATATGTTCAGACCACCCCAAATTTGAAGACAATAGTATCCCAAGATGTGTGTGTTGTGTGACACATGTAGGCTATCAAATCCGGCATTAAACATGTTAAAGGTGAGTATGTGACACATATCATATGGGCTTCTTATGTTAGTATTTCATTCACTGCCAGTCTGAAATTTAAAAATTTAATGCAGCATAAATATTAAAAACTTTAAAGAAGGTTTGGAAGGAATGTATGAGGCGCCGTTTTAATATTTTTAAGGTATTTTCTGATATCAAAAAATGATTTTTTGATATCAGAAATTCGAATTTTTGATATCAAAAAATCATTTTCTGATATCAGAAAATATATTTTTTGATATCAAAAAATAAGCGAGATTTTTTTATATCAAAAAATAAGCGAGATTTTTTTATATCAAAAATTCGAATTTCTGATATCAGAAAATCATTTTTTGATATCAAAAATTCGAATTTCTGATATCAAATAATCATTTTGTGATATCAGAAATTCAACTGGATTTTTTGATATCACAAAATCAATTTTTTGATATCAGAAATTCAACAAATATTAGTGTTTAGGCTCATACAGATAATCTATTCTCCCCAAGATTGTTTTCACAGAAGTAGGGCTCCTCTGTGTTTGGGTTTTATACTATTATCTATAGAATTAGTGGAAAGGCGAACTTGTATATGTTACAAAATGAGGGTTACAAGTTTCGGTGTTTATGATGTAAAGAGAACTTACTGAATGCATAAAGTGTTAATTACTCTATTCATTTTTACTGTCATTTCCTACGAATCTCTTGTCATTACAACTCAAGGAGGCTTCAAGACTTATTTGGAATTCGGACATTTCAAACTTATCAGCATTGTAAATGCATGTACGTATCAATTTATGTATATTCATTTATTTCCTTGCATTAATCTATACAAAAATTTTATTAAGAAAACACAAGGCTTTAGGCTAGACAATCAACTATGAATTGATAACACTAATCAAAGTTAACAGAACATGCAATGTTGCAGCGGGATCGGTATTCAGGATGACACTAATACCAGTAAACTAACCATTGATACGGAATAAGGGAGCATTCATTTATTTAAGTTCTATTTATTTCACTCATATTTTCTGATATCAAAAAATCGATTTTTTGATATCAAAAAATGATTTTCTGATATCAGGAAATCAATTTTTTGATATCAGAAATTAATGTAGATTTCTGATATCAGAAAATCGAATTCTTGATATCAAAAAATCATTTTCTGATATCAGAAAATCGATTTTTTGATATCAGAAAATAAATTTCTGATATCAAAAAATGCTTTCGAATTTTTGATATCAAAAAATCGATTTTTTGATATCAGAAAATCATTATCTGATATCAAAAATTCGATTTTTTGATATCAAAAAATGATTTTCTGATATCAGGAAATCAATTTTTTGATATCAGAAATTAATGTAGATTTCTGATATCAGAAAATCGAATTCTTGATATCAAAAAATCATTTTCTGATATCAGAAAATCGATTTTTTGATATCAGAAAATAAATTTCTGATATCAAAAAATGCTTTCGAATTTTTGATATCAAAAAATCGATTTTTTGATATCAGAAAATATGAGTGAAATAAATAGAACTTAAATAAATGAATGCTCCCTTATTCCGTATCAATGGTTAGTTTACTGGTATTAGTGTCATCCTGAATACCGATCCCGCTGCAACATTGCATGTTCTGTTAACTTTGATTAGTGTTATCAATTCATAGTTGATTGTCTAGCCTAAAGCCTTGTGTTTTCTTAATAAAATTTTTGTATAGATTAATGCAAGGAAATAAATGAATATACATAAATTGATACGTACATGCATTTACAATGCTGATAAGTTTGAAATGTCCGAATTCCAAATAAGTCTTAAAGCCTCCTTGAGTTGTAATGACAAGAGATTCGTAGGAAATGACAGTAAAAATGAATAGAGTAATTAACACTTTATGCATTCAGTAAGTTCTCTTTACATCATAAACACCGAAACTTGTAACCCTCATTTTGTAACATATACAAGTTCGCCTTTCCACTAATTCTATAGATAATAGTATAAAACCCAAACACAGAGGAGCCCTACTTCTGTGAAAACAATCTTGGGGAGAATAGATTATCTGTATGAGCCTAAACACTAATATTTGTTGAATTTCTGATATCAAAAAATTGATTTTGTGATATCAAAAAATCCAGTTGAATTTCTGATATTACAAAATGATTATTTGATATCAGAAATTCGAATTTTTGATATCAAAAAATGATTTTCTGATATCAGAAATTCGAATTTTTGATATAAAAAAATCTCGCTTATTTTTTGATATCAAAAAATATATTTTCTGATATCAGAAAATGATTTTTTGATATCAAAAATTCGAATTTCTGATATCAAAAAATCATTTTTTGATATCAGAAAATACCTTAAAAATATTAAAACGGCGCCTCATAATTTTCTGATATCAGAAATCTACATTAATTTCTGATATCAAAAAATTGATTTCCTGATATCAGAAAATCATTTTTTGATATCAAAAAATCGAATTTTTGATATCAGAAAATCATTTTCTGATATCAAAAATTCAAATTCTTGATATCAAGAATTATTTTTTGATATCAAGAATTATTTTTTGATATCAAGAATTCGAATAATTGATATCAAGATTTCTTTTTTTGATATCAAAAAATACCTCAAAAATATAGAAATGGCGCCTCATAGGAATGCTCAACTTTTCAATTGCTGTTCAAAAAAGCAAGCTCTCCCGAGACAGGAGCTTTTTGAATTTTTCTTCGATATTTAAGAAAATGAATATAATTTTCAGTATATAAATACTTGTAAAATATATATATATATAGATATCAATATTGACCAGAGTTCGCCTGTTGGATACGGGTTGACATCAGTCGATTTGATACCTTTCGTAGTTTATGTCGATGTAATGACTTCCGGTTTAGAATTGTTGTTGAACAACAAAGTAGTCTTTCTTATTTTTGCTCGTGTATCAAACTTCACGTGAGTACAATCATCAAATTAATAAAGGCATCTTGGAGCATGGGCGTTGGAAAGTATTAAGCATTGGGTTAGGAGAGGTGCAATGGCAGATCCAAGATTCTTGAAAGGGGGGGGGTATTTAGGGGTCTGGGGTAGTCCGAAATATCTGACGTTTTCCTGGCTTTTTCACGATTTTGATATTTTACGTACCAGGAAAACGTCAGAACCGGCGCCATTACGAATCCTGGGAATTCGCCGCCTCCAACCAGAGGCGGCATTCTCAGGTTGTTTTTCGATACTTGCAAAGCGAATGAAATGTCAAACTCACAATTTATCAATAGCATAATGCATCTAGTACTCACCAACGTCGTTTTTATGGTTTGTTTATAAAATATACAATCTGATAAAAACATTTTATCTGACTGTCAAGATTTGTTTTCATTTTGTGCATTTTAAAATTGTTCAACAGGTCTAGGAAAATCACTATATTTAGCTATATAGCTAAATCTACCTATATAGCTTTATTTACCTATATAATATAGCTTTATTTAGCTATTTCAGAGTAAATTTCTGTTTTATGAAAAGCAGACAAAAAGTCGCATAATGAGGCAGTATTAGTTTTCAACTTTGAAATGGACTGAAAACAATTCACCAAAAACCCACTTTTAAAAATGTTTCTCCTTTTGTGCAATTGCAGTCAAAGATCTAAAAGTTTTGGGGCTATGTATAACAGTTAATCTGTGAATAAGCAGCTACTTTAACAAAGAAAAGTAGTTTTGGTCAACAAGATAATTGATTGGTAATAATTCAGCACAATGCAAGGCAATCACACTTAGTCATGCCTCATCGCACTTCCAGTAATGGACAGCTATCCAAACAATAGAGATGCATTTTTTGGTTAAAAAGTGTTTAAAAGAGGCAATGTTTTTACTATCTATGCCCTAGGTTGTTTTTATCAAACCTTTTTAAAAAAGTATCAGCCATAATTTTCATGCGACTTTTTGTTTGCTTTTCATAAAACAGAAACTTATTCTAAAATAGCTAAATAAAGCTATATTATATAGGTAAATAAAGCTATATAGGTAAATTAAGCTATATAGCTAAATATAGTGATTTTCCTGGACCTGTTCAAGTCCTGTATCGAAATGATGAGTGATGTTTTCTTTTCATCGATATTGTTGAGTACTAGAAGCATTGAGCTATTGATAAATTGTGACAACGGCATTTAATTCAGTTCCCAGGTATGGAAAATCAACTCCGATTGGAGACAGCGAAATTTCCAGTTTTCGTAATGGCGCTGGTTCTGACATTTCCTGGCACGTAAAATATTAAAATCATAAAAAAAGCCAGGAAAACAGAAGATAATGCAGACTAGGTCTGGTGTAGAGGCCCAGGGGGCAAAGCCCCCGGAGCTCTCAGGTTTTAGGAGTCATATGGAACAGTTTTCAACTTATTTTAGCTATTCTTTATGTATAATTAATGCAACATCCCACAACAAATATTGATTTATAAATGTTATGTATATTTTTGGTCACAAAAAGGGGGGCAAAGATACCCTGTTAATTGTCAGCACAGAGTAGGTAAGGTACCACCCTCTTTGCGCTTGTCTTTAGCAAAAGATTTCAAATTTCACCACTTTATTGACTGTGCAGATCACCATACTATTTGCCACTCCAATGAACACATCACCATTACAAATTTAGTTTTTTATCTGAAAAAAAATTAAATTCATACACTGATATTTATTGGTGCCATTTGGTGGGCAGCTATTCAACTGCGGCAAATTTTTCTAACCTTGACCTTCCTGTGACTGACCTCACTATTCCTAATTTTTTGTTTATTTTTTGTTTCAAAATAACTATTCAAGATATTAATCAGAACTCATACACTGATACATGGAGCTATTCAAATGTGTCATAATTTTCTGACCTTGACCTTTCCTGTGACCTTGACCTCACTATTACTTAAACATATCTTGTGTTCAGTTAAGAACTAACTATTCAAGATATTTTTATTAAATTGCATACAGTGATTACATATTGGTGGGAGCTATTCAACCATGTTATAATTTCTTGACCTTGATCTTCCCTATGACCTTGATTTCACTATTATTTTGTGTTGAGCAAAGTGTAGAAGAGATTGTTCATAACATTTTCATCAAAACTCAATTAACTCGTACACTAATACATGTTAGTGGGAACTACTCACCTGTGTCATAATTTTCTGACATTGACTTTCCCTTTGACCTATACTTCACTTTTTAAGATATTTTAATCAATCTTTATACAAAGTTGTACATTGGTCGGAACAATTAAATTTTGTCAAAATTTTCTGACCTTGACCTTCCTTATGACTTTGATCTTCCCCTGACATTGAGCTTTACTTTGAAGATTTCAAACTTCATTTACTATGATCCACATTAGTGAAATCAATTCAACTTGTCATTATACTCTTACCTTGACCTTTCTAATAACCCTGACCTCACTATTCCTTCATTTTGTTCAAGATACTTTCATCAAACTTTGTATACTGATTATTGATGAGAGCAATTAAAGTGTTCATTATTATTTTTTTTTTATTTTACCTTGACCTTCCCAATGATCTTGAATATCACTTTTTTTCCTTGTTTCACTCTTAGTTAAAATTATTAAATTCCATAAAGGATTACTTCAGAAGAGCTTTCTTTATTTAGCTGTTAAATAATGGATGGGATGAATGAATCTCAAACCAAAGGAGGGTAGGTTTCTCTTCATGTTGCAATACAAATATACCTTGGACGGGGCATTCATATCCTATGGACATATTTCTAGTTTTTTTTTAATTACTGGGGCAATGACCATCTGCCTTGCCACCTGCTCTGACACCCTTGTAATGAGGAGGTTGTGTCAACTAAAAATAAGTCATGTTTACCTCATTCTTTGAATTATACAAGAGACATAAATACATGTAACGCTACAGATATATGGATAATGGACATGCATATAAATTTTATGGGATATAATCTTGCACATGAAACCTAGTATAAACTCACTTTATCATGGATTTAAGGTCTGCAGGGTCTAAGATGTTTGTTGCCCATGAAATTTACTGTCAATTACAGATTAAAATTGAAAATGGTAGAAATTCATTAATTTTAAGGCAATTTGTTTTGAGCAGATAATATTGATGAGTGAAGTACTACCATGGCAAAGAAGTCCCTTACCCTGGAAGACCTCAATCAGGCTGTTAGGGAGGAAAACATCCCCCTTAAACGGAGATTATCATCTGGAGATATGCCAAGAAATGAACATGTGAGTTTTAATCATTGAACTACACAATATCATCCTGCAAGAAAGGCTACTTTGATAAAATTTAGGCAACAACTGGAAAAAGTGGTTAAAGAAACTATTAATATTATATTCATGTATTAATTTAGTCAAGGTCAGGAGATTCTGCATATGTGACCAATAGACTTTACAGATTAGTGACCAAAAAGATGTTTTTTGGAGCACATCCATTCCTAAGGAACTAGGAGTCGTTCCTTGCCAAATCTTTCATAAATGTTGCATGCTGGGATGCATACTGCCCATTATGTTTTGGATGCTTTATTTAACACATGTTTAAATTTGTGGATGAGTGATCAGATAGATGTTCTGGAGCAGGTTTAGTGACAGAGATCCAGAGGTCTTTATTGAGGACAGTTTGTGTGTTAAACTCAGAAACAAACACATGGGGAACACAGGGGGGAAAAAATTCATTGTTTTTAGAAATTGATTTTAATAAATTCTTGCTAGATTGATGCAGTTTATGCTTGGAAATATAATGTATTATTGTAATATTTGTATTTAAAATAAACCCTGGTTCCCTGTGAAACTCGGAGAGAGGAATACAGTAAAACAGGCTTATAGTGAACATGCTTATAATGAATTAATGCTTACAATGAAGTGATTTTCATCTTAATGGATATAACAAATTACATTTATAATGAAGTTAATATAATTAATAGTGTTTGTTATTTTTCCCCCTTAAATTTCATGCATGAAGACACCAATTGTGAAGTTTCTGCTTGGAAGAGCAGATGCTCCAAATATTTTTGATGGCAGTACGACTCTGAACGGTACCTCCTCCAACACGGAATGTCCCCACAGAATCTGCATCACTGAGGTGGCTCCGTCACATAGCAGCTTTTTTGGAAATGGTATTTTATACTAAATGCATACTGTACAATGAAAATTTTTGGTAGGGTCAAATTTTCATGGTTTGAGGTGGAAAAATTTAGTTTGTGGGAATAAAGAAGTGTTAAGTTGTTATATACTTGAAATTTTGACAATTCATGGAGGAAATGAATTTGTGGATCTCTCCATCCCACAAAGACTACATTAAAAAATATTAATCTCCACAAAAATTAATGATTTCAAAGTGTAAATGCATGTTTCTAAAAGTCTATGAGAATTTGTGAAAAAGAGTATTTATATTATCTGTCCAAAAATACAACTAAATGTGTAATTTTTATCTTTGATTTTATAGAAAATAAAGATGACTGGAAGATGTCTATCAATGAGTTTTCATCTAAGAAGCAAGGAAAAAGCAAAAGGGATGTCCCAAAACGTATCAGGTAATGAACGCAATAGCTTTAATTTGTTTTTTTAAGATTCTCCTTAACCAAGTAACTATTTGGCCTACCTGGACCAAACTTGCAGAGATGATGCATTAGGGATGTAATCTACAAGAGTGGTTGAATGCTGCTTCTGATCTTTATTTTCTGGATAAGCAGCCAAGATTAAAGTTTTGGGAGCAGGTCCTTTCGCAAGTATCTACTACTAGGACTAAGCTTGAAGGGCGATGCATCCGTGAACACATACTCCCAAATTTGCTAGAGTCTGTGTAGGATCTATATTTTCCTGAGAGTAAACAGGTTACAATTTTTTTAGCGCATTTATTCTTAGGGCTGTCCAAACTGGGTGAAGTGTAATCAAGATCAACTTAATCTGAATTGAATATAATCCACAATGTTTCAGATGCTGCAGTCATTCTTATTTTTTCAGAATAAGTGACAGCATTAAGCAGTATGAGACATGGCTTTCATCATGGATCTCTGCAATCTTTTCTTATTTTTCTGAATGAAGCATATTAGAAAGTCTTGTAATGAGTAATAATATTCCAGAACATTCTACAAGAACCAGGATGAATTAATCACTGCTTTTGAGGATTTTCATTTTGGAGTTGATGATGCAATGGAACATGCTGAGGAGATCGCAGAGAAACAGAAAAAAGCCAGTATCCTCGCAAAGGCTACTCTAGTCGTCAATTTGGTGTGTATTTCTCCATATTTTACTTTAAAGCTTCTATGCTTCTAAAGCTGAGATGAGTTCTTGAATTTGCAATATTTCATCATTGAACAGCATGTTTAACCCTGATTGACTTATTCCACCATATTTCTTTACAATAACAAATGCAGCTCGTCACTGCGAGCTCTTAAAGCAATGCCTGGGCAAAGAGAAAATTTGGATTTGCACGTTGATCCAATTTAATTTTTTCCACAGTTACCTCAAGACCCACAATGCAATGGTTGTTTTTCTTACTGCTAACTTTGTTCTTGCAGTAACAACAGCTAAAAATTCACAAAAAATAGACTCACCTAAATTTAATGGATATTGCATACAGAGAGTAGATTAAACGTTCTTTGTTAAAATTTTGCACTTTTCAAACTTCTTTTATGGAAATGCAGCTAACATATGACATCATGTGACGTCACAGTCTAGACGTTCCATATGTCTCGTGCGGTTTGAAGAGGCAGATCTTAAAATTAATTGAACAACTGCACTCGCCCCAACGGTCGCACCATCAACATATTGTCTTTTTCTACCCTATATTTAAACCCAGATGCATTTGTTACAGTTGAGTGATTTTTGTGGTCAGGCTTTCCCAATAGTACCATAAATAATTGTGGAACACTTGAATTCGCCAAATATGTTTTAAAACACCAGATTATGTCAAAGGAAATATTAGATACAAAATTAAATTTTGTGGTTTCTTATTAAGTCTTCATAAAATTTCATCAATGATTCAATTTCATTGAACAGTATTATTCATGAAATTTAATCCCATTCCTATGAATATTTTTATTACAGTACTATAGTGTACTGACAACAGAAGACTTAATAAAGTCTTCTGTTTTATGTGTATTTTACAGTGTCTTTTGGGAGCCAAACTGGCAGCAGCAATTTTGTCGGGATCTATTTCCATAATCTCCAGTTTAGTGGACAGTTGTGTGGATCTCTCATCTGGAATCGTCATAGCAGTCACAGAGAGAGCCATGAAAAAGAGGAATTTATATGAATATCCTCAAGGTTTTCTTCTTATAATTCTTGAATAATTTTTAATTCTGGTTGTAATGTGCCATTTGATTGGCAAGAAAATTTAGTTTATAGTAAATCACAGTCAGCTGTGTTGCCTACATCACAATGACTTGTCAAAATGTATCTATCAGCCTGATGTTACCTTTAAGTTTTGTACAATTTGAAGTCATTTTTCAAGGGTAATTGTCTTTTTTTGGACACAGAATGAAAGTAAATTAAATGATAAGGAATGGATATAATAGCTACCCAAGTTATACTGTATAACATCGGTTGGACCAATTTATGTTTTTTATAAACCGCTTTGTGGGTAATGTTAATATTGTGGATCTTAATTGACAGGATTAGAGATTAGTGGATCTACTCACATGGTCTTTCATAATGAACTTAATGACACTTAACACACATATATGTTTTTGTGAAAAAAAATAAATGTTTGCATAAAAACACTTAAAGCAATATAAAATACCTGCTGGACAGAAGTTCTTAACTACAGTTATAAGAGGATGAATAATATAAAACTGACATTTCGACCGGTAGTTGTGTTGATTCATAATATAGTTTTGTTTGAATAATGAAGTTGAGTTGTATAAATGTATTTCATTAAGAAAAATTAATATATTCAGTGTGATAATGTAGACTTGATTATTTAAATTGTTTCTGAACAGGACGTACAAAGTTGGAGCCAATATCCATTGTTATACTGTCGGTGATTATGAGTCTAGCCTCCATTCAACTGATTGTTGAAAGTGCAGAGAAGATCGTTGGAATAGCAACAGGAAAGGGAGAATGGCCTGATGTTGGTATCATCACCATTGTTATTGTGTGTTCTACTATTGGTAAGTTATCATAATGTCTGCAATCTTGTTAAATATATTATTGGATGAGATATAGCTTATTAGAGCCCTGCATGAAATCTCTTAAATGAAAAAAACCCTTATGAATCGCATTGTCTATCTCTCTGTCCTTCAACACTTTTTTTTGTGAAACTCAAACAGCTTTCACTATAATGTTTTCAAATTTTTGTACAGGGATATTTTACAATAAGAGAAAGACACATATAATTGGAGATCCTATCACTTTGTCTGTCTGTTTGTATGCTGTATATATGTAAGACTCCAAAGTCCGATGATCACGCCAAAGTCCAATGGTCTCGCCAAAGTCCGATGGTCTGCTCCAAACTCTGATGGTCACGCCATAGTCCGATGGTTCGTTTCCTATGAGACGCACTGCGCTAAAGTGTGATGGTCCGATACGCCAAAGTCCAATGGTGCGGAGAAACAATCAATATTTATGACGTCACAATATTCCGACATCAATCCGTTGTCCTGCATTCAAAAGCCATCAGTTCATTATTCGTCCTCGCATACAATTTTACTGATTTTGCTTATTGCTTGCTTCCACCAGAGATATTAGGGTTAGTCCTCACACACCACTCGACTGATCAGGGTTAGTCCTAACTAACTTTGGACTAATTATGGAATAGCTTCCCAGCAATCCGAGAGATTTAGTGTTAGTCCTCGCACACTATTCAACTGATTAGGGATAGCCTCGCATCCACCCAAGATATCAAGGTTAAAGTTCTTACACACTTTTTGACCTATAAGGGTTAGTCTCGCACCTATCCGAGAGATTAGGGTTAGTCCTCGCATATAATATTAAGTTGTGTTAATTTAAGATCTTAATTTGGTGCAGTAGTACTATGACGTCACAAACGTTAATCGTTTTTCCGCACCATCAGACTTTGGTGTGTCAAACCATCAGGGTTTGGTGCAGACCATCGGACTTTGGCGTGACCATAGGACTTTGGAGTCCCATCGCACTTTGGAGTCCTACATATATATCTTTTGTGACACGATAACTGGAACAGTTTTCATCATAGCAATTTCAAATTTTATACAGAGGGATTTGATCATTAGAGAAAGAAACCTTTAAATTTTAAATAGTCTGTCTGTCTGTTTCTGCTCTGGAGAAGGTTTAATGATACTGCAGGATGATGATAAATTCTTAATTGTCTTATAACAACCATCTTCAATTCTCTTCATCAATGAATAATTAATTTTTTGGAAGTCTTAGGGATTGGAGGAGATAAATTGGGATTGTTAAATTTTACAAAGGAGGAAAAACACACAATAACAAAGGCTGTGGTTTGAGATAGTGACCATGGACCTTTTGTTTAACATGTATAAATTTAGTGTGAGGCCAGACTATTATTTAAATGGATTCTACTTGGTAAAGCAAGAAAACTCAATCCACCACTATGTCTTTTTTTTTTCTTTTTGCAGTTCTGAAGATCATTCTTTTTCTGGTGTGTAGAAGAGTGAAGACTCCCTCAGTGGATGCCATGACTAAGGACCACAGAAATGATGTACTCTCCAACATTGTGGCTATTGTGTTTGGATACATAGGTAGGATTACAGTAATCTTTATTTTCTTTAAATGATAAAAAAATACATTTGTAAATGGAGAAAATTGATATTTTAGGACTGATTACTATATTCCTGCATTAAAAAATAGACCAAGGTTCCTTTTGTTGGTCTGCCTGGGTATGTTGTGCATTCATTGAATTCATTTAATCTGTAATTTATTTATGCTTGCAAAAAAAGAAAAGCATCATATTTCTCATGTAAGTTGTACAATGTACTGGAGTACATAGTCATTTCATATCTCATAGCTCAAGGTTTATTTTATAGTCAACTTCACATCTCATGGCTCAAGGTTGCAGTAGCTACTGAGTTAGAACTTTTATACAATTTATATCTATCTAATTGAAGTAGGTGAGAATGACCTTCATACTTCAACATTAAATGTACATCGCCTTTTTGGTGTGTCATGGCCCATATCCTAAAGGTTGAGGTCAATGTAGCTAATGACTGACCATCTTCGCTAGCCAAGGGTTTTCGGTCCGCTCTGCTCATGATGACTGACCCATATTTGTTGTTCCTCATGTGAAAATTACCTGACACTTCATAATAATGAACTGTATTTGAATAGCTGAGCTGCATTCAAGATTGTAGCAGCTAGTTTAGGTGCTTACTATCTAGGCTTTATTGAATGCACTGTATGAATTAATGCTTGTTATTGCTAAACTAGCGTATTGTTCAAGATTGTAGTGGTTAAGTAGAACTACGTACCATTAAGATCTTGAATGCAGCCTTGGTGTGACCTGTTTTGTCAAGGTCATATCTTAAAGGTCAAGATCACAGTAGCTATTGAATTAAAAGTATCTGTAGAACCTCTAAAGACAATTAAGTTAAGGCTAGATATAGGCATTTCTGTGCAAAAGCTAATAAAAATGCATAAGATGTATAGGTTTGATACAGAGAAAGTTTAAATTTATTTTCTTATACATGCTTAGTACCCACAACATGTTAGAGCTAGTGCACATTATGAAATCATTGTTCTTTACCACTCAAGGTAATAAAACACATCAACAAAAACAGCATCGGCGCAAAGGCATATCCTATTTAATTTTAAATGAATAATTAAGAATATTCTAAAAATTATTAAAATTGCTGCACAAATATTATGTACTTTCTCATTTGATAAAAAATTGAGGATACACCGGACTATGAATTTTTACCCAGTTTCAACTCGAAACTTTACGAATAGGAACTAAACAATTGCACTCTTGAAATTTGTACAGCAATATCATAAATCCTTGGAATATCCTGCTTTTATTTATACCTTGTTTCTGAAAAACAAAATGAGGTATGCCCTTGTGCTGAAGCTTTGATGTGATGTTCCTTATAAAGTTGTATAGTAGAGAACAATGACGTCATAATATGATGTCGTAATGTGCATCAGCCTTCACATGTTGTGAGTACCAAGTTTGTATTAGAAAACAAGTTTTAACTTTTTCTGTACGATAGGTATAGCCTTTATGTGTTTTAATTTGTTTTTTTGCATAGAATCATCTATAATTCGCTGTAACTCACTTGTGAAAGATTTGCTTTATCGCATTACACTGCAGAAGCTTTTGCATTAATAGTGCTTTCTACCATTTTACAATCTGATGACCCATTTTCTAAATGAAATGATTTTTTAATGATAAAATAGAACACATGCCTTTGATCATTTTGAATCAAATTTGACAAAAGAAAAAAAAGAAACAAGATATAAGCTTAGATAACATGATGATACAAACCAGTAGAGCTACAGTCTCATCAGAGACTTTCTGTCGTGCACTGTTATCTTTGAGCTCCTGTCCCTTGCCATGTTTTTATTCTAATACAAATTATATTCTTCAGGATCCAAAAGCATGTATGACCAGTACAAGGTATCGGAGTTAGTATACCTGGATCCAATCGGAGCGATCCTGATATCCCTGTACATACTGGTCGGGTGGTGGTCCACTGGTTATGGTTAGTAACTTTCAAGGTGGAAAAAAATGATGGTTTTGTAATCAGTCATTCTGTGCTGTTGAAAAGTTTTCCCAGAAAGTTTTTTCATGAGCCAAAGGGTAATTACCGTACTTAGGTAACACAACAATCTCAAAAAAGAGGTTGGTAAGCAATTAGCAGTCCTAACCATCATCAAAATTTGTGCAACTCTTACCACATTAACAAAATTGCAAAATATTTGATTTGAAGTGAAAATACATGTAATTGCATCCTAGGAATGTGAAATTCAATAATGGTATTTTGTTGTATTTGTTTTTTAGGACAAATCAAATTGTTAACAGGACACACAGCAAAACCAGATTTTCTGAAGAAATTAACCTGGATCTGTGTCAATCATCACCCAAAACTGCTATATGTGGACACGGTGCGGGCATTTCACTTTGGAATAAACTTTCTTGTAGAGGTAGACATTGTTTTACCAGAGGACATGACGCTGAAGGAAGCTCATGACATTGGTGAACCACTACAACATAAACTAGAATGCTTACCAGAAGTAGAGAGGGCTTTTGTACATTTGGATTATGAGTTTGAACACAGGCCATCTGATGAACATAAACAAGTGTGATAAAGGTTTTACAGTAGAAACAAATTATGAGGTTTTCTATCAGGTGTACAACTCAAATTGTCTCTGTTTTGTGATCTGCAATGTCTGGTATTGATAGAATTACATCACTGTGCTTCAGTATGTTTATTTATGAATACTAGTAACTACTTATGAATGATAGAAATCAAATACCAGTTATTTTAAAATGGATGACTTTGCATATATTATTATAAATTTGTATATTTTTTTTAATCATTTTTACTTATTTTAAACAAACTTTATATCAAGCAAGTCAGTTAAGACTAGGTATAGGTGTTTCTATGCAAATAAAAAAAATAGAATGCATAAGGGCTATACCTATCACACAGAAAAGGCTAAAACAATCGATATCCACAACATGTTAAAGCAAGTGCACATTATGACGTCATATTATGATATCATCATTCTTTACTACACAAGGTTATAAAGAACATCACCAAAAAAGCTATTTTGTTGATGTGTTTTATAACCTCAAGTAGTAAAGAACAGTGACATCATAATATGACGTTACAATGTGTACTGGCTATAACATGTCGTGGGTACTAAGAATGTGTAGGAAAATGACTTTAAACTCTCTCTGTGTAATACCGTAAATCTGGAAATTTTTGCGTTGATTTTCTTTGCGAATCTGGTTCAAAACGCTGTTGATTAACTTTTACGTTTCAAAATTTTGCGAATTGACATTGGTGCTAAAATTAAAAAGCGCTTAAAATTTTCATAGCAGTTTATAAGTTACGCATGTAGTACATACAATAAATTACGCATGTACATGCAATATTGAACGATCCCAACATTTAATAATCGGATTATAAATTATGCATGTACTTACAATAAATTACATATGTACGTACAATAATAAACAATGCCAATGTTCAATAATCACATAAACAAATTAGAATTTAAGAGATAAAACATCTAAACTATTTAAAATTTTCATAACAATTTTAGAGATAAAACATCTAAACTATTTAAAATTTTCATAACATTTTAATAAATCACGCATGTACAAAAAATATATAAAACCGTGTCAGCTTTAACTAACCTTCAGATAAAAACATTTGTTCTTAGATAAAACAACTGGCCTCTCTTAGAGAAATAATTTAAAAGAGATATACTGCCTATCAAACCATCGGACGATGTTGAATGTAGTAAAGGCAGTCTTACGCACGGATTGTACGGGTAATTAGCTTATAGTATAAACAGATTTCTTAAAATGACCACTGCTTACGAAACTTGTTCATCTTGAAAAGTAGCAAAAAAAATTGTTTTCATTTTTTGTTGTTGATTTATTTTTAAGAAATATATTTTTGCGAATGCAATGCACACGCAAATTTGCTAAAAATTTATCTACAGCAAAAATTTTCAGATTTACGGTAGATATAATACCTTTTATGATTTTTATAAGCTCATTTACATAGAAATGCCTACACCTAGCCTTAACTCATATGCGCATTAGCAGGTGATATTTTAATGATATAATTTTTATCATATACTGTGGAATCATTTTAATTCATGGGGCTGATGTACAAGGGAATGTTATTTCGTGGGTAATTTGTACCGGTATATAAGATTTAATGAAGTTATTGTTAGTGGAGATGTAAATTCAAGCCTAAGGGTGAACCTTGAAATCCTCAAAACATTAGTCCCCCATGAACAATGATGATTCCACAGAATTTGAACTTTATATCAGTAGTACTTGTAGTTAAAATGTGGTGGTTGATATATAATACAATTAACAATGGATGTTTATATAATTGTTTTAAATGGCTAATGATACAAATTTTAATGGATCCTGAAACAATTATTAATGGATCCTGATACAGTTTTAATGGATGCATCCACTGATCTTTTATTATCATTTGTTAATTTTATATCATTTATTAGTTGTTGACACAAAGCTTAACAGAATCCTCTTTGGTTCATGTTGTAATGTCAAGTATACCAATGAAGGAGTTAGCAAGATTTTGGTTTCCCAAGATCAGATTTATTTCCTGAGGTGAAGTTGAGTCTGATGAAAGAACTAGAATCTTGCTGACTAATGAACTGGTTTACTCTGACCGTATAAGTACTCTAATACAAAAGTTAACGTTAGATCAACATAATGTCTCTGGTTGACTGACGTTTGCTGGCTAAAGTAAAAGTTGCTTTATGTTTTGCTTTTTGGGGAACACTGTAATTTTAGTCTGTTATTCTAGCAAGTTTAATTTCATGTGGAAAAAAAAGAATTTTTTTTTTTTTTAAATTGCAGGTAGAGCTAGTTAAATTTATTAATTAATGTTGTCTCCAAGGAATCTCGTGTCAGACAAATTGAATCTCGTTTATTTACATTCTACAGTTAATTTCCTCGTAAACTCATTATGAACTACTGGTATATTCATTTGATGTTGATGAAACTCCCTAAAAAATGGATACCAACAAAATATTAAGAGATAAAGGTTATATTTTGTACAAAAACTTGGTAACATCATTAAGTATGCAGAGCCATAATTAATTTATAGAACCATGAAATGCAAAAAAAATCGTTATCTAATACTTAAGTATAATAAATATTATAATGTGTTTGATAAGTCATACAGAAATTAAAAAAAAAAAAAAAAGGATTTTGATATGTGTATTTTTTTATAATGAGTTTATATATGCCTTTGAGTTTATAAGGCTTCTTGATAATTACATACTGGTGTTCATTAAAAGTACATTTTGATTTGATGTATTTGTCTTTATATATTATAATGCATAATGCACTTCAAAAATAAAAATGTTTGCCAACAAAATGTTTTCTTTTTATAAAGTCCTCTTTATTGTCAGTTTTCAAAAAGAGGGAAATATTCAGAATTCTCTGCAATATGATTTAAAAGTTTCATGTCTCCTGATTTGTATAAGGTCACCTGTATCATTCATTGGATGTATTGCTATCATTTCCTATATGTCAGCATGTGATCACTGATGTGCATAGTTCATAATTTGAACATAGATAGCTTTTTCTCTGAAATAACTGAGCCAATTTCAACCAATTTTGGTATACATATACCTGCATCTGAGGATGAGGGAAACCAAAAGTTGTTAATTTCATATTAACAATCATCATGACCTGGGGTCTAAAACTATCAAAATTCATATAATCCTCAAAAATCTTCCTTATTCTGTCAGATAATCCAGCCTCTAGCAGATAGAGTGTTTGTATGATTCTACAGTTACTCCTCTTTCATAAATGTGAAATTCTTGACCCTGTGTCCAGGGTTCAGGCCCCGTGATGGGGCTAAATTTGTATTTTATTAAGATGAAATATGAAGATAACGAACAGTATTCAATCTCGAAAGTCCAATGAAACAATACAAATTTGGAGCAGAGCAAACACAGACCTCAAAATTTAGAGGGTGGGATCAGGTGCCATGGAGGAGTGAGCATCCCCTGCCGACTGGTCACCCTTGTCATATCGGGGAAAAAACGGAAAAAATAAGAATAAATTACACCTTTAAAAGTCTTTTTATGCTTGCAGAACTTGCTGACAAACAGTTTGATTGATTTTAATGATAATTAAATGAAATTGTAAAATTCATGTCCCCTTGGTCCAGGGTGTAGACCAATCCATTATATAGTTTTAAAAAAAACTGTAGCTGTACAGTTCTGTAACTGGAGAGGGAAAAAAGTGCCACAGACCAGATCAGAATATGAATCACTAGTTAGTTGTATTAACAACTGACCTATCTGGCCAATGGAGATTGGACCTGTCTTACTGTCACATTCTTTCCTCCATAAAGGTCTTTGCTCCCAAAGACAACCAACTCAGGCTCTTCCCTGGCAGGTCTTTCACCTCTCACTTCCAGGGCATTGCACGGCACCAAATATAACTGAAGGGGAAGAAAAGTGTGATGGACCAGACCAGGATTTGAACCCAGGGCCCCTAAATCTCTAGTCAGGTGCTCTACCATCTGAGCTATCTGGATACTGTCGATCGAACCTGCCTGACCACCACACTTCTTTCTTATGGACTTCTTGCAGGCTAATTATTTGCATTTTGATGATGAGCCATTAACCCTTCATCAAATTATTAAAATTCATGTCCCCTGACTTCAGAGTGGGGATAAGTTACTCATCAATTGAAAAAAATATTATGACTGTACTCATATTTTAGCCCCTTTCTCACTACTTCCTGTCTACTAATTTAAATACATGTATGCAAATATATGAAAAAAACAAATGCAGACTTGTCTCCAAATATGCTTATTCATTGTTATGCTAATCAGTTGATGAGGAAGATGGAGTTGAATTTTGATTAGAACTAAATATGTTTCAGTAATCTGGACACTTCATTTATCCTGACAACTAGCATCCTGATTAACAAGGTTTGACTGTATTGAAAATGCATTGTATAAATTTCTCTCAACTTCCAGGAGAAAAGCATCATGCAATGTGATTATGAACATAGTCCTATTCAAGTGATAAAATTCATGTCACATGAGTCTAGAGTTACAATCTCATGAGGGGCTGAGTTGGTCAGCATGAGAAAGTCATTATACTTAGTTTAATGTTAAGGCCATATGTAATGACGATGTGTATATGTTTGACCACATAGTAGAGCATTAGAAACCAGAGGGACTTGACTCATCACTCTTTCTCCTGAATTTTTTTTGTTTGGAATAAAGTTCCAGTAAGATGTTAAAATTCGTATAAATTACTATGCATAGTAAAGTAGCAGATGAAAAACCAATTTTGTGGCACTCACTCAGACCTTTCTATGAAATTATGGACTTCCCATAATTAAAGTCTACCACAGTTTTCCAGAGATTTATTTATTCTATGGAATTGGAGATATTGATTAAAATATAATATGCTGTTGTGTATTACATCAAATAAAGTTTTATTTGATTTTCATTTTTTTTTTTTATTATTGAATTATGCACTTTGTTGACTCAGATAAAATTTCTGCTTGTCAGGAGATTTGGGATTAAACTACAGGGGACATCTAATTATGATGTGATAAACAGCTGAGTTAATCCTTATTAGACATGACGCACTGCTGTGCACAAGACAGTTGCACATTGAGATAAATGTAAGCGCAAGTTGTTTGATATAAGCTTATCCTCGACTTGTAAGAAATTAAAATTCTGTTTCCAAAAGTCTTTTAGTATCTTCAAGTGCAGTTACTTGATTTGTTAACATTGCTGTTCATATATGAAAGCTTAAAACTTCATAGTAGTAGTGCATGTTCCTGTGTAGAATTGTATTCTGGTGGTGATTATGACTAGATACAGGGTTATTTTTTCCCCCATTTTAGCTTCGACCGTAGAGAGTTTTGCCCCGTTTTAAATTTACCCAGGCATAGTTGTATCGAGATAATGCTGTCTTCTTTAAATTCACTCCATTTTAAATTTGTCTACCTGCAACAAGGATGAAAGGGACAAAAAAAAAAGGGGCAAAAATTCCCCTATACAGTATTTCTATGAACAGTAGTTCAGTCAAGGATAGAGACCGACCATAATATGCAAGTTTCCTTCTTTGGCATTATAAATGAACACAAAAACTGATTTCATTTCATTGGCTTGTACTTTATTCTCTTAAAGCGTCCTCTGATGAAATGTTTGACAATTAGGTGACAATGACTTATATATATACAATTGAGCCACATAATATTGTAAAACTAACACAGGTTTACAAAAATAAAACTCTGATCTGCATGGAAGATAATTCTAACACCCAGCTATTAACTTACAGAGAAACAAACAAGGTATCACAATGTAGCACCAAACTTTTCCAAAAAAAAAAAAAAGAAACCCAAAAACCCTCAATTTTGTATAATAAAAAAAAAAATTTGAATCTCTTTAAATGAAGGGTATCTTTTGTTAACTTTACCAATTTTCTCCAAAAACGCTTAATTTTTAACAACCAAATACATGTTCTTACATTGTCAAAGAAGTATATCTGTATCTGTGTTATAATAGATTTAATGACCAGCATTGTCTAGATATTTGTCAATTACTACACATACAAATTACAAAACACACATATAAACCTCGCACACAAATACACACTCATCTCTTTTTCTTCCTGTATTTTAGGACAGGGATTTTTCATTCATTCTGTATGTCATTCTGTGATGAATAGCTGCCTTAATGAGATCTCAGAATTGATGAACTTACATGTATACATGTCACACTTAATGCAAAGATTCTAAAATACATAATCTTGTTCAATTATATGTGATACAACACTGTACATCCAATCATATTTACTTATTTTATTTTATATTTTGTTGAGTTCTCTAAATAGTTTGTTCACTTGACTTTTTTAAAAAATTGTAATTAGAACAATCATGTCTTGAAACTGAGTAATTCTTAGAACTACAGTAATTCACACCTTGTTCACACTAAACTTCAACACTCAACGCAGTCACAGAAGCATTCTCGCACACTCACTGTTAACAAGGATGAAAGGTCAACATAGAACCTGATGGTGGAACTCCACATCATAGCTGATAACAAAATATACCACCTAAGAATTCATATCAAATGACTTATCACAGACACTAAAAGTATACATCAACACCTAAAACTATTTGTAACACTGTGAAGTACGCAAGTAAATACAATCAAGGCTATTTACATAGTATGTACAGAATTTTTTTTTTACAGTATTATGTCTTAATTTACAAAAAAGCAATTTAATTCTATGTCCATTACATTTCATGAGTATAGCAAATTGAAATGCTCACGTATCTGCACCTTGTCCTTGTGACCTTAGACAAGTGGGTTAACAGGGACGGGTATAGACAAAGTTACTATTTACATCAGCACTAGTGAATACAAAGCTACAATGGAGCCAGAAATAAATACAGGGACAACAACACTACTTTAAGAGTGTATGTTGTCACAATACATAAACATATTAATTATCCAGTATGTACAAATATATTACATTAGAATTCAGCACTAATAGAAAGTTTGTTGTTTTTAAGGGATCACAAATAACACAGAGTTTGTGGGAATGCACCATCAGAAGTCTACACAAGTGCAATTCACTGTTCTCACAGACTGAGACAAATGCCCTATATAAATCACAAATGTATGATTTCCAAGCCAGTGATTTCACTAAATAGATGTCATACTTGTGGATATAGTTGTACACAAAACACAACTCCACAGGCAATATAAATCACTAGTTAATCCAACTGAATTTGGATTCTGTTGTTGGTACCATATTTGAATTAAATTCACAGTTTAATAAATTCCATGTTCAGTACACTTAATTCACATGTTATACTCCAAATCTTAAGCCACTGTTGTTATAATCACAAGGAGATGGGCTAAATCTCTCAGTGGCTGCATCAAGTCAAATCCGAGGCGCTCCAATGTATTCCGAGAAAAGTCACACGGTGGGAAAATATGAACCACATAGGCTGGCTGAAATGGAGTAAATAAAACAATGAGTTAGTGTACACGGTTTCACAAACAGCTATAGTGATCTTGAAATAAAGACAAATAGACATCTTCAATCAACACAGTCTCATAACACACATTCAGATACCTTTAAAGTTAATTTTATCATTTTAATTACAAATGTTGAAAAGATAGTACATTAAGTTTAAAATTAGCCACCCCATATTCCTTTTTTCACTTGTTTGATAAGGTAAACCTTGTAAACAATGATCCCTCTCCAAAAACATTTAACCTTGTCACTCATCAAAAAAAAAAGTACTTGTCACATACAGTATTGAACGCAAGAGCAATAGTATACAGCATTTGATGCATTAACAATGCAATACTAATCCAGTTAATACTTGTCATGATTTAGTCAAGGTGTCCTGTATTTACCTGCTGTGTCTCTGGTTCAGCTACATTAACGATTCCAGCAGCTTGCTTCTGTTGTAGATACTGAATAAAGCCTGTGGTCATTGCTCTGGTCTGCTCTATGATATGATCATGGTCTCTCCCACAGGGTAGGGCCAATAGCATGCAATAGTCATTGTCAAACTGATAAAAAAAAATACAACAGCTGAGTGAAATGTATGTTACTTCTCAAAAACATTGAATTGATGAACAGAACAGTATTCCTAAGGCTTAACATCTACTTTATTGTTTGGCAGTTTCTTCCTACTCATATTGTTAACAAGGCTTGTAGTTCAATTTGGATAAAAATTTATTATTTCCACTCTTTTCCCTAACAAAGTAACATTCCTGGTCATGATGATGAACAACTATTCCCCTGATTAAAAAATTTTATCCTGGACAAGGATTTCACACATATCTGCTCTAACAAGAGCACCACTAAGCAGAGCATCCCCTCGAATGACATCATATTCCTTTTAAGCCAGCAACCCACTCACACACTCAAAAGTGCATTACGACATGTATATCCCCTCCAATTTCATTGTGAGGGGGATAATGAAGTTCAAATAAATTATCATACCTTCATGCGCTTGATGACACCATCTAACTGTGCTGCTTCCAGTCTCATTCTCTGGGCGATACGGAGAGGCTGCACTGACCCATCAGGGCCTTGTGGTGGGAGAGACAGCTTGACCAACTGTTCGTATCCATTGATCATATGTAACTGGACAACACACTGGTCATTCTTCAAAGCAAGCACACCTTGCCACATAACTGGGTAACGCTAAGAACAAAAATAAAGATGGTATTACTCTTTTAATCAAACTCTTCATACAGCAAAGAATGCATAAAAATATTTTGGTACATTGAGAAAAAATCTAAATTTCAAAAACTCTCTAGAATTAAAGGTCAGAATCAAACAGGGAGAGATTGGCAAATGATCCTATGACTATAGTTTCACAAAAGTTAGAGCTAATAGATTCTTGCACATAGACTACACATTAATATTTACATTGTCCACTAATAGTTCACAAAATGAACATACCTGTAGAAGACTGAGTAGACTTCCCTCCCCTCCTGGTGCTGGGGCCTCCTGTATAACTCGGGGCTGCATGTGCATTGGTGTTTCATGCATGGGAACCATACGTTCCTCCTGTTCCCTGTGTTTGGATGAAGTCTGACTACTGACTGGGACATTCTGAACTCGAGGGGGTGACCTGCTCCTACCAGACTGAGCAGGGTCGGTCAAGTCCTGGATAGACAGACCCCCAGGGCGTGGCAGGTAGTGAGATGGCAGACCTGATGTAAGGAGGTGAAACTGTGGGTCCAAAGCTACATTGTACAGGTGAGGATGCTGCTGGTACAACTGTTGTTGAATTTCAGCATAATTCTTGTGTGCAGGAATTGCTACAATTTAATTATTACACATTTCTTAATAAGAACAAATCATTGCTTGTAAAAACCCCTCAGTTACAAAAGGAAAAGCACAAGAATATTATATGAATCAGCATTTGGAAGACTAAATACTACACTAAAACAAACCATTCTTTTTAAAAGTACATTATTTTTTTTTCCTTATCCCAACAGACCTCTTGATACAACTAAACTTAAATGATTACCAGGTGAAATGTCAGATCCTGAAATTGGTGGTGTAAATGCACTTGGATTTTGAGAGGAAGGCCGTCGCATATCCGGCATCCCAGGATATAGTGGATGTTGAACAAAACGTGGATCTATCAAGTTCTTACTATCCACCTGTCCGTCTGGCCTTTGCTGTCCAGGAACATGAGCCGTCTGTCGCATGTCAGTGGGCTGGTTGGAAGTAGAACTGCTAGGTTTGTGTAGTGCATTAGCCTGCTCCATTTGGATTTGTTTCTCTATAAATTGTAGCTCTCTCTGTCTCTGATACTACAAAAGGTCATTAAAAAAAATGTAAGGATTATAATTAGTGATTCCTTAAGTAACAGTATAAGCATAGAATTAACTCTGACGGTATAACATGTATACTGACATGTATCTCCTCCAGTTCCTGCTGTTTGCGCTCCTCTGCTCTCTTCTTTTTGATATGTTCTTTCTGTGACATAGGAGCATTATGCTCCAGGGGTTGGTGAGCTGGTTTGAGGCCCATCTGAGAGGGTATGTTACTTGGTTGAGCTACAACAACAAACACACAATTTATGAACTATTCCTACCAATCAAATATCTGAATTCTTGAGAAAACTTTTCTATCACAGTACTTACTCCAATGCTCGCGTGGAGAGGCTCTTGGTGTTTCATGAGAAGGAGGTCTAGATTTGGGTCCCTCATGAGCTGATATTACCATTTCATTGCCCCACCTCATTGCAGCAGCATTTGTCTTGTCAGCAGTCTTGAAACATAAAAAGAAATCTTATTTGATACAGAAATACTACCTAAATAATAAAAACATGAAATCATAACCCATAAGCAGTACAATGTAGCGATATTAGACAAATTTCTCTCACCTTCTTGCTGATGTTTGCGAGACTGGTATTTGTAACTGGCTGATGGCCCATCTGATGAATACTGGGGGCAGTTTGTGCTAAGGCTGGAGACTTAATCTGAGGATGCTGAGAGCTAGCAGCTATTATGTTACTCTGTTGGTGCATATTAGGAGATGTTGTTTTCACCTCCTGCTTTTTATCATCACTTTTAACACTTGCAGAGGCAAGGTGTGGATGAGGCCATAATCCTTGAGTAAAAAATCCCTGTTTGTGTAACATCTGGGTACGTAATTGGTCTTGCATGGCTAAATATGCTGCCTGCTCTTGAGCAATTCTAGCATGTGCTTCTCCAGGCAGCATCTGTTTATGCTGGTTGCTGTGAGCACTTGGAGGTCTTTGAGGACTCTCTTTACCTATTTCCAGCTGTTTCTGACACGTTTTATTTGGTTTTTGAGCTTGGTGCTGCTGCATCTCTTGCATTATCTGATGGTATGGTAAACGTTGTAACTGTTCTTTGGTCAAGCCCTCTCTTAGCTTGGGATCAGAGAAGAAGCGCTCACCTGCAGCTGGGGGCTGAATCATAGTAGGCATGTTATGTGGTTGCTTGCTGAGTGAAGTTGTTGTTATAGGATGTACTACACATGTCGGAGCAGAAGTCACACTCTGTTGTTGACGCTCTCCAATTGAAACAGATGCAACAATGCCAGGTTTCTCTTCACTGTGTGCATTTTGATTTGGGAGATGTGGGGAGATATGCTGAATTCTCTGCCCACTTTCAACTGCAGCACTGTTTGGTTGAGTACGTTGTGTCCTTATTCCAGCAACAGTGGAATTCTGAGCCAGTTGGGAGTGAGCACTAGCAATAACAGACCTCCCAATACTTGAGGAGGATACTGTGCTCAACACAGAGGTAGGAGCAGATTCAAATGCACTCTTTGTTAAGTTCATGCCAATCTCTTTCTGGGTAGTAACTGGTTTTCCAAGAGAACCTGACATATGTGCAGGAACTCTGCCAGCATTGTTTGCCAAGTGTGGCATTGTCATCGTCACATGTATATCCAGTTTATTTGCCATTGTCCCTATGACTGAAGACTGGGTAGAAATGGGAGAAGAAGTTGCTGTGGGAGTGGATGGCATTAGATGATGACCCACTGGTTCTCTGTTTTGTAGCTCTGCCATGTGTCCTAAAAAGGGAAATGCACAGATTAAGAATATGCTAAATACAGATGTAACAAACCAAACTTAATGCGTGTATCACATACAAACTGCATTAATATCAACTCAATAATCTCATTTATCTCAAAATGAAAACCATTTCCAGTTCAAGTATTATGAAAAAGGGTTTATCTTTAAAAGCAACTTGTTACAGCTTGAACATGAAAAAAAAAATTGAAATCGTACCTGGATACAGAGAGTTAGGTATTATAGCATTGATCTTGCTCTGATACAATGGATTGACTGCTGAGATAGAACTTGGTGGAGTCTTGACAAGGCCTGTGGGTAACTGGAAGGCCGGACTCGTTCCAGATATTTGTGGTGATCTCAGTGAAGGGGACTTTACAGATGGTGACTTCAGAGAAAATTCCTCAGTAAAACTGCCTCGACTTGCAGTTCGCTTTCTTTCATAAGCTCCAATGTCCACCGTTAGAGGTGTGGTGAACTTGTTGAGTTGTTGAGGTGAAATTATTTCTCCCCCATCAGCAGCATCAAAGATTCCTTTAGAGACGTTATCGATAATTCTATCAATATTACTCATTGGAGAAGATGTAGTAGGTTGTGGAGCAACTGCTAAAAAATGTTCAGTATCAGCAGAGGGCTTTACAATTTCATTAGCAAATGAATGGGCTCTTGCTCTGTGTTCTGCACTCATGATTTCTCTGGGTTTCATGGCCCTCTTTTCATCTATTGGATGAGAGGGCACTGGATCTTTTGGAATATTTTCATGGGAAGGTGCCATCCTTGTCTCATTCAGTCTTTGCAAATCAGTTCCCTTTTCTTTAGAAATATCCTTACTAGGTCTTACCGTTGGTCGGATAGTCATTTTTATGCCAGTGTCCATTATTTCAGATTTTAAAACTTTGCCAGAATCTTTAGTGTCGAATGCCTCTTCATTGCACTTCTTCTTTCTGCTTGAAGAACGTCTCTTTGGTATTGGTGCATTCTGTTCCTCAGATTCAACTTCATCGAAATCGTAAACATTCAAAGTCTTTTGAGGTGTCTCAATAGCAGATCCAGCAGACCTGCCACGTCGAACACCTGAATCCTTCCCAGGAACAGTCTCTTTGACAGGTGTTATAGACAACTGGATGTCTTTGGAAGCTTGCTCTTCATCTAGTTTCAGATTTTTGTTTGTCATGGGCAGTCGCTCGATCTTCACAACAGGTGTGGCAATATCTGACTTCGGTGACAGTTGTTTGGGTGATGCAATTCTTGGTGACCTAGGTGATGTTCTTGATCGTGGTGAATTATTTCTGGGTGAAATGCCCGACATTTTCTTGTAATTCTTTCTTCTGCTGGCTCCCCTTTGTGGTCTCTTTGGTTCTTCGCATCCTAAATCACCATCATCATTCCTCTCTGAGTCAGTGTAGTCAGACATGGATATTTCCTTATCATCCATAACTTTGTCCCCAGCAAAAGGTGGAGAAGCAAAACCACTCACGTCTTGAACAGTGTTCACCTCCGTTTCTGGTTCAGATCTTATCGATACCGGTAAACCATAACTAGGTTCAAACACTGAATTAGGTTTTAAATCAGATACTGGTATAGAGTTAGGTTCATCAGTGCCTTTTCCTGACTTCTTTCTTCTGGTCTTGGTTTTCTTTGGAGTTGGAATTTCGAATTCTTGAGGTGTATTTTGTATTTGCTCCACATTTTCCAATGGTTGATGCATTTTTCTACTTTGCTCTTCTTTATGAGGCAAAGGAGGCAAATCAGTAGCAATATGAAGAGCTCCATCATCAGAATCGTCTTTATTTTGTGTATCCTGCAGTGGGTCTTCAATAACAAGTTGTTGATAGCTCCTCTGCTGAGCCTCTTTTATATCTGCTTGTTTCTTTCCTCTCGGAGTTTTTGGCTTCAGATCATGAAGACCTGCCATTGTTTGAAGGGTTTTCTGTGGCGTCAGTGAAACACTTGTAGGAGCCACCTGCTCTAAAGGCTTAGGAGCAGGAACATGTTCTAGAGTTTTAAGAGTAAAGTCTGTAGGAGGTAGAATGACCTGATCTTGCATAGGTTCCTGAACCAGAGAAGATCGAAGTTGATTTTCATCTCTCGGTGTTTCTTCTAGCAAATCTTGTGCGACTGGAATCTCTTCAGTCTGATGACTAGATAATGGAGTTTCCACCACTGGCTCTGGTTCAGAGTAATCATGTAATTTACTACCAGTGTCCTCTTCTCCTAATCCCAGTATAGACTGAATAGCCAGAGCTGTTTCACTGTCTGCCTGTGGAGGTTCCTGATCTGCTGGTTGTTCAATGTTCTCAGGCAGGCAGGCATTTGTCTCGTCGATGACAAGGCTTCCTTCATCTGCAAAGATATCATTTTCTCTTTCTCTTTTTTCCTCATTTTGAAGCTGTTCTATAGTTGACACAGCCTCTAGAGTCTCTGCAATTTTACTGTTCTCTTCTTCCAATTTCTTAGCAACATCCTCTTTTTCTTCTTTCTCAGATTTGTCTACTTCTGAATTTTTACAAATCACACTCTTCTCAGTAGCATGAGTATCACAACTAACATTGTCACGAGATGCAACATCAGCAACCTCCTGTGATATTGAATCTTTGTTTGTGTCTGCTCTTTCATGCTTCTGCTGAGCCTTTGGTTGCTTTTTAATACTGGTATGCTTCTTAGGTAATTTATTGATAAAGTTACTTTCTGCTAATTTGTTTATATTTTGATCTTTCTCATGACTCTCAGCAAGTGATTTAGCCCAGCTTGCAAACAAGCTCTCTTGCTTGTGATTAACCAATTTGTTGGTAAGCTTTGGTTCAAAGGAAGTTTTAGTATCTTTGGAGGTTATGTCACCAATGTCCCATTTGAACGGAGTTTTGTTTGAATCTGTAGTTTTTGACTTCAGACCGTTGTCTCTCTCAGCATTGTGACGAGGTTTTAGTTTGTCAAATACCTCTTCCTCATCATCATTAAAATCAAAGATATCCGACCTGCCAGATGACTCATTCTTTGAAAACTTTTTCTTTTGAGATGGACTACTTTCTGGAACTTTACTTGTGGACACATTTAGGGCTGAGGATCCCTTCACTTCTTTCCATAAATTGTCAGCTGGTTTAGCACTATTCAACTCTTTGCCAAGACCTTTGTCCACATCTTGTAATGGAGACACAATGTCAGGGGACAATGCCACATGTAAAGCAGGAGAGAGTACCAAACTACTGTCTTTCTTAACAGATGTTTTATTTTCTACATCTTTGAGGTTTGCAGTCTTTTCAGCTGTACTCTCAATGAGAGATGGTTCTTGCAGACAAGCTTTTGAATCCATTTCAGATTCTGTGGGTTCATTTACTCTCTCACCTTCACCAGAAACTTCATTTTCAATTGTATCCTCATCTCCTACTTTTTCCTTTGCAGATGGTCTGTTTGGCTTTATTTTCTCAGGAACAAAGTTTCCAAATAATGGTGTGCTAAAGTCCAAGTCAACGTCAGAAAGATCAGTGTGCGTGTTTTCAATTTTCTGATTTTCTGGCTCTTCGGTCCCTGCTATATGTGACTGAAGAATGTCTTTACCCTTTGAAACATCATCAATGGTTTTATCCACCTCCGAACAAGTTTTATTTTTGTTCTTCTTTTTCTTTTGTTTACTACCATCTTTGACTAACTTGTCCATCTTCTTGTTTTTCTTGGGTACTTCACCATCCTTCACAACTTTCTTCTTCTTCATTTTCTTCGTTTTAGAATCTTCAGCATCCGATGAGGTTTTCTCTGGTAAAATCTGGAGATCATCTGTTGCAGATGAAAGACTGCTCATTTTTTCCTTCTCTAAACTTTCATTTCTCTGATGTTCAGCAAAGGTTTCATCACTAGAGTCCCACATACTTCTTGCATTGTCATTCTCCATGCTGCACGGATGATCCATTAATACTGAATTTTCGTCCAAGGGAATCTCGTCAACGATAACATTTCCAACATCAGTCTTACAATCATTGATATTAATTCCACTGGAGAATTCATTAACAGGTGACATGATGGGTGATATTAATGCTGGCTGCTTCTTATTTATAACTTCCCTATCCTTTTTGCTTTCTGTTTTCTTTTTCTTGTTGTCCTTTTGCTTTTTAACTTGATCTTGTGCAGGTGGAGATTGCAAATCTTTGACCTTATTTTTGAAAGCCTCTTCTGTTGCAGCTTTTTGATCTTTGGATGAACTTCTATCCTTTGCATCACTCTGAATCATGAATGTCTCCATTTTCTCAAACAAACCAAACTGAGAATTCTTTCCTATTTCCAGTTTACCTTCCCCAACTAATATGTTTTCCTTTTCCTTCTTTTTGTTTTTCTTGGCCAATTTCTCTTTTTTGTTTCTCTCCGTTACCTTTTCCATTGAGTCAAGTAAGCTGTCTGCACGGATGTCTTTTTCATGCACAGTCTGGGAAACAACAGAGCTTTTAGATGTCTCCCTGTCACTTGAAGTCTTCCTATCAGCTAACTTGGTTTCATTCACATGTTTCTTCAACTCATCATCAAGGATTTTCTGTTTTCCTTTCTTCTTGTCTTTTGGAGATTTACTTGGTAAAGAGATGGGTTTAGGAGCAGGGATTATGTCAGGCTCCTCAGCTGACTCGCTGTCTGACGAGGAATAAATCTTATTTGACTTTTGCAATGGTTTCTTTTCTTCTGCTCTGAAATTATTTCCCTTGGCACGGCTAAACTTCTTTCCAAAGTCCAGATCAGAATCACTGTCATCCGATTCATCTGAGCTAGAATATATACTACATATACTTTGCTTCTTCCCCGAAGTGGATTTGTATGATGTTTTTGGTTTACTTTTTTGTTGGTCTTTTTTGTTACTGTTCTTTGATTTCAAAGGAAACATATCATCACTATCAATGCTAGTGTCTCTTTTAACAGGCTTTACTTTCTTCTTTGTCACAGGTAAAGCACTAAAACTGCTGTCTGTTGATTCATCAGAATCAGATGAGTAAATATCCAAAAACGGTGTCTTTTTGGATTTTTTGGATGGATCCATTGTGGGTTTCTGTGGTTGTAGCTTTTTCTCTGATGGAAAGATACTGGATGTAAAATCCGAGTCTGAATCGGATGAACTGTAAATCTTTTTTGACTTTGATCTACGTTTGTTGAAAGGCTTTTTGGTACTTTCCCTCTCGTCAGAATCTGTGTAATTGGTGGAACTGATATCACTCTGCAGTATGGAATTACTTTTGGATTTCTTCTGCCGTCGTTCTTGCAGTTTGTCTAGTTGTTTTTGTCTGTTTTGTTCCATCTCCCTCTCTTTGTCTTTAATAGTTGATCTACGTTTCACCTTATCATACATAGATACATATGGTTCTTGCCAAGCATCCCAATCAAAATCATCATCAGCCTTTTTCGCTGCTTCACTCGATGTGTGTTCTTCAGTTTCCTCTTTTTTATCTTTCTTCTTTGATGTCCCAGATTTGTCAGACTTGTTTTCTTTATTGGACTTCTTCTTTTCAGCTATTACTTTGGGAGATTTTTTCTTCTCCCCCTCTGATTTGCTCAGTTTACCCTCTGTTTTTATTGTCTTTTCTACATCTTGCTTACTTTTATTGTAAGGTTTACTGGGTTTGGATTTCTCGGCCTCCTTTAAGTACTTATTTTGTTCTCCTTTCAAGATGTCCTCAGAAACACTAGAACTGCTCGACTTTGGTTTATCCCTGTGCACTTTGTGAATTTTGTCACTTTCATGCAGTTTCTTTTTATTAGAATCTGCTTGATGATTTTTGGTTTCCATCTTTCCATCTGTATTTTCTGATTTCTTGTCATCATTTTTCTCATTTGATCCAGAACTGTTCGACTTTGATGATTCCGTTTGTTCAGTTTTGGCTTCTGTCTTCTTTTCTGAGCTGTCTTTCCTCGACTCCGTTCTATTTTCCTCCTTTTTGTGTGAACTTTTCCCATCTTTTGAAACTTTGTCTTTAGTTTTTTCCGAAACTAAGTGTTTCTCCTTCGACTTTGACTTGGTTTCATCCTTATGCTTTGATTTCCCAGATTTCTCATGTTTTCCTTTCACTTTGTCTTTCAGCTGATCAGTAGGAGCTACAGTATCATTTCCTGTATTAGTACTTGGAGACTTTTCTTTGTTTCTTTCAGTACTCTCTAAATTTGAAGAGTTTTTCCCCTTGTTCTCAGAATCTGTTGCTTTGCTGGGTTTCGCCTGTTTTTCATTGGGAACAGCATTCTTTTCCTTTCCCTCGGAGACTTCTTTAGCTTTCTCAGTGTTGGATTTTTCACCACTTGGTTTAACATTTTTGTCAGCATGTTTTTCTTCTTTCTTTACTTTGCTGCCATTTTTGTCATTAGTACCCTCTTTTGTGCCATTTTTGTCATTAGTTCCCTCTTTTGTATTTTTGTCAGTTTTACTTGTATCTTTTGACTTGACACTCACTTTCTCTTTGCTGTTTTTGGATTTTTCCTTGGACTTGCTCTCACTTGATGACTTTGTTGTATTGGATTTGCTGTCTTTCCGGTGTACTGAATGATCAGATGCTTTCTTCTCCTTTTCAGTATCTTTTTTATGCTCAGATGAGGAAACCTTATTTTTCTCTTTGTTTAACTTAGAATTTTTATCATCAGATTTTGAGCTTGTCTCGCTGCCTTTGGATTTATCATCTAATGACTTGGTAGATCCGGTCACTTTTGAAGATTTCTCAGGCTTCTTTTGCTCTGTTTTACTGGATTTAATTATTTTTTCGTCTGTCTTGCCATTCTTGTTGTTTTCAGGTTTACTACTACTGCTTGAGGAGAGTGACTGTGACTTTGTAGAACTTGAATTGGTCCCTTTGTCTCTGCCTCCATCTTTGTCTTTATCCTTTCTTTCATGATTGTTTTTATCCTTTTTAACAGAGTCTCCCTCACATTTTTCTTTCTTTTTGGAGTCCTTGCTTTTTTCTTTCTTTTGAGAATCTTTACTTTTAGCACTGCTGTTCGATTTATCCATCTTTTCTGGTGAAGTGTCCGAGCTCTGAGATTCCGTTTCCGAGATTTTCGGTTTCTTTGACTGTGGTAACTTTTCCACCTCCTTGGAGTCTGAATCTGAACCATTACATTCAGATTTTTGCTCTCTAACTACATCTTTTTTGTCTCTCTCATTTTGGGATTTGTTCACTTCCTCTGTTTCTGCTTTTCGTTTTCCAAACACCACTGGAGAATTTAAACCTAAAAGCTCCTCGAAAGATTCTTGGTTTTGTTTCTTTTGAGACTCTTTTGAAGAATTTGATGACTTTTCTTTACTGCCACTACTCTGCTTGGTTAACTTTAGAGGTGACATATCTTTCACTTCTGCTTTTGTTAACACAACAGGTGGTGTACTTTTTGGCTTGGTGTCATCATCCCTTTCATTATTTCTTTTCCCTTCATCTTCTCTCAGCTCTGAGGAATTTTCTGCTGACACATCCATTGATTCTTCCTCACTTTTTGGAGGTGAAATACCAGATGATGAATCATGTGTAAAGTCAGAATTTGTTTTTACCTCCTCATTACACACAGAGTTCTTCTCAGTCTCCATTTTTGGCATTTCTGAGCCACACTGGACACTTTCTGATGGTAGATTTGATCTCTGTTCACTGATATCTGGTGACAATTTGTTGTCTGATTTTGGAGACAGAGATACTTCAACAGTTGGAGAACCAGCCTTCTTTTCCATTGATGGTGATGGCGATTTATTAAGAAATTTTGGAGAAATTTTTGGAGATGATTTTTCATCTGTCCTGGAAAAATTATCACTCATTTGCTTTTTAAATGCTGGTGTAATTAATGGTCTCTGTGCAGATTCTTCAGAAAGGTATTGGCCTAAAGCAAAGTCTTTCACATTACTTTGATCATTGGAACTATTTTTTGGCACTGATGCAGACTCTATTTGCCATGGCTTCAATAATGACTTTGATGATAAGCATCCCTCTACTGGCCATTGCTTCTCTGGTATTGCTGGTGCTAGTGCAGAATTGACTGTAGAAACATCTACAGCATTTATTTCTTCAGGTTTGCCATTATTAGAAGTCGTAGTTGTTACTGTCAAAGTTGGAAATGGAGCAGCTCCATTTCCTAGCCTTCCTGCTAAGGACCCTGGCAATGTAGAGAGATTCGGCATCTGTGCAGGCATCTCCTTCACAGCTCCCTTTGTGCGAAGTGGTGTCATAGGAGACATAGTAATTTGGGTATCCTCTAAATTTGATGTAGGTTTTGGGGAGTAGTTTTCATATATTTTGTCTTGTAATCGCTTTGTATCCTGGTCTATAATACTAAATCGTGAGGTGACTTTCTTTGCAATGTCTGTGCTCTCTCCTGTTTTAACATCCGTTCCTGTCCCTGGAGTCACTTCTTTCTTATTGATTTTAAACTTGGAGTACAAAGCTGTCCTAGAAAGTGATGAAACCTGAGTATCTGACTTTGACACTACGGTAGAGTTGGATGACAAAGAACTCATTTCACTTGCCAATTTAGTACTACTTTGAGGTAAAGGTACTGCATTCAGTTTCTCATCAAGTCTTCTAATTCGCTCCTCCAGTGAGATTTTATCCATCTCAAAATTGTCATTATGGTCACTATGATCAGAACTCCCATCAGAATCAAATTCACCTTTCCCTTCCATAGGTTCCACTGGTGCACCATCATTATTCATGTCTGATGGATTTTCCTCTGGAATATATTCCTGTGGAGGATTTTCCTGTGAATTTGTTGAGGCGGATTCACTTGGAGATCTCTGGGGTGACGAAGTGTTTTTACTTCCACTACTTGGAGAAGAAAACCTTGGGGATTCACTTTTAGAAATATCAGGGGATATATTCACATCTGGTGAAGTCATCACATTTGCATCTAATTCTGCAAATTTTGGCAGAGGTAGAGACAGGGACTTGTGTATTCTGTCTGGATTCCTGGGATCCAGTAACTCTGGGTTGGGGAAATCATCACCCAGAGGGATTATGGGGGGTTGATGATCTTCTTTATGCCTATGTTTAGATCTATGGCTATGAGATTTGTTGAATGATTCAGTCTTTTTATGATGTTTCATTTCCTCAGAATGTGAACTAGGTATCCCTTCACTTCCTGATACATCAGTCTCTTTATGTTGTTTATGCAATGCATTTGAAGATTCATGAGAAAAATGAGGAGTGCGAGGTGATGAATGATTACTTGACAATCTTCTGAAGACAGGATTTGATGATAATTGATCAAATCTAGAAATGTTTTTCACTTCATCATTGTCACTACTAACATGATCTTCCTCTTCACTATGCTTTGATCTGAACGATAAGCTCCTCTCATCTGAATGTTCACCTTTTCTCCTCTTCTTACGAAATCCAATTTGAACATCTTTTGGAGAAACTACTGAAGTAAATTCCTCATGATCACTTCCTTCAACACTTGATCTTGTACAAGATTTGTTCCTTTCTTTCTCATGCAAATTGTCTGGTTGTTTTCGTACACTAGAGGTTGAATCTAATCCTTTATAGTCATAGGATTTTATGTTTGGAACACTTGTGCCCGACTCCATTTGTAGATGGTGAACAGAATCTCCCCAGGGTCCCACTGGATCCATTCTAGCACGCTTTGATAGAACTTTCCTCGGATCCTCACTATCAAAAGCCTCTTCTATATCACTTGTACTAGATTCCTTGTCCAATTGCTTCAATTTTTCAAGTAAGAGAGCTTTTTCATGTTGAAGTTTAGAGAGTTCACCTTCATTTAATTGTCCCGGTTCTGACCCACTACTTGCTGAGCTTGGACTGCTTTCATTACGACCTTTCAACTTTTCAGTGATACGTGACTGAATGATTTGATACTTTTGATATAAATCCCGTTTTGAAAATTCAATTCTCTCCAAAGCTGACTTGTTACTTAATTGTCTGTCAAGTTTCCTTGGAGATTTAATGTAATCTTGACCAAAAGTTTCATCATATGAACGTTTTCTTTCAAACTTATCCTCCGTCCATGGCGAACTATCTGTCCGATACATGCCTGGGTACTTGGGTCGTCCTGTTAACTCGGCTATGTCTGCTTCATTAATATTGAAGTCATCCTCACTTCGTCTTTTATTTTTTGAATCACCGAACTTTGTCTGACCCTCTTCCATAGGGCTGACATCTCGAGAAGAAAAGTCTCGAGCTTCGTCATCCATTGGTGTAGGAGGAGTATTACGACCCACGTTTTCTTTTATCTGTCCCGGAGCTCCATGAGATGGTGATCGACTCCAGCTTCTTCTACTATATTCCACATCTGGACTTCTTTCACGAACAACATATCTCTCCTTTCCGTAATATTTTTCCTCCAAACGAATTTTGTCATAATCATATCCTTCAAATGCTCTGTCACTGTGTGGACTTCCACTTCGGTAAGACTCGGCATACTTATAGTAATCCTTAGATCTGCGGTATGCTGGGTCTTCATACACTTCTTCTATGTAGGGAGGTGGGCTTTGGCTTCCATGCTGCCTTTCTCTCTGATATGCTCTCAAATCCTGCTCAAAATCATCAGAGTCCCCTGGATATCTATAATCTTCATATGATCTAAAAAAAAAAAAAAAAAAAAATCTGAGTGAATGAATTTATATAACAAGTACATGTAGATGCTTTAAAAACAATACCATTCTTAAAAATTCTAAGATTCTTTCATAATATTTCCTACATAAACTAATACATCTATCAATGTGATGAGAAAGAATACCAGTATGGTAGTGTATGGGTTACCTCGTTCTCCTGTACTCATCTGAGAATTCTTCTTTGTATCCCCGACTTCCTCCACGACCAGCTGTCCTTGAACCTCTACCTCTGAACCCAGGACTGAATTTGAAGAAGTTTGCAGGTCTGTTGTCATAACTGTAAAGCATATTGGATTAAGATTTTAAAAAGCAACAATCAAAAGAAAGTTGTTAAAGATTAGAATATGATATTTAAAAACAAAATCAATACAAACAACTTGAAAGATTACATATTACGCAATGTCTCATTTTAATATTACATTGGGTTTGAAGGAGATTCAACAGCAGTCAGACATGTGTTAATTAATCTTAATAAGACAGATAATAATTTTGCTCCTTGTCTTCTGCAGTAAGCAAGATGATTTAATCCCATGAAATTCACCACAACTTATTATCATCTTTTTTACCAAATTTGTAATAGGACAATTTTCGGAAGTCCCCTTTCTTTTTGTTGATTTTGATTCTTATGAAGTAAGGAATCTATCCCACCACCCCAACTCCCATCCAAATGACACAGAAACAAGTATGTCTTAAACTGTCACTGAAACATAGCAAATCTTGTGGATGGACAGATAGAAACGTCATTACATTTTGCCTCCTCAATTCTTTGTGGGAGCCTTATTAAGAATCAATACAAAGAATAAGTATTTATGTGTATATCAAGTTTCATAGGAATCAGGCCAAAACTGTGGGAGTAGAATGAAGAATTTATCAGATATTTCTTTTTCTTGTACATGTAACCATAGCAGCATTGTTTATCCATTTCAAGTGATTCATAGAGCTATGTCACTGAAAGTATTTTAATCATAAATCAAGTTTTACTAAAATGTGATTTACTACAACTACAACTGTTTTAATATATGATCTAAATGGGTAGAGTACTTTAATGTACATAAATTCCAGCATCAGTGGAATTTAAAACAGGTTTCCTTGCTGTTACACTAAAGTGTTTTCATTGAATTTTCCTCTAGCTGTTGAAGGGATGTTACATAAAGTTATTCAAGGTAATTTCCCAATGAAGTCATTCTTTTTAATAAGTCAACTATGTTTTCAACTAAAATTACATAAAATATACGGACCATATCACTTTACAAAATTGCCAAGTTAGCTACCAGTATTTAATATAGTCTTTTATAGAGGAGATGTACAACATCAATTAGGAAATTTGAAAATTTCAATCTATAAAAAGATCCTTTTAAACCATAAGGCTAAAACAAAATGCAAAATTTTCAACTTATTTGAACTAAATTTTCAAGTTTTTTAAAAAGTTTAGGACGGTATTTAAATCACATCAAATTAGATATCAACATGGAATCCTCATCATTTATAAATCAACAACTGAAACTAATAAATTTCTCCACAATGAAAAAAAAAAGCACCAGCGACTATGAAAAAAAAAATTGTCAAAGTCAAACTTCAGTTTTTAATCTACCTTGCTTCCCACTGGCCTTCTGCTGTCTGTCGATTGTACATCCATCCCCTCCTTTCATCAGGACGAAGACCAGCCTTTAGTTGTCCATTCTTCTCCATCTGTTCATAAAATTCTGCCTGGCAGTCTCTGCTGGCAAAGTCAATCTGAAAACAGATCAATAAAAATTTTACCAGAGACTAAGCCCTGCAACTCAAGGTGATAATGACTTAAGATCAGTCATGTTCATTTCATTAGCACCTTTTGTCCAATGGCTTTCCGATGAACTTCATATACATTAAAGATACATCATTAGACTCTTAATATCATGAAATTAAAAACCATATCTGCATCTAAAAATTTATTCTTTTATGTCATTTCCAATTTCTGAATCAATTTGATTTGCTGATTGAAAAGGAAAAACAATGTGATAGAAATGTATTATTTAATTACACCAATATTAACTGGTACTAAACTATCATATCAGAGGTCTTCAACATATCAGACCAACTGAGATCAACAATGTTTTTTTTTCAAGCTGAAAATATCTACACTACATAGGGTTGAATAGAAAGATTTAATATGTGTTCCGAGTTCAAACATATTTCTTCTTTTCACAAAAAAGTGTATAAATTAGTCACATTGGTATGGCCCTAAAAAGGCTGTGGTATACATCTGACTGATTATCAACTAATCTGCACAAACATCTGCCTCTGTATATCTACTGCCAAATGTCCAAGCTGTATACTGAACTGGGTAAACACAGAATGTGAGAAGATAAAAAAAGAAATCTCTCATCCAGGAAAAAGCTTAATAATGTATTTTGTCTATCTACTTAGCACTTGTGAACCAAGATTCTCAGAAATCATGCAAAAATTGTGAGGGAATTGCATTTAAAAAGAATTTCATATATTATTTTTTTCATGGAAACTAAAAATATTTATGTAGAATTTTGTGTCTTCAGATTTAATCCATTGTAAACTATACCACATCCTTCTGGAGTAAAATTTCATGTCTTCAGATGATACCTCACAGCATACAAAATAAGAGGCCCATGGGCCATAACACTCATCCAAGTAACCTTTGCCCTGCTGTTCATCAGAACATTTCCCCCACCCTACTCCTAGGGGCCATGATTGAACAAACTTGAATCTAAACTGCCTGAAAAATGCTTGCATATTTTGCAATAACTAATAAATGCAATGGCTAATAATCATAACCATGCTGTTCTTTATAAGATTTTTTCTTTGATTCTCTATTTTGGCCCCAATGTTTTTTGGCCTCCAAAAAGGTGTGCCCCTTTTTGTATCCCCTTCACCTAAAGATACTCTGTGCCAGTTTTGATTGAAAATGGCCCAATGTTTCTGGAGGAGGAGACGAAATTGTTAAAAGTTTATGACAACAAAAACAATGACAGACAATGGAAATATTTCACTCAGAAAAGCTCACTTGAGCCTTTGATCAGGTGAGCTAAAAAACCCTAAATTGTCCACAGATGGACGAATACACAAGCACACAGAGCCATATAATAAAACATTCATCTAAAGACAGATGTATAACTAAGAATCTCACCATTATTTTCTTGTTATTAAGTATTCTGTTCCTCATCTCCACAAGTGCATACTGTGCTTGTTCAGCATTGGTAAAGTAGACCAGAGCTTTTCCTTTTATTCTGTCAATAATTCCATGAGTAACCTGTCCATAACGACCAAACTGTCGGCTTAAAAAGTTTTCCTGGACTGTTTGATCCACATTATCAAGCCATACACAGTTTGTTGGCATACTTTTTCCAAATCCCAGCTGTGTAAAATAAAATGCGATTTTTTTTAAACACATAATTTCTATCAGCAGCTTAAAACTAAAATGAATTAAAGTACTTTCTAAAAGTTCATACCTTGAGTTTCATGGAGCCCCATACTTCTCCTTCCATCTCCCTAAGAACTTTAACAACACTACGGATGTCAGTGAACTGTACAAAGGCATATGCTGATACAGCCCCTTGTCTCTTCACATCAATGTCCTGCAAAGATCAACGGAAGAAATGGATCATCCAAGTTTAAAGGCACAAACATAACATGAAAGAGTAAAATGCACAACTGGATACTTATTGTTCAAGCTCTACCTATAACAGATATTACAATCAAACCTCTCTAACCTAACATTGACAGAGTGCTAATTCAGAGTAAATAGTATTTCAGTTGAACAGATTCAGTCATTCTCAGCTCTTTTACCATAACCATTGCACAATTAAGCATAAGATTTTTGAATTGTACATTATCATAAATTACAAAGATGTGCATACAAAGTAAAAAAAAAAAAAAGAAAAAAAAAAACTACCATTTTGGAAATTGTAAAACACACTTCCAAAGACTGATCACTAAATGTCTATATGTATATATTTTCACCATTTTGATGTATTAAAACTTGGTTTTTTAAATTCTATTTTCTCAAACAATCTATCATTGAGACATAATTTTTGCAATGACTGAAGAAATGTGAGTTATTTATATGGAGTTATAAAAGGAAAACAGCTGTGTAATGTAATATTTTAATGTAGAATGATTACTTTTTGCCTTCCATGGTGTCATAAATCACACAGGTGTAACATATTAAATAATACGCATTAATGAGATTATGAAGAAATGAATTACTTTCATGTTTAAATTCATATTTACAATTTTTTTTTCACGGTCAAAATCCTAACAGTGGTTATAGCACTTATTGTTCTGAATAATTCACTGTAATCCAGAATATTTTATTCACATTTCAAAATATCAATATAATTGGCATTCAACATTCAATAGGGATCAATATAACCAAATTGGAAAATGATGCAAAAGTAGGAAATCAGCTAAAGAAGTAGAGATTACAGATAAAGCCTCATATTCATAAACATAAAGGCTGCCTGATTATTCACAACTTTACTTCACACTTTAAGTAATCTGGTAACAACATTTAAACAATACTGCATTGTTTCATTCTTATCAGTATTTAATTCTACAGACATGTATATAAAGAACCTGAGCTGTGTGTGACTAAATGTGCCAGTCCTGTAATGTTGTTGACAAACCAAAGTGTGTATACATACACACTATTAAATAAAGGTGTCTTCCACTTTTCAAATGAACAAGATTTGAAGCTGGTGATAAATAGAATGAATAGTTTAATACAGCTATTCCATTATGTAAGATTATTTAGTCCTTATTATGATACACTGTAAAGTTGTGTACATAAAACTTTGTTATGGTAAAAGAAAACACAGTGAGTCAACCACAACATTATCTTAATCCATAAATATTCAAGTAAATTGGAGGAATAAAGCTGGTGTTTGCAATGTGCCCAATTGGACAGTGACTGCACAAGCAAGGAAGTATCTAAGAAGAAAGAATAGATTTCCAAGTATTGTATGTGCTGTATCTGAAATATCAACTTCAATTCATACTCACAAGTATGTCTCCATATTTCAGAAACCTTTCTCTAAGTTCCTGGTTTGATATATCTTTTTCCAAGTTGCCCACAAACAAAGTGCGAGTGGCTTTGGGATGATGTTCATCCAGCTCAGCCTCAGGAGGACGAAACTCATTGTCATCTACTTCTGTAATATTAAAAAAATACACATTAATTTTTAATGCAAGAACAGACATAGTTCCAATGATGAAGTCCCTCTGCAATGAATCTTAGAAAATGAATAAATTAACACCTCACAGGTATCAATACCTAAAAAGCTACCCTGTTTAATTATGAAACAGTATCTCAGGTATACCACAAGTTAATGGTATCCAGAAACATTTTGCACAAATTCAGACTGGATTGGATTACCAGTAGTATTTCTTTAAGAAAATGACCAAAATGTGAAAACAACATAAAAGACAGACAATAAATTTAATCCAAAAACACGTCTGGTTCAGGTGGCCTAGTAATAAACAGCTATTTTTACAACTTCGATTTTGCACTAATATACACAATATTGAAATCTGTGGCTCAGCACTGCATCACAATGAATCATAGTGGTGCATTACACAAGAAAATCCATGTTCAGTCTATGATGTCATTTTGATTTACAATACTTGATACATTTCTCTTTTTTAGTTTCCTGGGATATGAAACTTACCTATCCCCTCATGCTGTGCCACTTTTATTTTGGACCCAAAGAAGACTTTATCCTGTGATGCTGATAATGCCTTGATTGCATCCTCAGGCCTACAACGAGAAACACCGTCAATATGGCTACTGTCACAGATATCGGATTACTCCATCCATCTAAAGCTTGTCAATACACATCCAATTCCTCATATCTACTGGCAAGATCCATGTAACATTAACACAGTCTTACAGAATATTTCATTCTTTTCTGCAATACACCAATTTTCTATACATCTAACCAATCCCTTTCTGAAACACCTACTATAACCGGTGTCGAGATCGAGTCCAATAATTCCCTACCTTATGGCAGAACTTACATCAATATTGATTCTGCAGCTTCGGTACCTGCCACTAAAGCTAAAACCCACTGTCACTGACAATTCTCTTACTTTCTAAAACTGACAACTGCATATCTGTCATCTCCCACTCCTGCAACTAGGACAGCATTGACTTTTCCATATTTCTTGTATTCATGAAATAGTCCATCTCTCAAACTTGTATCTGGAAGTGCAAAAACATGATTTTAAGTTGTTATTACAGTATTTTATTGTAGTATCACTGTGCACCATCCTTCTATGGACTTTCTTTGCAAGCCACATGATATGAATATCATTCCTATGAATTTCCTCAATTATCAAACTGTACAGATTTCCAATATTTATTTGTATACCAAACAATAGTATAGCTAAGATACAATATGATAGGAAAACTTGTCTCTATGTAATATAAATTTTGTTCTACTACTAAAATAATAAGTTTGAAGTTGAGAGGGAGAAAATCTTCCTGGCAATAAAGCATTATTGGTACAGTATATTACAGTTTACAGATAGCACCCACCCCAACCCCTTCCCTTTAAACATTCAAATAACCAAATAGTTGAATATACATGATACACATAATTGCTTGCATATAAGTCCAACAAACTGTATGATTTATGACCTACATCTACATCTTACAAAGAAGACTGATTTTAAAATTCAGGTATCTCCTATTGTGGTTTATTCAAAGGACTATTGGTATGGCTTAAACAAACTTGATTCTATTCCAAAAACCTTGTATATTAAAACTGACTATTGGGAAGAAAGATTTAAGAGATAAATGACAATGTTTTGACCCCTTCTGTTGCCCCCAAACTGGCCTGAAACGAAGATCAACACTTCATTTTAATACCTGCACAATAATGCAAAATTTGAATTTGAATTTAAAAGGATTTCCATTGCATACTTCTACTTTAAAGTTTGAACTTCTTATCATGCCCATAAAGGCCATGGTTTGAATACACTGGTAAATCTATAGAAGATAAGGAGATTTCTATGTAGCTTTGTCATTTCTTGCTTAGTTCAACAACAGACAGAAAGTTTAAATGAACCACCTCACCTTCAATAATATTTTAAAATACAACCCTTTGAGAGAAAATAATCCCTCATTGGGACAAAATTTCCTTTATGCACTTGTGCCAACTTAAGTTGATTTTGCTTTACAATTCTGGGTACAAAAAGACCAAAATGTGTTAAATGTGCATGAACTGACAAAGTATAATAACATGCAAAAAAGATGGTAATACGTCCCTAGATCATTATCTCAAGTGATTTTACAAGGAAATACTAACAAACTACACTATACCATTGATAATCAATACTTATAATTGCACCTCTTGAATGGGCATCCCATGAAAAAAAATAAACCCCCGAAAAAACACAGTTTATAACCTTTCAGAATGACTTAAGGCTCATGGGCCTCACTGATCACCTGAATCATAGTCTCTTTCTGACAATATGTAGATGAATGAAAACCTTTCTTGTGGTCCCTCCCCTTAAAAAAAAAACCAATGACCATGCTTTCATCAATTTAATTACCGTAAACACTTTTGCGAGGAAAGAAAAATTGCTGACATTTATTTTTTGTAATTTGATAATTTCTTTATTTTCATACAAGCAAAACGGCACGAAATTGTAAAAAGGAAATAGCCCACACATTGATTTTACTTGTTCCAGGCAATTGGACAACTTGTTTATCCTTGTACATTAAATGATTCCACATTATTTTTTATTGCTACACCTAAAGATGTTTTTTTTTGGCAAATATGGTTCAAACTGACCTGTGGATCTGGAGAAAATGAAAATGTACAAGTTTGTAGACTGCACCACACACACTGATGCCCAACACGCCTTAATCAGAAAAGGTTGCTTTACCCTTTATCTTGGGTGAGCTAAAAAGTATCTGAAGCATTAAAGTTCAGAGCTACAGACCTGTAGATCTCATTGGTAAATGATGAATGATGATTCCTCTAGGACGCTTGTCATCGTCATTTGCTCCTGTCTTGTCACTGTTGTTGGACTCTTGGGATTCTGTCCGGTAGCTGGTTTTCACCACTGCGGGCAAAGCATTGGCTCGAGAAGCACTACATCGACTAGAACTTCTACTGCTAAAAAAAATAAAACAAATTCTGTGTGAGATACTGTGATGCACCTATGGTTTTCAAATTCTTTTTAATCCTTTCTGAGACATAATGTTTGTGCCCTTAACCCTAGCACATAAAAGAAAAATTCTGAATACTAATATCAATTTCTCTTTGATTACCAATTTAATTCAATATTAAACTAATTATATTAAACTAATAGAATTTTATTCTACACTGCAATCTGCCTTGTTGAACAATGTTAATTTTCCTGTAGCATTGACTTGGTTTTGTACCACCCACACACACAAATAGCGAGATAAAGAGTCTGCCCAAAACATTCTTCAATTACAGAGAGTTGCATATCAGAGTTCAGACATGACGTCAGTGCTTTGTGCCCTTGAATCTAGATCTTCACAAGCCACAAGGAAAATGGGTAAAAATTAAATCTCAATCACAGTAACTGGAGAATTATTAATATCTTAATATTAATTAATAATCCTAACCTAGACCGTGAAGCACTGCTTGATGTGGAGTTACTAGAACTACTACTGCTGCTGCTCTGACTGCCTGATCTTGACACCTGCTTTTTCTTCTTATATTTACTACTGTGTCGGCTGCCGCTGTGTGATGTAGAATGGGCAGGGGATTGAGGGACCTTCGGTTTCTCAAACCCATCTTGAGATGACTGATCTACTGACTTGACTCGTCCATGAAATCCACCCCTAGAAACAAACATTCAAACCTCTTGTACTGATAAAAAAAAATACCATCTTTCAAATATTTCCAATAGTTTACATTGAAAAGAATATCAAATGCAATTAAGATGAAAAAATATACTGTAAATGTCTTTAATTCCACATGTGTAATATTTCATGATTTTCTATGTTTGAACATTTCATGTGGTTTTAATTTTGCGGACACTGATTGTCTCATTTATAGATATTTATAATTCAAAAAATATTCGTTGAAAACAAAGTTATGGTGAATTATTTTAAGAAACTAACTCAGCCATTTTATTAACCTGGCATTTCCAAATGACTATCAATGGTTAACAATTTTACCAATATGGAAAATGAATACAGTTTTTTGGTGTATGGAACCTACTTGTATTTGATACATAAATACAACACTGATTTGTGAACAAAATTCAAGATTGCCGAGTGTTTGTTCGTTGAAAATTTATTGATCGCAAACATAGTGGAATTAAAAGCATCGCAATGTGTTCCACTTTTACAGTAGTATAGAGTCAGATACAGTGGCGCCGCGGTAATCCGGACGCCAATAATCCGGACGCTTCACCTTCCGGACGATATTTTCTGGGAACCGATTTTTTCCACGTTATTCTGTCTCATTAATCCGGAAATTCGCGTTCCGGATCCGGACGGTCAATTTCTACTACAAAACGTAATATTTCATTGAAAAATGATTCGTTTATACGGACGGTAATTTTTCGAGGAACGACTTTTCACACCTTTCTTGCAGTAGTGATAATTATTGTAAAAACATTGTCCGTGGAGTCAGTTTGAAGGCGGTTACCTGTGACCTCTAAACAATAGCGTCTATAATTAGCGTGTGTTTACCTCAGATAAAACACACGTCTTTTATATTATAAAGAATTTAGCTTATACTGTGCATTAATTAAAAATAAATCCGTTCAGAATAGAATAAATTGATAACGGTATATAAATTTATGAGAATTTTGAGAGTTGTTACATAATTTTTTTTACTGAATAATAAATCACAAGATTTCGTTGTGGTATTGAGTTGCGTAAGTTTATCAAAATACGATTTTCCAATTCTCAAAACGTACATTATTTGAAACGTTTTTTTTTCTTTTCATGAGACGATTCATTAATATACATAATTCAAGAAAATATATTTCTATTTAATGCACTAAGAAATACGTAACTGGCGTTAGTTATAAATGTCGATCACGTTTTTTCAAGGTATATAACTTAGAGTTTATAGAAAAATATTGAAAATCCTGAATATGGCTTGTGTTTACATTGAATGTTTGCAATACGTACACTGATTACAGTGTTTAGTTACTTACTTCCCTATGTAGTGAATCTACGCGGTTAGTCATTTGAACATTCTCAATGGTGATAATGAACAGTTCTGCTCAATATGAGCTTGAATAAATAAATAAAAAATGTGCCGAAATAAAACAGTAGCAGATCAAAATTTGGTCAGCTCATGTAACTACACGTCAAGTAGAAGGCGAGTAAACTTTCCTGTGTTAGAAAAGGAAGTCTCAACATAAAATTGCCTACCCATTTTTAATCGTGTAAATTACTTTTTAATATTTTTTTCTTTTTTAAATATTAATTATTTCTTTTAAAACTATAAAAATAAAATCAATAAGTCAAGGTAAAATTTTCTTTGCCTTCACATTTGATACCACTGTGTTCATATGTACATGCTTTGAGAGGGTACGTACGTCTTTTAAGAAGTGATTCACTTATCCGGACGATTCATTTATCCGGACGATTTCGTTGGGGACGGAGGCGTCCGGATTAACGAGGCGCCACTGTATTGTTATCTTGACATTGATTGGACCATGAAAGAAAGTTCTAGATATCCAAAAATTCGAGATAACAAAGTTAAAATACATAAAGAAAAAGTGGTTGAGATTTCCAGCTCCTCATAATCATGGTATTCAGAATATTGATGTTTGAGAGTGTATTTTATACCTAGTATCATAAGATTTGAATGTTCCTCTTCCAGAAAATCTTTCTCTTGGTCTGCCTCTATTGTATATTTCCTCTCCGTAACTGCCCGAGTATCTACTGCTGCCATAGTATGAATCAAAAGATTCACCCTCTTCAGACCTGCAAAATCATAAATCATCATCATTTTCAAGTTCTCTATTTACCTATTAATTTTATTACTTTATCAAATAGAAATCTTCCACAAGATGTCTACTGGCCTCAGCAGTCCCTCTCTCACTTTTTAAAGTGTTTTTTTGAAAAGCATACAGAAACCTTTTGTAAAGTTGAAATCACCCACACATAGAAATACTACTGTGACAAAAGACATGAACATGATCTTAATACCATACTTAGGTATATGTTACTGATTGATCACGATCATCTGAGAAAAAAAAAATTAAAAAAAAAACAACCAAGGCATTCCACCTTTATATGTTTGCTCTTTTCACCATGACCCATATAAACTGGGTAAATTTATTCATCTTCAGAAACTGATTTAAAACACATTGTTCAAGGCAAAGAACTTAGCAGACAATGACCATTTTCTAATTTGAAAATCAAATATTCCAACACTTTTTAACACATGAATAAACTGGGGGGAAAAAATGATTTTTCCTTTTCAAAGCAACTTCAAATGGCAGTTTAAATGCTACAAGTTTCTGAAACACATTATTTGATTTGAATTCATGCTTTTGTGTTATCCATGTATGTATAGTAACTATAATTTGTTCTATTCCCATCAATGCAGATGGTGGAAAGAGGAGATCAATTTGTTCCACATTTTACCCTCTTTGTCTTTTTGCCAAGATTGGATTTTAATAGAGCTATACTACCGTTTTAACAGTAAAATTCAAATAAAAATACATTAAAATTAATGTTGCAAAAGAGAAATCATTTCTGATCAATAATGTATCCATGAATCAGAAATCTTGGTCGAAATTGTAGCTCAATGGCTCTGAAAATTTTGGAGAAGAAAAGTTAAACCTTAATTGACTTGAAAAACTTTCATTTACATTTATCTACAGAATTCTATTTCCTGATGTTTTCTAAAGTTGTACCAATTTTTTAAAGAAATAAAATCAAAACTTTCAGAGGAGTATGTACCACTTTGAAGGATTTTTACATATGTTCTTTTTTAATACATGTAACACCAATTATAAAAATCTGATTTATGAACCTAGGTCGTCTACCTTTTTACCAAGTTGTATTGAAATAAGACAAAAAAACTAGGAAGAGAATCATTTGGAAAGGATAATTATTCTGTTTTTAGTAACCACAAAAACATTGTTCATAGACATTGAAATCAGAAGCCAATAAAGAAAATTGTGAACCTTGGTGTGGTATACCTGTGTACCATGTTTTATTGAAATCAAAACAGCAGGAGGAGTAAAATTTTGAAAGAACTTCACAGAAATTTTTATTTTTTAATATCCATGACAACAATGTTCATCAATGTCACAAGAGGCCCATGGGCCACAACGCTCACCTGAGTTACTTTTGCCCTGCTGTTGTTCACAAGACCTCCCCTTTGTAATATTTATTGCGGCCCCGCCCTACCCCTGGGGGCTATGATTTGAACAATTTAGAATCAACAATACCCAAGGATGCTTCCACATAAGTTTCAGCTTTTCTGGCCCAGTGGTTCTTAAGAAGAAGATTTTCAAAGATTTTGCCTATATATTTCAATGTAAAACTTTGATCCCTATTGTGGCCCCGCCCTACACCCAGGGGCTATGATTTGAACAATTTAGAATCTTCACTACCAAAGGATGCTTCCACATAAGTTTCAGCTTTTCTGGCCCAGTGGTTCTTAAAAAGAAGATTTTCAAAGATTTTTGCCTATATATTTCAATGTAAAACTTTGATTCCCTATTGTGGCCCCGCCCTACCCCCAGGGGCCATGATTTGAACACACTACCCAAGGATGCTTCCACATAAGTTTCAGCTTTTCTGGCTCAGTGGTTCTTGAGAAGAAGATTTTCAAAGATTTTGCCTATATATTTCAATGTAAAACTTTGATTCCCTATTGTGGCCCCGCCCTACACCCAGGGGCTATGATTTGAACAATTTAGAATCTTCACTACCCAAGGATGCTTCCACATAAGTTTCAGCTTTTCTTGCCCAGTGGTTCTTAAAAAGAAGATTTTCAAAGATTTTGCCTATATATTTCAACGTAAAACTTTGATTCCCTATTGTGGCCCCGCCCTACCCCCGGGGGCCATGATTTGACCAATTTAAAATCTACACTACCCCAGGATGCTTCCACATAAGTTTCAGCTTTTCTGGCTCAGTGGTTCTTGAGAAGAAGATTTTTAAAGATTTTTCCTATATATTTCTATGTAAAACATTGATTCCACATTGTGGCCCCGCCCTACCCCCGGGGGTCATGATTTGAACAATTTAGAATCTACACTACCCCAGGATGCTTCCATATAAGTTTCAGCTTTACTGGCCCTGTGGTTCTTGAGAAGAAGATTTTTTAATGACCCCACCCTATTTTTGTCTTCTCTTGATTATCTCCCCTTGTGAGGGGACTTGGCCCTTCATTTTAACAATTTAAATTCCCCTTCACCCAAGGATGCTTTGTACCAAGTTTGGTCAAAATTGGCCCAGTGGTTCTTGAGAAGAAGTCAAAAATGTGAAAAGTTTACAGATGGACGGACAGACAGACAGACGGACGGACAGGCGGACGGACGGACGACGGACAAAATGTGATCAGAAAAGCTCACTTGAGCCTTCGGCTCAGGTGAGCTAAAAAACTGATACTGTATGTGTACTTAAAAAAGTGGGCTTCATATTTTATCAGCTTTGGTGCAAACACTGATGTGCTAATCATGAATACCGCTAAGAAATCATTTATAAATACATTGTACAACATACGACAGGGACATGTATAGCACTAATTCATGATTTCGCCAACAACTCCATACCCAGTGATTGCGCTAAATTTTGAACACGCCAATTTATGTACACATACAGTATATAGAATCATGTATCTTGGTGAAGTCTACTTGTATATCACTTTGTTTTTCCTGTTTTAAGTAACAATGGCATCGCTGTTCATTGAAATCAACCACTGATATGTAACTTGAAGTAATCCATTTGTGTACCAAGTTAAACTGACATCAGATCAAAACTGTATGGGAGTAACTTTTTGAAAAAAAAAAAATGTTTACAAAAACAGCCAGACAGAAAGATGGCAGGAGACTTTGACATATGCATATCAGTATACCTCATCTCATGACACGCCCATTTCTTTAGAAATATATTCGTTGCGATGTTTTAAGACACCACATTCACTGTGACTAGCACGTAAATTTTGCTGAAATGCGGATTTTATGAAAGTTTGGAGAGTGAAAGACCCCCCACTTCTCTAAAACTTGCATATTGCAACAAATATGTTCATAATTACAGTATTTGTCATGTTTATTGTATATTACAATTATTGAATGAACAAGACTAATGTTTACCCAGTGTTTACGAAGACTCTTAATCTGATTGGTTATTGCATTTATAAAATACCTGTTCTACAGATATTCGAATGATATTGCATTTGTGAGAAAATTTACGAGAGTAAGGTGCACTCTCTCTCAATGCAGATTGGCGTCTCCATGCCCATTTATAGCCCTAAGAATAAACAGCTTTTTTCCCTTCTGAAGAAACAGGTGTGTCATTATGTAACAACCATTGTTCAAAAAAAGCTCAAGGAAATTTTACCACTGCAATGTGCATCATTGTAGAAACTAAGAACAGCACACAACTTTGACACAAAGACAGTACACTTCATCATGATGTCCAGTTTAAGAATGTGGAGGAGTTTGATGCACTTTCCTTACATCAAAAGATCTAATGAGTGGTCCTCCATTTTACTATGATACTGATAACATATTCCAATGATTCTTTCTCATTGATTCAACACTGTACTTGACATTGCTATATACCTTTAGAAAAATATCTTTGACATTTATATCACATAAATAATAAAATTTTAATAAGTATAGCTACAAATTTAAAAAAAAAAAGTTAAATACACAGGAGAAGCCAAGGGAAACAGAAAAAAAAACTGTTGGAAATTATGTTGAAAACAGAATACATGGTGTACAACATTATATTAAAGAAATGATGTAAGAAAGTATAGGATTGAGCTAGTAACAAAAGTCTTATATGACTGCATCCAAGTCCTTATCCAATGTACATGGAGTTGCTCTGCAGCATCCTTAACATTTAGAAACCTCAAAAATGGTTTTGGCTTAGGTGTCAACGATAATGTTTTGGTTATAAATCTGGTTAATTTTCATTACATGGAAACTCTCCACAGGTTGCACTATATGTCTATCCTATCTCTTGAAAATGTTTTGTTGCTTAAATTTAGAGTCTGCAGGTTCTTAGATGTCTCTTTGAGTGGAATTTTTACGTTTTTGTAGATCTGTGTCCTCTCTGAAGATGTCATTTTATTTAAATCCTCATAACAATAATATTAAAACTTGAATTGCACAATATTCTGATTCAAATGATGAAATGGGTTGGTCATTTGATATGATGACATCAAAATGGTCACCTTTTTGGGTCCTTTTCATTTTTATTAGTAAATATGTGCTATGAAAAAAGTTACATCACAAGATATTTACAGTTTGGTCATGTACAACCATGGGCGGTGTGTTATATCCGCATACTAATGTTTAATTTACATTCCGAGACATTAAAATTTGTATGCAAAAGTAAGACATATATTTCCTTTTTTAGTGTAGAGATAATGAGAAAACATTAAAAATATTTCACATGATGTCAGAAAACAAAAATATTTCACATGATGTCAGAAAACAAAAATATTTCACAATTCCATGATTTATTAGAAAGTATGTTAATTCTGTTTTTGTATATATTTATAATCTTTTAACAATTCTTTTAGGACACTGAAACTCCAAGTGTACATACAAATTCAGCCTCCATTTAATGACCAAAATACTAATCACACAAAACCTACATACTCGGTGTAATATGTATCTTAGGAAAATGCATTCATTTATAATGCCTACTATACAATACTAAACCAAGATCAAGTTCACTAAAACATGTAAAAAAAAATATAGGAAGTTAATAAGTCCACTCCAAAGTCTCATGTACATATATCAATAACACATTATGCCACAAGTTCAGAATGATGGCCTTAGGAAGTTAAAGGCAGTTCATTCAGAGGTGAATTTCTGTGGTGGCATCTTACATGTCATCTTAAATTAATATACATCTTGTAATCATGTTTGAAGTTAGAAGATGATGTGAAAATAGAACATATATTATAATGGAGATTTGGTTTTTGGTTTTTTTTTAACTATTCAAAGGTGAACTTGTCTTCAGTGGTGGCATCTTACATGTCATCTAAATGTATGTCTTGTGCCTATGTTTGAGGTTAGAGGATGATGTGCAAAGTGGATCATCTAACAATTTTTTTTTTAATTTACCAATTTTCAAGTTGAAAGACAAGGCAAAATCAACTGGTTATTTGAAAAAATGCCATCCTTACTTACACTTATGATTAATATATTAGATAATGATCAGAATGGGTCATACAAAACATAAATCAATTTCTGAATGTTTGGGTTTTTTTTTTGGGGGGGGGGGGAGGTTTAATAAATCAAGGCCATAGGTCAAGGACATTTGGTCAAAATGAAAGTGTCCTTTTTTCACATCATCTTGATTTACTACTGAATAAAGTTTAAATACAATAAGATACTTTGAATCCATCATCCCTAGTAGAGCTACTGTAACAGACTTCACTAAATTGCTGCAGTAGAGATGGAGAGACACCATCAATCAATTGAGTGAATTGAAATCATCAATCCTATGTAATCAAAAGGGACATCATTATCCACTGATTGAATATTGAATGCAGCCAAAAGGGACATTGTCGATTCTTCGATAGAATTGAATGTAGTCAAAAGGGACATCATCATCCATTGACTGATTGACCAAATTGAACGCCACCAAAAGTTTGACAATCAACTGAATACTAAATCTTTTTTCTTTTTATATAGAAAGTAATAAGGCACTAGACTACCAATATGATAAGCTTTATCCATTACCCATTAGTCATTAATACATCATACATATAAAAAACTGAGAGACCAAGTCTCAAATTGAAAGAAGCAATACATTTAATGGACAATTTGATATGAAATGCATATTATTTATTGCTGAATTATTGAAAGTTTAAATTGAGCCACTATTATGTAAAGGTTTAATGCTTTGTCTTCAATACTGAACTCTTTGATTCAAAAGTAACTCTAAATACATGACTATACTGCCTTCTCCTTGTGTACATGTCATTTTAAAATATTGTTTAGATTCTGCATGGACAAAAACAAAATCACATTTAAAAAGGTTTAATATACCGGGTATACTGATTGAAAATATTCTCTGATTCGTCAACTATGTTGGTTGTTGAGGATTACTATGAACATGATGAATTGAACCAATGAAAATGAGTTTTTCTGAACCTTTATATAAAAGTTTAAGCAAAAGTAAAAAATAAATTAAGCAAAAGTATTTTAAAAGAAAAAAAAAGGTATATACTGTAAACATATTACATTTGGCTGTGTATTGTTTTTAGTGCCTTTTGGCGGAAAGCAATTTCCACCAATTAAAGTACAACGCTAAATGACTTGGAGATATACACATAAATAAGAACATTAAGAAATGCACTGAATCAAACCCACGCTTACTTGTTCAAAAATCAATTTCCGCCAAATATTGTATATGCTATACATAAAATACATTTACAGTATTATGTAATTGGTATCGATAATGCAGCACCATCAGTGTTGTTGATTTTAAGACTGATTATATTCACACAAAAAAATGATTCTGAATACACAAGCACACTAATAAGAATAGCTTAATAAATAAATTAATTAATTTAAAATAATGACTTCCTAAGAGAAATTTATGGATAGGAATGTTAATTTCTGCCCAAGTCAATTTTTGTTCTAAATTCTTCTTCCATTTATCTCTGAGAAATAGTTAAGAAAGTAAACTGAACCTCAAAGTTAAGAAATGGTATAATATTTGGTGATACATATTGTTCTGAGATAAAGATATTGCTAATTTGCTATAGTGAACCCCAATCCTGTGTCAAAATAAGCTTATCCTTTGCACAGTAAGTTTTGAGATAGTCCCTTGTCCTGTGGTTTCGCAATTACCTCTGTTTATCCAACCCTCTATTCAACAGCCATAAACCTAAACCTGTTCAACAGTGTTGCACAGCACATATCATTCTGCCTGCAGGGAAATTGTGTAATGCTATTATATCATGTACAGATGCAGCAATAAAACAATCCCAAAGGTCACAAAAGGTCACATCTCAGATGTTTAAAATACTTTGTAAATTAAGTTACTTATTCTACATATCAGGAAACTATGTTCACTATGACTGTACTAAAAGAGGACTTCGAGTTTTGTGCGTGTGTGTACATTTTCTGATTTCAATGAGATCTGTCTTAAAAATTTCACCTGAGTGTAGATTTTAAGCCTACACTGATCCATTATCTAATAAAAAGCTCTGAATATATACTTCAGCCAACCCAATAATGCTTTCAACAGATGCCCAGACATACAGAAATTCTAAACAATTTGGAATTTCTTCTTTTATCTCCATGGTAACTGGGAAGAGAGATAGACTTAATGAAGAGATTCTCTGTGGTAAAATTTGGCAACCTTTGAGGAGCTTGAAAGTATGCAGTTGAAAGAACATATGTCTACTGCATCACTTAGATGATGCTTCAAAGGCATAAAGAGAAAACATAAAGCTTATAACAATTGATATTTTGTTTTAAAAAAACAAACAAAATAAATAATACCTGTAATACATAAATTCCTTAGGTTTAGATATCTTGAGGAAGAAATACCATTGTTTCTTCTCACAATCAGTTGTCATAAGTTTTTAAAACCTTGCTCAAGAAAAATTAGTAAACACATACATATAAAAGCTTAATCCTGTGTTAATATCCCTCATAATAATAAAACCAAATGACATAAAAATCCATCCTGTTTTGTATAAATGGTTACATCCAGATTGAATTGATTGCACCATTTGTGTGATATTCCACTGATTTTTTAAGTATATACCATTGCTAATTCCAACAAAAGCACATCCAACAGTTGGCACTATGGTAAAACCTTTGACTATTTGGAAAGCTCAAGAGACTAATCCTTCACATAATAATAGCATCCTCCTCAGAATGTCACATAATAATCCAGTATAGATATAGAAACACAACACAAAACAAATCAATTTCATAAATTCCCTTTTAAACTATGTATTAATTAATCCTCAAATAAATGCAAAAAAAAAAAAAAAAAAAAAAAAAAAAAAAAAAAAAAAAACAAATATAAATCTTCTAGTTGCAGGTCTGAAAACATGAAATAACTACCAGCCTGTACAAAATTGAATTTACTAGTGTACTAAATGCACACACTATTCTGGAAAAAAAAGTTCATATTAGATCACTGAAAGACAGCGACAAACATGACAACACAAACAACAGAAATAAAGTAAAACATTGACATATCTTACCCTTTGCTTCTACTATATGGTCTACTGTAGCCTGGTCTTTGCTCGACAGTTCTTGTTACAGCACTTCCGGTAGCAGACCCTTCACTGTATTCCGTAGATAAAACATTTCCGTCTATTTTATTTTCAGCACCATGAGCTTTGGAAGCCGATTTAATGTCTCCAAATGCAACAATCGCTGAGGACCCTTCTTCATTTTCCCTGTGATGCAATTTTACACTCTGAATTTTACCATATCTATCAAAAAAAAAGAGAAAAAAACAATCATTTTTCAAATCATTGGGTTGAAAAAGTCAAATAAAATGGAGTTTAACAGTTGACAATGTGTTACTTAAAGAAAAATCTTAAAATGGCTCAACAAATAATGTAAGCGAGGGCATTTTTAGCTAAAATTAAATTTTCATGGGGTTATTCCTAGCGGATTTTCCTTTATAGAGTGGCTTTTCTGCTGTCTTTCCAAGGCTCTACTTGAACATCTAACGAAAAACCTGAAGCTGGTTTTTTTTCTCCAAATCCTTTTGAAAGTGGGTGAAGATGCAACAGGTAAAACAATAGATATATAGTACTTCTTTACTGGTGCCAATAAACAGTTGATTTTAAATTTAACAAGAGGTCCATAGGTCATGAGCCACATTGACCCTGCTGTTCTTCATCAGCTGATTTTTGTTTTTAATTTCCCTCTTTAATTTTAATTTTATGAAAAATTTTAATTTCATATTGTGGACCAAAATCTAGCCCTAAGAGAGCTATGATTTAATCAAAGTTGAACCCTGCACACAACATAATGGGACACTTCAAGATCATGTATAAAGAGTTTATTTATTCCTCAACTTATTCCCTGATCTGAACAAACTTGAATCTAAAGTACCTGAGGATGCTTTCATATTAATATGAATAATAATGGCTTTGCTGTTCAAAAGAGGAAGAATTTTAATGATCCCTTCTCATATATTGCTTTATAAAACTTTGATCTCCTAAAGTGGCCCCACCCTACCCCCAGGGTCATGATTTGAACAAACTTGTAGCTACATACATGTACATGTGGATGCTTCCATATAAATATGATTAATCATGGCTTTGCTGTTCTTGATAACATGATTTATATGAAATGAATGAGGAAGTCATATCCCAGTTGGTGTACTAAATAATTCTGATGTCTTGCATATGTGTATTTATTCATTAATTTTTCCTTGACTGAATATTGTTCTGGACAATAGAGCTTTGAATAGTTATGACTTGATGGGTTTTCCTCAAACCTTTGAAATTATCATGTTTCCTATTTTGCCCCATCTCTTCTTTTTTTAATGAATTCTCAAACTTGGTTGATGTTTAGGCGAAAGAGCAGAACTGGCAGCTTTCCAAAAGTTATTATACAAAGCTTGGCAATTCGCCAGGACACATCCAGGCTTTCTCTGATGAAACATGCACTGCTATATCATTTGGAGACGACCCTCTTGTCTGACTAGATCACCTACCTGATAAATTATTCATGTTCTTATGTGCCCTGCAACCATGTTTTTATTAGCATGAACAAACTTTCATGTAAAGCAAAATATTACACAAACTATGTCCCTTTATTATATACAAAAAATACCGTTTTGAAATTACAATGTACATCCCCCATTGTTTCACATGTTTTAAAAAGTCTTATATGTTCTCCCAAGCACAAATTAATACTGCAGACTTGAAATTGCGCCCTTCTATATTGATTTGAGCAGTTCCAATGAATTCATTATGGCTCTATTGATCAAGAGATCACTGTATTACACTACTAGGCAATCACTTTGCCTACCAAATACAATTTTTAATCCACATTTACAGATAAGAATTTTTTATTTGGATATTTGCCAGTCATTATAATGGTTACCAGAACAGGTTTTATTACCATTATAGCTGTAAATAGACCAAGGGCATTTATTTGCTCCAATCTACACAAAAGCTGGTGTCATTATCATGTTTATCAAGGGCTGTCTGCTTTCTGTGCTGACTTGGCAATAACAAGTTGATTCCATTTATGCATTAGGGGTTTTTCCTTGTTCATAAATTATGTCCGATGAATAACGCTACATTGTGTAAACCCTATTTCCCCTTAAAGATAGACTCTTCCAAAATGACTCATGCTCAGGTGATCAATTGGCCGTCCCTGCTAAGCCCTTACAGCTTTTCTTGGGAATAAAGGATACAGTATTAACCAGCCAACAAGAGAGGAACTGTACCATGTAAAACATTATACAATGGAGACTATTTGAATGGATTATATTTTCATATTTAAAACAGTTTTTTTAAGTTTCTAAATCGCCTCTACTTAATATACCCAACAAGTCCAATATCTACAATGTAGTTTACTTATGGAATACCTCTTCATCATGTATCTTTTAAATGGAGGTGATAAGTGTTGCAAAATGACCTGTGAAATGATAAAGCAACACAGTCTGACAGTCATGTGTTAAAGATCAATTAAATGTCCAAAATTACTTTTTAAAAACATTCTCCATATTACCGACAAACCCTTTTCTAGCAAATTTTCAATATATATACATGGAACTGAAACAAACTAGTAAAAAAGTGTGTTAAGGCAGATCTAGGCTTACATTATTTGATGTTGTATCATCATTCTGATGATGATGAATATCATGATAAAAGATGCATTTGTGGCATATTACTCGGTATCATCATAGGTTTGATCCATGCTGTTGGGGAAAGACCTCTTCTGCATTATCCATGTTAATTTTTTTTTCACTTTCTGTTTCAGTACACAAACCTTTTCACTTTTGGAAAAAAAGAAGAAAGTGCAACAAAATTGGAAGCAAATTTCCTATAGTAATTTATTCCTAATCAATGTTGACTGTGTTTTTGCACAACCATGTGCTAAGTGAAGCAAGCAATCTGTGATACACAATAACAATTAGTAATCCGTTTCATTGGTCACTGCATCATCTAAATATTGTCAACATCAATCTACATTGTATTTGTGTGTGTGTGTTAAATTTTTCTTTAAAAAATCTGTCCATATGATTTTTTTTTTTGGTTATTAAGGAATCAAAGAGGATACTTTGGCAAACATATCTAGATCCTTGCTGCAAACTGATTAAAACAGAACTTGTGTATCTAAGCTACAGCAGTGTGCCAAAAAATTTTCAGCATTAGCCCAGTTATGCTTTTTCCCATCCTGCATTGTTCTCTGGAACGCTGCCTCAGTCCCTGCTCATCACTGATTTTCTGTGTTAATTAATTAAGGAAAAATCAGCACACTTGGTTGCTATAAGCTGTAACTTGTTTTTATCCAGCTTTTTACCATGTCTCACAATTCTGATTTTAACCCCATTGTGTAACACTGCTCCAGAGGAATAGGGCACAGGAATGGAAGAAGAAGGCTGGGAATAGAGTATAATATGACTTGGGTTAATTGCCTTGTTTTAAATTTGACCAGATCTGGTACAACTAGAGCTGTACAAATTTCTTAGAAAAAAACTTATTGGATTCATAAAATTTTTCTAGTTACAAGTTGCAGCAAGCCAGCAACTTCCTTCACTCAGTATTAGAAAGTGAAAAATCAAAGGTTTTTCAGAAAAGACCTTATTAAATTGAAACCCCATGTCACAAAAATGTCACATAAAAAAGATTCTAGACTTAAGGTCAACAACTATGGTCTAAATCTTCAATCTCAGCATCCTCTTTGTCTAGTTTCGTGTCTACAGGCAGACTTTTGTGAAGTTATGACTGATCTTTTCACCATTTAAGAAGTGGGTATTGAGATTCTGAATAAAGCATGTTTTTTTTGCCATGTTTCCAAGATGGTGTCTTGGCTGATGTTGCTGGGACTTTCAATAGCTAGTACACAACTGAAGAATAAAGAAAATTACTACAACTAAAAATAAAAGTATTCCAACTTAGAGGTTCATGTTTTGATGAATGTTGATTGGTAGCCTTAATACAAAAAATACATGTCTGACTTGACACCTTTTTTTTCTCTGTTGTTCTGCTACTGTTCTTTTTTTCAGCAGAACTTTGAGCTCGTCATTTTACACATTGAATCATTTTCATTTAGTTTTACTCTTTTTTTTTTTTTTTCATTTTCCATGGTGATTGATTTACTTTTTGTAACAGATTTTATGGAACTGTGGAGCAAGAGGCATCATTAATACATGCAAGTATTTCTTTGTATTGGAGAACCTGAGTCATCAAAATCTGAAACTTGTGCCCAACAGAAGGGAATCAGTGTCACAGAGCAGTCGAGGGTAAAGGAGGGTTAGAACAAAATTTTAGAGAGGAACCCTAATAATGCAAGAGAGAGAGAGAACTAGTGCGATTAATCACATTTTGTGAGTTCAGTGATGAAATATATGAAACAAAGTGAAGAGGAGAATGCAATACTCGAGCTCATTCATGGGTTGTAATAACCAGTTTGGGATATATTATCCCAGATGGGATACAAATTTACAGTGCAAAAAATGCAGAAAATTATGTAAACACTATATATAAAAGACATTCAATGTTTTATACCCAGTAGTTGGATATGGAATTTCACGAGTGGGACAGGATTTTTTGATATTTTTACAAGTGTGAAGCACAAGTGAAAATATAAAAAAAAATCCAGTCTCAAGAGTGAAATAAATTGCATATTCAACTATTGAATTTTATGTTTATTACATTTACTTTGATTTTCTCTTTCAGAATCGATTGTCAGTTTCAATATGGCTGCACTACCATTCGTTTTTCTCATAAGCAAATGAAGGATACCCTCAATAGTCAATTGCTGATCGAGTAATTACGGTATATCCTCTGGAGCAATAGGTCATTTAATTCACAGTGTCCCCTAGTACCATTACCATACAATCATAAACCAATACTTATTAATATTAAAATATTTATCATCCAATTTGGTGTCCATTTCTAGCTCAAAAGCATCAATTTTGGAAAAAAAAATAACAAAGGAGTAGGATTACAGTCTTCTCTTGACACCTTTTTCTTAATCATTCCTTTTTTTTTACATTCTGATTCAGATGCATACTTCCTGCAGATTGAAATGGCAGACAGAAATGTGTCTGTGGTTTTCAACCAAAGAAGTTGGTACCATGAAGCATACTTCATACATATGGATGCATTTTCTTTTCTTTTTTTTATATAAGCCTAGACTGTTCCATCATGTGCAATGGGTGCATGCTTGGTTTCAAATGTGTGGCATTTGAAATTGGCAAACCATTGATGCATTCTCACAAACACACACTTAACAAAATACCTCACAACTCATCTTTCCATCATGCCACATAGAAAAGCTGTTAATTTCAAAAGCAAACAAATATTGACAATGTTGTTGAAAACCTTGGGCATCTCTTTTTAATTTATTTGTCAGTTGAAAAACTGAGGATTTAGTTACATTTAGTATTCTGTTAATCAGTATCAAAGCATTGCTTTATTTAGTAATTTTAGCTATCACAACATTTCCAGTGGCAGTAAGGTTGGATGACTCCTTCATGGCTACCAAACCTTGTCTGAAGTCTTAAAAAGATGAATATAAGTGTCAAAAACAGCAAGAGTGTCATTGTCCCAAATTTTCAATGATCTCATGTGAATATGTATTGAAATCTCTCAAAATTCTGTATGTAGATCTTCGTTATGTTTTGTTTCTTTTTTTTGGGGGGGGGGGGGGTGTTCAAATGAAATGTATGGAGATAACGAACAGTATTCAAAATCCAATATAAAAGACTGTGTGCCTTCATTTGTTTTCCAGTATACACAATTTTAGCTATTAAATTTAAGCTGCTTCTAGGGACAGTATTCCATTTTATTAAACAGCAGTTCTACACATAGTGACAGTATGTGTACACAATTTTAGCTATTAAATTTAAGCTGCTTCTAGGGACAGTATTCCATTTTATTAAACAGCAGTTCTACACATAGTGACAGTATGTGTACAAATAGATGGGTCTGAGAAGTAAAGACAATGGTCTATCAAACAGATTTTTCTCAAGCAGACTTACAGGAAAAACCAGTGCATTCTAATGAAGCAAAATAAAAATTTGTTTTATTGTTTTTCAAGCAAAATCCTGAGGGAAGTTAGTGTCCAAATTCCAAACCCCTGATATAAACAAACTTGCTTACCACCACATTTCATGTAAAATACTAACTTTATCTAATATTTCCAGAAAGAAATAAGGAAAATGGTTGTACAGCCTTCAAGATCATTTAACAAAACTTAAATGACCCGCAGTCTAATATGAATATAAAATGCCCTGAAGGAAAGGGAAAAAAGTAGATTCAGTGTTTTCGAGTTTCAAGAAACAAGGATTTGGTATATGCAGAATCCTTCAGTATGTTTTAAATAAAAATGAACATAGATTTTCCGAAACGCACAATCCTCAATTTTCTGGATCAATCATTAAATGCATTGAACATAAACATGGACACATAATTTATAGTGTTGTGTGGCATTACCAGGCCCATCTGTTTACTAAAGAAAGTTCATCATTGAAACAATACTTTAAATTTACTAAAACAATGAAATAAGTGTCGTTTAATGTGACACGTCCACGTATATATACCAAGCGCAAATTTTGTTTCCCATGGTTTGAATTTCTATACGCTCCCTTAAGATATCAGCTTTTCCGCCTTCATTTTCTTTATCAGTTGCCAGTGGACATATTTCCTTGTAATTATATAATGTAAACCGTTGTCCCGCTCCAAAACATTCAAATACTTTCTCTTGCTCTAACTCATAAAACAGAACAAAGGACAGACTCTGAAATCCAATGTAATCCTCACTGCGAAAATGGCTGACCTGAATTTCTGGTCAAAGTGTTGTGCCCATACTCACCGCTTAAAATGCTCTGCTACTGCATCTTCTGTGGTTTTCTCGGGTAAATTCCCAACAAGAAGGTACCTTGTTTCTCGTACCATTTCTTGCTATGCTACATAACGTTTGATTTTATGCATTAATACACAAAATACAACACAATTCCAGTCATAGCAAATACAGTTGCTATATCCTCTACACAATGTAGTAAAAATTCATGGCCTACCCTGACGTCACTCTGCACACGTGACCTTCGACCCCCATGCAGTCACATGGTATCCCATATATTATTGATCAGGGACTATCTCAAAGTATTAATTTTAATATTATAATATCCAAACTTGTGTTAACCACTCTTTACTTGATGTATTGGACAAGATGTAACGTGCGATGATGTCCTGAATCTTTAAACAAAATGTTTGCTTAATATGTTTTAACATACTGACAGATTTCAATCAGTGTCAAGCCAGACCAACCATGTGTGATTTCGGAGATGTAAGTCAAATTTGTAATAAAAAGAGTTGGGTAAAAACCCCTTTTTTTTACTAAATTCTCCCAAGCACTAATAAATTTTTATTCAATGACCTGGATATATAGTCACAAATTGTTATAGTGATAAATCTAACAGAATTTTCAGAAGACCTACATAGATAACACACACCATGTCGCATATAGACTTGGTGCTCAAAAACGGGAGAATAATCGATCCTGTGAATCAAGTGGACACAGTGGCTGATATAGCTGTCAATAATGGAACAATTCTGTCGATTGGCAATAATGCACAGTTTCAGGCAAAAAAGACGTTCGATGCTGGCGGTTGCTTAGTAACGCCTGGTCTGATTGATTGCCATGTTCACTGTTACCAGTATGCTACACCACTGGGGATTAACCCAGATGAACATTGTCTTTCGCGTGGTGTTACTACTGTAGTTGACGCAGGGAGTGCAGGTAGGTATTAATATCAAAGCAGACAGATACACAAGAACGAAATATTTTATAGAATTATGACCGTTATGGACAGTTTCCATTGGCTTATATATAGTACTTATTAATAAGTACATGCTGATGCTGCATTATTCGTGTATATATGACATCAATATATTAGATAACGCTGCTTCTGTTAGCCTAAAAGTGAATAATTACACATGTAAAGGCTAAGTTCAGACTTCAGACATTTGATACCCCCTTACAGGCCTCAACTTTTGTGTAGAGTGTGAGTCATCGGTGTATGTTAAGCACACCACGTCGACAACAGTTTTATTACATGTACAAAGATTGATCGACGAAGTAGGGAGATTACAACAATTAATCCTTTGAATAGTTGTAGAATGTTGGGCCCGAATGAAAATTAAAGTTTATGTACACATAATACTATATGTATAATGATTAATGTATAAGCCTAATGGTAACGATATAATGATTTCCAATCTCAGACTTTAACACAACCAGCTCTTCCTCAACTTTATGTTTAGGGTAAAGAAAAACGCAGGCAGACAATCAATAACAAATATTTTCGTTGCCATGGTACATAGATATTTCCTTGTTAATGTTATCGATTTTGGTGCGTTCCGTTGTCATGACGGTCTATTTCTGACTATCGATTAATTGTTAGCATGTTCAGTATACAGAAATATATACAAAATCATTAAAAACTTATTTCAAAATACTTCTCGTTTCTAAATTTGCAATCTATTGTTCGCTGTTTTAAAGTCTGTCTACACATGTGAAAATTATATGGACTACGCATTCAAGCATAACATTTTCAGTGTACAGTCCATGTTAGACTATTAAGACTAAAATTTACAAATTGCTGTCTAAATCCTACTTAACCGCCCAGAACGAATATGATTAAATAACACTAAGGCAACATTCGAGATAAACTTGACCGCCCTTTTTTTCAACATTTTTAACAGGCAAGTCCTGACGGATATCAACATGATCAATAAGGAGAGAACATGTGGACGGATATGGACAATTGATATAGACAGACCATCCAAACAGTCAGATCATTAAATTGTGTTTTAATATGATATAGATGTACACGATACCGTCTATATATGAGCCGTCAGAATTCCGGAAATTCTTGTTTAAGAAATATATGCTTAAGAAAATCTCGCCTTTTTTGCTGTTTTTTTTTTCTCCACAAGAAATCTTTTTACATGAATTGTACTAAGTGTACGTGTGTTGCATGTAATGTATCTGTAATTGTAAAGCAAAACATCCAATAGGATTTTTTTTCGTTTAATTTAGTTTAAAAGTTTAAGCTAGGGGCGTTAACTTCGTAACACTTGGTGGAAAAGGGGTTTATTTTATTAAATACTTCCACAACAATGAAGCCTCGTTTTGATTATTGGTGTATGATCAATATTCCAGCATATATCACACTTTGTAATAACTCCGGTTCATTAAAAATTTGATCAAGTAATGACTCCAAATGTAAAAATTATATCACTTATAAATTACGTGTAATCCCGTAGACAAGAGCTCAAATTTACAGAAGTTGGTGTGTACATCCATTTCTTTTGTTCTCATCCTACGACCTTGGATTTGCCCTACATTGAAGTTTACTGGAGTTTCTCAATCTGTACTTTTTAAAAAATAAAACACAGCCAGGATAAAGTACACAACAAAATAGGACTGATATGTTTTTGGTCAAAAAGGTCGCTGGTTATCGTATTCTATATATTTCCAAATCAATTCGCCTGCACACACTTTATGTGCGTGAAATGCAAGATGGCCGCCAGTTTTGTGGCATAATGTAGAATGTGGTCTGACTTAAATTGCCTCGTTTTGGACTAGACTCGCATGGCTTGGCCTCAACTAAGGTCTGGCTCAGACGATAACCTGGTAACTCATTTTGTCATTTAAACAAATGAAGATGAAAAGTGAAGTAGAGGAAAAGAAAGTTTTCAAGTTGTCTGCCTTTGTGTTTGTCTGTCTTTAAATCTCTCTCACTTTGTTTTTTTTCAAATTCATCATTAGAATATCCAGACCATTTTCCACAAAACTTGGCACAAACCAATTACCAGTAACAAAAATGCAAATTGTTCTCATAAAGGATTTAATTATATACCATAATAATATTTGCATCAGTTATATATACTTAAAGATTTCCTTTAAGATTCATTTTTTAATAATTTAAAATTCAAATAGGTGATATTAAATAATCACTGCTCCCAAGACTCTATGGTATGTAAGTACCGGGAAATTAATGTTTTTGAAAAATCTTGTGAGTCACGTAACAAGACTAATACAAAGTTCAGTCTCTTTGAACATAAATAATTATGAGAGAGAGAAACTGTCAATAAATATAGCAAAACTTATACTGCAAGTAAAATTTATAAAATTTATATAACTTTACAGGGATTGATAACAAAGGGTATTTAAAATGTCTTGGACTAAAACACAGGGGAAAACTAGGCATCCCAAATTTGCTTGGGGTCAATGGAAATCTAGATAGTCTTGAAGAAGGAACCATTCATTATTTAATGTTGTAAGAAATGCAAATAGGTGATATCACCTATTCAAATTCAGATTCGAATAGGTGATATGAACTGGTATCACTAAATGGCAATAAATACCAAACGACACCTCATATGCAAGGCAAGCGTCATGACATCAACTATTGTTGCAGTGACGCAACGTTGTTTGTTCACAGCTGTCGCAGCCAGAGGGTTATGAATCCATAAGTAATCATAAACAAGATGTGATGTTTATTATAGAAGTGCGTAGTTTTATTTTCCCTATTCAAATGCCTGTTTTTTGCACGGGATTTCAATTAATGTTTATCACTATATAAGTTCGTTGTGATTTATATAATGAACTTTCCCACTAAAACAAACTGCAAAAAACAATGCTGCAGTGTAATAAACCAACAACACAAGAATACATAGGCAAAGTGATAATTATTTCAAACTCTTGTTTACCATTTTTATTACAGTACCTCTTTCAATATTTTTGTCAAGCATTTAAAGAGGAACAGATCAAACCCTACGAACATGTGAGTGGAGAAATGTATGGAGATAACGAACAGTATTCAAGCTCAAAGGTCCATTAAACATTACAAAATAGGTGCAGAGCAAACACGGACCTCCAAAACATCAGAGGTGGGATCAGGTGCCATGGAGGAGTGAGCATCCCCTGCCCACCCATCACACCCGCCGTGTGCTCCTTGTCATGATCAGGAATAACGGAAAAATCCGTCGACAATTCAGTGTGTAAATAATGGCCTAACAATTAGTATGAAAAACATCAGTCAGCATTTGACTCAATGATACATTGTATTTGCTGACAAGGTCATTGTATCGACCGTAGAACCTACAAAATGATGACTTTAAACAAGACTGCTGATATTCTTGTTTCATCAACTTGTTTGTCAATAATTTACCTCGTTTTAGAAATTATACATACGTAGAGCATGCTCTTGCATATCGAATCAACTGAGAGATATAAACCCCGTATGCAGGTGATGAAGGTATATTGCTGCATAAGTAAGGGAAGTTGACGATTGAAAAGTTAAAGTCATCACGTTTATCATAAAGCTTGGTTGTTAGATTACCATTAACGTCTCTTTTTCAAGTAAAATATCCAAATATGAAACAGATGTGTCAGACTCTAGAATTTTTATTTCAAGCTCACCGGGATATATCGTATCGACATAAGAATGGAAATAACCATGATTGTTAATTGACAATACGTCGTCGATATATCTAAATGTCGAGTTGAAGGCCACAGCAAGTGTTTTCTTCTTTTCACGTATAAGATTTTGGACAAATTCTGCTTCATATGAATACAAAAAAAGGTCTGCTAATAACGGGGTGCAATTGGTACCCATGGGAATTCCGATAGATTGTTGGAAGACCTGGTCTCCAAAAACCACATAGATATTGTCAATCAGAAACTCAAGCATCTTTTTAATGTCAACTTCAGAGTACTTGTGTGTACAATCAGAATGTTTTTTAACAAAATAATTTTGCAAATGACCAATGACAAGGTAAGTAAATTTATGAGTTCCATTTTTATTGAAAAAGCAGCGGTTTAAAAAGTGTTAACTGCCCCAAGTTATGTTATATCGTATAATATAGGTTAAAATAAGCTTCATTCCTTATAATTTAATTTCAGTGTAGACAATAAGACTATTTTTCCTCCAAAAATGGCTTCAAATTGAGCATATTTTAAAAGTAACGACAAGCGGAGTAATACGTTTTTGACGTAACTCATTGTGACGTAGGCAACTTATGTTATACAATATAAACTAAATCCTTTATCCAATCAAATGACGTGTTACAACTAAAATTAAATTTATATATATATATATATATATATATATATATATATATATATATATATATATATATATATATATATATATATATATATATATATATATATATAATAGAGAGAGAGACAGAGAGAGAATTTAAAATTGTTGCATATTATTTATAGGTGACCTTCACAGTCTAAAGCCTCTTATTTAAAATACATGTACTAATTTGCAAGTAATATGAAAATACTTTGTACAGTTCAGAAAAAAAATATGCCCTGCATGGTTTAAAAAATTATGGAATACAACATATGTTGTAAATCAAGAATAGCAAGATTTACCTTTCTTTATATACTACAAATAATAGTTGAGTCTTATTGGTTAAGTGCCTAAATAATTTATCTATAGTTACTTTAAAATCATATCATTATATTTTCAGTCCCCCATTTAACAAGTCATCAAAGTTTGCTTTAATTTTTTTCCTCTCAGGTGCTTCTACTTTTCAAGGGTTGCGGAGATATGTAGCAGAGAAATGTAAAGCACGAGTGCTGTCATTTGTACACATAGCACAGCATGGTTTGGCAGCAGCAGGATGTGCCTCTGGAGGTTTGAGTACTATTTCAGGCCTATATATTGATTTTCAAAGTGAGGGGGCAAGAATAAGTTGGAAGGGGAAGGGGGGGGGTTAAGGTCCTGCAAAACAGATTGGGTTACCTAAGGAATTTTAGAGAATCCCAGAAATAATCAATTGAGACATACCGGTAATATTAATAGGTCTTTAAAAAAAGTTCAAGAAAGTTGATATCCCTGTCCAGGCTCTGTTTCACTTTGTCCAAATGTCACTCTTTCTTGTAATACAGATTCTCCTCCTAGAGGGAATCAAAAATTCTTTTTGCATGAGTAAGATATTGCATGCATGGCCATGCCATGTAAATGTGCAATAAGGTTGTGGAATCTTAAATTGATCTTTTTCCAGAGCTTGCTTCAGAAGACATGGTTCCTTATGAATTTTAAGTTTGTCATCAGAACTTTTTGTAAGTTTTGATATTAATTTGATCAAAACTCATATTGAGATAACTTCAATAAATGTGACAAATACATAATTATGTACATATTCAGTGCATTTACATGTCGAGTTTTACAGAAGCGGGGAGTATCTAACAATAACTTTCCCAACTTCCTAAAATCCAATTTTCAGCAAAACTTGCGTTTCTAGTCTCAGAGAGTGAGGTGTCTAAAAACTTTGCGACAAATATTGCTTTTTTATTTCTAAAGAAATGGGCATGTCATTAGGTAACAATCGGTGCTCAATAAGGATTAAGGAAGACCAAAATGTTCCAATTTCAAACAAAAAAATTTACCACTTCAGTGCACATCAGTGAAGACTGTGTAAAAGCGGAAAAAACATAATCCTGATACAATTATAATTTGGGAAAAAAATCTACTTGGGGGAGGATGCTATAGAGAGGGGAAGATTTGCTACTGTTGTATAGAAATTATTCCTAGCAAAAATGTTTGTAATATTGCATTTCTTCCATAGGGGGAAGATTTGTTATACAAATGTATTGCAAATAATCTACAGGATTGTCCCTAAGACCTGGGGGCCTAGAATTTCCCTGTCTATAATGACATAATCCCACGGTTACTCTGGTATTCCCTCTCATCCCCCTTTAAAAGGAGGAACCCAAGACCCCCTTCTACTTTTTCAATGTCCCCTGCTATTTAAATTCTTAGGGACAATGCTGAATCTATGAGGAGTTTTGCTGTAGGACATATCTTCAACTGGGAATTTTTGCAAGGGGGGACCTTTCCTATAGAAAACCTGTACATACAATTAAACATGTTTTGGATTTTGAACAATTTAGGATGCATGTATAGATCAATTTGCACAAATAATATATGCTTTTAACTTTTAGCACCTGGTGGAGAGTTGGATTCACTGAATGTTGTATCAGTTGATGAATGTGTGAAATGTGTGGTCGAAAATCGAGATATTGTTGTTGGAATCAAACTTCGCCTATCAGACTCCATTGCAGATGGGGGTAAAAATGAAATGGAAGCATATAGGTAAGTGACTGGTTTCAATTTAATTGATAATAAGCTAGGTTAATGTACTTTCTGACTAATTTTCGTAAAGAATCAATACACATGTAAATTTCAACACAAATGCGTGATTCAGAGAATAAAGGCAGTTGTCAGTATTGGAATATGTGCTTGCACATCTGTAATTACCATAAATGAAGATTTGCTTGAGAACAACGTGGACACAAATATATATAGTGTGAAAGCAAGAGCAAAAAAGGACCAAACCACCAGAAAGAAGTAATTAAAGAGAGAAAGATGTAAAGTATAATTAATTAAGACACCATTCCACACGAAGATCAAGGACTATATGTAGATGTTACAGCGATTTATAGCAAAGTGATTTTCATTCCCTGTGGCTTTGAAACATTATACTTGTGAATTTAATGGATATAACGAATTACATATAATGATGCACAAATTGTCCATTTACTTATTTTGTTCTTCATATTTCTTCATATTGTAAAACAGACATTTAGTTGATAACAGACACCAGAAACCCAATATATATTGATTTTAATGTATAATGATTTTCATATAATCCTCAAAAATGTGCTAATTTACCCAATTTTTACAGCCCTGGCCCCATTCCCAAAGTGGTGTGAGAGCCCTGTAGGTTTGACACAACACCGGGAATGAGAACCCAGACCTCACAATCACAAAGTGAGGCTACCATGACTACTGGGGGGGGGGGGGGGGGGGGTATGACAACCTAAAAGTAGATCTCAGTGGTGTCATTTTCGAATTTTATTACAATACATAGTCAAATACTTCCAGATGGGTGCATCAACATCAGCTGTGTAGGGTTTATAATATGCATTTTATATTCACATCAAATTTCAAAGCATTTAATGAAAAACATAAGCAGGTTATATTCATCATTGTATGAGCAATTAAAATGCAGTGTCCTTACTATGTTCTATGTTCACTCATAAAATACTTGCAGACTAAGACTAAGTAGGGGATGAATAATACATCAGTACCATAAATTCACGATTGGGCTGATTACCACTTAATGGACTTTGAAATTGCACTTTGAGTACAATGATTTAATTTCACATACAGTATGTATGAACATTGACATATGATGTTGTTGTAAGTTGAGGAATTAATTCTTCCAACTTTAGCAGTAAGGCCAACTTTAAAATAATGTTTGTTTGCCCTCTCCTGACTCAAGAAGAAAAATTGGGTCAGGATGTAGGTAGGAAATTATTTTTTTCACAGAAAATTTCAGCATCAATGCTGAATTTTCAAAATCTATTTTCTGGAATGCATAAAAAAAAAATGTTTCCTGGAGGTTAAAAAAAGTTTTGAGTTGGGCCTTTGTTAGCCAGTCAGTTGGGAGAGGGCAAGCAAACATTTTTTTTAAAAATGGCCTTATGAGAATTTTCATATGTGTACGAGGAACATTAATAATCATGCACAAACTAACAACAGTATGTTACATGTAAAACATTTTCAGAATAACTGTGATTTGATTGGGTAACTGTAAGCTCATTCCTGGTCTCCGCAATGGACAAACTGATTGGCAAATGTGATTAATTTATAATGAAACATTACCAGATATTCCTGATGTTAAAAGATTTACATCATGTGCAACTAAAGCTGTTTCAGAATGAAATTATTGAACTGTGCTGGTCAGACGGGTTTCATTGCTGGTGGCCAGATAGCTCAGTTGGTAGAGCACTAGTCTTAACTGGAGATTCAGGGGGCCTGGGTTAAAATTCTGGTCTGGTCCATTGCAATTTTCTCCTCTCCTTTTACATTTGGTGCTGTGCCATGCCCTGGAAGTGACAGGTGAAAGACCTGCCAGAGAAGAGCCTGGGTTGGGTTAAAGTCTTCAGGGGAGAGGGGGGGGACCTGTAAGGAGGGAGGAATGAGGCGGTCAGACGGGTTTGATCACTGATGGCCAGATAGCTCAGTGTGTAGAGCACCTAACTGGATATTCAGAGGGCCTGGATTTGATTTCGGGTCTGGTTGTTGCATTTTTCTCTTCTCCTGTTACATTTGGTGCTGTACCATGCCCTGGAAGTGATAGGTTATAGACCTGCCAGGGAAGAGCATAGGTTGGTGTCTTTGGGGGGGATGGGGGGGGAGACATTTAAGGAGGAAGGAATGTGGCCATCAGACAGGTTTGATCACTGGTGGCCAGATAGCTCAGTTGGTAGAGCACCTTACTGGAGGTTCAGGGGGCCCAGTGTAGCATAATAGTTTGATACCGTGATATATTGAACCGGGTTCAAATCCCAGTCTGATATGTCACATTTTTCTCCTCTCTTGTTACAGAACATTCATCTGCTGTGCCTGTCAGACTCTGCTTCACTAATGAATGACATTCCTCAATGTTATCTTTGTAATTTGTGAATATCTTTGATATTTCTTAATCATCAGGCGAGCACTGCGTGCCTCCGAAAGAGCAGGAGTTCCCTTAATGGTTCATCACTCTATGTCAGCTGTGCCAACACAAGCTGATGATGGTTTGTACACAACACTTCAGTTAAATACAAAGCAGTTTTATTAATGTAATTTGTTTTGACACATGCATGTACATGTACATTGTATGCATATGAAATAATTCTTTCATTCTATAATAAGCATTGTCAATCCTCATTTCTCTCTTGTTTAGAATGCACACACACGCAATGAAGCTACTAACTGATTACTCATTTGATAATATAGTTCTGGACTGAATTCATGGTAGAGTAATATAATACAATGCAAATTTTAACACTTCCAGTCTGCACTATTTTCAGAGCACGAATTTATACATAATAGCCTACTGTATATCACCAAATTTTCGCGACACCTTATTTTCACGAGATAGGTATTAACTCTTTATTAGCGAGACAGAATATTCATGAATTGTGGTTATTGCTCAATATAATCTTTAGGAATACTAATATATGCAAGAATGAAATTTTCGCGAGCACTCTGTCTCGCGTAATAATGTGAAAATAAAGTTCTTGCAAATAAAATGTGATTTACAGTGTTTCAGCTTCCATTTGTCTCACCTGCTTTTTACCATATATAAAACTCTTCACAAAATTGGCACAAATATAGTCTAGAAGAGAGCATTGAAAGTTCACAAAAGTAACAGTTCAATTTGATTTATATTGGGCAAAATTTACTCCAGTCTGGCTTCATTTTAATTCACTTGCACTGCAAAAAAATTCTCTTTTTATTTGGGGAATATTTGATATTTCCCAGGCTACCTTTCTTCCTTTTTTGGAAAGAAAAGAATTTGGGTAGAAAGAGAACTTTCAGTCTGAGGAACTGAGAATATTTTCAAATTTCATTTCAATGGGATGCATTCCCTTTTAATAAACTTCAAAATCAGAGATTCTTGCAAGCTGTCATGTCCAGGTTTTCCTTTAAGGTATTCAATGTATAATGATCATATTTTGTTCCTAATAAATGAACGGTCCCATATTTTTAATCATGGTAGAATTTTGAAAGTGTTATCAAATGAAAATACTCCACCAAAGGAATTTACAAAATTTTGATTATTATCCAAGTAACAAGAAAATCTATATTTTGTAAGATTTATATACAAATATTGAGAGATTGTAGATTTAAATTTTTTGAATTCATACTGTTTTTTTTCTTGTTTGGAGCCATGCACTTAGAAAAGTTTTGAACATAGCATACTGTATACTGTGTTGACTTATTTGAACTATTTTATGTAATGTATTCAGTTTCCTCTAGACAGCATACTTCATTTACAATGTTTCTTTGTTTCATTTAGATACGTCCCCAGAACTAGGATGTCCGCGTGATCTTAAGGCTGGAGATTTATACACCCACACGTATCATCCTTATAGGTCCAGCATTGTGGACCCAAGTACCCTAACTATCTATCAAGATGTCATAAATGCCAGAGAAAAGGGCGTGTTGTATGATGTTGGGCACGGACAAGGCTCGTTCAGCTGGACTGTGGCAGAACTCTGTGCAGCCTTGGGCTTTTATCCAGACACCATTAGTACTGACCTTCACACTGGCAATCAAATGGGGCCTGCATATGATCTTCCAACAGTAATGTCTAAATTTTTGCATCTTGGCATGCCTCTTGTTGAGGTAATTCGTGCTGTGACCTCATCTCCAGCAAAGGCAGTAGGATGGGGAGATAGAATAGGCAGTTTGACACCTGGAAAAGAGGCAGATATCACAGTTCTGAAATTAAATGAGGGTCCAGTTTTGCTAGAGGATTGTCAATCCCAGGTATACAATACATACAGCCCCCCCCCCCCCAAAAAAAATGAATACAAGTAATCTACATTAACCTCTAAATTTGAAGGAACAACAATAAAGTTATCAAACCTACATTTCAGGTTCGAGTTTTGGATAAAGTTTTCAAACCAGTAGCTGTATGGAGAGCAGGAAACCAGTACCCAATCACATTTTCTGATCCTTTTCCAAATCGTGATGCTATGAAGTTGAATTTAAGAGAATGGGATAAAATTCTGATCAGAGATAGAGACAGACCTGTGGTACAATAAAAACCATGTTGTTTACTTCCTGTACAAAGAATTTACAAATAAATTGTGCTTCTGCATCTATTTCTCATTAATTATAGAACACTGCATAGAAAAGTATTTTTAGCCATCCAATGTTTGTAATTAAATATTCCAAATACATGTAGATCAAAACAATAACACCCCCCCCCCCCCCAAAAAAAAACAAACAAACAAACAAAAACAAAACTGAAGACTTGGTGTCGACACTATACCGTATAGTGGGAATTTTTAGCGGGATGCTAACTTTGGCTTATTTTTAGCGGTTTATAGTAGCCCACTAACATTTTAAGAGCCCTCTATACACTCCACACTAAGAGTTCTGAATTTATGGTATTTTTATGCAGATGAGTAATCTTCCCTTTGATCTAGAATTGAATTGTAATGTACAGTTTATTACTTAATTTGTGATCAAATCAAGCATTCCAGAATGAACACTTCATTTGCAGGTATTTTGCCCATTTAAGTAAGCAACAGTGATTTCTGTTCATCAGTACTTCATTTTATTTGAATATTTTTCCTTTGGGTAAATGCGAGGTACCATATGTTGAAAATGTTATAGATAAGCTTAATATTTACACATTTACACACTATAAATTTCTCAATGTCCAAAAAACCTTTTCCTTTAGTGTATAGAGGGCCCTTAATCACTAAATTTGCACCCTTGTGTATCAGTATGGAATAAAAGAAAATTAACAATGATCAATCTGTTGTCAAACATTACCTTTCATCTGATGTTGGTCTTCACTAAAACTCTTACGTTGTACTAAACGTACTGGGAAAAAAGCTTATCTAGAAAATGAACTTCCTCCCTTTTGGAAGTTGGTGTCCGCCAAAAAAAAAAAAAAAATTCACCAAAATCATTGGCATACCTTTGAGCAAGCAAAATGCCAAATTTTTAATACATCCGCTAAAGAAACTGCTGTAGATATTTCTTTTAACAAAAATTGGTACTTCTCGGAAAACTGCCTTATTTCATATTCTGGAAAAATTGCATAAATAAGTGTAAGTAAATTCTTCAAAATGGTCAGGATAACACCTAAAAAAAAAAACAACTTCAAACAATTATCTTCCTCTGCTAGAAGCTTATCTCAAGGGAGGACATCTACGCTATAATTGGATATCATATTCACATATATATGACATTTTTAGTGATGAAGCTTTTGTGAAGAGGATTTATAAAGATAGTTCTTTTATTTTTCTCTTAATCTTTGGACTTTCTGGCCCCATCCCAGCCCTAAGACTTAAAAAACTTGAATTTACAAGGTAATGCTTGCATTAATTTATACCCTTCTACTTCTTACAAATAAGATTTTTTTTAAGGTTTCCTATTGTTATATTTTTCCATTCATCATCTGTAATTTTTTTTATTTTGTAAGCCTTTTCAATAAACCTAGCTTTTCCTCTAAAATTCCAATCCATTTTGGTATAAGGTATTTTTTAGGTTGAAGGGGAATGTAAATATTATTGTTCTCACCCGGCCTCTGAAACTTCAGGTTTGGGTGATAATTAGCAAATTATTCATCAAAATTCTTATTCATTACTTTTTGACATTAAGCATGCAACCGCTTGCATGATAGCAGAAAGACCATTTCCATAATTGTGAAATTAAAAGCCTAGTTGGATATTTATAAAAATATATTACATTTTTGAAATCAGGCAGCTAGCCGTCCACGAAATTTTTAGATTAATGTCCTATGAGTTAAAGATGACACCTTTTAGTTTGTTGTTGTTATGAGCACTAGTTGTAGAAAGGAAATGGGAAAAGTGAATATGTTGCGAACAGATATTCATTCACATAAAATCGCAAAAAAGTTTAAACATTTTGTATACGGGAGATAACAGCTGCAATAGCTCAGATATTTTCTCAAATGATTTGAACCGTTATACTCCAAATACAAAAAGAAAGACATTTTTTTTTAAATTTAAAAATACATCTGTTTTTAAATTACTATATTAATGATAAGTAGGTAAAATATATAGATAGTACAAGCCTTTCCGCCGACAATTTTAAAACCAAGGTTAATTTCAAATACACACTAAGTCTGGTATTTCATAAAAAAGTATACATAATATTAATGCTAAAATTGTTGTGGTTCAAGAAGTAAACAGCAAAAAGCAGGCCAAATATCAAGCTCACAGGTATCCCAATAAAACTTACTAACAGCAGATTACTAGTGATTCCTAGGCCTACAACATCCAACAGATCACTACACGGTTACTTTGACATTTTTTTTAAATTCATCTCCTTATTGATAATTTACTGCCTTTGTCTCCTAGGCTAATGTATCTTTCATGCCTCTCTGGGGGCCCTTGATTGGAAATAAATATATTGTCTATATACCATTACGCACAACACCTTTTACTTATTACCCAATGAGTCCTGTTGACAGTTTTTAATATCAAAAGAGCGCTGCGAAAGAGATGTCGACAGCATCTACCTGAAAACCTGGGGCCCGTTTTACTAAAGAACTTACGACTAAGACTTTGATTGTAAAATCTTACAAAACGTATGTTTCTGTTAAAAATTATTTGCATAAAAATATCTGTCTAAATTCTTTTCAAAAATATTAAAACCACTTTCAAAGGAATGAAAAAAAGGAAAGTTATTTGCATAATAACATTTTGATCTTAGTCGTAAGTTCTTTTGTAAAAAGGGGACCTGGATCTTTCTATGTTTTCATAAAATACTAGTATACCATTCTAAATTGCGGAGTAAACACAACGAATTTTTCATGAATTTTCTACTCTGGGTTATTGAGTGGTAGTTTATTTATACATCTTTTGTGACATAATCTTTAAGTGGAAAATTATCCACTTTAAACGATATCATGAAGATTCAGTTCACTACATTTAAACTGTTCAGGATACCGTGTAAACGAGACCCAAGGGCAACAACAAATTTTCAAAATAAACACCATTTCTTGATGTCATTCAAACATTTGAAGTTTTGTTTGCTGTAAACCCTGTGGTATGCTGATCCAATGATTGCTTGATGTACTTTTAATCTTTGTCCGCTTCTGAGGAGAAGATGATAGAGACCTGTGCGTTACCTTTAAATATACTACATATATGAGTTGCACATATAGCACCATAACCACTTTTCGATCGTTGATTGCTGTATTACAACTGTAATGTACTTTTGGTATTAAATACAAGGCAATGCATGCACAGATGTAACTTTTTTTTTAAGTTTTAAATGATAGTGTTCAGAAAACCTATTTACTGCCAATTATTTAACATTACTGAGGGCAACAAATCAATTCATGAAACTCTTCAACTGAATTTGCATACTGATGAATACCAAGCTGCATGGAGAAAATCATTCCTATATAAATTGACCTAGAAAAAAGTACTTATAGGGGTATTTTGCTCTAGAACTGCACAGCTTAACCTTTTAGTGCAATAATTTGGCTTTAGAACAAACGACAGCTCTGCAGACAAGTCTTTTTTGTTCTTTAAAAAAAAACTTCAAAAACTATGTAATGGTGTATCATGGATATCGGTCTGGGTAGCTCAGTGGTTAGGGAACGACCATTTGATTCTTGGGGGGGGGGGGGGCAGGTTTTGGAAATAAATAATCTGTCTTCGAAAAAGTTGAAAATAAATAACCGATAGTCGACTGGCAAGGAAATAAATAATCTAGCTGTCCTTGACTAGCCCCCCCCCCCCCCACCACCACCATCGCCAAAACAAAATAGATTTTTGGAGTTTGGGCTTTTTTTCTTGGACTGGCATGAAAATAAATAATCTGACTCGATGAATTCCCCCCCCCCTCCCCCTCAGAATCAAATGGTCGTCCCCTTAACTAGAGCACCTGATTAGTGATGCAGGGGTCCTGGGTTCGATTACCAGTCCAGCCATATATTTTCTCCTTGAATATGACCGGGGCATATAGTGTTTGTCATGTCCGTCTTCCATCCTTCCGTCTGTCTTTCCGTTGCGCTTTGCGTATAGCTCAGTTCAAAGTTCACTTTCAAAGAAAAGATATTTTCATCAAACTTCATATTCTGATAGATATTGATGAGAGCTATGCAACTGCATCAACATTTTATTGACCTTGACCTTACTTTTCCTAGATTAGTGTTTAGCTCAGTTTTAAAGAAACCATTCAATATAGTGTAATCAAACTTCATATGTTGTTACATACTGATGAGAGCTATTCAACTGCATCAACATTTTTTGACCTTGACCTTTCCTTTTACCTTGACCTCACTTTTCTTAAATTAGTGATTAGCTCAGTTTTAAAGAAACCATTCATAATATTTTTATCAAACTTCATATGCTGATACATACTGATATAAGCTTTACAACTGCATCAACATTTTTTGACCTTGACCTTTCCTTTGACCTTAACTTCATTTATTTTAAATTAGTGTTTAGCTCAGTTTTAAATAAACCATTCAAAATATTTTTATCAAACTTAATATGCTGATACGTATTTGTGAGAACTATTCAACTGCCTCAAAATGTTTGACCTTGAACTTTCCTGTGACCTTGACCTCACTTTTCTTAAAATTGCATTTTGCTTAGTTTTAAAGAAACCATTCAGGACATATTTATGTAAGCTTATGCACTTATACATAATTTGATGAGAATTTATCACCTCTATCCAACTTTTTAGATTTTAATTTTAAAGAAACTATTCAAGATATTCCCAACAAATTTCACACACTAATACAAATTTTCATATTGCATTACAAATATACCCTCGGCGGGGCATTCATGTCCTATGGACATATTTCTAGTCGTTACATAATGTTGGTGCCGTTGACACCCTGGAGTCTTGCCAGGGGCAAAATGACACCAGGTTGTGACTTCGAGGGCTAAGACAATTTCAAGAAGGAGGAATGTAATGGTTTGGACCGTGGATATTGGCCTTAGAAGCTCAGTGGTTAGAGCGCATGACTAGTAATACAGGGGTTATGGGTTCGATTCTCGGTTCAGCCATATACTAGTATTTTCTCCTAAATTTCCTGTTACAACTAAATATATAGTTGACTCTACACTTTTCAAAAGTTATGGCCGCCATCTTTGGGGA